TTTCCCGTTGTGTGGCGCAAGCTTCGGATGGATCTTCAGCTGGCCATGCGGACTGGATTGACGTACTCGGAAGCCACGACTCTGTTGAACAGTGACGAAATGGCCCATCACCTGTTCCATCCTTACGATCTGTCCTGCATGCTGGCTCAGATGATGTACGGGAACCAACTGGACAAGGCTTATTGGACAACCTACGTGCCAGAACGATACTTCCTCCGCGCGGAGAGCATACTGGATCGCTACGCACAGGATGGCCTCGAACCGGATCGGTGGCCCGACCAGATGGACCCCACACAAGATGACAGTGAGCTGCTCTTGGGCGAGAACGAAGAGGACGTTGACAACGAGGATCGTGATGGCAACTGGGAACCCAGCGAGGAGGCTCAAGCCAAGATCGACCGGATGGAAGCTCGTGAGGCAGCAGCACAACAGGATGACACGGAGGTACCGGACGCCAACGCTGCACCGGATCTCGTTTTGCCTTCGACTCGTCGTCCCAAGCGCAGGCTGGCCTGGTTTCCATCAGTTGCTGTTGACTGTAGCGGCTGATGTTGAACTGGAAGTCGCCGCGCCACTGGTGTGGGCCATAATTCAATTCGCGCGTCCCGCAGCGCAGACCGTTTTCGCTCGGGAAGACGTACGGGGTATACATGTCTGACAATGGCAGATCCCAGCGGTCAAAACAGGCGGCAGTAAGGCGGGCCCAGAGCCCCAATATGCCAGTCGCATGGTCAGCATCGGCGGTCCAACTCGACCCTTGCCACGGCGTAGTCAAACGGCTTGGGAGGTCGCGGATGTGCGTCAGCGGTGGCCAGTGGTATCGGCAGCACTCGAGGAGCGTCGGAACGCGCAAAAGACGCGTGGCAGCGTTGCTAGGGACGCAGCAGAAAAGAGCAAAATGGTCATACAGGGGCTCGAACCCTGGACCGCAGCGTTATTAGCACTGTGCTCTACCGACTGAGCTATACGACCGGCAAAATCAAACCACACCCACCAAATCCAAAATAGACCCGCACACGCTCTCCCACACACGCTACGATATACCCCGTCCCACTGCGCGCGTACGCATCCTCACGCGCCGCTCGACAGCCCTCTCGTCGCCTCACGACACACTTCCCACTGCTTGGCCACGTAGCGACCTCCACGCCTCTCTCCTCCACCTGGCTCCTATCCCACTACTCACGACGCACCGGGGCGCAGATGGCCACGGCCCGGCATCCAGCTAGTCGCACGGGTCGCCATCGCAGTCTGGAAAAAGATCGGTAGCCCCAATATGCCAGTCGCATGGTCAGCATCGGCGGTCCAACTCGACCCTTGCCACGGCGTAGTCAAACGGCTTGGGAGGTCGCGGATGTGCGTCAGCGGTGGCCAGTGGTATCGGCAGCACTCGAGGAGCGTCGGAACGCGCAAAAGACGCGTGGCAGCGTTGCTAGGGACGCAGCAGAAAAGAGCAAAATGGTCATACAGGGGCTCGAACCCTGGACCGCAGCGTTATTAGCACTGTGCTCTACCGACTGAGCTATACGACCGGCAAAATCAAACCACACCCACCAAATCCAAAATAGACCCGCACACGCTCTCCCACACACGCTACGATATACCCCGTCCCACCGCGCGCGTACGCATCCTCACGCGCCGCTCGACAGCCCTCTCGTCGCCTCACGACACACTTCCCACTGCTTGTCCACGTAGCGACCTCCACGCCTCTCTCCTCCACCTGGCTCCTATCCCACTACTCACGACGCACCGGGGCGCAGATGGCCACGGCCCGGCATCCAGCTAGTCGCACGGGTCGCCATCGCAGTCTGGAAAAAGATCGGTAGCCCCAATATGCCAGTCGCATGGTCAGCATCGGCGGTCCAACTCGACCCTTGCCACGGCGTAGTCAAACGGCTTGGGAGGTCGCGGATGTGCGTCAGCGGTGGCCAGTGGTATCGGCAGCACTCGAGGAGCGTCGGGACGCGCAAAAGACGCGTGGCAGCGTTGCTAGGGACGCAGCAGAAAAGAGCAAAATGGTCATACAGGGGCTCGAACCCTGGACCGCAGCGTTATTAGCACTGTGCTCTACCGACTGAGCTATACGACCGGCAAAATCAAACCACACCCACCAAATCCAAAATAGACCCGCACACGCTCTCCCACACACGCTACGATATACCCCGTCCCACCGCGCGCGTACGCATCCTCACGCGCCGCTCGACAGCCCTCTCGTCGCCTCACGACACACTTCCCACTGCTTGGCCACGTAGCGACCTCCACGCCTCTCTCCTCCACCTGGCTCCTATCCCACTACTCACGACGCACCGGGGCGCAGATGGCCACGGCCCGGCATCCAGCTAGTCGCACGGGTCGCCATCGCAGTCTGGAAAAAGATCGGTAGCCCCAATATGCCAGTCGCATGGTCAGCATCGGCGGTCCAACTCGACCCTTGCCACGGCGTAGTCAAACGGCTTGGGAGGTCGCGGATGTGCGTCAGCGGTGGCCAGTGGTATCGGCAGCACTCGAGGAGCGTCGGAACGCGCAAAAGACGCGTGGCAGCGTTGCTAGGGACGCAGCAGAAAAGAGCAAAATGGTCATACAGGGGCTCGAACCCTGGACCGCAGCGTTATTAGCACTGTGCTCTACCGACTGAGCTATACGACCGGCAAAATCAAACCACACCCCACGCTCTCCCACACACGCTACGATATACCCCGTCCCACCGCGCGCGTACGCATCCTCACGCGCCGCTCGACAGCCCTCTCGTCGCCTCACGACACACTTCCCACTGCTTGTCCACGTAGCGACCTCCACGCCTCTCTCCTCCACCTGGCTCCTATCCCACTACTCACGACGCACCGGGGCGCAGATGGCCACGGCCCGGCATCCAGCTAGTCGCACGGGTCGCCATCGCAGTCTGGAAAAAGATCGGTAGCCCCAATATGCCAGTCGCATGGTCAGCATCGGCGGTCCAACTCGACCCTTGCCACGGCGTAGTCAAACGGCTTGGGAGGTCGCGGATGTGCGTCAGCGGTGGCCAGTGGTATCGGCAGCACTCGAGGAGCGTCGGAACGCGCAAAAGACGCGTGGCAGCGTTGCTAGGGACGCAGCAGAAAAGAGCAAAATGGTCATACAGGGGCTCGAACCCTGGACCGCAGCGTTATTAGCACTGTGCTCTACCGACTGAGCTATACGACCGGCAAAATCAAACCACACCCACCAAATCCAAAATAGACCCGCACACGCTCTCCCACACACGCTACGATATACCCCGTCCCACCGCGCGCGTACGCATCCTCACGCGCCGCTCGACAGCCCTCTCGTCGCCTCACGACACACTTCCCACTGCTTGTCCACGTAGCGACCTCCACGCCTCTCTCCTCCACCTGGCTCCTATCCCACTCCTCACGACGCACCGGGGCGCGGAAGGCCACGGCCCGGCATCCAGCTAGTCGCACGGGTCGCCATCGCAGTCTGGAAAAAGATCGGTAGCCCCAATATGCCAGTCGCATGGTCAGCATCGGCGGTCCAACTCGACCCTTGCCACGGCGTAGTCAAACGGCTTGGGAGGTCGCGGATGTGCGTCAGCGGTGGCCAGTGGTATCGGCAGCACTCGAGGAGCGTCGGAACGCGCAAAAGACGCGTGGCAGCGTTGCTAGGGACGCAGCAGAAAAGAGCAAAATGGTCATACAGGGGCTCGAACCCTGGACCGCAGCGTTATTAGCACTGTGCTCTACCGACTGAGCTATACGACCGGCAAAATCAAACCACACCCACCAAATCCAAAATAGACCCGCACACGCTCTCCCACACACGCTACGATATACCCCGTCCCACCGCGCGCGTACGCATCCTCACGCGCCGCTCGACAGCCCTCTCGTCGCCTCACGACACACTTCCCACTGCTTGTCCACGTAGCGACCTCCACGCCTCTCTCCTCCACCTGGCTCCTATCCCACTCCTCACGACGCACCGGGGCGCGGAAGGCCACGGCCCGGCATCCAGCTAGTCGCACGGGTCGCCATCGCAGTCTGGAAAAAGATCGGTAGCCCCAATATGCCAGTCGCATGGTCAGCATCGGCGGTCCAACTCGACCCTTGCCACGGCGTAGTCAAACGGCTTGGGAGGTCGCGGATGTGCGTCAGCGGTGGCCAGTGGTATCGGCAGCACTCGAGGAGCGTCGGAACGCGCAAAAGACGCGTGGCAGCGTTGCTAGGGACGCAGCAGAAAAGAGCAAAATGGTCATACAGGGGCTCGAACCCTGGACCGCAGCGTTATTAGCACTGTGCTCTACCGACTGAGCTATACGACCGGCAAAATCAAACCACACCCACCAAATCCAAAATAGACCCGCACACGCTCTCCCACACACGCTACGATATACCCCGTCCCACCGCGCGCGTACGCATCCTCACGCGCCGCTCGACAGCCCTCTCGTCGCCTCACGACACACTTCCCACTGCTTGTCCACGTAGCGACCTCCACGCCTCTCTCCTCCACCTGGCTCCTATCCCACTCCTCACGGCGCACCGGGGCGCGGAAGGCCACAGCCCGGCATCCAGCTAGTCGCACGGGTCGCCATCGCAGTCTGGAAAAAGATCGGTAGCCCCAATATGCCAGTCGCATGGTCAGCATCGGCGGTCCAACTCGACCCTTGCCACGGCGTAGTCAAACGGCTTGGGAGGTCGCGGATGTGCGTCAGCGGTGGCCAGTGGTATCGGCAGCACTCGAGGAGCGTCGGAACGCGCAAAAGACGCGTGGCAGCGTTGCTAGGGACGCAGCAGAAAAGAGCAAAATGGTCATACAGGGGCTCAAACCCTGGACCGCAGCGTTATTAGCACTGTGCTCTACCGACTGAGCTATACGACCGGCAAAATCAAACAACACCCACCAAATCCAAAATAGACCCGCACACGCTCTCCCACACACGCTACGATATACCCCGTCCCACCGCGCGCGTACGCATCCTCACGCGCCGCTCGACAGCCCTCTCGTCGCCTCACGACACACTTCCCACTGCTTGTCCACGTAGCGACCTCCACGCCTCTCTCCTCCACCTGGCTCCTATCCCACTCCTCACGGCGCACCGGGGCGCGGAAGGCCACGGCCCGGCATCCAGCTAGTCGCACGGGTCGCCATCGCAGTCTGGAAAAAGATCGGTAGCCCCAATATGCCAGTCGCATGGTCAGCATCGGCGGTCCAACTCGACCCTTGCCACGGCGTAGTCAAACGGCTTGGGAGGTCGCGGATGTGCGTCAGCGGTGGCCAGTGGTATCGGCAGCACTCGAGGAGCGTCGGAACGCGCAAAAGACGCGTGGCAGCGTTGCTAGAGACGCAGCAGAAAAGAGCAAAATGGTCATACAGGGGCTCGAACCCTGGACCGCAGCGTTATTAGCACTGTGCTCTACCGACTGAGCTATACGACCGGCAAAATCAAACAACACCCACCAAATCCAAAATAGACCCGCACACGCTCTCCCACACACGCTACGATATACCCCGTCCCACCGCGCGCGTACGCATCCTCACGCGCCGCTCGACAGCCCTCTCGTCGCCTCACGACACACTTCCCACTGCTTGTCCACGTAGCGACCTCCACGCCTCTCTCCTCCACCTGGCTCCTATCCCACTCCTCACGGCGCACCGGGGCGCGGAAGGCCACGGCCCGGCATCCAGCTAGTCGCACGGGTCGCCATCGCAGTCTGGAAAAAGATCGGTAGCCCCAATATGCCAGTCGCATGGTCAGCATCGGCGGTCCAACTCGACCCTTGCCACGGCGTAGTCAAACGGCTTGGGAGGTCGCGGATGTGCGTCAGCGGTGGCCAGTGGTATCGGCAGCACTCGAGGAGCGTCGGAACGCGCAAAAGACGCGTGGCAGCGTTGCTAGGGACGCAGCAGAAAAGAGCAAAATGGTCATACAGGGGCTCGAACCCTGGACCGCAGCGTTATTAGCACTGTGCTCTACCGACTGAGCTATACGACCGGCAAAATCAAACAACACCCACCAAATCCAAAATAGACCCGCACACGCTCTCCCACACACGCTACGATATACCCCGTCCCACCGCGCGCGTACGCATCCTCACGCGCCGCTCGACAGCCCTCTCGTCGCCTCACGACACAGACTCGCACTCTTACTATACACTGACCGTAGGTTGCTAGCAAACTGCCGGAAGAGTGAGCACAAAAATTAACGTGAGAAGGACAGCAATGATGCATCGACGGCGGCGAGCACTAACTATTCATGTGTATATGTTAATGCTTTCAATACAGTACAGCCAGATGAACTCTCGACAATTGATAAATGCATTACGCTTGAGTATGTTGTGCAGCGCTAACGCCGCTTGCACGTTGCTCTTTTCATAGCCAACGTTTAAGCATTAATGTTGATAACGGCCTGACATCTGTAATCTAGGATTTGCTCTAGCACCGCAGTAGCAGTGGAGCAATTGATTGCTACCACCTGGGCACCATGCAAGATGAGCACGATGCGCCGGGGTATTTTAGCCAATCACAGCCTCTAGGCACCAGGTCGGCCGCTGTCGGTACCGTCATGATATGGATGAATATACAGCGGCTCCAGAAAGTCACCGCCCAGGCAACTTCAACATCGATTTTGGGCAATAGCTAGACAACCACTAATCGGATCGCAGTGCTGCGGGTACGAGTAGAACCGCCAGCGAACCCCAAGCCGAAAACATTAGCCAATAACATCGGTTCGCGGGAAGTGTTCCGCCAATCACCGTTTATTCAAAACAAGGTGCAAATATAGTGAGCGCCCAGTGGCTGGCCTCGTGCCAATTATATAAAATTTTGTATGGAGGGTCACAATGTTGCACGAATGTTGCTCGATCGAACCCATGCATTTTGGCGGCAACGCAGCGATCGTTGCCGCGCTAGTTGCTCTCATTCTCCTATTCACCTCACTTCGAACAAGTCAAGCTCAACTATGGACCAAGGACGTCGCCAGCACTCGCACGAGATCCGTTGTCTCTGCGTTAGCAAGTGGAAGAAGGGCTACAGCTACTCTAGAATCGCGAGGGAGCTGGAGATGGCCCGCTCGACAGTGCGCGATATTATCGCACACTTCAAGTTGAATGACCACTGTGTCGTAGCTCCGCGCCAAGGCCGCCCCCGGCTCACTACTGCCCGCGATGACCGCCGCATTCTCCGAGACACTGAGACCAACCGGTTCTCAAGCGCGGCGGTCCTGGCTGCTGCAGTTTCCAAGGACACTGGCCGCGTGGTGTCGCCGCAGGTGGTGCGCAACCGCCTCAACTCAGCCGGCCTCAACGGCCGCTCTGCTAGGAAGAGACCTTACCTCTCCAATAAGCACCGCAAGCAGCACCTCGCCTATGCAAAGAGGCTGGCTCATCTGGAGAAGGACGACTGGGCGAATGTCATCTTTACAGACGAGGCATCGGTGGAGCTGCACGGTACCAGCGGTCGTGTCTCGGTGTAGCGCCGGACACATGAAGCCTTCCATGAGAAGTGCGTCGTGCCGACCTTCAAGTCCAGCCGCAAGTCGTCGATGGTGTGGTCCTCCATCTCGGCAGACGGCGTCGGCACGATGCACTTCTGCGAGAAGTCCGTGGACGGCGCCTACTACCGACACCTGCTTCAACAGGAGATCCCGATCACCAGCTCCTTGGTCTACCCCAGCCTACCAACTTCGTCCAGGACAACGCTCCAGCGCATCGCGCTAAGGCCACGACGAAGTTCGTGAAGTCCTTAGGGCTCCATGACCTTCGTCACCCCGCCCAGAGCCCCGATCTCAACCCAATTGAGAACGTGTGGGCGATCATGAAGCGGGAGCTGAATCGCCAGCCAGCAACCTCTATTGAGGACCTCAAGGTAAAGCTCCTTGAGATATGGACGAGTATCGACGACGATGTCATTCGCAAGTGCGTGCTTTCCATGCCGGCTCGCCTGGACGCTGTCATCGCCAGCAAGGGGGCTCACACGAAGTACTGATTTGTGACTTGATTTTTGTATGGGAACGAGGTGGGCGGTGATTTTTTATTACCGTGTTTTGTAATTTTTGCCAGATTTTTCCTGATAAAATACAGCAACGTTACGTTTTTCCTATTCATTGACCTGCAGTTGTAGTTTATCCTTATGCGGTTCCGCTCGTGTTTCTCCGGCAGGAAAATATGATCTAGTTCGTGAGCAGTTGCCAAATATATTAGCTTTATACTATGTGGGCGGTGACTTTCTGGAGCCGCTGTACACGTCTTTCCGACAGATAGAACCAGAGGATGGCTATCGAGTCACAAAAAAAGAAGTATTATCCGATCGTACCGCAGGAATATCGAGTTTCGGCGAATAGGATTTGTTAGGTTAGGGCTCTGGTTCCGACACATTCCAACAAATATTTGTCGGAATCTGCACAAAAATATGAATATACCACTACGAATACTTAGTATATGACGCATTTAATGCATATTTTCCATATTCCATATAGCTACGCATATCCCTAATTTAGGACACAGGATGGTAGGAAGCCAGAACCAAGACCACACAGATCAAACGACGAGGACAAGCACCAGCGAGACGATGAGTCTATCTGCTTTTGTCCCTACGAACACTCAGAAAGCCCGCAGCACCGCCATTACCGCTTTCAAGCGCATGCTGGAGGAGGAGAATGTTAGCCTAGAGTTTGTCGAGGCTAGCATTTCCTTGGACGCCTTCGGCAAGCGTTTGGCGGTGGCGATGGATCATTTGGGCTTCTACCTCGCTACGAACTAAGGTAAGAAAGGCAAGCTTGCTCGAAATACTACGCAGTGGTAGTATACCCTTTTCGCTTACAACGAGAAAAGGGTAGTTTAATTAGTAAGACCCCTCCTTGCACTAAGGAGGACTTACAAGCTTTGGTCCGCTATGTCTACAGTACAGTGCGCGTGCACGACGACTACCCAGACGCCGCGTTGGCGCGTCTGATGTGGCACCGCTTCGCTCGGTCTTTGAACCTAGGGTATGTCCAAAAGCAACACGTGTCGGTATCGGCGGACGGCACCTTCTATCTTCGACTGCTACGGGTCAAGACTTGGGAAGAGCAAGGTCTTACCCTAATTCCCGACAAGAACGACGTTCTCACGTGCCCCTTGCACGATTTGACCGTGGCGCTAGCGATGCAGGATGCACCAAGCGCACTCTTTCCGGCGTGGCGGGGCTCAACACGCAAACGGCAACGATCGTCTTGCTCCCAGTGGATTTTCGATCGCGGCGCTTGGGATATGACGAAGACCAACAAGGCATTTGTCTAAATTACCAACACGGCGCGCGAGAACAGGAAGATCTCGGGTTTTGACTGGTTGGGCGGTAGACGAGAAGCCAACAATTTTTGACGTGGAGGCGCTCGACCATTCAAGTCAAGAGCGCCTCAGCCGCTTGCAGGCCTTGCTGTTTCATTCCTGTACAGGACTCAAAGAGCAACGTCTAAATATAAGCATCAAGGTCCTCGGCGTTCATACAGCTTACCTCGTCCGCTACTACCCTCAGCGGAAGGAACTCGCGCCATCGGCCCCGATCGCCACGCTTGAAGAGTGCTTGGCGGTGGCGGACATTCCGATCGCTGATGTACTGGCATGATCTCTTACGCTCGGCAATGAAGCCGCTCTATCTGCTCAAGATCAAGCACAAGATCCCAACCAACACAAGTGCGCACAAATGGATCACCTTTTAACTATAATTCATGAGCTTATTGCCACGAATAAGCTCTTGGCGGCACGCCTAACCATCATCGAGGCTGCACAGGCGAATCCTAATGTGAAGCAAAAGCGCACTGAAGAAGAGCAGGTGAAGGAATCGCCAGACCAAGAGCCCAAGCCAAAGCGAAGAAAGAAACAAGCTACGCACCTGTCTGTGACTTGGTTCGAGTGGTATACACGTGTGTCTCACGTTGGGACTCGGCCGAACGCCAGAAAAATCGGAGTCCTACCACGTCGTCGCATTCTTGAAGCTGTTCCTCGACACGGGCTTTGTCCACAGGCAAGTGACTACAAGGATCAGGTGCTTCAAGTCGGTTGCCGCGCTGAAGATTCGGTATTCTCGTTTCTGAAGACGAGTGTGAAATTCAACGCGAAATGTTCTGGGAGCGTGCTACGCGCGTTGCGTCCGCTGCACAAGTCTGGCGCTTTAAACGAACGCATCGAGGCTCACAAACGTCTCTTCGCTACAGGCCGAATCCAAGACTCTGCTCCTGCAGACACGCAGGACATATTAGCGTCGGCTCACCAGGCTTGACCGCGATAGTGTCGAGAATACCCGATGGACCACACTGGCGAGAATACCCTAAACCGTACACAGTCGAGAATACCCCCAATGGCCCACAGTCGAAATTACCCGAAATTACCCACAGTCAACAAACACAAGTTATTTTCGTCCCAGGCCGACCCGTCCGCAAAACAGGCAGCGCCACCAGGCATGGCCCCTCCGACGCTCCAATACGAGGCTGGTATTGTTTGAGAGCATCAAGGAGAAAGTGGCAAACGGCCAGGTGGTGTGTAGAGACGATGTTGTCGCGGATGCTACAGTGACAATACCTGGCTTTGCGAAACGCAAATCCGAGGCTCAGCGTTCGTGGACCACCCGGTTTATAGGCCGGCACAAGCTAAGCACTTTCATCTCACGACTCCTCAAGAACACCAGCACGACGGCCGCGAATGTGAACGAGCCCTCCAACAAGAAACTCAAGCGCCAGGTGTCAACTTTGACCGCAAAAAACACCCTCCAGCCAAGTCGACATTGCCCGAAAACACCTACCCAACCAAGTCGACTTTGGCCGAAAAACCCGAGTCGCCTGAGGTGATATCACTGCTGAATGATGATAGTGAGAATGCAGGCGTCCCATTTGGTTTTGGAGATGTGTGGGATATATCGCAGCCCGACATTGTGTCAAACACAGTCGCCATGCTTTGTTGTGAGCAAACCAAGCATGCGTTTGCTGGTGACACCGGAAGATGTCCGCACAATTAAAGACCGAGATTGGCTCAATGATGTGCTTCTATACTATTACACTCGAGTGCACCCCCGCAACACGGCCGATCGTTTGTCATGGATACAAACGTTTTTGGACACATCTACAGCGAATTTGCTCTAGTGGGGCGAAACGTTGGACTTGTGCACGAGCGCTGTTGAGATATTACCGCAACATTTCCGTATGAGAAGTACGATCACGTGATTCTACCTATATGCATGGGCAATCACTGGACTTTTGCCATTGTGTAAAACCCTGTAGGCACTACGCAGAATCTGAGGAGGGAGTAATTTGTTTTGGGTCAAATGCTGCACAGGTCCAATCCTGCACAACTCGGTTGTAACTCGGTTTTTGGGTCAAATTAGGATCAAATTGAACATGGATTTGACCTAATCCAAAGCATCATTTTTGTGATGTGATAAAACTGTAAAAATAATATTATACTCAATATTATACTCACAACAAAATATTATTTATGAGGAGTGAATATATAAATATACATGTTTTGCGCAAAAATCACTAGATGCCCGTAGGGCGTGCGCCTAGACAGGCAGGTGTTTGTCAGGTGGCGTGGGTTCAAATCCCACACCTGTAGAGGAGCTCGATGCTTGAGGTAAGTGTTGTGTGGAAATCCTCCTTCAGATCTGAGACATAACCAAGGATTTGGGTCGTCCGTCACACTCTCACTTAGTGGGAGTGAGTCTCCTATAGATCAGGCTGACTGGATTCTCTCGAGAAATAACCCACCGTGAGAATTTGGTCATTGAGTCGTTTGACGGACGGTAAAAGGGATCATTCCCTGGCCACAAACGTTCTCGGTTGGCAAGAGCGACCTACTTTATAAACATTTAGAAAAACTCACTGTATACTAAAACCAAGTCATTTTTAAATCGGTCCGGCATGAATTGAATTCTTAACTACAATTCTATTACGAATAAAAAGGAATATGTGCTTGTACAAACATCTAATTTGTTAGATAATGCAAAGAATATATATTCGGAGTAAAGCTTCTCAAGTTGCAACAGAAGAGAATTGAATGTTCTTGTTGTAGTGAAACTACTATTGTAAAGAGTGCTAAGGTTGACTTAAAACGTTGACTTACAAATCTAGAACAGAATTTATTGTTTATTTTTGCTTGGAGGGTTTGTTTAGCGTATTCAAATGCTATGTAATATTATGTAGCATGTAGTTTCAGCGCAAGTCTTTCAATACTCGGCAGATCTCGACCTCACCGTTTCGTTGTCGCTGTCGGAGTCGTCCGAATCTATACAGAGTCTACTTCCAGATCTGAATCCGAGTCGACGTACAAATCTGGGTCAGACTCGAAACCGGGAGCGGGCCGAGCTGCAGCATGCGCAGGTGCGCTCGCACGGCGGTTTGAAATGTCGTTAATTAGTCGGACATTTTCGCGGCTCTGCTCTTTGATGACCGCAATAAACTTGACGACATCGGGGTGAGGCGTCGTTGAGGGTACGATTGTACCGTTCGAGGGGGTTGTTGGTCCTATTGATGATGTCCTCATTGAGACCGTTGACGTTCCACCATTCGGGAAGAAACTTCTTCATCCAGGTTGTCTTGAAATACTTCCAAAACTTCTTCCAGTCAGCCTTCGATTACGCGATGCCTTGGTCGGCACAGTCACGCTTGATCATGCGTCAAACATTTGGGATTCCCCGGAAAACGATGTCGCACCGACGAATCACCGTAAGCCGATCGATGCACTCCTCTCGCATAGCTAGATCCACCTCAGATTCTGAAATCTTCAAGTTGAGCATCTTGCGGCGCAGTGCTTGCTTGAAGTGAAAAATGCAGCCCACAATTCTAGATTCTGGAAACTGATTTTGTACCGCCTTGACCATCGCAAACTCGAAGTCACAAACCACATGCGCCGGGTCCAGCTTCTTTTTAGAAGCGACGTGGATGTAGTGGAACAAATGCTCGGAAATCTGACCTGTCTTTCCAGACGTGAGTGCGTACCAAACTGGATGGTACAGCTCCGAAATGGGGTCGAACATCATCACGATCACCAGCTGATAAAAGCGAGTCGGTACTGATCGGTACGTCGCATCGATGAATATGGGGCACCTGCGCTGCTTCATGCGGTCCATGAGCGGATGCGCCCAACCAATGACACGATGCAGGACTTCGTCTTCGTAGTGAGTGAAGTGGAAAAACTTGAGACCCGGGCTGTCCTTGACATCGCACAGTGGTTCTGTCTCGAGGCACTCAAAAATGTCCCGCCCAAAATTCCTCCGCGTGCGATACAGCCGACCTAAAATCTGCTTTTTGGAAGCACATTGTACGACAACATTGTCGTCGCTGTAAAACCGGTCCCGGATAATTCGCCACACCTCCGTCGGGGCAAGCGTCACGTCATGGATCCCGCTTTCGTCTGTGGCAATAAGCATTTGCTGCTTCCAATTGGCGAATGTTGTGGGCAGTCCATTCGGGACCAGGACCATTTCTGGGACGCACTCCTGTTTATGGGTCCCTTGAACTACAGCACCCAGTCTTGACACGTAGAGCTTGGCTTGGCACTCAGTGCGTCGATACGCGCTGCACCGATAATGCTTCGTCTCAGTCCCGTGATAGTGGCTGTACGGACACCCTCGATACGTCACCGACTTCGTGCCGGCGATAGCTTCAACACCATCCGGGAGGGCGCCTTGATCACAACTCGATGACCATCATTCTCTTGGGAGGCTGAGGTCGATGAAGGACTGAGAAGGAGCTCGGTTTCGCCAGAGGATACGTCGCTCATGTCGGACCCCTCATACAGACTGGTGTAGGAGTGAATCGAGGACGGCCCATACAGGCTGGAGTCGGAATGACTCAAACGAGGGCGACTTTCATCCGACGAGAAGTCCATGCTGCTGGGGCTGAACCGAAGGGAGGGGGGGGGGGGAGGGGGTGCGGTCGGCTGTTGAAGCGCTGGTAAAAGTCGAAGTGACCGAAGCGAAGAGGAAACTTGCTATTATGTAACTCACAATAGATGTTTGAAATGATGTCGCACGAAACCTAGTGCACCGTTTTATTTTTACTTCACTTAAGATTGCACCCTTATACAAGCGACCATATTTTCCTCAGAATTTATATATATATATATATGAGACTTTGGCAGCAAAATGCCACTGTCCCATGCTTTATTTTACTTCAATATAGACTTATTGTGTGGGCGGCCAAATTTATCCTTAGACTCTTATCTTTAAATATATATGCGAAGCAGCACTAGCGACTTTAAACTGAAGTAACTCACGTGATTGGTCAAAATCACAGACTAACTATAGAACCTCTCGGGTATGATATTTTTTGCGCAGCCGTTGACCTAAAAAGAGAGTTGCGCAGGACTTGACCTGCGCAGAATTTGACCCAAAAAGAGGGCTTTCCTGAGGGGATGCCTGCATGTGGACTCCAAAGAAATCTCCAGCATCCAAGCGGTAAAAAAATCGTGGGTGGATATTTCGACACGGAGCTGTGCACTAAATATCCTGACAACGCTGCACCAGCATTCGTCGTGAGAGGAGTCCGAACAAGCCGAATCACGCCGACTGCAGAGTATTTGTGCTATACTTCATCAAGCGAACGGTCGAGGCATTTCAAACAGGAATACGCCTTTCTTAAGCGATATCAAGAAGATATGCACAAGTCCGAGGTTCGCGCGCTCCAACGCGAAAATGATGTTGAAGGAGATGACACAAACTCACGCGTAGGCTAACTGGGATACGGGTCTCGGTTAAATCAATGCATGTATCATACGTATACATACAAGCGTCTCTAGTGTCCCAAACCATACAAAGATTCAGCAGGAGCTAGAGCACGACGCAGCCGAACGCAGTACCGATTGATACGTAGCAGGCGCTACTCCTGGCACAACCACAGCACGACACATACGCTGGCACAACACCTAGGAGCACAACGCAGACCCACGGATTGAGACGCAGCAGCTAGATTCTTGGTACAGCACGACACGGCCGCAAAAGCCCGTCTTGATCAATAACACCGACCCGAATTGAACGGGCATCTCAGGGTGGGGGCACTGCGCTCTATCATTGAGCTACGGTGTTGGGATGTTGATCGGGAGGATGGGGGGGGGGTGGGGGGCAGTCATCTTGTTTTGGGTGTGGGTGGGTGCGCAGAGGGGGCAGGAGACTTGATCAACTCTAATAAAAAAGAGACTTCACGCTCCGAGCCGCGTGTCGGCGACGTACAATGCCTAGCAGCCACCAATTTCGAACAGGAGGCGAGTGGCGATTGACTATTGAGAGAACCAATCAACGCTCATTGTTAAATAAATGTTCAGTATTGGCTAATAAATTGGCCAATGAGATGCCTCAAAGGGGGGGGGGGGGGGGCTGGTGTCGGCCTGCTTCTAATTGTGCCCCCCCCCTACCCTGGGGCCGGCCTCATTAATAAATTTCCAGGCTCCGGTGCACATTGCTCCGGGGGCCATACTGCATGTATATACAAAAACCGATTGTTTTGGCCTCCAGGCCTCCAGAAGCGATTTCCTTGCGGCCAAGGGCCTATCATGAAAACTGACTGGAAGCGCCAAAAATGCCACCTAGATCTAATCTACCGTATATATTGTGTTATTTCCGATGATGCACTATTTCCGATTTTGCCCTGGCTTTGGCCTTAATCCTGTCTATCGGAAAATGCAGGGATGTCAGAACACCCACAGTATGGTTGTATATCATTGGTCAAACTTTAATGTCGGAGTTTAGAATAACCTTCATAAAAAAGTTGTTCGTTCCGATAGGATGGTAAACATAGTAAAATGAAGTTTACACGTATCGCTTAGCTTCGTGACTCTGGCAAAAATCAAGTGGTAAGTTGCAAATGATGATTCGTACCATCCAGCCATGAAGGTTGAGTGCTAAGTGTCAGCAAAAAGTTAACAAGCGAGTCGGTATCCGCTGTCATAGCACTGTCTCGTAGTAGGGTGCTCCTGCTTGACATGTTGCATCAGATTAAAGTAAAATTCTCAAGGGTTTGCTTTCAAACTGTACCGCAACGGCAACGGAAATACTCGATAGCCAGCTCGCCGTTCTCATTACGGCACCGGTGGAAGTAACACACCCAGATTTGTGAGTAGTGCAGGTTGGGCGAGGATGAATAGTGCCAACCATGATGTGGTTGGATATTTCGGTCGTGAGCAGTGAGAATTGAAAAGGGAGAGCTGTAGATTGAGCGGAGACTGAACAACGCGCTTATAAACAACCGAAGACAAGTGGATGACTGGCTGCCAGCACACTAATATAAAAACGGTTGTAAGAAATCAGGAATCTCACAAATTACCACAAAAATATCACGACAACGGTCTGGACCCGTCAAAACGCGTATTAATTGTTGTTTTTGGAAATTATTGTTATCCGATTTTGGAGACCCTGATCAAGTACTTAGCCCTTTTGCGAGCATCCTTGATAAACTTTAATATACAAGTTAGTGATATTTTCAACTAAAAGAGCGCTCCAGGCGTCCTTTTACAAAGTTACGGAGCCTTTTCCGCGTGTCTCATGGGACATGTCATCTGCGGTGGTTTGCAGGATACGTAGTTTGGATGCGTATGACTTAGAATTGTACAATTATTACATGATGTGTACCAATTTTGATTTGTTTTAAACTATGGTTGACTGGGGCGCGCTTCGCGTGCGGGTCTCTAAGCGGACCGAACAATTTTGTGTTTTTTGCTACTAAAACGGTTAGGACGCGCCGCGCCTCAGCGCCAGTCTGCACTTGTTACTGTTATTAACATTATCACCAATATTTTTGTGAGTACTATACATGAAACGATTCATATTACTACAAGAAACTTAAATTTTCATACGATTATAATTGATGCTGACCAGGGGTATGTATAAAAAATTTCAATATGAAAATTGTCAATTAATATGACGAAAATATGTGTTATTGGCAAGCGCCATATTGAAATTTGTATTATTGGCTCGTACGATTTCAGGGTATTCAAAAACACAGTCAAGGCGCATGGAATTGAAATATTTAATCAGTATAATAATTAGCTTTGGTTATCGTCATATTTAAATCATTATTACTGTCAAACAATTTTACCAATTCAATATAATACTGAATTGGAGGGGCCCTGATGTTGACAACATCATGTTGCAATTGGTATTTATTGCAACTGCCACTGTCGCCACCACTGCCATGCTACAGCTACTGCGGCTGCTACTGTCACTGCTACTGCCACTGCTTCAGCCACTGTCACTGCTACTGCCACTGCTTCAGCCACTGTCACTGACACTGGCACTATCGCTGCTGCTCCTACTCCTACCTCATCACTACTTATATTGCTATACTACTCATATTCCACTATTGTTAAAGATATTGCATTTGTTATGCTACCTGTGGCGCGCGTTACTGCTGGTCACAGGCACTATCTGCTTACCACTACTGCAACTACAGCTGGAGCAGCTGTACTACAGCTACTACAACTACTATTTCACTACTGTTAATGATGTCATAGTAATGTTGTCATTGATATTACTTGTTCGTATCTGCTGCTATCGCTACTGCGACTGTTTATTATCTGCTGCCACTACCTCTACCGTTGTTATTTACGCTACAACTACGATCTCAGCATTGATAATGGCACTGTAATGATATTGCTCCTGCTTTCTTTTTCCAAAGACTGCCAAAATCTACTCCATACTGCTTGACTTGCTGCATAATATCACGGGCATTTCATGGCTTGCTCAAACTAAATTTATAAGTAGATGCCATCTGAATATCGCCGTCCACCGTGGTGAAAACGACACGATCCAAACATTATCGATGATCTTATCGTCCTCTAGACCCTTATAAATCACTCTCCTCTTTTCCAAATAATGTGTGTGACTTGTATTGCTGCGTAAGTAATATCAATATGACGTATTGTGTCTTTCACGTATTTTGGCGGGTGAGCTGTTAATTCAGGCGGAATTAGAGTCATAAAAGGGTGATCAACGCTTATTTAGTGCTAATGATGCCTAAGATTGTGAGCGCTTCCCCTAACATCCGCGATCAGCTAATCGACGGAGATATGAACAGAATGGCATGTATTGGCGGATAGGAAACCGCCAATCGCTCTGTTTCCGCCTATTAATAACGAAGGCTGGATTAGCTTATTCCGCCTTGAGTCGGCCTCATCCTAATTCGGCCACGGAGTGACGACCCGGAATTAACATGGGAATTAGCTAACTCGGGGCATAATTAAGGTCGATAACGGATTAGAGTTATACCAGAATTATCACGGCAGAATAAGTGAAAGGCACAATAATTTTTATTCGGTATATTGCTATTGGAATTGTTCGCCTGCGTCACGATCACTGCCAGCTACCACTGCAACTGCCCTACTGTCAATGCCACCGCTACTGCAACCGCTATTAGTTACTGACTTTGAAACTGATATTGTTATCGCTATTTCTGTTACTATCTTTTATTTGCTCACCCCACGATCAGGAAGAAAACTGTCAAGGTCTACAGTACTCCATGGTGCGTGAGTTGTTGCAACCCAGTATAATGTCATCCAACGAGACTTCTTCGCGAGCCGCACCTAGTAAAATACCTATATTTTTACGAACTACATCTGCAGTTTACACGTTACTGCAGTTATAAAGTACGCGGCGCAAATTGGCGCTAATTTCGCTGCGCCATGCGTTCATATTGCTTTACTTAGGTTCTTGCTGCAGCAAACATCACGCCCATCTAATCGAGCACTCTAAAGTGCACCACCATGGACTTGTCCGTCTATATCAATGTAGATACTGGTACTCAATATGATGCGACGTCCAGAAAACACTACGCATACTACTGTCCAGACACTGCATTCACTACTGTCGCGCCATGCGCACTCCGTTTTGGATTCCGCAGCCTGCATGAGCCCCAACGTCGCACAGTACCACAGTATGCATCGTAATGGCGGGTGTGCCAAATCCAAAACCACGTCAAAAGCATCGATCCGGACGCTGCGCTGCTTTATACCGGTAATACCATGAGATTTTGGATACTCTAGTTCATATTAAAATGTACCGAATGGATTAAACTGATGGTCTGACAAGAAATGACGCTGGCTCTAAGCTATCCGCTTAGAGAATTACTAGCCTGAACATGTGGAAAAGGGCACAGAAAGCCCTATACGAGGGGTTATACTCTACCGTGTTTTGGAAAATCTCCTAAAAGGCTATTTCTGTAGCCTTTTTACCGCGAAAGGGTTAACAGATCTAAGTTTTTTAACAGGCATTAGAAATCTAATGCCTGTTAAAAAACTTAGATCTGTTACTCCGTGTACCTTTTACTTTGACATCCCAGACCTTATATTGTCTTTATGCATAGTCGGTGTAGTTTATATTGACCGTATCTGATGTTTATTATGAATACGCTAATACCGTATCGTCGTAGTCCTAGGCGTCGCTTACTTCTAAGGGTCACTTGTAACCCACCCAATCAAATCGATAGAATTTTATCATATGGGCATGTTACTTACGAGCTGGACCGTATTTAGTTTTAGGCTCACCAATGATAAAAGAATGGCCCGACCGCATTTCCTAGAACCGCGCAGAGCAAGCAGACCAATGGTACGGCCTCGCGTAAATGGCAATGGAAAGAAGCGAAACACGTACCAGCGAACCGCAGTGGAATACCCCCACAAGCAGGAGTTATAAGCTTTACAGAAGCCGGCCACGATCTGGACACAACCATTGCACACTTCTATGGCAAAGTGGAGGGCAGCGAGCTTCGTGCTAGAAAGAAACATATTAACAAGTGGTTGAAACAGGCTCCAACAATCCGAGCTGCTTGTGAGTCGGGTCGCGGCCGTCACCGCAATCTTCGTAACCTCGGCGATGCAACAGTGCTCCCCAAGGAAGTCGAAGAAGACCTTGTGCTTTGGCTCAACACGCTGCGGAAGGACGGAGCGCCTGTTTCGAGGCTCATGCTACAGCTACAGGCAAAAGAGGTAGCCGCTGAGAATGGGCTGCACGAGAAATTCGCAGCATCTCCTACATGGGTAAAGCTGTTCCTAAGGCGCCGAGCGTCACGGAACGGATTCACAATGTGGAAGCGTGAAATAAAGCCACTGTAAAAGGGCAACCAGTGTCAAATCTACGGAAACAAATGCGCGTGGTGGAACGCTGAATTGTCAATGAAATTCTTGGAATACCCCTTTGCTGAGCGCCCCAATCCTGACGAGAACATCCTATTACTGTGGGATGACTTCAGTGGTCATTGGACCACTGAGGTCAAGGAGTACGCGGCGTCGATAAACGTGATGACATCGGAGTAGGCGATGATATTGACAGCGATAGCGAAAGCGAGTAAGACAGTAAATCGGGATGCATTTTTTATTAGTAAAATCATGATTTTCTTGCATATGGCGGTGCTGAAGTTTGTACCTCGTGCTATTGAAGTGACCCCTAGGACTACTACGGTAGTTATGACGCCAATATTCCAGTAAAAACTGGTGAATGGATAAAAATTAAGTTGGTACATTTAAATATCGAACAAACAATTGCTACATAAATGCTTAAATCGATGGCACTGTGCTTGTTATTCACGCAAGTTAACTTAAAGCCTAAAATACATGGTCATCTCAGCTGTGGCATCCGACTCGAATGCTTCCTTCAGCATTTGCGCACATTTTTTTTGCCGAGCTGGCGCTAGTATTTATCGCATAACGCCCCTTGTCGTTGTTGGCCGTTTTTTTTTTTGCGATAGCTTCCTTGTTGGGGTTGCACTCGCTTTAGCCCTCGTTGTTTGACAGGATTCGCTTGGAGTCACATCGTTTGAAACAGAAGCGGAAGCGGTAAAAAATACGCCACTCGCTCCACAGTCGCCACTCACTCCATTGTAGCGTCCTTCGCCACGTTATTGACCAGTCGGGCGTCACGTGTCGTTGTACGTGGGTCGGCATGCGGCAGGTCGTCACAAAAGCTGAGTAAATCGCCCTCATTCGTCTCAACGACGTAAGCGTTAGAGCGAATGGCGCATCCGTTGAACGCCTATGGGATAGGGATGAGTTTGGTCCATCCGTGAAGGCGAGCAGCACCAACGTCTGTACCCATTCATGGGCTTCCGTCACTGACACTGTTTCTGTCGATGCGAAGTTGCGGTGTAGATGCTGGGGAGGACAGAGAGACGACAGTTCGACGACCTCCCACTTTGTCGCCACTATCCAGGTTTGGTGGGGTCTCGCGGCGAAGTCGATCATGCGAAGCGAAACACAGGGGCGTTTGCCTTGATGTTTTCAGTCTGGCTGAGAGGCGCGTGACGGCGATGAGAGCTCCCAGTTTCGCGAAACCACTTGGTCTCTGGTATCCCATCCACTGCACGTAGCGCAGTGCTAACCTAGTGTTATGTGAGGTATAGCCGTCGTCCCAAATCCCGCTGATAATGGTTCACGACCGTGGCCGTCGTGGGGTTCATGCTGGTGGTGCTTTCGGTAGATGGTGGCTTGAGTGGGAGGGGCTGTTTGCACAGTGAGATCCATCATGGCTACCCTTCCGGAAGGAGGATCTTCTGGACGCAGGTTTCTCGGCCGCATTTTTCTTAGTCGTAGATGACGTGGCTGCATCAACAGGTACGACAGCTTCTTGCACGCTGTAGCAATGGGGAATGCTTCTTTTTCGATAACACTCCAATTTGCTCGTGTGTCCGTAAACGTCCCACTCAAGTAAGTCAACAGTCGATGTGACTGCTCTCCGACTTCTTTACTTTTACCCCTCCACTTGCATGACCAACACGGGCCAGTCTTTGTCCGAAGCATCGGTGACCAAGACCATTTAACTTTGTAGACTTGGATTGTGGCGTAGCGGGATCAGCAAAATCTGCGAGATTGCCAATCCAACTTACCAACTGCGCCCAAACACCGACTTACGGAGGGGGTCCCCCGATGATCCGAGATCTGTGTGCTGAACTGGTCACCTTGTGTACCCGTCGGTAGGGCTGAATCTGCTCCTTTGGTGTCTGCTGAAGCGTCTTGAAGACAGAACAGTCTGGGCGAGACGCGGGGATGTGGGTGGAGCAAAAAAAAAATCTTCACTCTGCTCGCAGTAGTTACTCCCAATCCAGTGGTAGTCGACTTGGATCGGGCGGTCTGGATCTGGATCCGGCCGTGGAGTTGCCTTTCGGTTGTTGTTGTTCCTTTCCTATGCCTTCACAGGTTTTCCTTTGCCGTACTTGCCGCTTCCTATAGCGGGTTCCGTAGATGTTGAGAGTTGAGGACGCACCCGGTCAAGTAATAAATCCGGGTGGATCTGGGATATGCACTTGCAAGTAGGTCACTAGAAAGGTTGCAGAACTGGCCAATGTATTATCCCGTCTTAACCAACGATAGATCCACTACCAGAAACGTGCTAAGCCGTGGGGCCAATGTACTTCCCGTTTCCAGGCGAAGGCGAAGGCACTTGCGATGTATAAGGCAAATTCAACAATGATTTAAGCTAAAGTCCAATCCCATCCCAAAGTCCTATCTTCCTATGGATCCCATCATCCCATCTGTACCAACTGACTCAATAGGGCTTGATTACCTTCCTTGCGTGTCGCTTGATTGCCTCCGTCGAGCCATAGCCTTAGATCCACCGCTCACTTCCATCTGAGTCCGAATCAGAATCAGATCTGGATTGGATCGGGGGCCCGATCCAACTCCGTCAGTCTCACGGATGTGTGACATGGTCCGGATCCATCATCCAGCCAATCACTTCCTCTCTCCACTTTCCTGGATCCTGCTTCTCCACAGGATGATGTAATGTAGCTGACGTAGCTAGCAACTCAAGCACCTGGCAAAAAGCCTGGCGCAATTCCGGCGTGAAAGTAATTGAGTCTGCAGACGCAGCTTAGTTCGACCACGGCTTGCGCCATAATACGTCATCTAACCTCGTCTGCAGCGGTTGAACAGCTTCCGCATAGCCCACAATGCTCTCACTGAACCAGTTCGCAGCACAAAGGGACGAACTGTTGCAGGTCTCCTGCAATACTGGGATCCGGCATCTCCCTGAGCGCCCGATCCGCTCGGGGTCGTACCTCACGCCGTCTCTGTCTATCAGCTTGCCACACCACTTCATGCTTGACTGGTAAAGGCTCGACTTCTTAACGTAAAGCTCCAGACCAAACTCGTTCATGAGAGATAAAAACTTCTGCAGCTTCTCCAAGTATTATCTACACTGCTCACATATAGCAGCAATGCATCCACCCACACCATCGACTGCTTAACAACAACTCCTCAAAACACTTCTCCATTGTGGGCTGGAAATGAATTGCCGCGTCACTACAGCTTTGTGCCACGCGGGTAGGATTATACACCTTGCTGTCTGTTATGTATGACAGAAATTCCTGGCACTCCTTAGCCAGAGGAAGCTGCCAAACCCCTTGAGAAAATCGAACAACCCAAAGTGCTTCATTCCTCGAACATGTCCAGTCACCACACGTAGAATAGGCATGGCCCCTGCAGCAGATCTGTTTCGCCATTCATAGCTTGATAATCCCTTGTCTGTCTGTACTCCTCTGATCCTGGCTTCCGCACTGGCAGTGCTGCTCTAGCCGACCTACTCTGCAAGTTTCCTATACCCAGTCCATTCGTTCGAGCTCTGCATTGAACTCACGCAGGAACTCTCGCAAATGCTGCGGATACTGCCTTGGCTTGGACTTCTGGGGGGGGGGGGGGTCGAGGAGGAAGAAGTGACGGATGAGTTGCTACTGGCCAAGATCGACGCCATCATATCTACCGTGAAGACAACACCGTGCCTGACGTTGCTGCTGATTTCAATGCTGTCGTGCGCATGGACTAATAAGAGACTGATGTTCGAGAGAGGGTGGTGCAGTTCTTTCGATCGAGCAGACAGGTGACTGAAGAGCCTGGCTGGTCCGAGTTTTTGTTGATCAAGGAGGAACGTAAGCTCAAAGGCAAGTCGTTGATTGCTTTTATCGAGCCCCAAGCATATCGTGAAGGCATTGTAGCCACCCTAGCATATCAAGCTGTAAGGGCTCTTTTCAAGATCATTGTGGAGAAGGCTTGGAGCACGAGAGAGAGTTTCGGCGTCTCAAGAGAAGCGGGGCATGATCCGAAGTGGAGGACAATGAGAGCTCCTGGGTGGCGACGACTAGACCAAAAAGGAGAGCTGGTTTAAGATATAATCGGGCAAGGCTGCTACTACGTTTCCTCCAAGCCAAAAAAATGCTGAGAGGCCGGCGAAGTCGCCCCACGCCGACAAACAGGGTGCGACCTCTAATAAGCCGGATGGTGGCTGTCTTAAATGCAAAGGCAATCACTGACTAGTGTGCTGCCCAGTGGCTACGCACGACGAAAAGACGACCCTGCTGAGGCAGCCGCCCGAGCGCCGGGACTGCGCCAAAGCTGACTAGCGGAAGATTGCTCAAGATTGAAAATTGAAGCACATTAAAGAGTGCATGGCTTGGCCCAGTTAAGCTGGTACAGATGAATGGCGCACACTCAATATCCTATTGCGCAGATCCTGGGGCTGATACTAATGTCATTAGCAGGGAGCAGTTGATGGTATTAAAGGAGAAAGATGATACGGTGAAATTGGTGATGATGAAGGAGATTCCAGTGAAGACGGCTGGCGGGCATATCTTACGTGCTAGTATGACTGTTGATGTGATGTTACAAATAAAACATAGCAGCAGGTTATGTTCGCCTCACATCGCGTGTTAAGTGTTTGGTGATCGAAGAAGACGAAGAGGGGTTCATTATCGGGAAGGATGTTCTTGCTACGCTTGGGATCGATATCGAGCGTCAATTAGAGCAGCTAGTGGAGAACAAGGATGCAGTAGATGAGGACCCATTATAGCTGGACAGAGATTTCATTGTTGGTGTGAGATGCGATGCGGATGTGAACGCTTCACTTGAAGAACTGATCGATACAGCAGTCGTGAACGGATTCCCTCGCGAGAGGCGAGAGGAGCTACGGACTGCAGTGTTGATGTTCTACATATAGCAGCTGAAACTTGGCGGGGCCCGCCATCATAGGGTGCCACCGCTCCTGATCAAGCTGAGAGACGCCAAGTCACACAACACGCTTAGAAAGCTCTTGCTGAACGCGTACCCACACCGCACGACGACCTGCTCCTCGTAGTCCTTGCGCTTGCGTCCACTTCACCAGCGTTGTGTGCAACGTGCTCTCGATCATAGGAGTGACCGGTGGTAGGAAGAAAGGTACGGCGCCTGCGACGTGGTCTTGTCGGCCTTCGCCGGTGTCTCCATGTTCAACCAGTAACTAAAGTTAACTTTGTGGTGGTTTTACAGTAGAACACCAACGGGGGGAGCTGGCACTCCCTAAGTCGTATGCCGATTCTATTGCAAAACTTATGCTGCCTTCTAGTAATGCTTGTTATGGTTGTTTTTGTATCAAAAGACATGGACTTGATTAGTTTCCTCGCACATTGGTTGGTCATCACCTGCTTAGCCAAATATGTACATCCTACGTCCAGCAGTAGCAGTACGATTGCGACACCATGGCACGCAGGAACGCGCCGGGAAGCGCCGCGCACGACGCAAAAACTTTCAGCCATCCTACGCGAGCTCGTTTGAAAGTCTATGAAATGCATCCTCTTTTCTTTTCCCAATACGTGCTCAGACCTAATGCCAGCGGTAGATCTGATTAGTGATTCCTCTGTAAACAGTAAGGGAAATGGCCAATCTCGGGCCGATTTTTAAGTGCCTGTGTCAACTGCCTACAACTTCGGCTCTACTTATCCGATACTATAAAGCGTGGCAGGTAGAGAAAGCCCTTGATCTCTACTTTTTTCTGGTAATTTTTTGCAGCGCACAGACCAATCAAAAAAGCTGTGAATCTCTTGCTCAAGTTGCTCCTTTGATTTGCGCCGATTGCCAATTAAATGCCGATTTTATACTGGCATAAAATATGAAACCAGAGTCCTCATGTCGGCAAGAAAATTCAGTCGAAGTAGGGGAAGGTTTAGTGCGAATTATTATATTTACGATTTTTCATTAAAACATACAAGATATTAGTTCACTGTACCATCAAAGAAAGTTTCTCCATTTGGCCAAGTCGGCGGAGCTGCTGGCGTGGAGCTGACGCCGGAGCAGAAAGCGCTGACAGAGCAAGGATCGCCGACCCAGTCAACAAAGTTGATAGCGTCGCTGCTGATGGTGGAGCTGGCGGTGCTGCTAGCGCCGGGGGTGACGGCCCCAGTGACGGCGCAGGTGATGGTCAGGGTTCGAAATTTGGGATAAAGTTTTTTTGGGTGTTGGGTTTTTCAAAACACCCGCCCACCCGTTGAATCCGAATGGCGGGTAATTTGGGATTTTAAATAGAAAGAGCACTGAAGACTATTTAAGGGGTCCTAAGAAACGAGGACTTACCTCGACGCGTCTTCACGACAGCCTACATCCTTCATTTCCTAAATGACGTTCATCTGCCCCCGGTGCATGGCCCCCTTTCGACATGCGGCGTCCCTCAGACGTCACATTGGGACTCCCATCTGCTTCGCCCGCCAGTTTCCCGACCTGGTTACAGCCATACGCCGAGCCCTACACAACCAGCGTCGTCGCGAAAGACGCGTAGAACGGCAACAAGAGCCGCAGCGTGTCGCCCAGCCGGATGCTCAGCCGGATGCTCAGCCTGAACATCAGGCATTCACAACGGGGCGCAATCAACTCCAACCACCTCTTTAACAGACGGTTCCTCAAGTCTCAGATCAGGAAGCCGTGACGACCCCGGCCCAGGACCCCCAGCATGTGCAGCACGTGGGCGAACAAGGCCAGCAAGACAACAGGTGCCCTATATGCTGGGGGTCCGTGGTTGAACCAAGGAACTACCGGTGCGGCAACGTACGTGCATTAATGAACACATCGACTTGCGCGGGATTCACGCGACGTGCCCTATGTGCCGTCACCTGGTGTTCCCGGCGCCTTGCAAGAGCACCAGCGTCGCCACGTACCGGCGTATCGACGTGCTCCGCAGACGAAGACTGGTGGTGGCTCAATGACTCAGATGTGTCAGACGACGACCTGAGTGATTATGCGGACGAATAGTTGAAGTAGCAAAATCACATATTGACAATTGATTATTATTATTATTCAATACTTTAAACCAAAACTTTTAGTGCATTGTGTTTTTTTTCCAGACAAATGGTATTTCTGCCCAGATCAGATAAGAATATCAGCGCAAGAACTTCATATTGACACGATGCGGCTCCAGATTTCAGCCCGAGCCCCACGTTGACGGCCTGGTTCTAGCTGGATCCAGGATCCAAGTGGTGGGAATAGCCTGGATATGCACTCAGCGCCCTGAATCAGGATGATCAAGGTGCATCCAGGCTGGACCAAGATCGATGACCCTGAAGTCTGCCAGCCTGGAAGCCCCCCCAGCCAAGATCGAGCCAGTCATGCCGCAAGAGCCGAAGAGATGCCCGACCAAGCTCGTCGACGCCCAAGCTGCCTGACCGAAGCCCGTGTATCCTGAATCGACAATGTGTATCCCGAATGGACAACTCTCCAAGCTCTAAGTTCTGATCATACAAACCCAAGACATTAACGACCGACCAAGCCGACCGCCCAAGATCTGCTCGGCACATGGAACCTTGAACTCCCTCCCAGCTGTGCTGCCGATCCCCGCTGGATCTTTGCGACTCAACCGACGACAACCCATACTGAAACCAAGATAAAACTTCCAAGACTGCATGTTACGATTAGTGATAGCCTACAAGGATAAGACCAAACAGAGTTCGTTTTCCCGAGTACAGCGCAAGTGTCTTCGGTTGGGGGCCAGACTACTCAGAGCTGGTTCAGACTCAAAGGAGCCATGTGTTTTCGGTTCTTCCCCTGCATTCAGGGCACCTCGGCTAACAGCGTAAGGGTCGTGTGTGGAGCTCTCATAGTAAGTATCAGATCAAGTTAAGGCGAGTACCTGAGTTGTCGCACGGCCAGGGTTGATAAGCTTTATTTCATATTCTAGTTGGGGTGTTTGTCCTGTACAGCACTGCCATTTCATATTAAGCTACTCCTAGGGCGGTTGAGGTAGTCACCACCTAGTTGTTGATAGGCTACTGAGTACTGTGTTTTGTATTGATTCGGCTTTTTCCCTCTTGATTGAGGGTGGTGCGTGATTGATTGAGGGTCTTGGACTTGCCAGTGTCCTGGATCTACCCTCTTTGTTGACTGGTGTGTAGGGCCCACCATCCAAGGGCCAACCAAAGAATAAGTGACGGTTGTGTGTATTGTATATTTGTGTATAACTCTGTATAGTTAAGGTTATCTCTCCGGATCCAGGCTGTGGAAGCTGCGTTCTGAAGTGTGCGTTGGCTCTGCTTCCTGGTCCTAGCGATATAATCCTGTTTCCCGCAACCCACGCAGTGCAAGCCTCACGTTCGAAGATAAACGACACCAAAAGGGATTCCACAAGAAACACACGCCACCCGGGACGACACCTAGTGCTCGTCCAGGGTTGTTTCGAGGGGACAAGTCTAGATCCTTTTCGGGCCACTGTACACCTGGGCGGCAACAGGCGTACACCCGCCTCGCCTCAATTTGCGCAGATGCATAGAGCGAGATGGATAGAGTGAGGTTGGTTTCCAGTCTGACTGAGGGTCAGGGTGGTCACCATTTTAGCATGGGGCCAGGGTGGTCCCTGGTTTGGCTGAGGGCCAGGGTGGTCACCGTTATGGCTGAGGGCCAGAGTGGTCCCCGTTTTGACTACACGAAAATCTATGCGATAAAAAATGAAGTCAAACTTTGAAGATGGAATGAGTTCTGTGCATTAAAGCTTAGTAATACTCGAAGTCACTGTCCTGGTTACTGTTGTTGATGGTGTCCTCGTTGTCGGTCTCGACTAAATCTTCAAATAGGTTCAACATGTCCACATCTTCGTGCTGGAGATTCTTCATGTTGAAGAAGATGAACACCAGCTTCTCGACGTTTGCTTCCTTCAAGCAATTGCGAAGTTGCGAGTGCACAAACTTGTGCGCCGAGAAATTCCTTTCGGCGGCTGCACTGGAACATGCTGAGGCGAAAACCGTCGTCACGATGTTTTGCAACAACGGGAAGCCGTGTACGCCGCTCCAAAACTCGCTCACCGTAACACGCTTGTCCAAAACAAGCTTGAATTGGCGAGTTTGTTGCTGGGCAGCTGCTTGAAACTTCAACAGCTCCACCATCGTCGCATCTTCGTTTTCGGGGCCGTTCCACTTGGCAATGAAGTCCACCACGCAGTCCCGTGTTTCTTGGTCCATACCTTGGCCAGCGTAGCGCGGGTCGAGCAGGTACGACACACCATGTGCGTCGCCGTACACGAAGTCGAACCACTGGCGGATCACGTCCGCAATGACCCAAGCTCCGAGATGGGCATCGCCAGCTTATCCAACGTGTTCGGCAGGTCCAGGAACATCCTGTAGACATCCGAGATCGGGCGGCTGTTTCTCTCGAAAACCTTCTGGAAGCGCGAGAGTTCACTCAGCAAGGCAATTGCCTTCTTCAAGTGGGGAACAAAATCCTTACCGCGAACCACGTCGAACGTCATGCGCCGCTTGGCCTTCTGCCTCCTTCGTCTTGGCCTTGAAAAAGTCTCTTCCGCTCATGAACGCATGTAGAATCGCTTCCGACTCCAGCACAGACACGAAACACTTCTCGATTGTTCCCCACCTTGTGTCCGCTGGGAGGACGAGTGCGATCTTGCCTTCCAGCTTCTGCAGCCGGCACAACTCTGCCCACAGCAACTGTTTCTTCTTGAAGAATCGCACCAGCTTCCTGCAGCTCTCTTCAACTTCTGGAGCCAAGGCAGTCTGGCGACGAGGTCCTTCACGATCAGATGGATGAGTGAGTGATACAGCCATGGAAGAACACATGCGGGCAATCCTTCTGCAGCGTTTGCCACACCAACTGATTTGTGCTGGTGTTGTCGGTGACCACCGCAGCAATTGTAGCGAACTTCGACGTCTCAATCACACGCTTAATATCAGCTGCGAGGAAGGTGGCACTATGCGACGTGGAACCGGTATAAATGGAGCCCAGGAAGTAGGTTCCGTCCTCGCATATCAACATGTAGTTGATAACGTTCTTGCCGTTGGTGTCCGTTCAAGCATCTGTGGCAAGAGTGCACTTCTTTCCTGCCACACGATGCACCATGACCAGCTTCAATTCGCCGTACGATCCGCACAGCAAGGAGGTCGCAAGCTCGCGCGGGGTGGGAAGAACAGCTCCAGGGGTGAGGACAGCCATCGCCTTCACCAGCGTTGCGTGATTGACCTTGTTGAAGGCCATACCCGTGGAATAGAACCAAAGCGCCAACTGCCGTTGGAAAGCCGTCAGCTTCGCAGGCTTAGGGCCGGAGGAAAGCACGCTGTGATTGGCTTCGTCACTGGTCGCTTGGAGCACTTGCGCTTGAAGTGATCGCGGACGCGTTCGACATGCGTCTCCCCCAGCAGGTGGATGATGCGCTCGCACTTCTTACACGACACGACATCGTCCGCCACGACTACGTCGTTCCAGACGGGATCCTTGCGTCTTCCGCGCTTAGCAGGGCTCGACAAAGGCTTCGTACTTGCCAGGCAGCGCTTCTTGTGCCCCGAAAACGCGACAGCCGAAGTTGCCTGCGCTTCCATATCGTAGCCGCCATGATCAACTTGAGCCAACTGGATGGGGGACGAGGTGACCAAAGGACGGGGGCCACGGGGCGGAGGTGAAGAGGTGGTGGCCAGGTCGATGGGCGACGAGAAACTCATGGCGAGGGGAGGGGCTTGGGCGGGAGAGGTGATGGAAGTGTTCAAATTGAAAACTGAGCCTACAAAGCCAACGGCTTACCCGCTCCTTCTGTCCTGAGGACTTGAGACGGTATAGTTAAGGCTTGGAGAGAGTGCTAGCATGCAAATTTGCGTGAGAAATGGAGAGTGAGCCACGACAAACCGGGGTTTAAAGTGTTTGACAGGATTTTATTGAGGAAACCGTATCGAGGTCGGTCTCAGCTAGCCCGGTTCCCGGTAAGGAGCCATGACATCATCGGGTCCTAAAAAAAACCAAAACCTAAACCCACCCACCCACGGGTCTTATCAAACCCCCCGGACAAATCTCAAAACATGGGTTTTGCCGAACCCTGGTGATGGTGGTGCTGCTGGCGCCGGAGCTGGCGGAGCTGCTGGCGCCGGAGCTGGCGGAGCTGCTGGCGCCGGAGACGACGGTGCAGGTGACGGCCCCAGTGACGGCACAGGTGCGCCGTCGTAGCCACTGCCGACTGCATCGTCGGGTCCGGCGGGATCTCCATGTTACCAGGTGAAGCTGCGGTTGGCGTGCGCGACTTCGCTCCTCTAGCTAACGGCACATCCCCAGCAGCCTTCAACTTCTCGTGTGGCAGGTGCTGGCCGCCCAGAGAAACACGATTGCGCTTCTTCACGGACTTCTTGGGGCGGCACGGCAAGGCGAGGACCTCGTCCTCAATAACCGCCTTAGCGTGAAGCCAATCAGCCAAGTGAACGTGTCGCGGAGCCCTGTTCTTTTCGTAGACTTATAGACGGGTAGCCATAATCGGCAACGAAACCGGATATATACCGCAGGTGCGGAATCCGATCTTGCTGCTGTCCCATGCCATACTGGCTAGCCGGATTGCCGCCATTTTGTCAATCGAGTAGCGCCCTTCGTCGTATTCCTCGAGCACTTCGTTGATCAAAGTGCAGAGCTTGTCCTTCAACGTGGCGAATACCGCTACATCTAGGGGCTGCAGTAAGTGGGTGGCATTTGGTGGCAGCAACACAAGCAGAGTGTCCAGGCTGTCCGCCGTGTTGATAACGTCCTCGGAGTAGTGAGAGCCACACCCGTCCACCACCAGCAGAAGCGGCCGCTTTACGGTGCTCGGTACGGCTGCGGCGAAGAAGTGTAGCCATCGCTCGAATAGGTACGTATTGATGAAACCCGACGGCGACGTCGTAATTGCCGCTCCTGGGACCTTACATTTCTCGAGTATATCCCATTCAACCGTCTTGTCAGGCAGAATGAATGCTGGAGGCACCACAAAGCCTGAACCACTCGCACACGCAACGATAGACAGGTGGAAGTTGACGGTAGGATCCGTGCACCAAACGTTAGTGGATCCGCGGACTGTCACCACCTTCATACACTTCTTCGTCTGAAAGGCGGTTTCGTCCATGTTAAGCACTCTGGAGCTGTCAAGGTTTAGTTCAACAACACGCTTAGCCAGAGTATTAAACAGGGCAGCCAAATCATCGCTGGTCACGTCGTTACGCTTTAGCGAGAGCGATTGAGCGGATCGCTTGGCGAGCGTCGGATGGCGCTCAAGGAAGCGCCGATACCAACCGTCCCCAACGCTCTGGGCACAAACCAGCAAAGCCACCTCCTTGGCTTTGCGCAAAATCTGCCGTCGGTCGGCGGGGAAGCCAGTTAGCTGCCGCCCAACCACCCAGTCGTAGATATGGCTTTCCCCCTCAGGGGGAAGGAGAGTCTTCGGTCCCGGTCTTGCAGGCTCTAACGACTTTCCTTGCTTGGCCGACGCTACCCATTGAGGATCGTGCGGGGGAGGACCCCTGAAGACCTGGACACGGCGGCTGCGCTGGTGCCGGCTTGGACTTGAGCGACGACGTCTTCCTTCAGCTCAGTGGAGTACTTGGCCATAGGGAACAAACCAAAAGTGGCGCCAAAACAAGTTCCCGCGGTTTGCCTTAGGCCCGTTCTCAACCGGAGCGGACGCATGCGTCCTTGGACAATTTGCGATTTGATTGGCTAGATGGGTGTAGCAAAAACAATACGCGCAACGCATGCGTCAGCCACGCATTAAACGACTTTTGACCAATCACTATACTACCTTGAAGCGTTCCCTCCTGATGATCGAGCTGGCCCCCACATCATTCTTCCTCGCCATGGCACCCGTCCGACTTCGACCTACTACACCCCAGCGCTGCATCCCTACTGTCAGGCAAAGGCGTCAATGGAAAGCTGAAGACGAGCTCTGTGATCTGCTCGTTTGCTTGGTAGCCATCAAGCGTCTACGAGCATCTCGAAGAAAAGATCCAGTAGTTCGAGATCGGATTTCGTGGCGAGTGCATGCTACTACGCTCTTGAGAGAGTCGGCGTTCAAGAAATACTACCGGATGAGCATTGCCACTTTCGAAGAACTATTGTGCATTGTTGGTCCGTATTTGGTAATGGACTACTATCAGTCTCTGCGGCGGTCGCGCGGTGTTCCGCCACTTACGCCTGCTGCGATGCTGCAGTGCGCGCTCTCGTGGCTGGCGGGGGGAAGCTACCACCACATTCGTGTCATCACCGGCGTCAGCATTGCGACCTTTTACCGTGTTGTATATCGCGTCATGTTCGCGATTAACGATGCTGATGAACTTGCGCCCCGCTTTCCGAGGAAACAAGACGAAATGAAGAGTGCAGCGCGCGGATTTCAAGACCGGAGCAATCATGGAGTGATAACAAATTGCATCGGTGTTGTGGATGGATGGCTGTGCCCTATACGTGTGCCTCATCGGGATGAATGTGGGCGCGTGATATCGTTCTTTTCGGGACACTATCAAAAATACGGACTCAACGTACAGGCTTGCGCGGATTCTCTCTCTCGGTTTACAGTCAACTCACCGGGTGGAATGAATGATGTTTATGCTTTTCAGTGTTGGCGACTGAGCAAAGTGCTTCAAGAGGTCGAAGGCGAGTATTTTGTCATCGGTGACAATGCGAATGTCCAGGGCAAGCGAATGATGACTCCATTCAATAAGACACAGCTTGTGGATAGGCCTGACCGCGACAGCTACAACTTCCACATCAGTCAGCTTCGTATTCGTATCGAAATGGCTTTTGGGCTTTTGGTGAACAAATGAAGGATTCTAAAGCACCCGCTACATGTCCGCCTCCGCCACTGCCGCATTATCATCTCGGCATGCATGAGACTACACAACTTCTGTATCACTCAGTGGTGTAGCGGTACGCACAAAGACGACGAGTACGATTCGCTTGCTGACTCCGCTACTCCGACACGCGAACACCGTTCAACGTCCAGCACCACACCAAGTCAGCGAAGCGGCAAAAAAAAGCGAGCTGCGCCAAGTCAACGCCTGGAATGAAGTACAAAACGGAATCAGATGCAATGGACGTGCTTGTTACGCTTGTTGGGAGAATTGCAGCAGCCCGAGAGGCAGAGGTTGCGCTCGGAAGAGAGCAGGAACAAGAGGTATCCGTTCGAATTCGCGCCGAGCACCACAAAATGCTCGACGACATTCGCAAGCGCATTAGTGAGATTGAATGCGAAATGAGCTCCGCCGCTAGCCCGATTAAACTTCGACTGCAGGGAGATTTGAACTTTTTCCTCGAGGAGCGACACCGGAGCATGGATGACGTGCGTTCACTTGGACAAGGCCAGCTAGACTAGTGATTGTATGTCAGCAGTACTAGCGATCAAGGTGTATAGACTTGATGTCTAAACAAGAAACAGTAACATGAATGATCAATGATCATTGTGTGCGTATCCATCAGTAGTAAATATGCAAATAAGAAACGTTGCTATCTACTACTGCCACTTGACATTTGCGCTCGAGCGTTGAGAACAACTTATACTGAATAAAGTGGGCGACCTAGGCATCTTCGTACGGCCAACTCGTTCTCCTTTTCCATTAGCTCCTAGTTTGGCGCGCGTGCCTTCGCGTTCCTATCCACGGCCCATGTGCCAGAGCTGCAGGGAGATCTTGCCACCCTTGGCGTGCACGCGCTGGACAAGCTTCTTTCAGCCGGCCTCCTGCTCGTCCGTGTACACGGCGGGCGCGCCGTACCAGCCAAAGCCCTGCTCCGATACGGCCGTGCCCTCCGTGATGATCAGGCCCGCGCTCGCGCGCTGCTCGTAGTACTGAATGTTGCGCTCCAGCGGCACGTGCGAGACCGGGTCCGAACGCGCGCGCGTGGGGCCGTACACGATGCGTTTCTTGAGCACAAGGCCGTCGGCCAGCTGTAGCGGCGTGAAGAAGTTGTAGTTCTCTATCGCAGCGGACACGGAGGGACGCTGGCTAGTGCTCCTGGTGGTGGCTGCCGGCGACTTGACTGTTCGCACGTGCTTGGGCTTGCCGCTTGTGGGCTGGTACGGCTTGAACGTATGGTAGCACTCGTCGCCCTTGGAGGCGTCCCAGAAGTACTCGGCGTTGATGGCCGAGTTGAGCGGCCAGTCGTTCTGGAAGCGCTCCACCAGGTCCGGGTTCGACAGGTACAGGCGCACGAAGCTGACGAGGTCGGCGGTGCCGCTGCTCACGACGCCCTCGGTCGTGCGGCTCGTGTAGCTGTTGTTGGCCATGACGGAGCCGTTGAAGGCCAGATTGACGTCAACGAACGTGAGTGGGCGGGTACCGGCCGATGCTAAAGCCGTCCTGGATGGTGAGGTACGCAAGCCCGTGCTCCGACAGACGCTCGAACGCGTGCGTGGACATCTCGGTGTTGTCGTCGCTGCCCATGTCACCGAAGACGCCGTTAGGCAACAGTCCCATCGCGACGCAGCTGGATGGAAACGCGATTTTGAGCAGGAAACGGTAGCGGTTGGTGCCATGCACCTCAACACCGGCGAAGCCCGCACACTTGGCGCGGATGATGCACTGGTAGTACCGCTACACAACTTGCCACTCCAAAATCTCGTTCTCCTCGAATTGTTCTGTCACCACAGCAGCTATATCAAGATCTTGATGTATCGTCGAGGAAGTTGTCTCCACAACTGACACGGGGTTTTCCACTTCTGCCGTTCTTTCAGCTTGCTTTCTCTGTATGTTGCGCTGGGGACGATGCAAGTTTTGACTTGCGATAAAGTCGACAAGATTCGAGCGAACCTTCTCATCCAGCAAATATACGCGACTTCCATCATCCAGTTCAACTTCAGATCTGTCATAGGCTACGTGACGTTCGTCATCCCGTTCAACTTCCGATCTATCGTAGTCCAATGACTCATCGTCGTTCCACCTACGCACTTCTCGTACGATACAGTTCAGCACTTCGGGTCGAATCTAAATCAGTATCGCATTGGTTAGCTCGTTGAATACAAGATCAAGCAAATTAAATGGTCATGCATACCTTAGTCCAGTACCACAAGAAGAGGACGTCAACTTTACCGTGGATGAACTTCTTGAATTCCCGATCATGAGTACCTGATAAACGGAAATTAGCTTCATAAATGCTGCAAAATGACGTCAGCTCTTTCCTAAACTCTTCCAGCTTTGCTGCGCTATGGGGAACGATGATGCCAGGCTCGATCCCATCGAAGTCCGCATCACGAAAGATGAGCCCGCTATATTCTTCATCACCCTTCTGATAGCTGGCGGCTACGTCTCGCCAGAACAGCGCCCTTTGAGAGGACTGGGCGTCGTCCAAATCTCCTCGGTCGAAGTTTTTCCCTGACATAACGTGGTATAAACTATCAGACCATTTTATTTGTAAGGACCAAGAATAAAATGTACTCACCCGTCGTTTCAATGAGCCTCATGAACATGCTCTTGGACAGCTACACGTTGGCTAGGCGGAACATGCTGTGCTTCATCCGACGAGTGTTTCCGGAAGCCACTGTCGATGCCGCTGAAGCTTCTTCACCCTTATTCACAAGCGCATCGTAGTGGCGAAGGCATTTGATCCGGGCGGCCTTGTTTGTTCGGGTGTTGAGGTTAATTTCGCGTAGAGTACATTCCTTTCGAATGAGATCTTGTGACATCTTCTCGTACGGCTTCTAAGAGTAATGGCCGTCCATAATGGTGCCGCTACGAGTAGGAGGGTCCGTGGCAGCACTTGGAGTCGCATCGAGGCGCCCACGTGCCGTTTGTGGATCTCTTGGCCCGTGATACGCAGTCGTGGCCGTCTGAGGCTGTACACTTTCGACGACGTAAGCTGGCTGAGCTGGCAGGATAAGTTGGTCACCTCGGGCGATAGGAGGCGTGCTGTAGTTTGGTAGAAGCTACTGTGGAGGCGGTGCAGCCCATGAGAGCTCTGACGTGAGATTACGCGCCACTTGGGTCTGGTGCGCTGGGTCGTCTTCGGTTTCCATTGCTGGGGGAGCTTTACTTGACAGTATGAGTCGAATGGCTCACACAGAACACCAACACTATATTACTATATTTGATTGGACAATATTTATCAAACGCTTGGCCAATCAATACAATTCAGTTTCATTCTCAACCGAGCACTCGGGGTAGGGTACGCATGCAACGCATGCATCGTGTTCTAGGGCTCCGCGAAGGGATAAACCCCTGTATTAGTTTTTTTTTTAACGATCCACGGTCATCTCCTGCGCCTGCTTCGCAGCCGCAGCATCTGCCCGGTAATTTACCTCAACGGCGAAGACGCAAGACACGACTTGGCAGTAATTATACACAGTAATGAAACGAACCTTGCTCGAGATCTGCTTGTAGCTTGTAGAGAAATGAAAAATAAATGCTTCGTTGTATGCTACCTACAGTAGTCCATCCGCTTTAATCATTCACTTTACTTCACTCCATCCGATTCGATATATGTTATTGACTCATACCGGTTCAAACTGCCCACGCATATAAACCTTTTGGAGGGCCCAGTGCGGCACCGGGGTCATACCGGTTTCAGGAAATGTACCAGTTGGGGTAATCTTTTGACTTGACGTACCGCGGATATAATCCGATTTGGTCTGCGATAGCAGCACTAACGTCCCAGTAAAACGCTCCGGTTGAGAACATGCCTTGATTACAGGTTTCGTACTTAATTCGATTTGTCCAATCAAAGTTTGTAATTCTACAATCTTGACTAGGACTGGCCAAAATTGAAATCGGCCCTGAATTGGTGGATTTTTGCCGCAGAATCTTTTCTGACGTTTTCCTCATCTTTACCAAAAATTTGCAATCTTATATGGCTACATCTGCTTCGACTTCAGACTCACACATCTGAAGTCACAACTGAAGTGGCCAAGAATGGCGCCGCAGCAGGACAAGGAGACCACTGAACATCGGCAGCAGGCCGACCCTGCGTGGTGGTGGCGTAGCGCCTGCGGTCGCCCGGATGCCACGCGTGCCGTCACCTGCAACGAGACGGAGCTGCTGAGCGCTGCCGTTCTCTGCGCCGCGCTGTCTGCGACTAGAGCAACGCCGTCCTCCTCTGACGCGCTGGCTAACGCCCGTGCCGCGCGTGAGCTGGAGCTGCATGTGCGCAAGTCGCCGCTGCCGCACAGCCTGCAGCTGCCGGTGCTGGAGTTCACGACCGACTACGTGCTTGTGGAGTCAGAGGGAGCTGTCATCTGCGCCATGCGAGCCACGAGCCCCAGCGATATTGTACAGGCCGTGGTCGGCTCGGCCGTGCCGCTCTCGCAGCCGTACGTGCACCGATTCGGAGGGTCTCGCGTGCACGCGCCGTTCTGGAAGCGCGCCCAGCGACTGGACCTGGTGAAGCTCTATGGACGAGCACAGCGAGCGGATAAGGTTCTGCTGCTCTGTGGACATTCTATTGGCGGCAGTATCGCCAAGCTCGCGTTCTGCGAGCTGGTGTTCAATGGCCTACCGGAGGGTGTGCGAGCGATTCTGGAAAAGATCGATAAGGAGCAACCGAAAGCCGACAGCAAGGAGCACAGCCACAAGGAAAGGCATTTCCGGAAGCACAAGAAAGAAAAGAACGAGCCCACCGGCTGGATGAAGAAAGTCGGGAATAATGATCGCGATAGTGCGCTCCAAAACCTTCCGATGGTCATGGCGATCGGCTTCGGCGCACCGTATGCTGGCAACGATGGTTTGGCAGCATTCTTGGAGCCCTTAGGCATGGGTGACCGCGTGGTGAACTTCGTTAACGAATTCGACTGCATTCCTGGAATTTTGAATATCGCGCACTCGGCTGCTATGCTCGCCAAAACAACAGAGCGACTGGTGACTATCGCAAAGGCAACAAAAGCGCTGCTCAACCTGCTACCAGCACCAATGCAGCAGCGCCTTGTTGACATGGCGAAAGATGCTGGTACTGCGGCTGTTCCTAGCGCCACGTCGGCGTATTTGTCGATGAGCATCACCATGCTTCAGAAATCATTTGACAAGCTTCGCGAGTTCAACGTTGTGAAGACGACGGACTATCGGTACGCTCCGTGCGGAAGTTGTGTCATGATGTCGAAGGAAAGCGCGGAATTCAATATTTTCTCGGAGCCGATGCAGATTCGAAAAGCTCTAGGCGAGGATGGAGAAGAACCCACGACTGGACTCACTGGAAACTCCATTTTGCAGCACATGATGAGTGCTTATGTTGACGCTATCGCGCGCCGATCTAGGTCAATCCAGATCAATGCGACAATGAACCATTACGAGCGCCTGGGGGTTGCTCGAAATGCAAGTGACCGGGAAATTCGCAGATCGTACAGATCTCTAGCGTTGCGGTGGCACCCAGACCGGGCTAGACACGGATCGCTCACAGATCAGCAAAAGGAAGTGGCGGAAGATATTTTCAAGCTACTGGCCGAGTCTTACGAAGTGCTTTCGAACAAAGAGAGTCGCCATGCCTATGATGCGTACTTGAACCGACCGCCCAGTCGGAGAGAAGAGTTCATGCAGTATGGCACGGTGGACGGCATAACTCTAGACGAGGCGATTTCCACGTTCAAAGATGCCGTGGACAATATTTCGAGTACATTGCACCGCGTGACGGATCGTTTCAGCTCGTCAAGTTCCACCACGGTTGGACATCCACTTCAACACAATGGTGGCAAGCCACAAGCATCGCCTGCTGCATCCAGTGGGCACACCGTGCCCTCAGGTGGAGGACAACCATCAACTACAAGCCTCCCAGCTAACAATGCCCCAAGTGGAGTTTCCGATTCTACGGGCTCGACTCAACATGTATCTAGCACTGGCGTCGCAACAACCACAGCTGCAGCTCCTGCGTCGACAGCAGGGGTTTCTACTTCTACTTCTTCGGAGACTTCTGCGGCTCTGGGGAACACTGGGAATAGTGTGGTAGGCAATAATGTTGAAAGCCCCACTCAAGCAATTGACACCCGCAGCAGCAGTGGCAGTATCAGTTCCAAGTCGACAAGCACAAGTTTGAAGACCGTCTCAGTTGTTGGGGGTGCCGTGGCAGTTGCAGCTAGTGTGGCGATAATCGTGAGCGCTTGGTCACAGTTTTCTGAAGCTTCTCGAAAGAAACGGCAGGCTGCAGCTGTGCGTGACATGTCGGGTGATTGCTTGGTGCTGCTTTTGGAAGATCGCAAGACCGTTCAACAGCGTCAGATCCGAACACCCAGCATTGAAGCGCTACAGCAATCCAAGGCCCGACAGATCAAGGCGTTTGCCATTGCTACCTCAGCCCATTGCGGGAAGAATGAGCCTGGTGATAGCGGGCTGTATCTTACCAAAGAGGCCCAACAAGCCATTGTTGAGTTGACTCGTGAAGATCAGGAGCAAGATCAAGATGACAAGCTTATTGAAGTGTTTTTCGACTGCTCTGCTGAAGACGAAGACGCGGCAGTTGAGGCGATAGCCGAAGAAGAATTCTTCGATTGCGTGGAGCTAACCCAGGAAGTGGAGCAGAACTTCGCGAAGAAACACGAAAAACTGTTTCATCCGCACGGAAAGGCGAAGATTCGGGTGATGTTCCCGCGAGGTTCAAAGGTAAACACTCCATTCGGCCTTGGGGTAGTCGAGGATTGGCGAGAAGACACTGCAGTAGCAGCAATTCGTTTCGACAACGACTCTCTTCGCTATGTTGATAAGAAGGAAATCACTCGCGGTGCATCGATGGCTCTCGAGTTGGCGAATGCTATTGTAGAGGAAAGTCGAGCGCAATTAGCAGAACGCGTGATCACAAATTATGGCCTGGAGGAAAGTAAAACCGGAGACCAGATCACGAATGTGGCGCTGGCTGGTGCTGAGGGAGCTGTAGATAGCGGGCTTCGTGCAGCCGGCGGGCTGGCTCTAGCCAACGGTGTTGCAAGATCCGGAACTGCTCTCGGCGGCATGGTAGCAGCTCCTTTAGCTGTGGCGTCCATCCTTGTCGACATCGGAAAAGAATTTTACGACTACCGCAAGAAACACACCGAGCGAAAGGAGCTTGGGGTATTGTCATCGACAAGTGAGCGGCTGATGCGACGGGATTTTCGCTTGAAGACTGGGGAGGTAGTTGTAAGCCGCACAACGGCTGCAGCAGGTGCCGGACTAGGTGCGTACGGGGTGGCGTCTGCGATGACACTATGGGCAGCTGCCGGTGTTGCCACGGGGCCAATTGGAATAGTGGCGGCGACAAGTGCAGCCGTTGTAGGTGGCGTTGCAGGCTACTTCGGTGGTGCCAAGGTGTATTCGTTGTCAACTGCTTCGTACTTCAAGAGCCAGAAGCACGCAAAGGAGCATATCGACCGGCTTGAGCTGGGTGCACGTGTGTTGTTTGAGGAGCACGACCCCGCAGGAACTGGAGAGATCTCCAAGGAAGCCTGTCTCTCCATCATGGAAAAGCTGTACGAAATATCGGGAGACACTTCAGACTTCGCGTACGAAGCTTCCGTTGAAGCGATAAAGGATCCCAGTTTTGAAGGACCGGTGACGTGGCGTATGTTTTGGATCTGGGTGAGCACGGAGGCAGCTCGATCCCTAAAAAGTCTCGAAAGTCAGGCATCTAACCCGACTCACCACGGCGGATCTGAAGGGGAAAGGAAGCGCGATAAAGTCATTCGAAAACTTCGGGAAGCGAAACAAAAGCATCACGACAAGCACCACCCCAGCGACAAGGACGATGCGAATACCAGCCCGAAGGGGGCGAATTTCGAAGAGGTGGAGAAAGATATTCACGCCCGAGCTGCCTTTGTTCCTATCCTCCCTGGCGAAGAAGACAACCTTGATGAAGTGAAGGCGACGGTCGAGGCTCTCGTCCATAGTCGTCACCTGACGGCGGGCCAGGCATTTTCGCTGTGCTCCCAGCTGGACTCGAGCGACCCTGTCGAGCAAGTATCAGCTCGAGAGATCATCGCAGCTCTTCAGGCGGAGCTTGCTGACGCGGAGCCTGAATCTGAAAGCTCCGACAACTACGAAGAGCTGTCTCCTGTTGCCAAGAGCAACGTGAAGACGGAGGATGAAAGCGCCACAGGGAATCCAGCTCCGCTCTCAGTCACAGTCAAGGGTACGCAGGTTATGTCGTCGCAGTCGGCAACCTTGACAAAGTTGCCACCGTTAGCACCTCCCTCTGGTGATCAGAAGAAGAAAGGATCGAAGCCACCGCAGGTCGACCCGCGACTGGATGTCATGTGCTCTCTTATGTCCACCGACGGTCTCAAGAAGTTCCTGGAGACGCAGTACATCGTTCCTGAAGACGAAGCGATGACACACCATGAGGACTTGCATTGTCTTGCGCTCGCTTCAGCAGTGCCACCGGCTTCGTCAAGCAATGACCGAGAGAAGAAGGCTTCACAGTAAAAAAGGTATGCATCACGTAGCATGGAATGCACAAGTATCGTGTCCCGTATAATAATTCCCATAAAGAAAAATCGATGATTGGAGCAAGTTCGCAGTGTTTTGATTTTGGCGGGAACGCCCAATAGTGAAAGCGCGGTCCGATGGCGTCGTCCCAGTCCTTCTCGCAGACCTTCGGGGGCGTCGGAGCTGGTGCCGATGCGGCCACCAGCTCGGGCGGCGTCGGCATGTCCAACTACGCTGAGGAGAAAGGTGAGATCGCGCTCTGATCGCCCCAAAACTCACCGTAAATCCTCTAACCCAAAGGCGTCTCTTTGGCCACTAATGACAGTAAGATGCGCCGAGTTCCTGATGAACTTCACGTCGAACCTGGACGACCCGGCGTTGGGCCCCAAGTACGCGCGCATGATGGTGCGAATACGCTGTGGAATCTCTCTGTAGAAGCTGCTTTCACGTGATGTAACCCATTTGTTCCGTTCGTCGCAGCAAGAGGTGGCGAACCGCGAGCGCACATCCATCCCCATTTCCTTGGACGACGTGCAGATTGTGAGTTGCCTTACCACTACCACGCTACTCCAATACGCCCTTGTGATGGTGGTTAACATTAATTAAATGTCTGACAGTTCGAGAAGGACGACCCGGCGTTTGTGACGCGCATCGTGCGCAATGCTCGTCGATACATCTCGCTCTTCTCGGACGCAGTGGACGAGAACCTGCCGCCGCCTACGAGGGACATCTCCGACTCTCAAGACGTGCTGGATGTGCTGCGGATGTCGCGTGCCCAGGAGCTGGCACAGCAGCGGCAGACGGAGGACGGCCAGGCTGACGGACAAACGCCAGCCAATGCCAATGCTGCCAGCATCTTTCCGCCGGCGTTGATGCGGCGCTTTGAAGTGCATTTGGTGCCTGGTGTCAAGCTGAAAGCGGTGCCGATCCGAGAGGTGAAGGCCGCGAAAGTCGGTGCGCTCGTCCGCATTAAGGGCATGGTGACGCGCGTATCTACTGTGAAGCCGCTATTGACAGTGGCGACATACACGTGCGAGGCGTGTGCGTATGAAGTGTACCAGGAAGTGAAGGCGCGGCAGTTCAACCCGCTGACACAGTGCCCGAGTGAGCGCTGTCAGACCAACAAGGCGCAGGGTCGTTTGATCATGCAAACAAAGGCCTCCAAGTTCGACAAGTACCAGGAGGTCAAGTTCCAGGAGCTGCCGGATCAAGTACCGATGGGACATATTCCGCGCTCGCTGACTGTGTACCTGCGGGGCGAGCTCACGCGCACGTGTGAACCCGGCGCGCTGGTTACGATATGTGGTGTTTTCTTGCCCCTGCCGTACTCGGCGCAACGACAAATGCAGATGGGACTTGTCACGGAGACGTACCTCGAGGCGACTGATGTGGTGAACCATAAGAAGCGGTACTCTGCTATGGAGTCGTCTGAAGCAATGGAGAGCGCCGTGCTGCGGTTACAGGAAGGCGATGAAAATGTGTACGAAGTGCTGTCGCAGTCACTGGCACCGGAAATTTATGGTCATGAAGACGTGAAGAAAGCTCTGTTGTTACTGCTCATCGGTGGTGTTACCAAGCGCATGGATGAGGGTATGAAGCTGCGTGGTGATATCAACGTGTTGCTGATGGGAGATCCTGGTGTGGCGAAGTCGCAGTTGCTGAAACATATTTCGACAGTGGCTCCGCGAGGTGTGTACACTACTGGTAAAGGTAGTTCCGGTGTCGGTTTGACCGCTGCGGTTGTGCGCGACGCTACAACGAAGGAGATGACTCTGGAGGGAGGTGCGCTAGTGCTGGCAGATATGGGTATCTGCTGTATTGATGAGTTCGATAAGATGGAGGAGGGCGATCGTACGGCTATCCACGAAGTCATGGAGCAGCAAACTGTGAGTATTGCTAAGGCAGGCATTACGACGACACTCAATGCGCGCACGTCTGTACTTGCAGCTGCAAACCCCATCTTCGGTCGCTACAACAAGAAGCTCAGCGCCTCGCAAAACATCAACCTGCCCAACGCGCTACTGTCCCGTTTCGACCTCCTTTTCCTCTTGCTGGACATCGCCAACTACGAAAAGGACGAGGCGCTTGCACGCCACGTCACTTTCGTTCACCGCCATTGCCGCAACCCGGACATGAAGTTCGAGCCCGTGCGCCCAGAAGTGCTGCGGTATTTTATCGCCATCGCCAAGCAGTACCAGCCCAGCATCCCCGAGCACCTCTGCGGCTATATCGTCGAGGCCTACGTCACTCTGCGGCAGCAGGATGCCAATGAGCATGCCCGTGAGCGACAGAAGCAGCAGTTCCGTCAGCAGCAGTATGGCGACGGAGGGGCCAACGATGCACAGACTGCTATGACGGCTCGCCAGTTGCTGAGTATTTTGCGTCTCTCTCAGGCACTCGCCCGACTGCGCTTCTCCACGGAAGTGATCCACCAGGATGTCGACGAGGCTATCCGACTAGTATATGTGTCCAAGGCGTCGCTGACAGAGCAGGACGATGCCAACGGTGGCGGCAACAGTGGAAAGGCAGGTACAGCAAACAACGGCGGCCGTGGTAGGTCTACGGATGCCACGTCCAAGATTTTCCGCCTGCTCCTCGAGTTTGCCAACGATCGCAACCTAAAGGTTCTCGCTATGAGCGACTTGGAGCCTGTGGTACTGCGTAAGGGTTTCACGTCTCAACAGCTCCACGCGTGTATCGCGTTTTACCAAGACTTGGAGATCATGCAGTTGTCGAGCAACGGCACTCGTCTCACTCTCATCCAGTAGTAGATACCAATTGCTCATGAAGTGGACGACACGCCAACGCCTGATAACAAGTTCATATCTCTTCAAAGTTGCCGGAGAGCTGTTTCCAGTTGCCAGGATGTGCTGTCTGATGGACTGAAGTACCTCGAGACGCAGTACATGTATATACAGATGATAGTACGCCGGCTTCGACAAGTTGAAACTGAGAGAAAGAAGTATCCATCAGGTAGCGTCGATCAGGAAAATATATTAACGATAAGGGAGTTTATACGAGTTGTGGAGTGATCTCCCACACCTCGATGTCTGCTGCTACGTAGTGGGGATGGTATTCCGCCGTGTCGATCACCCGCAGAGAGAACTTCCGCGCCTGCATGAGCTGCCAGAATCTGTCCTTGGGCTGAAAATGCTGGTAGTGGCGATGCTCATACGAAATGAGGATGCGGGTGCGAGGCCCACTGAGCGTGACCAGAGCCTCCACGAGCGGCTCGATCGGGTACAGCCGAGGTAGAATGCAGTCCGACACCAAGATGAGGTCTGGGTAGGACTCCTCGGGCGACGGGATGAGGCTCGCCGAAGGAGGCTGCCCCCACTCGTACTCCTCGACATCCACCACCATGTGGTTGTCGATGACGCCGTCCTGCTGCGCCAGCTCGGCGTTCTCCCGCATAATGAAGCGGACGTTGCCCATGTCGGTCAGCACCACTCTCCCAGCTCGAAGCAGCATCGCGGCGGCAATGCCCACCGCGCCCGTGCCGCTCCCAAGCTCCAGCACGAACGGGTTGTCCGAGTCTACCAGCGCTCTTGGATCGCGAGCTGCTCGTTGCTCCAGATGCTTCAAGAGCACACAGGCCGCAGGCCACACCGTGAGGCCCGTGCCGAACCCGTTGAGCTCCCCCTGCAGCACCTGCTTGATGCGCAGCGGCCGGCCGCCCACGGTGGCCTGGAAATACGACGCCATGGAGTAGGCGTCGCGCCACGCCAGCGTCTGCCAAGCCGCCACGCCCGCAGTCTCGTTGCCATGGTCACAGCGCTCTGGCAGCGTAGCGCGCCGCACCTCCCCGCCCGCTTGAAGATCTTTTGGGCCTTTACCAGCGGAATCTGAGACCGGTTTGCTCTGCGCCTGGTGCTGCTGCTGGACCTTGTGCTGCACGCCCTCTCGCAGCAGCTGCATGAACTTCTTCCTGTCCTCGATGGCGGCCATCGCGCAGTGTGGGGACCGCCTGACAGGGCCCGTTACTCGAGCGAGCGAGCAAGCAAGGTGTCGTCGATTGAACTTTTGGCGAGCAGAAAATGGGGGTCTAGATATCATGTGGTGTGGTCGTTGTACCGTATTACAGGGTTAACAGTCTAAGAGCTCGGCGACGGACTACGTCGGTCGATGGTTTGATGCCTCACGTGGCTTGCGCTACGAAGACTCGGCGTCCGAGTCGTCGCTCGATTGCTGCAGGAAGGACGAGAGGCGCACGGGCGAGGGTGACGCGTCCCGGTCTTTCCTGCGAGACGACTTCTTGCTCTTCTTGGAGCGCTTGTGTCGTCGAGAGCGGTCGTCGTCCGAGTCCGAATCGCTGTCGTCCGAGTCTGAGGACCTCCTTCTGCGCTTGTGACTCTTCCTGCTCGTCCAACCGCAATGTCAGAAGCTGCATAGCAAATCGACGACACTGTCGCTCAAACAAACCACGCACCTCTTCTTGCGGCTCTTGTGTCTGGAGCGTCGACGCTCGTCCTCGCTGTTCGAATCTTCTGACGACGAAGAGCGGGAGCGCTTCTTATGCTTTTTCTTCCTCTTCTTAGAGCTGCTACCACCCGCCAGTCGCTGCATTAAAATATACAACAAGAAGAACCTCAACATTCATCAGAAAACCTTGCCACACTACGACCACAACATTATCCTGGGTACCCACCCACCTTCTCCCTGGCAGCATCCAACTTCTTCCGATACTCCTTCATCTCCTTCTCTCCGTTGTCGTTGAGGTCCAGTTTGTCTGCGTTCTCCTTCTTGTACTGCTCCCACGTAGGTCGGTTCGGGTCGCTGATGCGGTCGGCGATGGTGCGCTCCTCCTTGCCCGTCACCATGCGCATGAAGGCGTCCATGGTCGCGGACTGCGGGGCGGCCACTTTACCTGCCGCATTTTTGGGCTTCTCCACCGGTGGTGGCTGTAATTCCCCCGTAGACACAGCACAACGCAACACACTAGCTTAGCAACAATCCGCAGCCGCGCAACACTCACTGGAAGGAGTTCATTGAGGTCCGTACCGCTGCAGACGCCGCTCGGATGGCGCGCTGCCGCTCGAAGCGGTTGTCGTCGATCTGCCGGTCGCGCACCTGGTTGTAGTCCACGCCCGAGGACCGCTTGAGCCCGTACTCGTCGGTGCCGTGCGACCTGCCGGGCGCCATGCTTGTCTGCCTTATCAAAGGCTGGGGCAGGGACAGTGAATGGCTACATTGATATTCCTATCTTTCAGCATAGTATGCAACTACATAGGATAATTGGTGGCCAGATCCCCCATTTTGGATCTCTCTCAAGAAGACGCTCGAAGCACCATGGTGAGCGTCCGGATGCCTCTGCTCCCAAGCTGTCTGTGCGCATAGAGCTGATGTTTCGTGCTGTGTATGCGTGGCTGACCCCCTGCCAGAACTCTGCCAGCCTCCCCCTCGTGCGCGCGCCCCCTGACGCCCTGCGCTTCGGCTTCTACAGCGCCAGCGAGGACGTGCGACCGGTGCACGAGGTGCAGCGTCTGCAGACCACGGTACGCTCCGATCCTCGAGCTGCTGTACGTTAATGACGGGCTAGACATTGATGGTGGGGCGCTTTGATTGCAGCACCGCCAGTCCAACTGGGAGCTCAAGATGGCGACGGTGGAGCAGGTCTACGGCAAGGCGGCGGCCATGCGTCTGCGCACGGAGAAGGCGGTGCTCGAGCAGTTTACGGTGAGCAGCCAGTGTGCTTGAAGGTGCTGTAGCTATGACAGATAACTAACGGTCGGATATATTGCTGTCTGTGCTGTGGCTATAGCGTCTCCCTGGTCTGCCGAGCTCGCACGCGGGCGTGGACACGCTGACGGGCGAGGACGAACAGATTGACTTCACGGACTTCCTTAACGGTGCGTACAGGCGGGGCTCTATATTTGCAGTAATATGGACGGCGTGGAGTCTGATGTGTGTCATGCTGCAGACCCGAACGAGCACCCCGAGAACACGTTCCGTGTGCACGAGGCGATGGAAGTGAAGCTCTCTATTTTCTAAGCAACCACAACAGCATGACGCAGACACTAGCAGGAAAAATCAAAGGCGCCGCGTTTTCTACATCGGAATCACAGGCCCATGGCGCTCGTGTGAACAAGACAAGAGACGGCTAAATGCTTACGTCCATCGCGGAGCTAGCAGAGCCGACATCTGATCAATAACACGAAGACGACATTGATGATGTGCTAAATCTGTATTTGTCTTTATCCATTTGGGTGTGATACTCTGGGGTCTTTGACCTATCTCTTTAAAGCACTCGACGGTGTTGACGCCTTGGCTCGCGTCGTTAGTGCAGGTCTTCGTCGTTTCACACTATGCTCTATCTATCGCTGCAAGAAATGTTGCAGACCCTCCCTCCGTCAAGGATAGCATTACCAGTCCTCTTAGTATTGTGAGGTTGTCGTGTTATAGCGTTCATTTATCTGTGTTTCGTGTTATCACGGCGACGAGTTTATCTCTGTTTGGTGTCGAAGCGACTGAGACTGATGGCGAAGGCCTGGAGCATGGACAGCGGGTACTGGAAGTCCATGTTGAAGCAGTCCTTGCCCACTTTACCCAGCTGCAGCAGCACGTACTCTTGCGGCAGCGACACGGTGCCTTGGTCTTCGTACACGAAATCGGGATACGCCTTGCGGTATTGGTCGCGCATTTGCTCGTTGGTCGGCTCGGAGTGGACCAGCTGGAAGTTCTTGACGGAGACACACGTCGCACGGCTGCGGAAGTCCACGATACAGGACGAGAGAGGGTCGTACTTGGTCTCGCGCTTGTGAAGGAAGACGAAGTTGGAGGCGTCCATGACGTTTTGCCCGCCCTGCAGCATACACACTCGATTAGACTTTGAATGCCTTCACGCTATGAGGATTTTGATCACGTACAGCTGCCGTGATAGTGCGGACGTGCTCTTCCATCATCTGATCACGAGAAAGAGGCCGCCATTCGAGGTAGCCTTGCCCATTTTCAAGTATAGATGGGATCACTACCTCCATCTTCCGTGGATATGGCTGCATGGTACGGCATATCAAACAATTAGATCATCAATTCTTCACTTCCCAGATAGCACCATAGCAGACAGCAAACCTTCTTCGAGTTATGGTAACGAATCACTGCGAGCTCAGCTCGGATGCTTTGTCTGAGCTCGTCATCGACTTCGCAATCCGAATCCAAGTCCTCCGGGTTGTCGCCTTGATCGTACAGGCAGTACTCCATCATGCTGGTGGACGACCGTAGTTTGCCGATGTACTGGTGGCTCCGCATCATTCGTGAGAGGAACAAGTCGTCTCTGTATGGAATTGGCAGCAGCGAGTCAACACCTTTTTCACTTCGTAAGCTCATCAACAACATTGCTCTCACCTGTTCATGGAGATGACATAGTGCGACGTGATGCGGCTGGTAGCTTTCTTCCTCGCGTACATTATCGGACGGCCACTGGAGCTGTTCACCTCGAGCAGGAGAGTGTAGATGGGAGCAAGCTTGTTCGGGCCGCTGTCGTTTCTCTCGATAAAACACTTGACAATTTGACCGCGTCCACATTCTAGCGGCCGCTTCACGAACTCCAACAAATGATCCGGAATGTAAGGCACGCTCTTGGGATTGAAGAACTGCGACAAGGTAGAATAACGATGGTTATAAACACAGGAAAATATCGTTTGAGAAGGACGTGAGGTGCCTGCGTACCTGAGCTTGAATCTTCTTGGGCTCGTCCTGCTTGCTACGTCGTCTGTCCTTGCGTTTTTCACGCGATCTTTCCCGGTCCCGGTCTCGATCGCGGTCTCTGTCTCTGCTTTCCCTGCCTTCTCGACTGCTTTGCTCGTTAGTGCTTTCATCGCTGTTGGTGCTGCCCTTGTCCTTCTTGTCATTAAAAGAGGAAGAGCGGGAGTCATCACGTTCGCGGTCGCGTTCGTGGTCGCGTTCGTGGTCGCGTTCGTAGTCACGTTCACGATCACTACCAGCAGTCTCGTCCCCGCGAGGAGAGCCCCGAGATTCGCGCTTCATCTTCCGCAGCTCATCGTAGATATCTTCGTGGGCTGCATTTCTCCGTAGGATACCCTCTCCATCCTCCTTCTCTTCGTCAAAGTTGTTGTCCTTGTGTTCACTCCTGATATCACCTTGAGAAGAAGAAGAGGAACGACTGGCGCTTGGCTTAGACGGACCGTGCTTACTTTCGATGACGATCTCGGGATCATCTTCATGTTCGACGGCCTTCTCTTCCCGTTCATCTTTATCCTTGGCATCAGCTTTGCCATCCTCTAGGAACGGGATCTCTTCCACGTCTTCAAACGAGTCGTCGATGTTGGCGATAGGCCGCGACGATTTCGCGTTGGCGCTTACATCTGGCTTGGCCTCCGCTTCGGTGCTCTTGGTTTCACGCTTCTTGACAACGATAACCTCCTCCTCCGGTACATTGAGTCTCGACTGGGTGCTGAATTGCGCCGCCATGCCCATTTTTGTCGTGAAAACGCCAGGATTCTCCTTCTCCTTCGCAGAAGGCGCACTCAAACGGCGAGATGGCTCACCTTCGTCTTCGGAGCCTCGACTACGAGCCGATAACGCTGCATTTGCGTCATTCAGCACTTCCATGGTGCTTTTCATCAGAGGAGGCTTCACAACCGGCGTTTTGTCTGCAGGTGGGGCCTTTGCCGGAGCTGTAGCAGGAGGACGCTGCGTTTGTGGCACAGGTTTCGGAGGTTTGCCCGATGGAACAGCGTTAGTCTTGACTGGAGCTGTCGAACTAGCCGCCACTACAGGCGAGTCATCCCCTAGAATGTCGACTGGAGCTGCTGCCGCCGCTCTTGGTGTGGGTTTTGCATCTCCCGGTGGTCCTCTCGCTGATGTTGGCGGTGTACGCTTTGCGTCCGGCTTGGGCTTTGGCGGACCTGCAGGCGCCGCTTTCGCGTCACCTTTGCTCTCACCCTCACCCGTGCGCGGGGTGATCGGAGGTTTTACTGCTGCTGCTTTAGGCGGGGCAGTCGACGGCGGGGCTCCAGTTGGTTGTGGTTTCGCCGGAGGTGCTGAGGATGGCGGACCCATTGAAGGAGTTGCTGCCGTCGGTGGTGCCGACGATGGAGGGCCCATTGCTTTCGCTTGGCCATTTGGTGGGGGTCCTGCCTTGGCTTGTGCTGCACCCGGTGGAGCCGCGGACGGAGGTCGAGCAGCTCCTCGTATCTTCGCGACAGAAGCACTCGGGGCTCCTGCGCCTGGAGGAGGACCATTTGGCGGCGGCAATGAGGATTTGGAGCGGAATGCCGCTGCTGCCGAGCCTCCAGCCTTTGGCGGAGGGTTTGAAGGTGGCGGTAGCGCCTTCTTCTTCTTGGTCGGATCTGCACTTGGTCCGCCCTGGTTGAGGAGAACGTAGACTTAGTAAGTGGTTCGAACTCGGTTCAGATTCTTTTGAGTATTCGCGAACCTTGGCATCTGCGTTGGCGTTTGGTGGTGGAGCCATCTTAGGTGGCGCCTTCACGACCCGAGGCCTGCAGGTTCATGACACCCTTTAGATACTAGTGGAATCACCAATGTACGCCCAGTTCCTTACGTCGTGGAGGCATCCTTGCTCTCGTCCGATCTCTTCTCGTCGGCCATAACCTGTTTTCACTCTCAAGCTGCTAGGTAGAGCACCGCACAACAGTGGGGCGCGCCCCTCAATTTACTCACAGAAACGGACACCATGGACAACCGAAACTGCTTCGCGAGAACTATTTGCAGCAGCGCTGGCGGTGATGTATTCTCCGTCATGTTCATCAAGATTACATAAGTTAGACGGTAGAATGTTTAGCCTTTCATTACAACACAGCAGTGAACTTACACAACCGACCCGATCTGGTGTAGTGTTCTGCATATTTCCATTGGACTTGATACATCCTATTCTTCAGCTAGTACAGTAGTAGTAAATTGCTTAGCTCGTCGAGCTCGGCGCTACCATAAGTGCTAAACAGTGCAGATCTTCGTGCCGCACAGGCGCTTCATCTCCACTGGTAACCAGGATGTTCTGTCGCTGCAAGAAACGTTGCAGACCCTGCGTCGACATCAGCGAGCACATGACATCAAGTCGCACATCCGGCTCAGAGCTTTTCTTCTTGTCATCCGTGGCGGTTGCTCCTGTGTTAGCACCCTTCGTGTCCTCCGCACCAGAGACATTCTTTTCCTTTTCGACTTCATCAGCTGGGAGCTCCATAGCGTCGCCACCAGTGAACCCGAATCCTTCGCACACTAGATTCTGGTCAGGTGCTGCATCCGAAAGGCCTTCGTGCATCGCAGCAATGGTCTTACGCGCAGACTCCTTCAGCACAGGGTCATCGGACGCTAACTGTTCTCGGAGCTGGAAAGCGTCACCAACGGTGAGATGGCCATTATTCACCAAGAACTCAATCTGCGCCTTCAGCACCAAGCTCTCTTCTTCTGCATCAGCTTGCTCTTCGGTGCCGTTAGACGACGAGGTTGGGTCCTCCACAGCAAGCCCCAAAGTCGCGACAACAGACGGATACATGGCAGCATTAGGCAGTGCGATCAACAGTGTGGCCTCCTTCGAGTTCGGGTACGAGAAGTACTTCATGTAGCTATTCCACCAGGTTTCCCCCGCCACAGGCTCGGATAGTTTCTTCGACTCTTCATGCTCCAGCTCACGTAGCGCCCGAGCAGCTTCTGTGCTCACCCACTCCCAGAACATACCCCAAGTCACAGGCCCTTCAAAGGCATCGTCTTGAATCACTGCCATAGTTCTCTCGTAACCACTCTCGGAGATGGAGCCCATTGCATCGTAGAGCTTCTTCATGAGCTTGATACAGTCTTCTTTCGAGATTGTGCCCGTGGCTTCGGGGTCGAACTCGTCAAACAATATCCTGGCTCCGAGCTCTAGCCGATCAATGTGCTCCTTTGCGTTCTGTTGACTTGTGAAATAGCCTGCTGTTGACGCTGAGTATGCCTTAGATCCTGCAAAGAAGCCCAGCATGCCACCAACAACCGCTGCACTCGTCGCCGCTACAATACCTACAGGGCCAGCAGCAAGTCCTGCTGTACTCCACAGCCCCAGCGCCGACGCTACGCTGTATGCGCCAATGCCTGCACCTGCCGCTGCGGCTGTACGACTTGCGATGACCTCACCCGTCTTCAGTCGGAAGTCCTGCATCATTAGTTGTTCCGAGGTTGTCGAGAGAACGCCAAGCGACTTGCGGTCGGTATACCGCTTGCGATAGTCATAGTACTCCTTACCGATATCCACGAGAATCGATGCAATCGTGAGTGGTGCAGCTACAGCACCACCCAGTGCTGAAAATGTTCTCGCCATTCCATTCGCCAGAGCAACACCTCCAGCTGCACGGATTCCGCTATCAAGAGCACCATCGCCGCTTGCAGCCACTAAAGTCTTGAAGGTGCTACCAGCTTCACCGTTATCCAAGCGGTAGCGAGCCACCACACGATCAGCCAGCTTTGTTCTTTTCGACTCGAGGATTTCACTTGTGGTCGCTTTAGCCAGAGACGCACCTCGCGAAATTGCCGACTTCTGAATGAAGCCGATCATGAATTTGGACGAAGCGAAGTGAACGACAGCTGACGACTGGCCTTCTCTCCAATCTTGAACAGTTGCCAGACCAAACGGAGTACTGACAGTCGAGCCAGGAGGAAACACGATCTGCTTCGCAGCAAGAATAATTACAGTCTCTGCTTCTTCGTTCTCCTGTACTCGTTTCTCGTAATCCAGTGCGCCGTCACTGAAATGAACTGCCACTTCGTCCATGAGGTCAATGCAATCGAAAAACTCCTCTTCGGCCATCGCCTCCATAGCGGCGTTGTCATACTCAGTGGCACAGTCGAAGAACTCCTCAATCAGCTCATCCTCTGCTGCGTCTTCTTGTTGCTTCAGAGTGATCAAGGCTTGTTGAGCTCCTCTGATGCATAGCTGCTTAGCAGTGCCATCCCCTGTGTCACTGCCCGATTCAGCAATGGCGAGGGTAGATGCATCTTTCCTCTTCTTCCGCTCATCCGCTTGTTGGAGAAGTAGTTGCGTTGTATTGGTGTGCTGCGTATTCCGGTGGTCTTCAAGCAATAGCAACAAACAATCAGCTGGCATGTTTCGCACCACATCTGCCTGACGCTTCTTCCTCGACATCTCCGAATACTGCGACCACGCATTCACGATCAGCGCAACGCTTGCACCCACAGCTACGGCACCGCCCACAATGGATACTGTTCGCAATCCAGTACTGGCACCTGAGCTACCCACTGCTTGGCTGGGTGCTGCTACATCGCCCGCGATGATCTCTTCCGGCTCCAGATACATGACTTGCTCGTGCTGGTCGGCACCGATTCCGACGGTCCGGGTCACGCGAATTCTATCCGGCGCGAAAATATTGTCGTGGTTATTCGGAACAAGTCCGCTGCGAACGGACGAAGGAGTGCGAAGTGGGTTTACCACGGTCGAGCTGGGGGTGGAAAATCTCGACTTTACCTTCGACACCGCTCCGGAGAGATTATCAATCACGTCCCGGAACGTAGCGATGGCCTCATCGAGAGTCATCCCATTGACCGTACCGTTGCGTACAAACTCGTCCTTCAAACTAGGGGAGTCGTTCAAATGCGTATCATATGTCTTCCGTGCTTCAGCGTCTGATAGCACTTCATACGACTCAGCTAACAGTTTAAAGATCTCCTCTGCGGAGGCTTGTTCCTGAGGATTGGTCGAGTTGTTCGCCCACCGATCTGGATGCCACTTCAGCGCCAGTCGCTTGTAGGCGCTTCGAATCTGTCGCTCCGTCGCGTCTCGAGGAACACCAAGACGTTCGTAAAAGTCCATTGAGGCGTTGATTTGGATCGAGTTGGAGCGGCGCGCCACAGCGTCCACGTATGCACTCATCAAGTGCTGCAGGATCGCGTTGCCAGTCAAAGTAGCAGTCGAATCATCTTCCTTGTGCAGTGCCTTGCTGATAGCATCCGGGTCAGAGTAGCATTTGTAGTCGCACCCACTCTTCGAGAGGAAAATGAACGTCCCGCACGGAGAATACTGATAGTCGATATCCTTCACGAGGTTGAAATCGCGGAACTTCTGGAACGTGTTCTGCAGTATGCTCAGACTCATGGACAAGTAGGCCGAGCTGGCACTTGGGACGGTTCCGGTGTTCGCAGTAGCACCTAAATCCACGAAACGTTGTTGCATCTGAATGGGTAGCAAGTTCACCAGCGTCTTCGTTGCTTTCGTGATCGTTAGAAACCGCTCGGTCGTCTTCGCTACCATAGCCGCTGACTGCGCTACATTCAGAATACTTGGGATGCAGTCGAACTCGTTGACGAATGTTATCACACGCTTGTTAAGCCCCAGAGGACCCAGAAACGACGCCAAATCTGCCGAGCCAACGTAAGGAGCTCCAAACCCAATGGCCAGCAAGCGCGGAGTACGAGTTATCACATTGCGCTCTTCTTCCGGCAAGCTCTGAAGCATCAATCGAAAGTCCAATCCATCAGTCGTCGTTGCGCTAGTATCTTCTGCTTCCTCCCGCTTTTGCTGATCGTTGTCTCGCTTTTCAAGGAACAACCGCGTCTTCGTTGGCAAGTGCTGGTACACCAGTTCGCAGAAAGCCAGCTGCGCGATGCTGCCTCCAATAGAATGGCCGCACAGTATTAACATCTTCTTGAGCTGTCGTGCTTGGTGGTTGATATCCTGCAAGTCCAGTCGCTGAGTCCGCGTCCAGAACGGTGCGTGGATCCTCGCGCCACCGAATCTGTGCACGTAGGGCTGCGAGAGGGGCACCGCCGAGCCCACCACTGTCTGCAATACATCCGCAGGCTTGGTGGCCCGCACTGCGCAGATCACAGCCAGCTCGGACTGCATGAGCACGTAGTCGGGCGTGAACGCCAGCACCGGCAGCTGCAGACTGTGCGGCAGCGGAGACTTGCGCACGTGCATCTCCAGCTCGCGGGTCGCGTGGTCGTTTGCCTGTTTGTCGGTCGCTGAAGGCTCCGACTGCGTTGCAGACAGCGCCGCACACAGCACGGCGGCATTCAGCAGCTCCGTCTCGCTGGACGCCACCGCTCGCTCCTGGTCGCTGCCCACGGTCGAGTCGGTCCACCACCAGGCGCGTTGCTTGGGCTGCGAGTCTTTCTTGAGCCTCTGGGCTGGCAGCGAGACTGCAGACGTCGACGCCATGGCTGCGATGTGTTTGTGTCGACTGGAGGCGAGCGCAGGATGGAGATGCACGCGATACCTTCCTCTTCTCCCGGTTGTCTGATTTGGCGTGAGACGTCCAAATGACGAGCGACTGTGGAGTGTAGCCATGTCGGAAAAGAATGCGGCATTAGGTCATTTTCCACCAATGAGCTGCTGGAGTGTAACGGAAGGGGAGCCCACCGGCTCGGCTCATTTTGAAGCTGGCTGGCTACCCTGTCGATGATGATGTGGGCGTCGCTGCTGCTGCTTGTGGCTGCCGCCGTGTCCTCGGCGATGGCCGAGGACGACTATAAGATGCGCGACGAGGTGGACGTGGTGGCCAACACGATCCGCCCGTACGCGAACCCGACGGAGACGTACCAGTACTACAAGCTGCCCTACTGCAAGCCCAAGGAGCGCCAATGGGACGACCACGACCTGGGCGAGCTGCTCACGGGCAGCCGCAAGGTCGTGACGGACTACCGCCTGTACTTCGGCGTCGACCAGACGTACGCGCAGCTGTGCAAGCTGTCGGTCACGCAGGACGTCATGAAGGCCTTCAAGGACGCGGTGGATGAGGACTACGAGTTCGAGATGTACGTGGACGACATCCGACTGCGAGGCCAGGTCGGCTACCTCATCCAGGAGGGCATCCGCGAAGGCATGAAGCTCCACTACTACCTCAACACGCACCTGCACTTCGACATCGCCTACAACGACGTGGAGGCGGAGGAGGGCAAGAACAAGGTAAGCGCCACGAAGAGTCTATAGTGGTGTAATTCGTCGACTCACTGGGGCGTGTTGCTTTTTGCTGTTCAGATTGTGGCTGTCAACATGACCATGGCGTCGTCTGACCCGGATCTCGAGTACCACTACGCGCTGTCGCCTGAAAACATTGCCAGGTCGCCTGAAGCAATCTTCACATACTCGGTGAAGTGGCACAACCGACCGGACCTGCTGTACGAGAACCGCAACGTGGAGAAAGAGCTGGTGGAGCCTGACGACCTGGAGCTTCACTGGATCTCGGTCATCAACTCGTTCATCCTGGTTATGATGCTCACGGGCTTCCTGTCCATTGTGATGATTCGAATTCTGAAGAGAGACTTCTCGCGGTACACGGATCTGGAGACTGGGGACGAGCACTCGCTGGAGGATGACTCCGGGTGGAAACTGTTGCACGCCGATGTTTTCCGGTTCCCGAGTCACTTGAGTGTTTTCTGTGCGCTCAACGGTGCGGGTGCGCAGTTGTTTGTGATGCTGTCGGTGGTCCTTGCGTCCTCGTTGCTGGGGATTGTGAAGCCTAACAAGCGCGGTGGCATGATGACTGCGTTCATCGTCCTCTACGCTCTCACAGCTGGCGTTGGCGGATTCCATTCTGCTCGGATGTACCGTCTACTCGGAGGTCAGCGGTGGGTGTGGAACATCTTGATGTGTGTGCTGGTGATTCCGGGTCCCCTGGTTGCGATTTTCTCGTTCTTGAACTCGGTCGCGATTTGGAACGATTCATCCGCAGCTCTGCCCTTCGGCACGATCATGATCGTGCTCGCGCTGTTCATTACGGTGGCATTGCCGTTGACGATCATCGGAGGCATCGCAGGACGGAACTCGACTGGCGAGTTCAAGTCACCTTGCCGCACCAACAAGATTCCGCGCGAGATCCCCTCTGTGCCCGGCTACCGAAGCCCCTTCATCCTGATCATTGCGGCCGGGTGCCTTCCGTTTAGCGCCGTCTACATTGAGCTGCACCACATTTTCGCTGCTATCTGGGGCCACTCGATCTACAAGCTGTTCGGCATCCTATTCCTGTCCTTCGTCATGCTCGTGTTCGTGACGGCGTTCACGACCATCTCGCTCACGTACATTCAACTCTCGTCCGAGGACCACCGCTGGTGGTGGCGATCGTTCGTCTCGGGCGGCACGACGGGGCTGTTTGTGCTCGCCTACAGCGTGTGGTACTACACGAGCGTCGCGGACATGACGGGCTTCTTCCAGGCGGCCTTCTACTTCGGCTACACGAGCATGATGGCCTACTGCTTCTCTGTCATGCTGGGCTTCATCGGATTCCAGAGCTCGCTCTTCTTCGTCAACAAAATCTACCGGGCCATCAAGGTCGAGTAACAGTGCAGGAGCTAGTCGAGCGATACTGAATGGTAAATGGCAATCATATCCGTGGTTTGCTTCACTACTGCGCAATGCTCGTCACAGCACAACCTCGCGAAGGGGATCCTTTGGCTTGGATACGTGTCTTCTTGATTGGCCGAAAAGCATGGTGTCCGTCTGGCGGCGAACGGACACGGCATAGGCATTCCCCAAGCAGCGGGCATGAAGGTAGTCAAGGTCATCGCACAGAGGGAGCCTCCGCCGCAATGGGGGTACCTGGCGTTCATGGTCGGCATGCTGTACTTGTTGCGCCGCGCCAAAATCAAGGACATCCCGCGCGAGGTACGCGCGAGTTAGTCTTAGTCATCTTGGCGTCGGTATATTGACAGTGCTGCTGTTGCTGTTGTAGAATGTGCTGAGCTTCTTCGCTGCGATGCTCCCCACGGAGCTCTCGCACAACTTGCTGACTGTCAATGCCGCTGTGATCTACAACCTGCACAAGTCGAAGAAGCCTGTATTGTCGGGGTGGGTGGGGTCGACTGCTGCCTTGCTGCAATGCCTCGTAATGATTCGGCTGGCGAAAATGTACCGCGACAATGTCTCCGCCAAGCACGTGATCCGGGACGCAATGCACACCTCCGATGTACCCTCCGACAGCGTGCAGCGCATCGGTGAGATCAGCTGGAAGCAGTGGCTGGCCGTCTTCTTGCCCGTTCCTCAGCCCGTGTCACTCTGGCTGGCATTCCCTGGAGTCGCCAAGGTGCAAACAGTGGCGTATGCCCACGTCGGCAAGAACAAGACCACGCCGCTGCTTATGGACGTGTACAAGCACCGCGATACGCCGTCCAATGCTCCGATCGTGTTGTATATCCACGGTGGCGCCTGGGTCATGAGCACCCGTGAGACGCCTCCGCTCCCGTGCATCTACCAAATCGCCGCTCGGGGATGGGTAGTGTGCGTGTTCGACTACCAGAAGTCTCCGAAGATCGCGTTTCCCGAGCACTTGATCGATGCCAAGCGTGCCATCGCGTATCTGCGTCGAAACGCACATGAGAAGTTCGATGCAAACCCCGACTACATCGTCGTTGGAGGAGAGTCTGCTGGCGGCCACTTGGCAAGCTTGGTGGCGCTTACTGCGGCCGACAAATCGCTGCAGCCCGGGTTTGAAGAGGTTGACACGAGTGTCCGTGGCTGTATCGATACTTATGGAGTGCACGACTTCAAGGACCGACACGGCGTGTACTTCTACAAGGACAAGGATCACATCTTCGTACGCTTCATTGAGCTCCTCGTAATGCAGAAGAAGATGGGCGACGCCGATGAAGAATGGGAGAAGGCCTCGCCCGTCGGCTGGCTGCGCGAGGAGAAGGAGAGCGAGCTGCCCGCCGTCATCCCGCCGTTCCTCGTCTCCCACGGCACGCTCGACACGCTTGTCCCGTTCGGAAGCTCGCAGGTTTTCTTCGAGCAGCTGCAGCTCTACCGACAGCGCGCCCAGCAGGGCCCGCTGGGCGGCGTCAGTGATGTTTTCCTGGAAATTCCAGGAGCGCACCACGCGTTCAACTACGTGATGTCCCCGCGTGCGCTCGCCCACGGCCAGGCTGTGGTCGCCTTCCTCGACAACCTGTACGCCAAGACCAACGACATTCCAGTGCAGAGCGCAACGGCCCCGGCTCCAGCCCACATAGAGGAGCTGGTGGAGGAAGCAGACACTGTGGCTGTCACCGCCACGGCGCGACTATGATATGTGGTGTGCATATACAGTAGCGTTGAAGTGTGCGCATGTGTCCCCAGCAATCCAATGATTTACGTCACGATTTGCTTCAGCTTTTTCGAAGCACCAATTAATTTTTGTCGACTCGACATTTTTTTTACTTTTTAGGGCGTCATCTGAGATTTGTATTGCGCTCGTCTGTCATTTCCCGATCGAGTCCCTCGTGTGGCAAAAGGTGTCCGTCCACCGCGTGACGTCCGCCGTTCAAGGGAGCTCGACAGTGGCTGTACACCGCGCGAAATACCACCAGATTGCTGCACGATGAAGGTCGTCAAGCCCGAGCCTTCGCCGTACCTGAGCAACGAGCGCCTGACGCGCTGGGCGTACCTGGCGTTCGCCGTGTCCACGCTGTACGTCGTGGAGCGCGCCAAGAACAACAAGATCCCGCGCGAGAACTTCTTCGGCATGGCGGCGTCGCTGTTGCCCACCGAGCTGTCGCACAAGATCGCAGTCATGCACGCGTGCCTGATGGGATTCTTGCTCAAGAAGAAGATGCCGATTTTCTCGCGCTGGAGCGGCGCGTTCGCGGGCCTGGTGCAGTGCGTGGTGGCCGCTAATCTGGCGAAATGGTACGGACAGAACCTCTCCTCGAAAGAGGTCATTCGTGACGCGCTAGTCGCCTCGGATATCGCACCGGCGCAGCTGGAGAGCATCGGCCGCATGTCGTTCAAGCGCTGGCTGAGCGTGTTTCTCCCACTGCCCCAGCCCATGGCCGTCTCGATGAGCTACCCCGGAGTAAGCAAGATCCGCACGGTCACGTACGCGCACGTGGGCAAGACCAAGACCACGAAGCTGCTCATGGACGTTTACAAGCATCAGGATGCACCAGCGAATGCGCCTATCTTCCTCTACATCCACGGTGGCGGTTGGGTCATTGGTGATCGCCGTATCCCGCCGTTCACCTGCGTGTATCAGGTCGCCTCCATGGGCTGGGTGGTGTGTGTCATCGACTATCGATTGTCCCCTGGAGTGGCATTCCCCACGCACTTAATCGACACGAAGCGCGCTGTTGCTTACCTCCGCCGCAACGCCCGCGAGGAATTTGACGCGAATCCAGAGTTCATTGTGGCAGGCGGCGAGTCTGCTGGTGGACACTTGGCTAGTTTGATGGGTCTCACTGCTGACGATAAATCCCTACAACCGGGATTTGAGGAAGTGGACACAAGTGTGCGCGCAGTCATCGACAACTACGGCGTTCACGACTTCACAGACCGACATGGAATTTACTTCTCGCGCGACAAGACGCACGGACTCGTTCAATATCTCGAGTTTCTGGTGATGCAGAAGAAACTCAAGGGCAACACCGAGGACTTTGAGCGAGCGTCACCGATCGCGTACCTGGATGACGAGCGAGCAGAACATCGCCGCGACGTTATCCCGCCGTTCATGATCACACACGGCACGCACGACAACACGGTGTCTTTCAATGACTCGCGTCTATTCTTCGATCGCCTGCGTCATTACCGCCAGAATCTCCCCAAGGATATCGCATCGTATCAGGCTAAGCAGCTCGGGGGCGTCCAAGATATCTTCGTCAAGGTGCCGTACGCCAGTCACATGTTCAACTTCCTGCTGTCTCCTCGCGCATTAGCGCACAACGATGCTGTCTGTGCCTTCCTCGACAATGTGTACCAGAAAACCAAGGAAGTGCCTCTCGAAGCTCGGATTCTTCCCAGCCGCGTCGAAGAGATCCCATCAGCAAAAAATGGAAACAAAGAGGTGCCTTCTGCCACCATGGCGAGGCTGTGACGCAGTACAATTTGTGAAAAATAAACGCTACTTATCATTGCTTCCAGCCTTGAGGCGCGCATGATAGATGAAAAGCTCGTCGGGGTACTCGAAGCTAGCGAAAACCTGCGGGCTATCTTCGCCTGAAACCTCTTCCACGTCGAACGTATTGCCAAGCTGCTGTAAGAAGTTGGCTTCGATCGACTCATTTCGAGTCTCAAAGCTAAAGAACACGTCGGACGTTGGCGACACCAGCTCGTGCAGCGTCTCGATCAGCAACAGGAACGCCGAAGCGTGGTAAAGCACATCCGAGAAGACCACCACGTCGACACTCTTCTTCCACGACGCTAGACGACTGCACGTCTTAAATGGCTCTCCCCATTGACACTCCTCCGTCATCGGCGCAATAACGCCACTTCGATCGCCGAAATTCACGTCCACGTTCTTGGCCAGCAGAGGCAGCGCGTACTCCTGATCGGTGACCACGACCTCTGCTCCGAGCACAGCGAGCGCCATGCCGACCAGCCCGACACCCGCGCCGAGCTCCACCACCTTCTTTCCTTTGAACTGGAACTTGCACGTGGCTTGGCCATCCTCGCCCGCCTCGGTCTGCAGATAGTCCGCCAGCAGCAGGGCGGCGTCCCACACGCAGTGACCGTGCGACGGGAACGCCGGCGTGCCAGCGCAGATCTCGCGGTCCTGCACCGCAGTCAGCGACACCTCCTCATTGGTACCAGGTACCTTGACCACATACGTGAAGTCGCTGTCGTCGGGTCGGCCCCACAGACCGTCGCCGGAGTCGTTCACGTCGGTCATGTTGATGACGGCCAACGAAAATGGACATGTAGCCATGTAGCAGGCCAAACCTGTGTAAATGGATATTTCGGAATGATTGTAGTTAGCTCACGTTGATTGACCACACTCCCCAACAAGACCAAGAGCTCACGCGTGTCATCGCCGCCGCGCTGCTGGGCGGTCACAATGAGTTCCGCGGCCGCGTCTTTGTCGTCTATTGAGCATGCGCTGTGGGCGTTCGTGGAGTCCTTGGCGGAGCCCCCCGCGACGCCCGCGCAGTCCGCAGAGACGCAATTAGAGCGGATCCAGCAGCAGGCACACGATTTGTTGGCCAGGAGGCGCGAGGCCAACGGAACCGACGAGTCTCCAGCCGCCCCAGCTGCTGAAGTAGCTGCAGGCAATGGAGAAGTCGATGGGGAAGGCAGGAAGCATGAGAACCGCGAAGCCACGACGACGACTGAGGCCGAGGAGAAGATGTACGAGGCCGTGAACGAGCGCATCGCTCGGCGCATGATCGACGGCGTGGAGCAGCCCAATCGAGGCGCAGCAACAACCAGCAATAGTGAGGACAAGAGCGACACGCTGTCCGATTGCACGACAATCACCGAGACCTCCAGCGTCTACGGGATCCACAACACGTGGGTGGACCTCGCCACGCTCTACTCGCTGCCGTTCGTGATGAGCGACAGCAATCACCGCCTGAAACCTGTGCCGCCGCTTAATATTGCACAGGAGCAAAGCCACCTGAACAAGATTTTCCAGGAATGCCAGCGCGCAGTGCACACGATGCGGGCGGTCGCGACGGTGGACGCACTTCGCAAAGTTCTGGATCGTGGGGTTACCGTGCTGCACTTCAGTGGGCACGGCGGCCGCATCGTTGGCCAAAGCCGGTATCTCATGTTCGAAGACACGCAATGTTCTGGCCTAGCGCATTTGGTGGACTCGGCTACCTTGCGGAATATATTGAGCACTGGCACGAGTCCTTCTGTCGTTGAGGAGGTCAGTAGCAGCGAGAACAGTATCTCGGTAGAAGTTGCGGAGGACGGCGTACCGCCAGCGAGTGAGCTGAGTTTGCCGTTACGAACACTATCTCAAGTTTTGTCGTCTCGGAGCACGAATAGTACGCTCAAGCTGGTATTTGTGTCATCCTGTGATTCAAGGGATATCGGTGAAGTCTTCATTCAAGCTGGGGTAGCCCACGTCGTGTGCGTGCGATCAGAAGGTCGAGTACTTGACGAGTCGTCCGCCATGTTTTCGTACTCGTTTTACCATGCAGCTCTCACAGGGAAAACAGTTCAACAGGCATTTGAGATTGCGCGTGTTCGTGTGAGCGCGGAGATGCGGATCCCTGATGGCGAAGGTGATAAATTCGTGTTGCTGGAATCATCTCAACTTCACGCTGAAACGTGTCCACTCTGGTTCGGTGGGGAAACGCCGCGGGCGATTGAAGTGAATTTCGTGGAGAAGAGCTGTAGCTGCAGTGCTTCTACGCAGCAGTTCGTGTTTTCCGACATATCGGTGGGCAAGTGGGTAGACGTAAGTCCGTTCAACAAGTTTAGCAAGACCCTCCCTGCTGTGTCAGAGTCGTTCGTGGGCAGAGAGCAGGAGCTGCACATGCTGGCAGAGCTTGTTAACACGCGGCGACTCGTGACGCTGCGGGGACCTCCTGGAATTGGCAAAAGTACGCTATCGATTAAGTTGGCTCATTTCCTGGCTGACCGCAACGCATTTCCAGATGGAGTTGCTTTTATTCGTTTGCGTGGCGTCCAGTCGCTGGAAGGAATGGAGTCGGCTATCAAGAGTGCTTTGTTCCCTGAAGGTGGTCGTGAAAAAGACATGCCACTGGACCAAACGCTTGCCGATAGAAAGGTTCTTCTGGTCATGGACAACATGGAAGACCCGGTCAATGCGAATCCGACGTCAACGCGCGACTTTCTCCTGCAATTGCTGCAAAATACGCCGTCGTTGTCGTTTTTGATGACTGCGCGGCAAGCAATGGGTGGCGGCATCAATTGGTTTGATGAGAAGGTTGTGTCGCTCAATCGGTTGTCGCACTACCACGCAGCAGATCTGTTCATCAAGAAGTCACCGCGTGCTCTGCTTGTGTCAGAAATTGGTGATATTGATACCAGCGGGACAAAGTCAATGTCCACGTCGATTTTGGAGGCATTGGTTGCTCATCCATTAATGGCGTTCCTTGATGGTCATCCCCAAGCGATCTCTTTGTGTGCGCCGTTACTTCAAGACCGATCCCTGTCTGAGCTTACACGCGCTGTGCTTAGTCGTGGTGTAAATGAACTGCAAGTCGTGGGTCTAGCTGCACACGACCGAAGCGCACTCAACACCCTCGTGGCTTCGCTGGATGTTTCTTTGGAGCAAGTCCGGATGCACCATGGACAAGATGCAATCAGATTTTTTGCTCTTCTTGGATTATTACCCGCGGGGGCCATGCCAGCTGATTTCAAGAGTTTGTGGGGAAGTAACTGGGAAGGCCTGGTGGAGACGCTGCTACGATTCTCACTTATACAGCGAAATCGTATCCCAGGTTTTGCACTTGCGAAACGAGGTCTGCCTAAACGCAGCAGTACCACAGGAAGCAGCGCTCTGGGAGGCAGCAGCAGTAGCTCTAGGCGGAGCTCCAGGTCTCGCCATGCTTCTAGTCGTGGGTATGATCAATCTTTGCTGGCAGCATTGAAGTCGTATAGCGACTTCATTAGCAATGCCACCGAAGCGTCTGGCAAAGCTGAGAGCGTGGAATACGAAATCCCTAATGGCAGGGGCGGATCTCGTCGTGTGTTGAACGACCGAAACATGCTCAACTCGCTTACGCGTAGTGGACGGGCGTCTCGAGTTTCGGAACATGTTGAACGTATGGATGACCAAGCAGAGATTATGGCCGTATGCGTTTCATATTCGACTTTCCCGTTTATCGCAAGTTACGCTCGCAGTTTGCTTGGCATGTACGACGGCGATGGTGCAAAGAACGAAGTTTTGGAGTCTCTCTGTGTTGCTGATCGAGACTTGTTCCTCTACAATACCTCAAGGCACTTCCGGAAAGTCAGCTACTGGGTCTTTCAGCACATTTGCACACTGACAATTCAATCCAGTGCTGCCTACTTGATCTTGGATTTGCACGAGTCGAACCTGTGGATGATCCTGGATCTCCATATGCGCATTATTGAAGAGTGGCAAACAGAAAGCAAAGTATCGTCGCCCAGGCCGACAAGAACGTCTTTAGACGCTGGTTCGACTGCAGAGAATGTTAATGGCGAGGTTATCAACCTACGGGAGAAGATCGCCGGATATGTGATGGACGTAGCGTGCTACCTGGCGCATTCTCTGTTCTTGTCGGGGCGCCACCGAGGTGCTTGGAATGCAGCGAATAAGGCTCTTCACATCGCAAAGCAGCACAAGAATCCTCTTTGTCAGGCGAACATCCGCAAGTTGATGGGTGTTCTACTCACAACCGAGACCAAGTTTGACGAGGCTAAAGCCCAATTCGGTACGGCGCTCATTCTGTACAAGACGGTGGGGAACAAGATCGGCCAAGCTGCATCTTTAAGCGCGATCGGAATGATTCACTCTAGGAACGGCAATTTACGAGGTGCACACAATTGCTTCACGAAGGCTCTGACGCTGTACGAATGGCACAAGCACTCTCTCGGACAGCTGAATTGCCACCAGCGACTCGCAAACTTGGAGAAGAAACTACGCGATGGCGATGGCTCAGCTCACAAGAACGGACCCAACTCGGGCCATAGCCATCACTATGCAGCAACACGGCGCTTGCAAGGCGACCTCAACCGAAAGCGCAACGGCGAGTACATTGTCCGATGGGTGGGGCACGAAACAAGTTTATTGCTGGAATTGCCGTCTGCAATAGTCGAAGATGACGCCCAATCTCGTTCAGGGACTTTGACGACCTCTTCTCAAGGGCTGCCCTTCCCGCTTGGCACTACAGCCAAGGCCACCGCACCAGGTGTCACAAATACTCCGAAGAAGGGAAAGCCCAGCTCACTCACTGAACAGAGTGAGAAGGACCGAACAAACTCTGCTGCGATCACAATTTCTACTTCGACAGCCTCGTCGACGAGCGCAAGTTCCAACGACGGGCAGGGTGACAAGTTCAAGAACAGCAGTTTTGCCAAGAGAAAAGAGTACGACAGCAACATCCGGAAATCCGCCGCGATACCAACCAGTGCAAGCTCGAACTCAACATCCGAGCCGTAGCTACCGTAGAGTTCAAAATTGTTTAGTGTGAATATTATCGTTCCATGGCAAAAGGGAATCAATCACCACTCGCCATCGCTGTCCTCAATTTCGTCATCGATCTCTTCCTGTAGAGAGAGCTTATTTATCGCATAGGTGCTTCCACCAACGCTCGGCCGAGTTGCTGGCCCACCCGCCCGGTCCATGATGGTCAAAAATGGCTCCACTTCGAACGCAAACACATCGCCAGTGCACACATATTGAAGCCCTAGATGTCCACCTCGAGTGGTCTGTAACATTTCTTCTCGTCGAGAGACAATTCGTTGCTTTGCAGCGTACGTCCGTGGCCGCGTGATCGGTCGAAACGCCTTTGGGGCGGGATTCTCATTCGTGACCGCAACAGTTCGCATAAGAATGGCTTGGGCAACGTCCCTCGAACGCTTGAAGACCTATAAATCAACACAAAATCATTTCGATGAGAGCAGGATAACCAACATTAGAGACGAAAAGGCTTACCTCAGAACCGCTAGTGCCGTTGTACGATTCAGCGACCATCACTTCGCACAAGCTCATTAACTCGAGCGCGCCAGAAAGATCCTCCACTTGCGAGAAATACGCAATGCTGTTCTCATGAACAAGCCCAAGGACTCTATCCAAAGGCATTGCTGACGCATCAAATATCTGGTCATAGTCAACTTCGCTCGTATCACTCTTCGTGTCGCTCTCGTCAGCAGGCTTGCCTTGCATCATTTTGCCGTGCAACAGCTTTCCAACCACGTGGAAGTCCGAAAGAAAAGGATCACGAGCGCCGGGGTTAGTCGACACGGAAGACTTTGACTCGGAAGATCCAGAGGATGCACCACTCTTCTTGGCCTTCTTGCTTGGATTTACTTTGGGTCTCTTCAGAGTAGGATTTTGCAATAACTGCAGCATGTTCAGAGCGTGCCGCATATCACCATTGCTACTGTCAATGACCTTTTGGATTTCCGCCGGCTGAGAGGCACAGTTCTCTTGAGCGGCAACGCGGGTGAGATGTTTCTTTAGCTGTGCAGATGTAACCGCGTTGATATTGATGACTGTCGTGAGTGGGGAGTGCATTACCTCGCGCGAGAATTTCCGGCTCAAGTGATCCAAGTCAATCTTGCTTCCTCGGACGTCACTGTAGATGCACACGACAGGAAAGCGGCATCCACCAGCCGGGTCCACCACATGCTGATAAATACGCTGAAGCTTCTCTTCGTACTGTGACGGATCTTTCGACCACGACTGCGGCCAGCTCTCAATCAAAATCAACTGACCGGTGCCGCTGGATGCAGCCTGAGAGCTGTCGAGACTTTGCTGACTGCTCGATAGTCGACGTTTTCGACCGATCGAAGATGTCGGCCTCGATGTAGCAATTGGAAGAGCTGCGTACGCTGACGAACGGTGAATAAAGTCTGAAAAATCGTCAACACTCGATACCTGCGGCGTCCAAAAATCATCTCGCAGCTTGCGCTCATAGTTCAGCTTGCCAGCAGCCGAGTTGTCTTCCCATTCTTTCACGAGTAGTCCAAGTTTCCGCGCTACACACCTCACTGCAGTGGATTTGCCCGATCCAGGTGGACCGCACAAGAACAGCAACCGCTTCTGGAACACACCTGCGGATGGCGATGCGTTCCTCTCCAGCCACTCGGAGATCTCCTGCACCTTCTTCTTGTTCACACACAACTCGTCCACTGTCTTCGGGGTATATAAATCAGCCCAGAGCCCCTTACTAGGCGTTGCTGCTCTCGTCATCCTAACGTTGGGTCGCAACCCGCTGGTAGCCCCACTATGTGACGCAGCAGAGGTGACACTAGCTGCATCGTCATCGTCACTGCCGTTGTCACTGCTGTCAATGACCTCAATTGGCTCAGACTTTACCCCCAATGATGCCTTCTTGCTGTTCTTCTTCTCTATCTTCTCCACTGGCTGGGAGAGCCACTGCGACAGCTTCCGCGTCTTCCGCGGCAGTCCAGGCCGCGCGCTCTCGCACAATTCGCACTTGGAGGCGCTGGTGTCTTCGTTTATGAACGTGCACATCTGACACTGCCACGCGTCATTCTTCTCCTTCTTTTCCTCTTTCTCCGTTTCCTTCTTCTCCTTCTTCAGCTCCTGAGTATCTTTGAGTTGAGCTAGCAGCTCCACGTCCGAGTCGCTGCTGCTGCCGATGGACTCGCGATCTCTCTCCGCCCTGCACAGAACCAACACAAACAGCAGCGCACCACCTTCAAGTCAGCTCTAAGTCCACCGCATCGTGCTGGAAGCGCGCGCTCACCGCTGTCGGAGCCGCCGCCGGCCGCGCTGCATGGGAGCTCTACGCTTTTGAAACTTCAAAAAGTGGTACAGATTTGTACTGTACCAGTTACAGCGGCGGGTCAGGGACAATAATGACGGCGGAGACTGCGACGCCGGCGGAAGCGAAGGAGGCGGCGCCGACGACGGCACCCGCGGCGTCTGAAGGCTGGGAGAAGAGCTTCAATGAGCACGAGAAGGAGGAGATCGAGCAGTCGATCAAAAGGTAAACTTTAATTAAGTGTGCTTTTAGTGGACGAAGAAGATAATTAATTTGACGGATGTCACGATCTACAGTGTGAACGAGTTTTCCCAAGACCTTGAGCGAATTCGAGCGGCAATGAAGAAACAACAGCAATAGTCCTCAATTCGACAGTTCACTGCAATGGAGATCAGTCGCATTCGATTTTGACTTTGAAATGGAAAAAACTGCGGGAACTATCAAATTAATGCAAATTTCAATACTCGGGGGATGTTTTGCTCACTGATGTCATTTGAAGGACATCGGTGGCATCGGTGGAGACTGGGGGGTTACTTGTCCATGGCTCCAAGCAGCAGCTCAATCCGATCGCGGACCATCACGTGTAGCATGCTCTTCGTAGCGGAATAAGTGTCGGCGGCAAACTTGCGCACCTCGACGCTGGAGCTTGACGTGAGCAGGCGGTACACTGGAAGCTGGAACTTCTGCTTGCCCTGCATCTCCAGGAACCTGCGCACGACGGGTAGCTTGCTGACGACGCAGTTCTTGATCAGCACCAATGCCCAACGGAACAGAATCTCCGAGTTGTGCGAGTTCCACAGCGAAAGCGTGTCGCCCAGCGCAATCACGACGTCCGCGTCCGAGAAATTCGTCTCCAGGCAGCAATCCAAGAAGTACAGCACCGGCTGTGCCTCCCACGTTTTGGCCTCCTCCGACAGGTACAGCACACTGGGCTGCACAGGAGTAGATGACGATCGCCAATGGAACGCCAGCGACTCGCAGTTTTGCATTATTTCCTGCGCATCCGACAGATTCGGTGTGAAGTGTGGATAACCCGGCTCGTTCAGCCACGTGTTGAACGATATGTCGCCCTTAAGGTCAGTTCCTGCGGCATTTGCCAGCTCAGGGAAGCTTTTAAGGAAAAACGCGATCATGGTTTCCGCCGGGATCGACTGGAAACGATACTCGGCGCAGTATCGTTTGAGGAAGTCGTCGAACACCTACTCAAAAAGAAGCAGATACCAGAATCAGTCAAACCTCGAACAAACGAATTATGGGATAAATAACAGATACCTCATCAGACCCCACGAGGCTTCGAAGGTAGCAGACGAACGCGTAGCCCTTCTCGTAAGCACACTGGTTATAGCAATCACCAGGATCGATTCCCTCTTCAAGTGGGACCCGCAGTCGTGTCAAAGGAGACTGCTCGCCGAGCGACGAGATCTCCTCACGCAGCAATGCCTCGCCCAGCTTGGCGTCGAGGCAGCTCAACGGTCTATCATTGAAAGCAGAAAGAGTAACGTCACATCCAAGGGGCATGACTGCAGCACATGCATGCTAAGGCTTACCTTCCGTGTGATACTTCCGTAATACGTCGCTCGGCGTACATCGTGAAGCCTTCATTCAGGAAGAAGTCGCTCCACGTTGCATTTGTCACCAAATTGCCGAACCAGGAGTGAGAGAGCTCGTGCGCCACAACTACAAGAAGCAAGCGGGCACAAAACATGATCAGCATTGAAACCCTTTCTGACAGACAATCATCTCCTCCAAGCAGTTTTCTAACGCACTCGACACGAGTGACTTGTCGCCGGCAATGGTGCAAGGCGACACGAACGTCAGTCGCGGGTTCTCCATTCCGCCGTAGGGGAAGGATGGTGGCATGACGAGCATGTCATAGCGCTCCCACAGGTAGTCACCGAAAAGTCGCTCTCCGATGGCCAAGTACTCTTCAAGAACTCCGTCAAACTCCTTCGTTGCAGCCTCGATCATGCACGGCTCCGTCCAGATGCTGGATCTCGGTCCGACCTCCGCTTCCACGAGATCTCCCACCGCCATGGCCACCAGATACACTGGAATGGACTGTTTCATCTCGAAAGTGAACTTCTTCTTGGTTGCAACCACCTCCTTCTCACCCCCATCCTCCTCTTCCGGCACGTAATCCTCCACATCGCACAGCTTGGCGCTCATGACGCACACCAGCTCCTTGGGCACGACCACCGAGGCCGTGTACGTGACACGCACGGACGGCGAGTCCTGGCACGGGAAGAAGCTGCGGTTCAGCACCTCCTGGCCCTGGGTGTACACGAAGGGGAGCTTGTTGCCGGCCGTCTGCTCCTTCTCCAGCCAGCAGACACCGGGGCTCTCCGGGTCCGTCTCGTAGCGGATCGTGAGCTCAAAGGCGCCGGCCTGCGCCAGTTCGTCCGGGATTTCGACCTCCAGCGCCTGTCCGAAGGCCGTGAAGGGCTTGATGCTCCATTGAGCGGCAATCGTGTCCTCCTCGGGCAGAGCCACGCACACCGAGTGGATCGCGAGGTGGAACACGTCCAGACGCAGCAGCGTCGCCGTCGCGCCGGCCTCGAGCCTCTTGACGGACAGCGTGGCCACGCCGGCGACGCGCCGCTTGGCAACGTCCACCTCCAGCTCCAGGTCCACGTGGTGCGTGTGGAACTCGCGCAGCGCCGCGCACGTCGCGGGATCGCGCACCTCGACGCTCGCAATGCTCGCCATTGCCGGTTGATCTTGAACTGAGATTGGCTTCGTCTACATTTGCGGAGCGCCCATTGGTGGAAATACGAAACAATATACACCAATGCGCGTACAGCACAGGCACCGGCACATCTATCTATGTGTACACACCGACTCAGAAGATACCATGATCTGATTCCCTCATTTTGAAGATGACCTCGAAGCACGCGGCGCTGTGGGACGAAGTGCAGGGCTCCTGCGACTTCGCCAAGCTGCAGGCGGCGCTCAGCGGGGGTGTTGATGCCTCCGCACTGCTGGACGGGTGGACGCCGCTGCACTTCCTGTGCGAGAACCGCTCCGTGGAGCCGGCGGCGCGCGCCGAGGGGCTGCGGCTGCTGCTGCGCGGGGGCTTCGACGCTAACGCCGTGGACGAGGTGGGCGGGCGAGGAATGCGGTCTATTGGCTGCGCATTTGGTGCATGTTAATGCTCATTTATGGCTCCATTATTGTGATGCAGAGCGGCTGGAGCGCGCTGCATCTGCTGTGCAAGAACAAGAGCGGGGGCGACGCGGACCTGGTCCCGAGCATCCAGCAGCTCCTGACGGCCAGGGCCAACGTGAATCTGCAGACGACGGTGTGTGAAGTTGTCTAGCTGGTGGGTTATTTTGCGATAGGTGTGAGCTGAGCTTTAATTGCCTTTGCAGGACAACAAGAAGACGCCGCTGCATTTTCTGTGTGAGAACGAGGCCGTCTCAGCGGACGCTCTGGAGGCCATCCTCAAGGCCAAGCCAGACACCAGCGCTGTGGACGAGGTGCAAGCGGCTCTACCTTGTGTGGTATATATTGCAGTGTAGTGGAGTATGGCTGATGTCTTGTTTGCTTCCAGGACGGCAACTCTCCGCTTCATTATCTGGCGGAGAACAGCTACGTCTCGGATCGCATGTTCAGCCTCGTGCTGGCGGCGAAACCGAATCTGAACATCCAGAATCACGTACGTCGTTGTGTGTATTTATTTTTTATTGAGGGATGCTGACAGCTAATGCACTGTGGTTTATGGTTTTTCTAGTTCCAATCCACACCAGCTCACTACATTTGCCAGAACAGTCGTGTAACTCAACTTATGATCCGCGAGCTATTGAAGCACAAGGCCAACTTCAACATCAAGAATAACGTAAGTGGCATACGCGTTGGAGCTTATGTAACGCTGTTAATGCTGACTTGTCTTCTTTGTTACCCGGGGGCAGATTGGAAATACGCCCGTTCACTACCTTTGCGAGAACGACGTTGTGACGGTGGACATGCTCAAGGAGCTCATGAGTGATAAGCACGTGAACGTTACCATTCCCAATTCGGTTCGCAAAAAGCAATGGGTGTGTGAGCATGAATGAGGCAACCCGCTCATGTTTTGTATGTTGTTGATTGACTCAGCTGGGAAAGCTGGCAAGCGACTACATTCCGTCAAGAAAGCAAGACTGCCTCGCGTTCCTTCAGAAGTTCGCGGCGCCTAACTTGGCTCCGACGGGTGGAGCATCAGTTGCAACGGCCGAGATTGGTGGTGAAGACTCAAGCGAGTTGCCAGAGCCTTTGAAGACGGCACTCACGGGCTGGAATTCCTCGCTCCCGCCGTTCGATGCTGCCTTCTACAACGCAGTGTCGTGTGAAGCGGCGTTTGAGTCGACCTACGAAGAAGTTCAAGAAGTTTCTGGACGCGCTTGCGAGGCTCCGGGGGATAAGACGATCTTTGCTTCATGGGAAAAGAGCCTGAGCAAGTGGCGAGCTTGCATCCTGCTCGCGTATGCAGCGCTCGTGCCTCCCAACATCTGGCACCAATACGAAGAGCAGTTCAAACGGCCCGTGCCGTCGGACCTCTCAAAGGTGTTGGGCAAGGTGGAGGCAGCGTGGAAGCAATTCCCAGAACAGACCCACCGTCGCGGTCGCTTTGAAGCTCTTGCTGGCCTGTTCAAACCGTAGACAAGGGTGGCAGGAATCCGCAGGCTGCACTAAAGCTGGGCGGGACAAAGGCAAGTGGGGTAATGTCATTTTTGCTTGTAAAATTTGTCTGTGGTGTCTCTATATGAAGACAATCTTGTAGTCACCACAACCGACTTCGTCTTTGTATCTCTCGAACATTTGCTCAAGTGCTGCAAAGTATTTGCTGTGCACCTTTTCAATGTCCTCCTTTGAAGGATTCGGGATATGCGGCACTTCAAGAGGCTCGCCTACCACGATAGGAATGTGCACTTTGCGTGGAATCGGTAGCAGACCACGGCCGTACGGGAAGAACGGGAACGGGACCGCGAACTTCTTCACGGACCATCGCTGTAGCGCCGGCGCTTCGACGTTATCCAGCATCTCGCCCTCGTTGAAGCTGAGAACAGGGACCAAAGGCGCTCCGTGCTGGATGGCGAGGCGAATGAAACCCTTGTGATGAGTGTAGACGCGCACCTCGTTCCTGCCTGAATGTTGCTCCAGCATTTCGGCTTGGCCACCGGGTACGATCAGCACGCTTTCCTTCTGTTGTAATGTGTACGTGAAAGCTTGTCGAGAAACCTCGCGCGAGCCCAAAAACTGAAGAAGGTCTCGCGAAAGAGGCAGCTTGTGCATGACACTGGCCGTCAGAATGTGCGCGTAGAAGTTCGGGAACAGTTTTCGCCATTGTGCGTTGAACTGAAGCCACATGACCGAAATGGGGGTTATTCCGTGAGGGTGGAAGCCCAAGACGTACTGCTTCTTCGGGTCCAAAGGTGCCATCCGAATGATGTTCCCACTGAAGTATCGCTTGGTAGTCTCGATGAGAAAGCTGTGCCCGTTCATCCAGCTAGCGCGTTGGCGACATCCCGTTTCTTGCGGGTCGCCAAAGAACGTGAACTCGTAGCAGTATGCTGCGATTGAGACAATAAGTACAGGGACGAACGCCTCCATGTCGTAAATGTAGTGGCGATACGTGGCTACAGCTGGAAGGCAGCCCGTGACGATCTGGGGCAGCACATACTTGACATCCCATCGATTCACCTCCTTCCGCAGACCATTGTGGGAGTCTTTCAAGTACAGGACGGTCGAGATTGAGCGAGCTGTCATCATCGCTGCCTCGACGGCCCACGCCAAAAAGCCGTACAGAGCCACATCGTACCGACCCAAGTTCGTTGTTATCGCGAAAAGCAAGAATACTGTGGCGTTCGGGATGAGAAAGTTGTTGACCAGTCCCCCGATAACCAGTACTCCACGGCAGTCACCAGCGAATCGATGCAGGCGCTTGTGGAAGTGTGATGACTTCGCTGCAGCCTGTTCATCGTCATCAATGCAGGCGTCTGCCTCATTCAAAAGCTCAGAACCACGACCGGCACCACCTGAAGACTTCCTGAACACCAGCAACGACACCATCATGTCGATCTCCGCCACCACGAACAGGAACCCTGCCACGGCCATGATCCCCACGAACAGCTCCAGCTCCACAACCACCAACGAGAGCAAGTACAGCAATTGCAACCCTATTCCAGCGGCGAAGCAGGACCACGACACGATCTGGAACAATACGAAGCCATGACCGGCTGATAGAAGTTCCAGCCGTCCTTCGTGGATAGCACACCGCCCAGACCGTACGTGTTGAAGAGCGCTGTCACGAATAGCGCAAGTGAACCCAGTCCCGTCGCCATCGGATACCCCACGCTGCTGCCCGATGGATGCGGGAACATGCGCGTGTACTCGGACGCCAAAGCCAACAGCGTCGCGCCCACCAGCAGCAGCATGTTGTTGAAGTTGTTCAGCTGCACCACGAACCGGTCCTTCCGACGCTGACGGTTGCGGTCCCGACGCTTCTCGAGCGTCAGCACCGACGAGATGATGAGCACCTCGGCGATGAACGCCGCCACCGCCTGCACCGAGCGGCTCCCCGGTCGGCAGAACGGCAGACCGCGCACGCCGTCGGACCCGAAGCACACGAGCTGCAGCGCCACGAACAGCGCGTACAGCGTCCAGCCCACGCTCTGGTAGATGGCGAACATGTGATTGCGGCGGTAGCGCCTCGCCAGCTTGGCCAGCAGCGACGACGACGGAGACAACGACAGCGCCGGGGAGTCGGGCGACGGCGGCGGCACCGACGACGTGGGCTCAGCTGAGTCGTCAACAATCAATTTGACAACGAGTTTTATTGGCCGAAAATACATTCCGGAAGGGCAGATCCCGTTTAGGTACGATGGCGAGTTCTCTTCCCTTTCTTCATCCCAGAACTTGCCGCCTCGAGGGAAGATGAAGCTCTTCTGCGCGATCGATGGTGGGGCAGGCCCCGCGTTCTCGGTGCGAGCGGACGAGAGCGACACGGTGGACGACTTGAAGAAGGCGATCAAGAAGGAGAAGACGAACGACCTCAAGGACATCGACGCAGACAAGCTGCAGCTCTTTTTGGCGAAGAGGGAGCGCGAGTGGCTGACTGAGGCAGACGTGGAGAACAGGGTGGGTACGGCTGGATTGACGCTTCTAAAAGCTGCGGGGGCACCGCTCAAGTTGTATGGATTGACGGAGACGAGCGTGCTGGTCGAAATCACGATAGACATGGTCGAGTCTTACCGGACCCCGGTTCACGTGCTGGTGGTGCTTCCGAAGGGGGGAGATGTCGAGCACGACAGGGTGGATGTGCCGAAGGGACGTGCTGTGGATACGACTTCGTGTGATGATCTCCTCGCGTTCCTGGAAAGTGAAATGGCCAACAAGGAAGAAATTGTGGTAAACCGTAACATTTTAGGTGCCGAAAGTTTACAGTTTCGATTGGTTGGAAGAGAAGAGGCAATTAAGACCGCAGCGGATTGCTTCAACCGAATCATCGAGGCTAATCGTGGTACAGGCTCAGACCGCACACACCGTCCTATACCTGTTTGCTCTGGAATTTCGGGTTTGGGGAAAACGCGTATGCTGGAGGAAAGTGGCACGATTCTTGAAGAGATGAAAGTGGACCCCAAGTACGTTATTCGCCTGATTGTTCCGTACTACAATGGATATAAGCCAATACCAGTCGAGCGGTCGATGCCGATTGAGGCGTCTTTCTCGTGGCGGCTTTTGTATCGTTTTTTTCTGGACAATAACTGCGCGTTTGATTTCGTCACGTGGTTCGAGTCACGGCTACCTTGTAATGGAAGTCAGCTGACTTTTCGTAACTGCATTAAAATTATCGAGCGCAAGTTGCGTCAGAGCGTGCAAGTACAAAGGATGCAGTGCATCTTTGTTGGCATCGATGACTACCAAAAGATTGAAAAACTAAGGACCTCTGGAGCAAATGCCGGCACGTCAATCCTGCGCGAACTCGTGGAAACCATAGCACATTTCCTGTGTACGAAGATGTCAAGTCTGGTTGTGTTGCCCATGTTTGCAGGGACGGATTTGGGCGTCATTGCACCGGATTCAATCGCCAATTCCTCGTATTATGTGACCAAGCGGCTTCCCATGACCCTCTTGACCCTGGGGCAAGTGCTCACCTCTGTGGAGAGCAATGCAAATTTTGCTGGGTTCTTGCGACATACTCAGGTCTATCGCCATTTGTTCGCTCTTGGAGGTGTTCCACGGTGGGTTGTCGATTACCTATTGGGACTGAAGAGGTGCTCGGAACCAGATACAATTACATTGAAGAGCATCAAAATGTGCTTCGAGGGCGTCTGGACAACTTACGTCGATGCTTACACGGGGTTAATATCAACCCATCAGCTCGTCCGTTTGGCAGCCTATGCCGTGTCGGGTCGACAGGTTCGACACCAAGACGCGTTCGATAAACAGTTCAAGTGGTCCAAACTTCGAGATTCCTCGATATGCGTGCTCAACCCATCATCATCCACACCTAGAGTTTGCGATGTACGGGTTCCCTACGCGCTGTTGCAGAGTATCGCGTCGAGTGATGATATGACGAGCAAAGCAGAAATTTTTTTTGCAGCAGCTTTAAGTGACATTGAAGAACTGGTGGATTCGGAACTGTTCGTCCGTGAGCCGTGGCAGTCGTGGGAGATGTTCGGTGCTTGTTTCTATGCTGCTCGAATCAATGCCTTGCTGGTGCTTGGGCGCTCGACTGTGACGCTGGGAGAGCTTCTGCCGGGGGCGCTGATGAGCGATGACACGCGTCGCATTTCCGTGAAACTTGCTCCGTCAAGAGTGTTTGAGTGTGCGGAAAAATATGGTTCTTCAACTCCCAAAGTCGTTTCACGAAAAGACCATCTAGCGGAAAAAGCCGACTGGACGTCAAGTGGCAACATCATTGTGAATGGGGTTGGTGGAGCTGGCGTCGATATTTTCTTTGCTCTGAAGGATGCTCTCTCTGAGAATTTGATTGTCTTTGTGGACCAAAGAAAACGGCATTTCGGTAAATTTCAGCCAAAATCAGCAAGGGAGTATCTTCGCAAGCTGAGGAAATCCCGCCCTGCATTTCTCGAGAAAGGCACGCGTTTGGTGGGAGGGGTCATGAATTGTGTTGCCCCGTCAAATCTTGAGGACTATGTTGTGCCGAGTGATTGCTTCCTCTTGACCCGAGACGAGACGGAGCGGTTCCATGGAACATTGGCGTATCATCCAGCATGTACACCTATCGTCCCAATGAATTCAGCCAACAAAACAGCTCTCAAGTCGGTGCTTAAAGGCAGTGAGGAACATGTTGACAAAGCCGCCGAAGAAATTTTGAGGAAGAGGATGGAACCTAGCGGAGGATTCATCGACTACAAGGCAATGCGTTCACATTTCAAAGTCATGAAGCTGGATGTTGAGGTTGATACCGAGTACGCGGTTTGCACAGGTTAATAGGCTCAATAAGTAAGTTTGTCGGCACAGTTGTTGGCAATTAACAAAAGCATGCAAACTGAAGTTTTGCGAGCTGGAGTAAAACCTGCATCTTGAAGAACCGTGTCAGGAGATAAGCAAAAGCCCTGTAAGACTACCGGCAACTACTTACGTAAAAGCCTAAACCAGAATCCGGAACAACCAGAACGCGCTGCTGCGTCGTGCCGAGCAGCAGACTCAAGAGAAGCAGGCACAACTGGATGAAGCCAATGCTCGAGTGAAGGCGCTGGAGGATGAACTGGCACTGCTCTCGCTCACAAGCGGTTCGAATGACTTTGCCTTGCGGGTCAAGGGGCTTCAGCAGGAGGTTTTCGCCAAGTGTGAGCAGCTCGTCCAGCAAGGCGAGAAACATCTCCGCGTCGCCGAACTGCTTGACAAGACGAAGAGCGAGCTGGCTCAGCTTAGAGAGGAGGTGGGAGGAGTGCGTCGCACGCTGCTTCGCGGGATTGGCTTGGATCCGACGATCGCCACCGGTAGTCATGACTCGAGCGTCGATGACATGCTGTACCAGCACGTGAAGCTCGAGGAGCTGGTGCGTCTGCGACTGAAGGCGTTGGAGCATGAGTAACAGCTCGCTGGAGGTCCAATGGCGTCTTCTTCGTCGTCTCTTGACCCCGCGACAGACGAAGGCGAGGCATCGTCGTGCCATTTACCCAACGTCGACAACTTCTCAGCCCTGGACGCTCTCGGCCTTGGTGGCGCTGGACGGTTGGAGCGTGAGATGCGAGTGCTACGAAGCCGCAACAAGCGGCTGATCGAACGCACTGAACGACTCGAAAGCGAGCTCGACACGGCTCAAGCTGGCCTGCGAGACCTGCAAAGCATGCGAGAAAAAGTCGTGGAGATGGTCGGTCGTGAGCGAGTCGAGAAGGAGCTGCGTGCCAAGAGCGAGCTGGCCAACAAGGAGCTGGGCGAGAAGGTCGCCGCTCTCTCGGAGCACGTGGAGAAGCTCATGGTGCATCTGAAGCACGAAGCGGCGGCCAAAACACGCGCAGTGGAAGCTCAACGTCGTGTGGACAAGGAGTTACTCGACGCAAAGGACAAGTTAGCCACTGCAACTCGCAAGCATGTCGCTCAGGACGCAAAGGTGGCGGAGCTGGAGCAGGGCGCGCGAATCCTGGAGGACCAGCTCCGTCTAATGGACGAGAAGTTCATCGACGTGCGCAACAAACTGGACTGGACGCGATCAAACGCACGCAAAGAGAACAAACAGCTCTCGGCGGAGCTGTGCTCGCTGCGTATGAAGTGGCAGATGGCGAGCGACTCGGGCGTCCTCGCTGGGCTTCCCGACTGGGTCTCTGCTACATCCGTGGCGAAGTTCTCCAAAAAGCCGCCGCTAGGAACCAGCAGCTCCGACTCGCGACTGCCAACGCCTAAAACCTCCAACAACGGTCTTTCGCCCGTGGTAGCAGCGGTGGTGCAGGACGCCTTAGCCATTGGCAACGGCGCGCGTGTCAAGTTTGAGATCCCGAAGTTGCCTCAGCCGGAGGCTGACGCGGGCACACCGTGGTCTGACGCCAAGTTGTCCGTACTTCAACGTCAATTCCAAGACAAACGCCGAGGCTAATCTCATGGTTAATAGCATGAAAGTTGCCGACTTTAAGCCTTTGATTGAGATTAGATTGATGGAGGTGGTGGTTAGTATACTCTACGTCACAGAAATCTCATTCTCATTTGAGAATCTGCGGCCTTGAGGAACGATGGGGAAGATAATACTCACTTGCGCGATTGTTGGTGTGGGCAGCACGTTCGGCGTGGAAGTCGACGATGGCGAGAAGGTGGGTGGGCGAGTTGAAGGAACCGATCAAGCAGGAAAACTCGATGGCTTGACCCAAAAGGCAAAAACCATATCCGCCACTTCAACATGGAGACCACTACAATATCGCCGAGGGGGGGGGGGGGGGGGATGCGCAGCACGCCGCGCGGCGCGTGCGAGATGGAGATCGGGAACCACGCGGCGGCGCTCGTGGCGGGCACGGCCAGCAGCAACGCCCACTGCGCGGCGAGGTGCGTCTCGCCCTGCAGCACGTCGGCCAGCAGGAAGCGCGGGTGGTGGTGCGTGCTCGGCGATGGCGAAGAGCGTGAAGGCCGCGAACGACGTGACGGCCATCGAGAGCAGGAGCGCGCTTCGAGCATTGAGTCGGTCGACCGAGATGGTCGCAGAGTCTGTATCCTCGATGTGAGGGACAGGAGGCGGAAGCGTCTGGGGCTTGCGGTGCCGTTGTCGCGGCGATGGCATTGGTGTCTGCAGACGACGGAACTCTTCTTGACTTGAGCTACTCGTGCTCTGGACGGCAAGTGGAGCAATGAGAGCAATGAGAGCACTGCATTCGTTAGTACAGCTGGTGGTTTCGACTGACTTCAAGGACAACCGAAGTCGGTCCAAAGCAGGAAATGCTGCATACAACATACATACCGTCCACCCACCATTTGGCAGCACTATGTCGAGCAGTTTCAACGAGAATTAGATTGGGGACGCGCATGTATTCCTTTGCGACCACACGACACTAGTGAAGCGCACATGTTAGGACGCCCAATTTATTGACTTCACTCACCGTACCCCGCGTCGAAGTACGAACCTCGCCTACTTCGGTAGTAATGTAGCCGCCTTTTGAGGGTATCATTTCACAGCATTTTCACGGTCGACGAGATGCTCAAATTCTGGCGACACCCATCAACTTGCTCCGGAACACATCATACTAGGGAGCTGCACTATCGAGACTGCGCTTGGCTCGCTCCAAAGCGCACTGCAAAGTTCTTGAGGCTCGTTTAGTATGAAGCGGATGGATGGTATTATGTTTTTTCTTTCCTACAATGGGCCTAACAACTAGCGAGGGCGCTTTCTTCAAAGGAGGACGAGTTTGTAGTCCCCGCAGCCGACTTCATCCTTATACTTGTCAAACATTTCCTGAAGGGCAGCAAAGTATCTGGCGTGCACCTTGTCGATATCCTCTTGAGTGGGCTTCTCGATATGCGGCACCTCCAATGGCTCCCCCACTACAACCGGAATATCGATCTTACGCGGGATCGGCAGCAGAGCGCGGCCGTACGGGAAGTACGGGAACGGGAACGCGAGCTTCTTGACGAACCAGCGCTGCAGCATCGGCGCCTGGACATTGTCCATCATCTCGCCCTCTTTGAAGCTAAGCACGGGCACCAGCGGCACACCGTGCTCGATGGCAAGACGGATGAAGCCCTTGTGGCGGGTGTACACGCGCACCTCTTTCTTCGCAGACTGTTGCTCCAGCATCTCCGCCTGACCACCGGGCACAAGCAGCACGCTTTCCTTCTGCTTGAGTGTATACGCGAACGCTTGTCGGGAGACTTCACGCGACCCGTAGAAGTGGAGCACATCGCGGGCGAGCGGAATTTGATGCAGGATGCTCGCCGTTAAAATGTGCGCGTAGAAGTTCGGGAACAGCTTTCGCCATTGCGCCGTGAACTGGAGCCACATGACCGAGATCGGCATGATTCCGTGGGGGTGGAAGCTCAGCACATACTGCTTCTCCGGGTCGAGGGGTGCCATCCGAATGATTGTTCCACTGAAGTAGCGCTTGACCGTGTCGATCAGCATGCTGCGACCCGTGACCCAGCTTATGCGCTCCCGACACCCGGTTTGTTGGGGATTGCCACGGTACGTGAATTCGTAAATGTACACGAAGGCTGTAAGCAGCAGCACGGAAACAAACGCGTCGTTGTCGTCGATGTAGTGGCGGTACGTGGCTACAGCCGGAAGGCAGCCCGTGACAACCTGGGGCAACACGTACTTGACATGGTAGCGGTTCACTTCCTTCCGCAGACCGTTGTGCGAATCCTTCAAGTACAAGTGCGTCGCGATTGAGCGAGATATCACCATGAAAAACTCCATTCCAGTAGCTACCACGCCGTAAAACGCGACACCAGCCGGGCTCAAGTTTGTAGTGAGTGCGAAGAACACGAACATCAGAGCGTTCGGAATGAACTGGATGTTGGCCAACCCACCGATAACCAGCACCGCAAGGCACTCGTCTGCAAAGTCGCGAAGACGTTCATGAAAACCCAAAAAGCGGGCATGGATCGACGATGATACAGCCGAGGTAACATCTTCTGACGAGTTCGATTCATCTTCAGGGGCCTTGGTCTCAGTCACCGACTTTTCGGAAACAGAGTCGACTCTCTTCGGTGACTGAACAGCCTTCCTGAAAACCAACAACGACATCATCATGCCGATCTCCGCGACCACGAACAGCGATCCTGCGACGCCCATTGCACCGACAAACAGCTCCAGCTCTACAACCACAAGCGAGAGCAAGTACAGCACCTGCAGCGCCGCACCGGCCCCGAAACACGTCCATGACACGATCTGGAACAATACGAAGCGAGCTCCACCCATGAACGGCTGATAGAAGTTCCAGCCGTCCTTCGTGGATAGCACACCGCCCAGACCGTACGTGTTGAAGAGCGCTGTCACGAATAGCGCAAGTGAACCCAGTCCCGTCGCCATCGGATACCCCACGCTGCTGCCCGATGGATGCGGGAACATGCGCGTGTACTCGGACGCCAAAGCCAACAGCGTCGCGCCCACCAGCAGCAGCATGTTGTTGAAGTTGTTCAGCTGCACCACGAACCGGTCCTTCCGACGCTGACGGTTGCGGTCCCGACGCTTCTCGAGCGTCAGCACCGACGAGATGATGAGCACCTCGGCGATGAACGCCGCCACCGCCTGCACCGAGCGGCTCCCCGGTCGGCAGAACGGCAGACCGCGCACGCCGTCGGACCCGAAGCACACGAGCTGCAGCGCCACGAACAGCGCGTACAGCGTCCAGCCCACGCTCTGGTAGATGGCGAACATGTGATTGCGGCGGTAGCGCCTCGCCAGCTTGGCCAGCAGCGACGACGACGGAGACAACGACAGCGCCGGGGAGTCGGGCGACGGCGGCGGCACCGACGACGTGATGCGCAGCACGCCGCTCGGCGCGTGCGAGATGGAGATCGGGAACCACGCGGCGGCGCTCGTGGCGGGCACGGCCAGCAACAACGCCCACTGCGCGGCGAGGTGCGTCTCGCCCTGCAGCACGTCGGCCAGCAGGAAGCGCGGGTGGTGGTGCGTGAGCTCGGCGATGGCGAAGAGCGTGAAGGCCGCGAACGACGTGACGGCCATCGAGAGCAGGAACACGCCGCGCGCGCTCATCTGCTCGACGGGGACGGCGGCGAAGGCCTCGTCTTCGTCTTCGGGCTCGACGATGAGACGCGGCAGCGCCTTGGGCTTGCGGCGCGTCAGATGTGGCGCCTCCATTGCGGTGGTGGCGTGCTGCTTGAGCGACTTGAGCGCTGGACTGCAACTTGTGGACTGAGCCGAGGTGAGGTGAGGTGATGCGGAGTGGAGTGGGTGGAAGTGCGGTGGTTATCAGGGGTTTCGCGCCGTAATCGAGCTGATCCACCGACAGGATTAAACACGTGCGTAATCGGCGCAAGCACTGCAACGGGAGAAAGCAGCAACGCGCCGTCGCACCGAAGGAAGATGTGAATGTGCAGGGGGAAATGGAGGGCTGCATGGCGGCCCCAGGCGCGATGCCCTGCGAGCTTGACCCTGGGCGTTCCCTTGACAACCGTGACACGAAAAAGGTGGGACCACACTGCGCAAAAACGATTTTGGACATGGATTTGTTTTTTGGTGAAAAGCTAGCTGAAGCTCCTCGAGCTGGACGTGGAAGGCAATTGCGTCCGCTGCGTCGTGTGGCCCGCGGGCCACGCTTGATAAAGGAGTCTCCATTGGGTGTTGCCCGGTTAAGATCTTACCGCCCCCGGCAATGCCTTCAACTTGACAGGTAAAGTGTAAATCACAATATCTTTCCAAACTTTACTCTATTGGCACAGAGCATGACGTAATCATAGGTGAATCATCCCATTTTGAAATAGTGCCCATTTAGAATACCCATTTTGGGAAGCAGTTTGTATCGGCGCTACGTTCGAAGCTGGTGTTCGTTCTCCTCCTACCTGTCATTCTAAACTCTGTCAGCTCACGGTATCAGTGCATCCGACTGCTGTACCAGTACGACACCTTTCCATCAGGAATGCCGCATAAATAATGAAGTCCAGCCGAGCCGATCCATTAGAAAAATTGTGCCTTCCCAGTTGTTGAAGATCCGACGGGCTTTGGGCTTCACAAAAGCGTGAAAACGCGTACAATTAGAAACTGAAGCTTCCGTTTTTTGGCGCAAACATACATGTGTTTCTGTCTTGGTAATTACACAGGAAGGTGCGAATGAGGGCGGGCAATACAAACGGTCATTCTGAGCAACAGTACCCTCCAAATAGCTGGCCATTCGGACGACTATCCTTTAGTGCGCTCAGTGCGCTCGGGTCTGACTAAGCTGCATCTCGCATGTACAATCGCATGGAGTTTTAAAAGCAGTCGAGCCCGGCTGGGTGCGAACCAAAATTGGCCAAGATTGGGCCTTTACCCTTTCCTGGATCGAATTCTCCGTAATCATGCAACTTCAACATTCACTTGGAGTCAACCAAGCGACATGATACGCAGCGGGCCTATGCGACCTGAAGTTGCCCTGGCACACCGTTGAAGCGATTCAACCCTCTGTATTTTCGCTGCGTAGCTACTTACACACTCAACGCCGAAGTTTGGACATGATGTCGTTAAAAGCCGCCTTGCTCTCTTCCGGCTTCGCGACGAACGCACCGACGACCAACGCGGTGGCCGTCAGTCCAACCACACCCGCCGTCTTCCGACCTGGCAACCAACTGCCTGAAGATTTGGAGCGCGCGTTCTTGGGGCTGCTCAAGTAAAAAGAAATACATGAATAAGACTTAAGCACCACCCAGTATAAACCAAGCAAACCACCACGTACGGTCTTAAGGCAGTAGCCACGAGGGCGCGAGCAACCTCATCCTTGACGCAGTGCGCTTCGTAGCACTTCAGCGACGTCAGGTACTGCTTTAACGTCGCATCAATCGCAAAGTCGACGGGCTCTTCATTCACCAAGGCAGTGCTCTCGTCGACGTCGATTTCCACGTCTTCGTTGTGCTTTTCCGGCTTGTAACTGATGACCACGCGCGGAATCGAAGCAGGCAGCTTCTTATCCAGCTCCTCCACAAACACCTTGCTCGGCTCGTCCTCAGGATTCAACATCAGGAGCAGGACATCCGCCTTCATCTCGATCTCCTCATCCGACAACGCTTCCGTGATCTGCTCAATGCACGCAACACATTCGTCACAATCAACAAGATATCTACCACATTGGCCGCAAACGACTCCACTTACAAAGAGGTATTTTGTCGTGTCTCGGTCAGGCACAGCCCCAATGCCGCGCAGAATAAACTGATCATCGTCTGCTACAGGTGCCTCTTTTCCACCAACAAACGCACGAAGGAAATGCTCCTTTCCAGAACCCGGTGAGCCAAAAATGTAGCACGAGACCAGGTTACGATCGATCCTCATGGCCTTGCGCGTCAAGCTGCGACTCCTGTTAATCAGAAAATAAGTAGTGTGTGATTAGATCTCAACGTGATCTGGATGCATACAGCACACGACACTTACTTGACAAACTCGATGGCCGGGAACAGCTTGTCATTGTAGCCCAGGTAAAAAAGCGTTTCAAGAAGCTTCTGCGGGTTTTCCTGGGCCACAAAACTCCAGCAAGCAAGCCACACGGCAAGCGACAGTGTGGGCTTCCCGTCTACCATGGTTCTCTCATAGAGAAGTGGCGATGAGATAGCAGAGCACGTTGTCCAAGGCGCACTCTCGTCCTCGCAAATGGAAAAGATGGCTTCAACTTCGTTCTCCGCAATATTGTTATCCTTGTTCGCATCAAACTGGCGAAACAGGTTCGTCAGGAACTCGACCGCTTGGGGAGTGAGCTGCGCAGATTGGTCGTCTCCATACGGCGGCAGCTGGAGGCGCTCGGGCGGAATCTCCAAGTGCAAGTCATTATTGTATCCGAGACTTCGCAACACCTGCCAGCCTGACTCGGGCCGGTTGCGATCGATAAATAGCCACCACAGATAGATGAATCCGTCTACAAAAAGTCCGCTGCGATCGGGAGCCACACCAGACGGCACCTCGGACGAAAGGTACTCCATCAACGTATCGATCTCCGTGGACAGAAGACGCACGCCGAAGCAGTCGTACTGGTACTTATTCAGCTCCTCTCGACTAAGAATTCCACTGCGATCGCGATTATAGAGACGGAACGTCCGCTTGATCGCCTTCAGGCACTTTGGTTGCAATTGCTATTGCATTGCATTGCAAACACACATCAAATAAGTACCCCTCCATAAGAATGATCTCATAGCTGCTTCAAAAATCCATTGGGCAACGTACCCGTTTCTTTTCATTGTACAGCGGTGCCACAGGATAGAGCACCGCCTTCTGCGCCAAGAAGAAAGCCTGCGCCACCTGCGTGAAATTCTTCGCCGAGCATTCCACCTCCGACACCACAAACTGCAACACGAAAAGCACCAAAGCGCTGCACTGTCAGATATTGCCAATACGAAATAGTTTGTAATAGCATCAGCACCCACCGGATACGTGTTGACCAGGTGCCGCACTTGGCTCGCGTAGGGGCCGTCCGTGGTGGGCGTGACGGCGTTGATGTCCACTTTGTTGGCGACCAGCACGACGGGGATCTCCTTGTTCTTGGCGATAAAGTCCAGCCAGCGCCGCAGCCGCTGGAACGTCTCGGGCCTCGTCAGGTCGTACACCAGCAGGATGGCGTCGCTGCGCTTGGCGGCGTTCGTCACGCGCATCAGGTCGGACACACGAGCTGCACCAACGATGTAAGTAAACTATATTGCATTAATTAAAAGGTAATAAATAATAAATAAATAAAATAAATTACGTACAGGAGGTGTCGGTGATGGAGATGATGACGTTCTCATCGCTCTCCTCGGCCGGGATCTGCACGTTGAGCAGCACGCTCGGCACCTTCTCGCTGAAGTGGCGCGACACGAGCGAGCAGATGAGCGACGTCTTGCCCACCTTCTCGTCGCCCAGCACCTCGATGCGCACCACCTGCGGCTTGAGCGGCAGCTTCTCGCGCGCCGAGTCGCCCTCGTCGCCGCGCGCGGGCTTGGACGAGGCCGTGGCCGCCATCCTCAGTACTTCTCCGTCCTGCGGCTTGGAGTATCCGCACACCACGCGCACACCAACTTTTTTCGCGCCTTTTCAGCCAATCTCGTTTCATGTCACGCGGCGCATCTTCTGCCATTGGCCGAAAAAAATAACGCTCTGAGAACAGCTGCCGCAGTTCCAGCTCAAGCTCAGAAGTAGCGCCGCGGCCGGCAGGAAACGGACGCCCGCTGTGACGCTCTGCCGACGCTCAAGCAGAGAGAGAGAGAGCTCTGGACAAGGCGAGACTGCCATTGTCAGTCCGCAACGTGCCGCGTACCAGCGAGAGACAGCGCGAGGCGTTGTCGTTTTGCCCCAACGGCCTGGCCTGCGATGGTTCCGAAGGGTCCCACCGACTCGGTCTCCAGTGCGGAGACCTCGACAGCAGCGCCCAAGCTGCAGCTGAGCACCCGGCGGCGCCGCCACTCGAACTGCGATATGCACGAGGCCGGTGGATCTAGTGTGGCGGCGCCGAGCGTTGGCGTTGGCGTTGGCTGCGAGAAGAAGCGGCAGCTGTTCTGGCGCAATGTGGTCAAGCAGTTCAACTTCACGGACCAATCGGAGCGCGAGCTGCTGCTGTCGCTCACGGACGGCATCAGCTGGATGCACATGCGCGTGCTGCCCCGGGACTTCGTGCGCCGCCACCGAGAGATCTACTACCTCATCTCGTCGCCCGAGTACGAGCGCTCGGGCGCCATCGGCCGCGACGTCACGCGCACCTTCAGCATCTTCGAGCGCAGCCACCAGCACCAGCTCGCGGCGCAGCAGAGCGCGCTGTTCCGCGTGCTGAACGCCATCGCCGAGGCCGAGGACGGCTACTGCCAGGGCATGAACTTCATCGCCGCGCTGTTCCTCGTGGAAGGGCTGTCCGAGGCGGACGCCTACGCACTCTTCCTCTACATGCTCAAAAAGCGCCATCTGGCCGGGATTTACCACCGCAGCTCCACGTTCTTGGACGAGTATCTCCAGCACTTTGAGCAAATGTTCATTCGGGACCTGCCCAAGCTGCACGCCCACCTTCTGGCGCAGGGCTTCGCTATCCCCATGTACGGCATCGAATGGTTCACGACGCTCTTCTCGCTGTCCACCAAGACGGAGCTCGCGTGCGCGATATTCGATCTCTTCTTTGTCGGGGTGCAGGACATTTTCTTACGCGCAGGGCTGGCGATTCTCAAGCTGCTGGAGGCCAAGCTCATGTGCATGGCGTTCGAGGAGTTCCTGCGTGAGTTTAAGCCCCTGGTGCGGGAACTCGACCCTTATCAGGTCATTTTGCAGGCGCTGGCGCTTCGACCGAACCCCAAGATGCATCGTGAGGACACGACTGCACATGTATCCCGAGAGCATTTTCTTCGGACGGTGGGGGCTGTCGCGCCTTCGTGCAGTGATACTGGGGCTTCTAGCAGCGATAGCAGCTCAGCCGAGGGCGAGGAAGAATCGATCTCATCGCTGGGAGGGTTCGGACTGCATCGGACGCTGCCCCCGGAGATGGCCGAGGCCGTCCGGTCAGGTAACGGGTCGCTGGTGCGCCGATTGTGGGAAGCTCACGTGATTCGTCGCCACTACAGTGCCACCGCGAGCGTCGTCCTGGCAAACGAGATCCTTCACTACGCTATCTGGTATGGGCGTGTATCCGTTGCGTGTCTGGCGATCGATCGCTGCCATGCCGACGTCGACAATCGAGACGATGCCGGTCTTACGCCGCTGCATTTTAGTGTAATTCGAAACCAGCCCGACATGGTGCGTCTGCTGCTTGCCCACGGTGCGCGTATGCAGGAGACCAGCATGCGGAGGTACTCGCCGCTGGAGTTGGCACATCGCTGGAAGCGGCGTGACACGACGGCGGCGCGACTTGTATTAGAAAAAGAAGAGGTGTGCTTGTACTGCAACACGAAGTTCGACGTGCTGGCGCTGGAGACAGCAGTGTGCGGCCACTGCGAGTTCCGCTTCTGCTGTCGACCACAGCACGCTCTCTGTATCTTCAAGCACCAGTGCCCGAAAGCAAACTGCGCAGGCGGTGGACGTGTTCGAGGATTCGGCAGAGACCGTCGGCTGTCCGAGCCGACCATGGCGATGCTCAACATTTGCGATGAGGCTGCGGACAGTAACAATGACAAGGAGGCAGTGCATGATCTGTCCAATCTTGGCTGCAGTCGTTCTAGGGATTCAAGCACGTCAACGGCTACAACAGTGTCGACGTGCAGTCGGGTTGGGGGCAGTCTGACGCTGAGTCGCAGCGTATCCGAGTCTTCGTCGCTTGAGTTTCTGAACTCGCCAGCCGCGATGTCCTGGCTTGGGTCACCTCGCTTTTTTGACGACAGTTTTCCAAGAACAAGTGACCCAGCTCAGCCAAACCAAGACGCTGACACGCCTAAATCCCCGGAGAGCGTCAAGATATCGATCCGTCAGACCTGGCAAGTGGCGGCGCGTCCTGTGCTAGAGTTTCCTGATCGACCGGAATGGTACTGCAACGCGCGCGAGTGCCATTTCGTCTTCGCGCTCTTCTCACAAGCAGCCAAGTGTTCACGCTGCGAGGGGTACTTCTGCTCCGAGCACGTCGACAGCAAAACCAAGCACTGCTTTGAGTGTCGACGAGACCTTGTATGTTCCCCCCGTTCGCATTCTACGGACACTGCACTCAAGCAGTCTTATTAGATTCATTGTTTGATCATCATAACTTTTTATCTTGTTGGAAGCAAATCAAGCACAGCATCGAGCGGCGATAATATTTTTATTCGTACACTTCGAGCGATTGCTCGTCTACCTCCAAGTCGCTACTGCTGCTACTGCTAACACTGCTGGACCTTGTGCGGCGAGACTTCTCCGCCGCTTCGAGTACGCTAGCGCGGACGTCAGCCTCGCCGTCCGATCCTGCCTCTGCGCCGTCACTATTACTATTGCTGTTGGTGTCGTCCTCCGGGATCGTGCGGAACGAGTTGAACTTGGCAGGGTTATGTCTGGCAAGTCCAGGCACCGCCACACCTTCGTCTTCACAGCCGCACATTGAGTCACGACGTGCTCTCCTGTTGAGCTGCTGATCAGCTTCCTCTTGCTCGTACTGCCTCACGAGTTCATCGCGCTCGTCTCGCATGCGGTCGGCATCAACACCCTCCTCAAAGCGAGCTTGCTTGAGACGCTGCAGCTCCTGCTCGTAGTGCGCGACATTCGATCTCAGGTTCGACATGCACTCGTCGATATCCGGGAACATGATGTACATGAGATCCCAGAGGGGCGAGACGATCTTCTGAGCGAAGAAGAGCTGGCCCTCAACCATCTTCAGAGGATCGTCGATGTTCCTGTACGAGATCGGGATGTTCTCCGCCTGCTCCATTAACGCCTGGTATGCGAACTCCTTCGAGATCATGTTACTCCACTTCAACGCGACGGGCTTGGGGAATACTTGGCCAGACAGATCGCTCGCATGAACAAGTGTCTTCACAAGGAACAATCGGTCCTCTACAGTGCCATTGTACGTCCACCCTCCCTTCGTTGATCGGCCGCTAAACGAGCGACCAGGCGCGCACTTTCCACCTGAAAAACTGCTAGGGGCCGAGCCGCTGGTACTGCCGCGAGGAGTCCCAGCTACTGAGCCTTCAGGTTGCATCACAGCATCGCGTAACACAGTTAGGATTTCTGGGCCCTGTTTCGATTGATCCTTGGTAGCTGCGACTTCAAACATCGGCTTTGCCCCACTGCTCACGGCAATGATAGCCGTGACGCTGGAGTTATCGCGCTTAGCAGACGAGATCGAAGTCGTATCAACGTGGTGATTCGATGGGCGAAGAACCTTCTCCAGTGACTCCAGGAACTTGAAATGATTCGCCATGTCCGTGCCCAAAATCGCAGTAATCACCATCTTCCGCACGTGGCGATAATCGACGGGGGTCAAGTTTTGCAGGATGTTCGCGTTCTTCTCCTTGGAAATCAATCGGAAGGTCGTGTACGCATGATGATGCTCCAGTACCGACTCGTCGCTGTAAAGCATCGCCAACTGCGAGCCAGACTTCACCTCAAAGTCGTTCGTGTGGCCAGGGTGGTCAACGTCGTGGCCTAGCGATGCAATCAGGCAGGCAGCAATGTCCAGTGGCTGAAGCAGTTGACCAGCGTCTGTCGTGCTGAGCAGGAGATAAGAAGCGTGGACCACCGAGAAGGCGTGCATGAAGTTGTGGAACGGATTCGGGTGGTAGTGCTCCTTCATCGCCACGATGAAGTTTTGCAGCCGGTGCTTCGTCGTTTGCAATACCTCGTCCACCTTGAAGTCCAGGTACATTTCTTCCAACAACTTCGGGAGTGCCGCTGGGTCCGTCGTGAATACGTTGAAATCCCACGAGGGAAACCGAGAGCCTGGTGGTGCGCTGAAGAGCAATCCAGACGGAATGCTTTCGTCACTTCCCACAAATTCGTAGCCTAATCGGCCAGAATGGTGGTTCTTATTGCCTGTAGCTTTACCGAGACGCTGTTCGACGACATTCTCCAATGGATGCACGTGGTCTTTCACCTTTTTACTCGCAACAGGAGAAGCATCGGAAGAAGGCTGGTCTTCCTTTAGCTTGGCAGCAGCTGCGCATTCGGGACAATCGGCCACATGACGATCACTCGGGATGAACGAATTGCGGAGGCAGGCTTCGGGGTGGGCGCTCACTGCGGACGCGTAACTCGTGTAGCATTCCAGCAAATTTACTTGACTTCGAGCTCGCTTCGCCAATACCTGTTCCGCTCGCGTATCCGCCAATAGTTTAATATACTCGATCTCGTTGCTGCGTCGGCGCAGAATGACCGCAACCTCGCACGCGAAAGCTTCAAGAGCACATTCGTCATCGAACGTAAAGCCCGGACAGCACCCGGGAGTTATTCCACTAGGCACTTCCTCCTCCACTTTGTTGATGATCTCCAGCACCGCAATGGGTCGATTGCTAGTAGCAGACACCCCTTCGTTGTTCTGAGAAGATTCCTGAATGCCCACAGGCACGTACAGCACGCAGCGCGTGTGAACGCCGCGACGCTGATCCGTCATCCAGTTATAGCGCCGATCTGTGTTGGGGTTGCGGACGTTGAGGGTTTGCTGCGTTGTGGCTGCAAGGCCCAGCATACTTGCTCGAAGAGGAACCCGAAGCGTCTCGTCACAGTAGCTCGACGACAATGACCACAGCTCGTCCGTCTCCCAGTCGATCATGAACAGCGACACACGCTCGGCCTTGGTAATATGGCAAGCGCCGTCGATCACACCGTCCACGAGGTTCAGCACCGTGTCTTCGGTATCCGACGAGCTGATAATGTGCAACAAGGCCTTCTGCGTGCGCTCCGAGAGCAATACGTCGTGAAACTCGATACACTTCCGCATGCACGAACTCAATATCGGTCCAAGCCACGTCAACAACTTGACGTGGAGTTCATCCATCACGCGCCGCGTAGGGTGGGCTGTCGTAGCCTCAATGATCGCGTACACTGCATCATGCTCCATCAAGGGCACACAGAAAAGCTTTTGTCCTGGGAATTCGTGCGCCAAGTCCACTTCCGGATCGAATCCTTCTTCAGCGCTAAAGTCCACCAAGAACCGTGCTACCCGCGACTTGAGCGTCTCACCTACAAGTCCTCGAGACGGGGCCAATCCAGACTGTGTCGGTACACCTCGAGTGATGCGGGACATGCTCTGCGAGTTCTGATCCACCAAGAAGACGGCGGCCGCTGCGGCGCCAAGGTCGTCCTGTAGGAAATCCAGCAGCAAGCGGATCATAAGCACCACGTCGTTTAGGTCCAAAATGCGCTGCACCAGCTCCCAAAAGGCTCGATGCTTTTGCTCCGTCAGGTAGCGCTCGTCGTAGTCCGACTGGCCGTCAGCGTGGGCGGAGCTCGACGAGCCGCGGGCACACGCCATGATCCAGGACAGCACGCCGTTCACAGCCGACATGACGGAGGCGCTCGAAGCCGAAGAGTTCCTGTCCTTAGCATCGCCACTGCTGTAGCGGATCCCCGTGGTATCCAGCGTCGACGCCGGGCTCTCGCCGCTCTCTCGTCTCCTGCGTCGGCCAGGCGTCCGCAGCACGGGCTCATTGCCGTCGTCACTGTCCTGGGAGGAGGACACCGTCGTGTCCGAGAGCGAGTGCATCTTCTCCTTGGGCCTCTTCACGGGCGAGCGCCTCTGGGACGCGTTGGTGTCGCTGAAGCTGGTGCCGCCGCTGCTCAAGGCGTTCCCCATGTCTGTAGATCTGCTCTGTGTGTCTGTGTGTTGTGTCTCTCTTTCTCTTCTCCACTGCTGTGGTTCGTTCCTATCGGTCGGTTTCTGGTCCCCCAGTCCACTTCAAATGCCGGTGGCGTGTCGCGGGTCTCAGTGGAAAAGTGGAATGAGGCGGGTCCCCCTCTCGCCCATGGACGGCTCCAGCGCGACCTTCTCTTCCGGTGCGCGCTCGCTCGCTCGCTCGCTCGCTGGCGCCGTGCGATATGCGAGCGCAGGTGCTGAGTTGAAAGTGGGGACCCGCAGCAGTGCGAGCGAGTGGGCGGGCCACTCGCCAGTGTGCCGCCCCCGGGGCAGAAACCGACCCTTTGTCTGCGAAAATGACGCTACTTCTCTATGTGGCCCGCGACGTCTCGCTTAAATACGAATTGACACTACGAGATTTTTTTTTCGTAAGCTCAATCGTTTTGGATGGAAATCCTAGCAAATTCCTGACTGCGGACGGCGCAGCAGGGCACATACATGTATGCATTCAGTGGCGGTGCCATCGCCACCAGCTACAGCTCGCTCGTTAAACGGACTGCCACACCTCACCTCCAGGCTCCTCCTCGATGGGATTAATAGTCATGATTAACTTGTAAAGAAATCAGTCGCTGTCCCAGCACGCCTAGTCTGCTGTGGCAGCTGGGTTTGACAACATGTTTAGCAGGATGAACGTTGCTGCGCTCGCATCGCTGCAGTGGTCTGTTCTCGTTTCGTTCAGTCCGTTTTCGACTATTTTTCAGGGAATTTTTGCTAGTACCGGTATAGTGGTAAGAGCTACCACGAAGATCGTCAGGAGCGCTCGCTACTGCTCGCAGTAGTGAGTAGGAGCGAATCACCAAGCATAAAAGTAAGGCCTTACTGCTCGCAACTTTCAGTTAAAGTGAGACATCCGTCCCGCGCCAAGTCGGCTCGAAAATAGAACCGGATGCATTTTTATTATATTTCGCGCGGCGCCACGCCAACGAGTGCTGCGCCGCAAATCGAGCTGTCACAACACGCAGTTTCATCTTTGGAATCTCCCTCGTTTTAACATCGTCCTCACCGCTGCTTCACATACCGCACTGTTGGATCTGACCTGCGCATACAGACCTCAACAAGTTGAGACGGATCACGGCCACCGGCACCGCATTTCCATGCCGCCAAGGGATGGATGGACCGGACCATGCGCTGAATATGTCCTCTGTACCAGCAATCGGGCGCGCCACAGTAAGGACGCGAACCTCCTCGGTGTGGACAAAGTTTTGCGGCCTTTTTGCCAGGGGTCGTCAAGAGGAGCCTGTGTACACACGCAGCCCAACTATTATTTGCTTCAAATTAGCAGCTACCAACGACGGAGACGAGACGCGAGAAGACCGAACCAAGCACTGCGACGAGCTCTGCGATGAAGCCGACGGAGCTTCCAGCGTCGGTGGAAGAAATCCCATACTGAGAGAGACGCCACGCGCGCTTAAAACCCGAGCCACGTCAGCAAAAATACAGCGGTAGTGGCCGGCGACGGCACGAACTCCACGAGTCCGTCCTTCCAGCGGCACGACTCGTCGTAGAGGAACTGCATGCTCTTCAGCAGCGACGGGTGCAGCGTGTGCGGCTCGTTCTCGTAGAGCCACATGACGCCGGCCCACACCACGGTGGCCAGCAGCGGGTACACGTGCTTGAAGCGGTGCTGCGCGAACGGGTGGTAGCCCCTGGCGGCCAACACGCGCACCAGGCTGATGAGCGCTCTTGACATCAGGTACATGATGATCTGGAAGTTGACGCTCGAGTAGCGGCCCCACACCAGGTAGCCGCCGATGCCGCCGGCCACCGCCGCGTGCCAGTGCGCCCCGGGCTTCCCCACGCTCGTGGTCACGCGCTGTCCGAGCGCGTGATGCTGGTGCGCTCGTAGCACCGCCAGCACCGACTTGTACACGCCCACGAACAACGCCAGGTTCTTGCTGTGCTCGAACGTGAGGCGGATGACGCCGCGGAGCTTCTGGCGCACAGAGCCCTTCTGGAACAGGAAGATCATGACCATGGCTGTTCCCACATACACGCACAGCAGACGCGGCAAAAGTCAGCACAACAAGGCGAGACGGAGGTTCGTAGAGCGACCCACGTACCATGCGGGGCGCGCACCTTGGTGCCGTAGAACGACCCATTTCGGACGCCGCGCAGGATCGCCAACAGCGCGTCCTGCATGACGCTTTCTTCCTGCTGTGAGACTCTTCGAACCGGACGCAATTTCGGTCGATATTGGAGCCCTCTGATTGGCTGATTGGCGAGTCTAATCGTGTTGAAGTTGAGGTTTAACGTGCTGCCGAAGTGAGCTGGTCATAGGCCCGAGTGATCAGCGCGTAGGCTCCAGCCAGCTCTTGCTGCCATATTGGGGGCAGTGCCGCCGCCAGCGCGTGCCATTTGTCTGGATGCCACTCCAGCGAGCGCCGATGGTAGGCGCGTCGGATGGCGGCGCGGCTCGTCTCGCCCTCCTTCAGGCCCAGCAGAGCCCAAGCGCTCATGTCCACACGCGGAACGTCTGAGTTTCTGCTGTGGGGAACAGTGCAACCGCCAGTGAATATGGAGGGAAGAAGAGGAAAGTAATGTGTGAGGGCTACGTACGTGAAGAGGTCGTACAGCGGACGCGGGAGGGCGTAGAGCACGTCGTTACCAGAAGAGAAGCCGCTGAACGCGAGGCCGCCGATGTTGTCCATCCAGTATCGCTCACACGAGACAGCGTTGAAATGAAAATATCGTGGCAGAAGCAACACTTGCAGCTCACGGTGCTGGTAGTCGCGCTTGAGAGACGCAGGCGACTGGAGACTGCACTTGAAGCGTGTGAACAATTCGTCGCATCGAGTCTGCAAGGCTGCCGCAGCGAGATCAGGATGTACGACGACTCGCGCGACTTCCTCGGTGACGCCTTCGCCGGATCGAAATGTGAGGGTGAACTCTCCTGCACCGGTAAACTGTACATTGGAGAAGACTGCTGAGCCATTGGTGATCGTGGCGTATGAAGAGCCTTGCAGTGTTGGCTGTCCACGATGAAGGTAGCTATCCTCCGTGTGAGGACTTCCCGTAAATACGCCACTCAGGTAGACAACGTTGTTGCCGCGGTACTGCGGGACGTAGTCATTGCCGCGGTACTGCGGAGCGTAGTTTTCGGTCATGAGATCGCCATATTGATCCAGCACGTTCACCACGAGCTGCAGGGGGTACATCGGACGGAGCTCCGGGCAATTGTACGACGCCTTTGCAAGTCCCAATGCTGAAGGCCGCGCCACTGCGAGTCGGCACTCGCGCACAATTTGAGCGCTGTCTACTGTTCGAAGCAGTAAACGGGAGTGGCGGATTTGATGCGCCAAGCAGCGTCCAGGCGTCGTGGATGTGGCACCAGCACATACTTGGGCCACTTTGTCCCAGGGAATACGCAAGAATGCCGGCACTTCCTGCGCGCACCTTGCAGGTGCAGTACTCGTCGCCAATCGGCATAATAGCACCACCTTTGGCTCATCCATTCCAAACGGAGCCTCCATGGCACAGGCTGCAGGTGCAGAACTAGTTGCACCTCGACACAAGGCTACCTTCCCGAGCGGCTGGTTGCCAATACGAGAGATCACTGAGTCGGCGCATAATGCTGGAGCCGTGCTTTCAGCTTCCTTGCACAGTGATATCTTCAATTCGTCGTCGTAGATAAGCGGGGACGCGGAATAACAGCGAGCAGGCTCCAAGGTTTTAGCAGCATGACAAAGCTGAGCTGCTAATCTGCCTGGCGGTGGGGTAGCAACTCGAAACAACTCCGTCACACAATCCACGGGGCCCAGATCCTCCGTTTGGCGGCAAGCAGCTACAGCGTCGTAAATATCCAGACGCTGCGCATTGATAAATCTCCGAAGTGACTTCACGCATAGTTGTGGAGCATCAGACGTTGCACGTTGGCAGAGCTGCACCCGAAGTTTCGGCGAGAGCGCTTGTTCGTGCTGAGTGTCTGCTAAACACTGGCTCGGTGCGTCTGACGTTGCTTGCTCGCACACCTGAACAGCAGCTGCAGATGCTGACATCCCCAGGTCGTTCGAACCAGGTAGTAGTTCAACTCGCTGGAGAAGTGACCGAGCTTGAGAAGCGCAGCTTGTCGGGTAAAGCGAGACGGAAGCTTCATCATCAGAATAAGTGACAGCAGGCATTGACGAGGCGGCACAAAGGCGTACAGCTTGATCGGCCGTGAAAGCACGGACTGGCAGAAGCCGCACGCATTCAATCACGGCGGTGGAATTTGTAGCACTGCGGCACAAGTCGGCTATGAGCATACTAAATGCTGGGGAACCCGGAGTTAGCAGTGATTTTTGTGGCATCCTCTTCAACTCCACTGCGCAATGTATTGGCACTGTTGCAGCTTGTGCAGCGGCATCCTTGCATAACGAAATCTGCGCAGCTTGATCTATCCATCGGAGTTTTTGTTGTGCTTCCAAGAAGCAGGCATGCGGAAGAACATCGTTGATACCGGAGGTATCAGCGCAGACCTGGGCGATTGTGCCTGGAGCGACGTGCCTTCTTCCGAGTTTGGACGTGCATTGTACCATGGCCGATAACTTCTCACCATTTCCAATAGATTGACAGAGCTGCAGAGTGGCGATTTCAGAGCCAACACCGTTCCTTAAATTCGGTGCAACTTGCTTCACGCATTGCTTCAGGGCCTCGACTTGGCCACCAAAATCTCTGCAGAGTACAGTAGCAATCTCAAGCACGTCATGAACATCTCGCTTGTTAAGCGTCCTGCTCATCTCGAGCCAAAGGAGCAAGCACTTAGCTGGACGATCGTCTCGAGCGCGCCGGCAGATTTGAACCAGCGAAAGTGAAGCAGCTTCGGATTCCGCGTCCCATTCTTCGTCAGATGAAGCAGACGCTGACGATACAAGCATTTGCTGCCTCACTTGAGCAGGACTTGCAAGCCAACAAGTTGCCGGGCCAGTATGTTGTGTTCCCGAGCAGAGCTGGACAATCGAGGCAGCACGTAGTAATTCGATTCGCGACGCAAACTTTGCAGACTGCAACGCTCTCCCTCCCAACGCCATCTTAGCACATTGCCCCGGTACAGTCGGATCTTGGCGACTGCGGGTGATTGCGGCGCATAGCTGCTGCTGGTGAGACTGCGAAAAAGATCGTGGTATGCTCCGAATGCACTTGGTCAACAGTGAATTGGTGTTGGAGGTGGCTGCAACAAGAGAGAAGAACGAGAATACGATCAAGACGGAGACAGCGTGAAATCGGCGCACCTGCCAAGCATGGTGCTTCTTCATCCTCCACAGCGATGACCCGTTTTGCTGCGTCTTTTCGCTATAGTGCCACTTCATTAACATTCTCGCAAAAACTAAAATGCTTCTATGGACGGACAGCAATACAGGTAAAAAACTACTACATGGAACCATCCACGCTACTTCAGGAGGATGACGTCCATTCCACCAGCCTCCTCATCTGTCCACTATCCATTCATGTGTTGCCAACCGTTTGGCGCTGCCGGTCACTGGTTCTCGGTAAGCGCCGGGGACAAGTCGCTAAAATACGGGTGGGCCATAGCATCAGCCGCGGTGATACGCTTTGCCGGGTCATACTGCAGCATCTGCTCTAGCAAGTCCACGCCATCGGCGTCCAACGTCGGCACGAGATGTGCCAAGTTGTCCGGCGTCGGATAAACAGGGAAATCCCGCTGTAGATGCACATGCAATCGCAAGCACGTTAGATAGATAGCACGACGGCAAATGAACGAAACAAAACATTCCCTCACCCTGTATTCCGGGAGATCGATGATGGCCGGGTAGATCTCCATCGTCGGAGTACCCAGCAGGCGGAAGATGCGGTCGAGCTGGTCAGCCTCCGACGTGCCTGCGAATAGTGGCCCGCCGTTGGCCATCTCCGCAAAGATGCAGCCCACACTCCAAATGTCAACGGGCGTCGAGTATTTCCTATATCAATGGCAAAAAAATAATATGAGGTCAATACACCTAACTACTTCCTGGGAGGTGTGCGACCAAAGCACCAGGCATGGAAACGTACCGAGATCCCATGAGGACGTCAGGCGCGCGGTACCACAGCGTCACGACCTCATGCGTGTAGCTTCTCACGGGGATGCCGAAAGCACGGGCCAGGCCAAAGTCGCCAAGCTTGAGCTCTCCCTCGCGGTTGATCAGCAGATTCTGCGGCTTCAGATCCCTACAACAACAAACGATACGCTGGTCAGCTTAACTCCATTGCTTCTCTAACTTCGGGAAAATGACGAAGCACATCAAAAGGCAGACTAACCGATGCAGCACGCGGTGCTGGTGGCAGTAGGCGATGCCGCGCAGGAGCTGGTACAGGAAGGACTTGAGGATGGGCTTCTCCAGGCCCTTCTCGCAGACGTCCAGGTACTTCTTGAGGTCCTGGTCCAGGTACTCGAACACCAGCGTGAGCTTGCGCTCCGTGTGCACGATGTTGTACAGGCGCACGATGTTGCAGTGCTGCAGCTCCTTGAGCAGCGAGATCTCACGGATGGCCGTGCTGGGGATGCCCTCGTCCTCGGCCTCCAGGCGGATCTTCTTGAGCGCGATCACCTCGCCCGTCACGCGGTCCTTGGCCTTGTACACCACGCCGTACGTGCCTTCGCCGATCTTCTCCAGCTTCTGGTACCGCTCCATGGGCTCGGGGTGCGCTATAAGTGGGTGGGCCGAAGGCGTTGGAAGCTTGGTCTCCGAATCTGACAGGCTCCGCTAGCAGGCAGTTATAATCACCCAAATTTCTTCTGTGGGTGAGAGCGCAATCTGAAAAATACTTTAGGGTTAAATTATAAGTGCGAATCGCGTTCAATAAAATCCATGGTTAAATTGAACAAAATAGTGAAACACCCATCACGGGACTTCGTAGACTGGGCGAAATGAAAGCCGGTCAATTTTTTCTTGAGATCGGGCCTCCTGTCTAATCCTGAAGAGCTTCAGACGTGAAGTTGAACTCCACCGGTTTGGCCAATGGCTCGCGCGCCGAAGTGATGGAGAAGATGAGGCGCGGGATCGTGCCCAGAGGAGACGTCGAGTCCTTCGGGTCGGCGTAGAGGCCCTTGAGGTACGTCTTGTACGCCGGCATGAAGCGGTCCACGAAGTCGCGCACCTCGTAGGGAGTCATGGCTGGCTTCTTGGCTTCCCGCAGGAGCTGCTCTGGCTGCTCGCGCCACCTGCTCAGCACACAGAAGATCGGTTAGCGGTGCTATGCTATGCTTGCAATGATTCAGTTGAAGGAGCTACACTGGGAACATACTGGTAGACCCAGTCCAGGTTGTCGATCTTAATCACAACCAGGCCGTCCAGTTCCTCGTAGAACTTGTCAAACTTTAGCAGTTCCTTGTTGACAGCCTTCATGTGTTCACTGTGGCAACACATACGTGTCAGATTAATTCAGCGCTCTACGCTATAGTACATCTCCAAAGTCGCCGTACCTCAGCTCAGAACTGGAATCGTCGATTGCTTGGAAACCCATGCACCAACCTTCGATCAGCAGCACGTCCAGCGGGCCTGGAGTACAAATAGTGACGGCATTGGAGTTAGCCAACAATCAAACCTCATTACTTTATTCGTATACGCACCTTCCTGGCGATCCCACTCAGACAGCGGCGCTCGATCGCCACGGCCATTGTGCTGCGACTTGTCGTAGCGTGGCAGGGCGATCTCCTCAGTTGAAGTCTTGCACTCGTGAACCAAGTCCATCAGGAACGGCACGTCCATCGTACCCGGGTTTCCTCGGTACTAAATAGCACAGCATCAGCAAGTCCACGCGTCAGCTCAACACCAACCCCACAAAGACCAGCAAGATAGACCCTATGCACCTGAAGAAGCGGGTTGCCGGGGTTGGCCTTGGCAAGTGCCACTTGCTGCTCGTACTTCCAGTAGACGTCGTCCAGCGACATGACGGCGCACTTCTTGCCCATGAGCGCGAGCGCCTCCTGCATGTACATGGAGGCCGTGGTCTTGCCGCCGCCTTGAGGGCAGCTCAAGCCGATGCAAACGCAGCGTTTGGCGTCGCCCTGCTTCTTCTGCGCAGCCTCCACGACCTCGGTCGTCCAGCGGAACATGGGCAGATAGTAGTCGTCCACGCGGCGGCGCAGCGCGCGTTCGTCCACGGCCAGCGAACGCTTGACGGCGTCTCGGCGGATCAGCGCCTCAATGTGCTGGCGCAGCTGCTGCGTGCGGGCTGCCATGCTACTCGGTCCTCTTGTCGGGTGTACGCTTGACTTGGTTGATTGACGACTGAGCGAGGAGGTACGTTGCAAAGCGATCCGAATCATAAAAACGAGGATCGGATCGGGTCTTTATCGAAAGGGTGTTGCTACTCGATTTATAGTTCCATGAATACTGACCCTTGTGTAATAAGTATTGAAGTGTGCCTGGGTTTGGCGACTAAGGTGCCGTAACAAACAAGTCTGAGTCGGCTTGCAAAGCTAGCCGAGACGTGCCGCGTTGTCTTTGATGCGAAAGTAAGCCGCTATGCATGATGCAGGCCGAGCTGTAAGCTTGGGCAATGTAGCGCGCGTTAGTAAATCAGCACGTCTCGACCGCGACCTTTTAAGTTAAAAGTTTTAACCGAGCTAAGATATCGTGCCAATTTCCTCCAGAAGCCAAGGCGAGGAAGCACGTACAGTAAAGGGATGTTGCGCAAGGAAGCTTTCGACGGGTGAGAAGACGATGAACGCAGAGGTATCGGGTCAGGCCACTGGCCGTGCCGATAAGGCTACCACGGGGAGCTTGTTCCAGACGATGCTGCGCGTGTTCGACCCGCTGATCATGCACGACGCCTACACGTTTCGCTGGCTGGGCTTCGACCCTCACGAGCACGACAACACCCGACAGCAGGCATTTACAAAGGTCACCAATGTGGATTTGATTTCTGCGCTGGTGTACACCGTGTGGGCGTCCTGGCTTCAGGTTGTCTCCACCACGTCGTTCGACAACTATGGTTCGTCGTGGTCGGAAGACGTAAAGGGCATCGCAAGTGCCTTCCTCTGCACGGGCATGTTCTTCTTGCTATCTCCGTCATCAACAGCGTGCTCGTTCTTCTCGCGGTAAACGAAACTGAGGACGACTACCAAGCGACCCGGTTACTGCAAAGGCTCGAGCTCTGGTTCACTCTTCCTTCTATCTACTTCTACCTCGGCGTTGGGTGTGGGTCGTTTGGATTCATGATCTGGTTCCCTGCAGCATTCCCGCTCAAGTACGCTCTCTTCAACATCACAGCAGGCATCGCGATCATCGCGCTGAATGCGCCTTACTATCAGTTCCTGATCCTGTGCGTCTATGACACTCGTGTGGAAGCCAACCTCAAAATCCCTTCGCATCCAGCGTGGCTCATGCGCCTCCCGATGCTAAGACGGAAGACGCCAATGGATGAAGCAACACCGTCCAAGCCAAACCAAGATAGCGGCGTCACTCCGGCGGTCGACGATGGCCAAGATACTGCAGCCAAGGTGCTCGAAACTGCGCTTGACAGCATCGGACAGACTGCTCTACTTTCGCTTTTCATTGATAGCGGCTGGGACGACGTCGACGCGCTCGGCGAACTCCAGGAACATCACGTAGTACAACTAGCCAAACTGAAGCCTGGGCACATTGTTCGCTTCTTACGCCATCTTCGTCGCCAGCTGGAGAGGACGTGTTGAAGTGGAGCAAAACTTTGTGATTTGGTCTATGGTCTCAGTCTTTTGTTCCTGTTCCGACATACGATTTTGTAATTTACGAGAAAAAATTGCGCCGAGAGAAGAGATAGTTCCCATTCAGCAGAAAGTGATGCACTCGTCAGCCCAAGCTCCTTCCTCTCCTGCCGCGCTGCACGACGAGTGGGAGCTCGTGAACGATGAGGCAGAGTACGTACCATACCGTAGCGCGAGTCTCTTCGGTGGTCGACACTCTGAGACTAAGAAGTTGCCTGTGTGCTGTTCTGCTACGTTGGACGCGCAGAGTCGTCGCGTCGGTGACGACGCCACCCGAAGCGGTACGAAGGCGCTGCTGCTACCGTCGCTGCCGCGGTGTTGTTCTTCTAGTCTGACTCGTTGCTCTTGTCTTCTGTCGGATGCAGAGGCCGGAGGAAGGGCCAGAGCAAGAGGAAACGGCGGAAGCTGTGGACCATGAGGTGCCCGAGGGCTACCTGCCCATTCGACTGCGCCAAGGCGAAAAGATTCGACCGGCGTGGTTCAAGGCCACGCAGCAAGTCGAAGACTTTGTCAACAAGGTGGGATCATGTAGTAGTTTTGTTGCTGGAAATGTTCTACGGTACTAAGCTCTGCATGGTTGGTTTGCTACAGTTCTTCGCGGATGAACTTGCCAACGGCAAGAAGATCCGACTGATCTACATGGGCATGTTGCTGCTGCCCGCTCGCTCCATGGGGGAATACGGCATCGAGGAGAACGGCGTCATCCACAGCGTCGTAACCGATGCCCGTGAGTTCCGGCGGAACTGTTTTCATTCAAGTTGCACCATATGGAGATTGATGGCTTTCGTGTGCGTGTTGTAATGGTTGCATGCAGCCCCAGCTCCCCATCCGCAAGCAGCTCTCCACTCCAACCTCAAGGCGTTGAACCCGCAGAACTCGCTGCTGGTTCTCACGGGCGTCTTCCTCTACGGCCTGTGGACGCTGTTCTACTACTTCCCCCAATTCTTCTCATGGAAGTCAATTGTTTTGCTGGCGCTCTTCAGCGTGATGCATATCTCGGCAGCGGTCTCCCGCATCACTTCCTGAAGAGAAGACCATTTCCGTTCCCGTCGGGCCCGTAGATCACGTCGAAGACTGCGTCAAGAATATCGTTTTCGCTTGGTTTTGATCCCTCAAATCATTTTCATTCCATGCCGTGGCAGCTCGGTATTTATTCCAAGGCGCCGCGAATTTTGTTGTATCTCGATAATAAAATTTCATTTCATTTATCTCGGACAGGTCTGGTTCAGGAGTGCCGGCGCTAGTGACGCTTCCTCTCACAACCAGCCAGTTACACACCATGACGCACAACAAGTAACCTTGTAGCTTATTCACTTGCGCCTACTTAGGAAAAACGATGCACCGGCAAGTGCAGCTACAGCAGCGGCGTACACGACCATACCGATTGCCGTATCGCCATTCTGTCCCAATGCGCGGCGCACCGCGAGTCGATAGTGGGGGATTTTAAGTCGGATGTATTTGTTGCCCCATGTTCGCGCTCGGTTAACAGCATCCTTTAAATCTGAATCCTCGGAGAGTAGCACCTGCAATCCATCAGAATAAACGTTAAACTCAATAACAAAAGTTCAGAGATGGGTCGAATGCAGCCAACGTACGTGGTCGCCTTCATCGTCGACGTAGAGGATTCGGCGGATAGTGTTGTCACCTAGTCGATTCTGGACATCCACAAGGAGCTGTTCCAATGACTCGGCAGAACTCGTGAAACGATGGTTGTTGCCATAGCAGTCGGCAAGCTTGTACACAAACACGTCAGGAGCATGCTCGTTCAGTGGGTTTTCATCCAATAGCGCAGGATCGCCAGTAACACTTGTTCCAGTTGACGACTGGAAATCGCTCCACGTTTGGCGCCCCACTAGCGATGCTATGTTCACATCGTCTGTATCCGGATCATCCACACCGACGTTGGATCCGTCGTCTTCGACTTCTTCATCATGCTCTGTGGCATCGTTCGCACTTTTCAGACTATTGCGGAACTGGTCCCACAGAGGTTGTACTCCGTCGTTTTTCACGCTTTGAAACGTGCCCATTTGCTGGACAACACCGTGGGTGACTTGCAGAACGTCCACAATGCCCACCAGCTTTTTACCGCTGTCGAACACGGGCACATGCAGAAACTTTCCGTTGTGCATCGAATGGAGCGTCTCCAAAATCGTCGTTCCCAGCGTGGCTGTCTGAGGCTCCGGTGTCATCACGCCAGAAAGCAAGCATTGACTGGGCTCCAGCGACAGTGCAACCACTCTCCGCATCAAGTCCTTTGTAGTGAAAATGCCGACAGTGCGATCTGCTTCATCGCACACCATCACAGCACTGGTCTTCTGTATAAGCATCATGCGTGCTGCGTCCATAGCTGTCGACGTCGGGCTGAGAACTGGAACTTCTGAGCCTTCCATGATGATTGCCGATAGCGTCGGTAGAAAGAGCTATAAAAGGATAGTCATCAAAATGTCAACACAAAAGGTACCATACACGAAGGGTTGCCAATACTCAGCCCTTACCTTTTGCCGCAAGGACTCGAATAAGTTTGCTTCTGTCGAGCCAGACAAGCTCTGTTGCAGCTACAGTCACCATAACACACACAAACCAACTCATTCCATCAGCCACTGCAAGCCTCCTCAACATACCTATTGTTCCCGTACCTTCTTCACGGTCTCTTCCAGTCGGTCGGAGGATTTTCGGTACGCGTGCTCCAGCTTTGCGATGGCTTCATACAGACACTTGGCGATGTCCAGAATCCCCACCACTACCGCAAAGCACAATAACTCACACCGTTAGTCCTCACACTCCACCACCACCACCGCTGCTGTACTGCACTCTCGCTATTCTCTCACCTTTATCATTGTCCGTCACTGGCAAGTGGCGGAACTGTCCTGAAATCATCTTCTTCAGTGCGTCGATGGCGCTGGCATTGGCCGACACGCACGACGGGTCGGGCGTCATGACCTCGTACGCCAGCGTCCGCGTGGGGTCCCTCCCCACCGCCACCACCTTCACTGCGACATCTCTGTCCGTGAGGATGCCCGTGAGCAGTCCGCTCCTGTCCACGAGCAGCGCGGCGTCCGTCTTCCGCTCCACCATAGCACGCACGCACTGCGCCACCGTCGCGTGGTCTCCCTGCAGCAGCGCGCGCGACGGCCGCATGCGCTTCACGGAGCGACTGTGGCCGTGGCTGCTGCTGCGGCTCGGGCGGCGGTGCGCTCGCTCCTGTGCCCCCTCTAGAGACGAGGCGCTCGTCTCATGCTGCTGCTCGTCTCTGCTCTGCGAGGCAGGCTTCGCGTGCTCCGCGGACGGCGGGGGCTGCTGCTGCTCTTGCTGCTGCTGCTGACGCGCCTTGGCCTTGCGCCCCGCCTTCTTGGTCGAGAAGACAAGCTGCTGCTGGCGCGGCTTCCGGGCTTCCTTCTCGCGCTGCATCGGATAGCCCAGTTGTGACCGAGACCTGAGAACAGAATCCCTCCTTCAAAGAAGGTTCGACCAAAAGACTAAAAATTGGGGTTCGGGGTTCAATTGAGGTCGGTTTCCGAGGGCAAGGCAAGTTGCCGGCAGCCGCGCTACAATGGGCTCGTTACATGGATCGGTTTGCTGTTGAACGCACGAGGAACCTCTGTAAGCATTGCACTTGCAACAACTGCATTGCTACAAGTTTTATGAATCACCATTGGTGATAGAGCTCAATTCACTTGTTCCGTGCCTACCACTTTTTACTAAAAAGCAAAGCGATGCTTTCGAAAAGCTCCTTCTTGTCTTTGCCCCGATAACGTGAGTGTATGGTGCGAATTGCAAGAGCTGAAGTGGTTGCATTCTTCTCACGACGTTGCTCAGCGCAGGTGCGGAACTGCCATTCGCCACTTCAACCTGTCACAAATCGGACTATAATTTAGTCTTTTGTTTACAAAATGAGAAAAAAACTGCAAATCACCCTTCACACAAGAAAATCAAACCAGGCAGGAGAAGTAAGCGGTCATGGTGGCGAGCGGCACCGACGAAGGCGTCTTCCTCGTGGACGACGCCATCTTCACGGCCAGCGAGGTGCATCGGATGACGCCGGAGGAGGAGCTTTCGAACATCCAGCCGCGCCCGATCGACGAGATTCTGTACGTCGCGTCCGTCGTGGCGCAGCACCAGTTCCCTGTGGACGTGATCAACAACATTCTCGAGTTTGCGGGCGTGCTGCTGACGTTCCAGGCCGAGACCTCAGATCTCCTTCGCGGCCGCGGTGACATGAACGAGGACTATCTGCAGCTGCAGCTGCCGACGGCTGAGGAGCTGCAGATTCCGCCCGGAGTGGACGTGAGCAAGTGCTCGCTGGTGGTGGCGGACTGCGTGTCGAAGGACCAGGGGTGGGCCACGGACGGACGTGAGTACAACGGAACGTACCGCGAGTCAAGCTCATGGTGCGAAGTGGCAGTGACGTCCGTGACTGCGGAGGGCGAGCTCAGGGAGACGAGTCGCGTGCCGTTCTATCCCAATCTCCGCGCCGGCAGGAACTTCCGCCACCATCGCAAGTATTTTGGCAGTTCCTCAGGGCTGTTGCAGCATGTCAAGCTGGGCGACTGCGTGTCCATCGTGCTGCGGTCGCAGTACCCTGGTTGGACGAACTCGGCCAAGTACGGCAGACTCGCGGTTTGCTTCGCTGTGGAGCTCACAGACGACTTCTCGTTTGCTGACGTCCCATTCCCGACCAGTGCAGCCACTGAGGAGCGCGCAGGGCCTTCTATCCCGTGCTCCATCCAGTAGGTTGCCCCTGATGGCACTCAGTGGAGGCGTTAGGTTTGTGGGGTGATACCCTTAGTTCGACCCAACCATTAAACTCTAGAAAAATAATATATACCAGCCATCTTCTTGACCCAGGTTTGCCTTTAGCGTGTTCCGCAAGTAAATTGGTCTCTACGGCATCACGGTGATGTGCGTCGTCTCTGCTGGTGACGCCGCGGTCTCCGGCACGCGGATTCGATGCGGCCAAAACACTCTGCCGCGAGTCAGCAGCGACCAGCTTTCGGCTCGAACCCGACGCAATACACACAGCGCAAGGCTACGTAGCTCGAGACGATACTCGATGCAGCTGTGAGTCTGCAAGATGCCAAAAAGGTAGACGAGTTCCGGTGCTGGGTGCTGGATGCCGTCGTTGGCGCGAAATTCAAAGCTGCGCGAATCTCTAACGTTGAAGTGGCGCGTTATCAGGCCGAAGCGGCGCGCCCGGTCCCAGCCAATCAAGAAGCAGCAAATGGGGCGTGTCTATCTCTCGCAGGACGGGCTCCGCTACAACACGTTGGTGCCGCCGCTGGTGGTGATTGGCCGCGCGCGCCGCTGACTAGGCTCGCAGGATTCGGCTGCAGCAGCACCCGTTGGCTTGCCTGTTGCCGCGACGCGCAGCTTCACTGTCCACTTCAAGATTTGCTTCGTCGATAGAACATGCAGCTTCGACTCGGGCTGCCAACACGAGCATGCGCCGCCCTTCTGCTGGGCTCGGTGGTGCTGACCCTGGCGGCGGTGAACGCGCACACGCTGCGCAGCGAGCCGGCGGCAGTGCCATCACCAGTGGAGGAAGATGCTGTTCCAGCCGACAGTCTATCGCAGCGCGAGACGTTGGGCATGGCGCTGGCGGCACTGGTCATCTTCGTTGCCGCCGGAGGGGGCACTGGCGGGGGAGGTGTGCTCGACCCCATTTACATCCTAGTGTGCGGACTCAGCGCGAAGGTGCGTCCGAAGGAATCGTGGACGTTATGGAGGTCTACCTGTAAAGCTGACTCAGGTTGACGTGGTGTTTTACAGACCGCCATCCCTCTTTCCAGTATCACGATTCTTGGCGGAGGTTGGTGCTCGGTGCTTACCTGTTGAACGATCTCGCTCAGTTGCTCACTCGCGTCATTTTCGTCCTCTCAGCAATCGGCAACTTTTTGATGAACGTGCGGCGCACGCGGGACAACTCGAAGAAGCCGCTCATCGACTGGGATGCCATCCTGGTGATGCAGCCACTACTCCTGTGTACGTTATCACTATTGGTCGGAAATTATATATCTTACTGTGTACTCACGTGTTGGTGTTGTTTACAGTGGGAGCGACCTGTGGCACCGTCCTCAACACGCTCATGCCCACGTGGCTCCTCTGCGTGCTGCTGGTGCTGGTCCTTAGTGTCACCGGCACTCGCACCTTGCAAAAAGCTATCCGCGCGCGTCAAAAAGAGCGGTGGCAGTGTGGCGTCTCACCCGAGTCGACATCTCTCCTTGGCGTTGATTCCGCTTCAACCGACGGTACCAAGGCCCATGCTGGAGAACCGCAGCTTCGCGCCGATGTGCCGTGGCGGAAAATCGCGACTCTTTTCGGTCTATTTGTCGTCGTCGCCGGGATGAGACTTGTCCGCGGAGGGCAAAACTTTGACAGTCCGATTGGCCTCGATTCATCATCAGCCTTGTACCCCGTGCTCGTAGCGTTACCCTACGTGGTTCTCGTTGGTGTCGGCTACTTCTCCCTCAAGAACTTGGGAGCCGTTTACGAGAAGCAGCAGAGCCCTGCATATGAGCTTGAAGCCCACGAAATTCAGTGGACGTCGTCATCGATCAAGTTCTTTCCCGTTTTCTCGTTCGCAGCTGGAACAGTCTCCGGCATGTTTGGCATCGGCGGAGGCATCATCAATGCGCCGCTGCTGCTTGAGGTGGGCGTCGACCCTTCGGCCGCTTCGGCCATGACTGCGGCGACCGTGCTCTTCTCGAGTGGAAGTAAGTCTCGCGTTATTTTCTGTCTGTGCTCTGCTGCTAGCTGCTGCTTTGAGGGCTAACTTGTTCTGCAATGTCTTCTCCAGTGTCGTCGTTCAACTATCTTATGTTGGGAAAGTTGGACCTGGACCTCGCACGACTCATGCTGCCCATGGGGTTCCTCACTACGTACATTGGACACATTTGTCTGCTAAAGGTTGTTCGCCGATTCCAGTGTCCAAGCTTAATTGTCTTCTCCATGGCCGCGATCGTTCTGATCAGTGCCGTCGCCATGAGCGTCGAATGCGTCCGGGCGCTCCTGTCGTGACTTCAGGGAAGTCAAAATCAGGGAAGTCATTTTGTGTTGTACAATTTGAAGATAAAAGTGAATATTTGCCTCCTATTTTAGCTTTATTAGTTTGTTGTTGTCACGTTTAGGATTTCGTTGTGTAATTTGAAATTTCACTGGACGTTTCGGCTAGGTCGAGTGAAATTTGCGTTATGCTGTGAGAATCGGCGTTGGTCGAGTGAATGTTACGGTTCCCCGTGCAAATTTCGAGCTGGGAACACACTCGGAATCCGAACAAGGATCTGTTTTGGGAAGCCGAGCCGGCGAACAGCAAAAGCACTCGGAAACCGGCAGAGATCTTTGCAATTCTGCAAAGATCTCTTTTGCATACAGTCAACGACTTACAAAGCCGGCAGACACAAAAGCCGGCTTTGTAAGTCGTTGTCTGTTGTGAAGAATGCCAGGTTTTCGCTAACTTTTCCGCCGCTCCACAACTAGATTCGCTTCAAGTAAGAGAAGGGGAACGCGATGGGCCGTCGGGGAGATCTCGCGGGGGCCTTGGCAGCGCTGGTGCTGGCTGCAACGTTGGCGGCTGCACAGCCTCCTGGAGGGGAAGAAAGCCCCGTCAAGTTCGGGCCCGTTCCGTCGCTTTCGCCGCAGGACGCGCCGTACGAGCCGCGGGAAGTGCTGCGCTCTGTGGAGAGGCCGCATCAGCTGCTTGGCATCGTGCTGGCTGCGCTGGTGGTGCTAATCGCCTCAGGAGCCAAGACCGGTGGCGGCGCCGTTCTAGACGCCGTCTTCATTTTGGTGCTGAAGCTCGGCCCAGATGTACGTCACGACTGTATTGGTGGAGGTACCGACAAGTTCTCACTTCACCTATTGCACTCGCTATTTAGGAGGCTATCCCACTGGCTAGTATCACCATTTTTGGCGGAGGTAAGCTCCTAGATGAAGGTGTGCGATCAGCGATAGAGCTCTAACGTGTGCTGTCTGTAGCTGTTTGTGACTTCTTGTTGAACCTTTGGAAGAAGCCGATTAACTCCAACTTCTCGCTGATCAACTGGGACTTCATCTTGATGATGCAGCCTATGCTACTCAGTAAGTTTGTGGGCGGTGTGCGACCTGGTCTGTCATCTGGCATGCGTATTAAGTGGGTGTGGTTTTATCGTGCAGTGGGGGCTGGCTTTGGAGCGTCGTTGATTTCGTGGTTCTCTACTTGGCTGCTTATCATTGCGCTCATCGTGTACTTGGGGTACATCGGCAAGAAGGCATTTAAGAAGGCTCGTGCCGTGGGACACGAAGAGGGGTGGCGGTGGTGCAGCAGCGGCGAATCAATGTCGCTACTTGGTGCACCGTCCACAAGCTTTCAGGTGCGATGCATGCACTCATTTACTGACAATCGAGCTGATTCATGTTGCTGATACCAATGCAATTTCATGTACCCCTGGATATCTAGGACGACGATGGCGGGTTCCTGTACAAGGCTGGCCTTCTATGGCGCAAGCTGGGTATGAACTTTGGTCTTTTTGCCGCCACTGTGCTGCTCACGTCGCTCCAAGGAGGAAAGTACTTCCCCAGCCCTCTCGGAATCCCGCCGACCTCGTTCTTCTTCCTGCTCGTGTCGATGCTGCCCTTCATCTTTCTGTCGGTCGTCTCGCACTACCAGATGAAGGATGTCGTGGCCACATACCAGCGACAGCAAAACCCGCGATTCATCCTCGCTCCGAATGAAGTCCAGGTAAGGAAGCACGCAACGATGCTACTGCCAATCCAAGGCAGAAAAACAACAACTAACCACCGTTTTGTTTGCACAGTGGTCACCTGAGTCAATCCGGAAGCTGCCTCTCCACCTACTAGGCATTGGCGCGGTTGGAGGAGCGTTCGGCGTGGGTGGAGAAGGCGCAACGTCGCGCTTGTTGCGCGGGGTCAACTTCACTCCAGCGGCAGTGTCCGCTATGTCCGCCACGGTTGTATTCTTTGTGAGCGGCAGTAAGTTGTGGTCTCAATCGCCAATGACCTTCTTTTGCCGTAGACACTGACTGTTCTATCTGTTGCTACGTGTGTTGCAGTGGCGTCCTTCAACTTCTTCCTGTGGGGCAAGCTGGACCTGAATCTCGCCAGGCTCATGATGCCTTTGGGCTTCGTGATGACGCTGCTGGGTCGTCTGTGTCTGATCAAAATCGTGCGCAAGGCCAAGTCCCGCACTCTGTTACTCTTCGCCATTGCCGCGGCGATGTTCATCAGCATTGTGCCGCTCAGCTTCATGGTACTCCGCGCTCTGTTCGGCATCTAGGAGGATGGATACCCTGGTAAGAATTAAGCGCCTGAAAAATAAGAACCCCGTTTTACGCTCCGTTTTATGCAAATCCCGTTGTTTTATGAGGTCGCGAAAAGAAGGAGGGTTTCAATACCATAGTATACTACTGGTACTGGAGGGGGAGCGCGAAGATCCGAGCGGACGGCGAGGGCAGCAGGGACTCGGATGGCGGACACGGCGGCGCAGAACGGCGTGGGCCACCGCAAGCGGCGTGAGGCGCTACCCCAGGGCGCGTCTGCCGCCAAGAAGATCAAGCTGGAGGACCCCGAGCCGCCCGAGGCGAACCCCAACACGATCGAGGCCGTGAGGGAGAAGAACAAGGCGCTGGAGATCGACATGAAGGAGAAGAACCGGCGCATCGCCTACCTGACCAAGAAATGCGAGGCGCTGTACCGCTCCAGGGGCGTCACGGGCGCGTCCTTCCGCTGTCTGCGGAGGCAGTGGCTCCAGCTGCAGGACGAGCTGCTGGCCGCTACAAAGACTGTGGATCCCTCCGCTGTCTCAGACGAGGCGTCCACGGAGGCCTGGCAGGCGGCTCTTGACGCCGTGGACGGCTTCGGACAGGTTCGTGTACGCGCGGAGGAGCTCAAGTTGAATCTGCCCGAGTGGTTTATCACTGTGGCGAAGGATGCAGAGGAAGAGGAACCCGACGCCGACGTGTCGCTGCCATCCGATGACGACGCCGATGACAGGGCGTTTATTAAGACGGAGGACTTGTCCCAAGATGGAGCAGGACGTGCATGAACAGTTGAAACACAGGAGCGAGAAGACGAAGGAGTTGCTGCAGAAACTACTCGCTGCTGTTGGAGGAGTAGTTGTTGCTGACAAGGCGAAGACTATTGAGTACGCGCACATTCTTCAAGAAAAACGAGCTGCAGTTGCGGAGACACTCAGCTTGAAGGAACAGCTGCAGTCGGTGCGTTGCTCGTGAAAAAAAAGTAAGGCTGGTTGAGTATTGCTGGAGCTGATGGGCGAATTTTGTGTGTGTCATGCAGTGCAAAACTCGGATATCTGAGCTGGAGAGGGATGTAGAATACAAGGAAACAGAGCGCCATCGCGCTTGTCGAGACTATGACCGCTTAAGTGCCTATGTGAAGCAACGGAGTGGTGTAAATACGGATGGCGCTGAAGCGGATGGTATTAAAGCTGAGCAAGTCAAAGATAAAGACAACTCTCGTGAAAAGGCTGCGCCGGAGTCGTCGAGTGCTGTGACGGTGAAGCAGGAGGAATTGGTGAAGAAAGAGAAGGAGCACGCTAAGATTGTTGGATCTTTCCAGGAGAACATGCGCGTGTTGAGTGTCAAATTGCACCAAGAGCGCCAGAAAATTGACTCCATGCGGCGCGAATTGGAGAAATACAAGGCGTTGGAAGTGGCGGTAAGCTGTACACTAGCTGCAACGGTGCGTGTATGTGTCGAAGAGCTTACATTCCTTCTGTTATCTGTACGTATTATTTAGTGGAAAAATGATGAAGCTGCGCTGATTCAAGACAACGAAGAAAAAATTAAACAACTCCGGGATGAGAAGGCACATGGCGACGAGGAGTACAAGAAACTTCTACACAAGGCAAAGGTACAATGGCGTGCTACGTTCAAAGTAGCTTCAAATTTTTTTGAACGAGGGACGAATGTTTGCTAAATGTATTTTTTTACTGTATTCTAGGACCTCGAGCACCACATGACCGAGAAATGGGAGAAGAAGATTACCAAGATTCAGTCTGAAATGAGCAGGACCAAATCGCAGATGGACGAGTTGAACTTGAAGAACGTGTCACTCCGCGAAAAGATCTCAAACGCATCGTCCTACCGAGATCAGGTGAGAGGATTATTGCTTCATGTGCACTGCTAGCTTTGGTTGCTGACCTTGTTGTGTTCTTTTGGTTGGATTAAAAGCTAACTGAAGCTAAGTCAGAGCTGGAGTCAGCAAAGCGGGAAAACACCAACCTGAAGGCCCAACTTGAGCGCGAGAAGAGTCGAGCAGATCGAGCACAGGCGTCTGCAGATAATCACGAGATCCAGACACTGACCGAAAAGGTTATTCTTTTCTTTCCGCTGGGCGTTAGTTAGATCTCAGTTGAATCTGACTTGGTTGTGAATTTTTGTAGGTAACTTTGCTGGAAAAGGAAAAGCTCGAGTTGCAACAGAAGTATGACGCGCTGAAGCAAGCAGAAATGTACGAGAACTATCAAATTACTCGAGAAGAGCAACGTAGTCTGCCTTGTAATGTTGTGGGGATCTGACTTTGTTTGTTTGCTCTTGACAGGAAAGATGCTGGTGAAAAGCTATCAGATGCCCTAAAAAGCTTATCAGATGTGGAGACTAAACTGGAAAAAGAAAGGAAAGAGCTCGCCGAATGCAGAACTGACCGAGAGAAGCTACGCTCTAAAATCGAGGATATGAAGGCTGCCAGCGAGGCCTCGCGAGAAGAGAACGATGCCTTACTGCTGGAGATTGACACCATGTATAAAGAGGTGGATTCGATGCGTCATAGCCGGAAGAAATATATCCAACAGATCGACGAGAAGCGGAGTGCCAACAAGAAATTGCACACGCTCCTTGCCAGGGAGGAGCAGGCGAAGGCACACTGCTTTGAAGAGCTGGCTGCAGTCCGACTACAGGTTTCTTCTCTGAGTACAGTGCACAAGCACCAAAAAGCGTTCATCGAGTCGTCGAAGGTAAGATAGATGGCTCGAATTGTACTTCTTCAATCGATTCTGACATGTTTGTGTGGTTGTTGCCTACTGCATTGTAGGAATCTTTGCAAGCTAAGGAAATCGAGCTGGAGAAGATGAAGGAATACGTCAAGACCATTGAGGCAGAGCGCGAAGCTTCAGACGCTGAAAAGCGCAAGCTGCTACGCGATGCAGAGGTAGCCAAGAAGATCTGTGCGACTGCGGAGAAGTCGCAGCGCGAGCAGCAGTTGCTGCAGGAGAAGCCCAAGCCGTGCTTGAAGTGCGAGACGTACCGCAAGAAGGTCGAGGACGTTGAACGCCAGCTGCAGCACGCCAAGTCGGCGTCCTCCACGGGCGAGCTCACCGACCTCGAGCGCTTCGAGCTGCGCGACTTGCAGAAGCTCGTCAACTGCTCGGTGTGCCAGGACCGACGCAAGGACGTGATTATCTCCAAGTGCTTCCACATGTTCTGCAAGGAGTGCATCGAGAACAATCTCAAGTCACGCAACCGCAAGTGCCCCACGTGCAAAAAGATGTTCGGCCACGACGACGTCAAGAGCGTCTGGTTCACGTAGGAGAGAGCGGAGCAAAGCATCGCAGGGTGCCGTTATCCAGTGTCAATGACCACGTCAGGTTTCTTATTCGTCGGTCTCGCGTTGAACTGTGTGTGACCTTAACCCATTGATTTCGTTGCAGCATCAGCGAACTCTCAAAGTGGTCCATGCATGCACACTTCAAATTTATGTCCGTACAGATTTATATCATTCCAAAAGTCCATTTTTGATACACTTCACACTTTTTGACACAAATCCCTTTTTGGTTTGTCAAAGCATTTGCCAAAAGTAGACACCAATGGCTCGCAACAAGCGCGACACTAAGCGTAAGCTGTCGGAGCCTCGAGGCGGCAGCAGCGCGGCTGGCAATGCGAAGCGCGCTCGTCACGACGGCCAACAGACATCCGCGCAGCTGTACGCGGCCGAAGACGACGTGTTGGTGCTTGGAGACGGCGACTTCTCCTTCTCTCGCGGTCTGGTCAAGCACCGCGGCACCGGTCGCGGCGTGCTGGCCACGTCCTTCGACTCGGAGAGCCAAGTGCGAAAGAAGTACCCGAATGCGCAAGAGTGCATCGCCGCTGTCCGCTCGGCGCACGGCCTTGTGTTGCACGACGTGGACGCCACCAAGCTGCTTGAGTTGCCCCAGCAGGTCAAGACGGGCGCCGGTATGAAGGCCGTGCCCGACTTCTTCAAGTACATCGTCTTCAACTTCCCCCACAGTGGCCAGCAGCGCGTGCACATTAACCGAGCCCTGCTGCTGAACTTCTTCGGGAGTGCTCGGGACCGCCTCACGGCCCACGGAGAAGCGCACGTGACGCTCAAGACGAGACCTCCCTACTCCAACTGGTTCATCGAGGACCAGGCGAAGGACGCGGGCTTCGTGCTGAAGGAGCGGCGGAAGTTTAACATCCGGCTGTTCCCGGGATATCGCCACCGTACGACGGACCCGCAGGCCAAGAAGTTCGAGCCCGACCTCTGTGTCACGTACGTGTTCGTGGTCAACCGATCCAAGGTACGAAACCGAGTTCAATGTGTTGATCTTGAGACTGTGGCTTGCCTAATGACTGACATACTACTTGATCACTGTTAATTATACGGCAGTATCCTTCCCAGAAGAGTCGAGCTGCTTTGTCGGATGCCAGTGCCAAGATGTCGGCTGCTGAGGCGAGTGAGCAACTCGACCTGGCTGCTGCAATTGTCAACATCGCAAAGGCAAATGCTGCCAACAAGCTGAAGAAGGACGAAGACCGTGCTGGTGCTACATCTGTCTCGAAACCGGTTAGCAAACGAAGCAAGACTGCATCCCCGAAGGTGACCCATCCTGCTACGGACAAGCAAGCTCGAGCTGCTGCTCGTCCGAATACAAGTCACGGGGAGCTATGGAAGCCGCTGCATCGGCGATCTGGAGTTGCTTTCTTTTAGACTAAAGACTATGATCTTTCTGATAGAGTTAGTGAGCCACTATGCTCCCTTGCTGGCACAAAACGATAATTGCGCGTCTGATGCTTGACGTCGCAGATTGCCCCCGAAATCAGGGTACGGAAGCATTTGTTTGCGCTCAGTACAAGTCGATTTCTGGTTCTCTCAGCCCGTAAGCGCTCGTCCTTGAACAATCATGCGAAATGCAGTTATCGACTTCGCACTCATTTTTCCTGACTCAGGCACCTACAGCTTCAAGGACGACTTGACCAGCATGTGATGGCGCTGGTTGCGAGATCCACGACGAGTATTATTACCTTATCTGCCATTTTTGGCGCCAAAGCATTGTGTTGTTGCACTTTTGAGCCACGTCGTCGATTTCTTATGCCTCAACACTGTTAACCCCAGCGCTGTCACTTGTCGTTATTACCTGCACACCATACCGACCACACTCGTAACGCACAGATCACAAGTCAATTCTTTTGTGTTGAGCACAAGGAGGCGCGAAACAACAAACGATAATGGGCGTCGGTGCAAGCTTCGGCGCCCACCGTGGCACACCAAGCCGTCCCAAGTTTTCCAAGCAGTATTGCCGTATCATCAAGCGCTACATGCCGCATTTCCAAAACTCAGAGCAGTCCGACAACGACGACCGGCTCGTGGCTTTCGAGCACTGGGAGCGAGTCTTCAAGGAGAACATTCACACGGATGCGCACCACGCTGTCGGCTCCGGCACCAAGATCGGGCTTCTTTACGAGAACTTCTACAAGTACCTCTTTGAGAACTACCCCCACATGAAGCCTCTTTTCCAGGCCTCGGTCCAGATTCAGAGCCGCGTGATCGTGCATATCAGCAGCGGCATGAAGTCTCTCTTGTCGTCGGAAGACCTCGTCCAGAAGGTGATGAACCTCGCGCTGGTACATTTCAAGATCGGAGTGAAGCCGGACGATTTCGACCCGCTGGGTGACTCGCTGATCCAGGCCATGCGAGTTACCTGCGGAGAGGATTGGAATGAGACCATCGAGAATGCATGGAAGAGAATCTACTGCCATGCTGCCATCCTCATCTTGGTCAACATCCCGGACCTTGACCTCAGTGGATCAGACGATGACTAGCACGACAGATAACAGAGCCCCATAGTCAGAACTAAGGTAACAACTCAAGCGTGTAAAAATTGAATGGCAAGATACAAAATCACCGGTACAGATACAAGTACCAGTTGTCCATTCGGCTTTCTACAAGCCTGGCTAGCTATTGATCTCACATCACGGATGGTCGCCGCCCTTCTTCTTGACCATCAGCATTTGAATCTCTGCGCGGAAAGCAGGCTTCGCCAGGTCCACGCACCGCTCCTCGTCGTTGTTCTTGGCATTCGGGTTGGCACCGTTCTCCAACAAGAACCGAGCAATATCCTCGTAGCCCTCGCTGATAGCCAAGTGCAACGGGGTGTTGCCTCCAACATCACGCGTGTTAACCTTCGCACCGTGGTCAAGCAAAAGCGCAATGATAACTAGCAAAGAGAGAGTCAGAAGTACGTCAGTGGAAACAGAAATGATACTAAGTAATAAAATAGGGCTGTAGCAACACTCCATTTCACGAACCTGGACTAGGTTTGCCGCCAAGAGCGCGCATCAAAGGCGTACTGCCGGTATTGTCCTGCAACACCCAGAACAAATAACAAGAAAAAGTGAGCACGGACAGAATATAAAAGATCTTCGACACTTCCCAAACTTGATCACACCGCTTGGTTGACATCCCGCGTGTAGTCGAGCAGCAACTCGGCGATCTCTTGGCGTCCTACAACAAAATCATGCCCCCCCAGTTAATACGAATTGAACGTCAATACACATAATACCCTACATCAACCCTCTCGCCTCTGTGGTAGTGAAGCGGGATCTGCCCATTCTCGTTGGCAAAGTTTGCGTCGGCGCCCCTGTAAATGTATCAACCAACAAGATCGGTTAGAGAACAATTCCTCTATCCGCTACGGCACACTTCAGCAGGCCCTCACTTGCTCAGAAGTAGGCCGACGATATTCCCGTGGCCCGCTGAGGCGGCGCTCATGAGAGGCGTCCACCCGGCGTCGTCTTGCACGTTCACAGCGGCCTTCGCGTGCTCAAGCAAGAACTCGGCGACGTCCAGGCGGCCGGTGGCGCAGGCCCAATGCAGCGGCGTGCGCTCGTCCTCGTCCTTGACGTCCAAGTTCACGCCACTATCCAGCAGCTTCTGCAGCGTCGCCAAGTCGCCAGCCTTCACGGCCACCTGCAGCTCGGTCTCCGCCATTTCCTTGTCGGGCAAGATGACAATATGAACAATTTGTACCATAAACTTATGCGGGATCCCGTATAAGTAAAGTGTATACTTGAACGAGGATGTTGTGCTTGAAATGGACGTGGTAAGGAAAGTATCAGTGCCTTCATCGCAGCAGGCACTGCTGCGATGAAGGCATGCACAGCTAGGCTAATAACTGTGATGGCTTATTCGATTGCTTTATATCTACGCTGACTCGTTCGCGCGAGAGCTGTTGACGCTGCTGGCTGGGGCGATCGAGTTCTCTTTGATCGACGCTGGTCGAAGGTTGGTATGAAGATCGTCAACGTGGGGACTGTTGCCTCCCTTGCCCGCTTCTCGACCCTTGGACGTCGCCTGCTGCTCCATCGCTCGTCGATGTGAGTCGAGCAGGATGACGCAGCAGTGCGCGTACAGTCGGCGCCAAGCTTCTTCGACCTGCGGCGACCAAAGCGCCCCTGAGCACTCCTTCATGGCGAATATTAAGGCGACCCCGAGGGGATCGTAGTGCTCCATCTTGACACCAAACCGAAGATGGGTGCGTGTCAGACTCTCAACGCGCTCCACCATATTGTCCCCGGTAAGGATCGTTCTCAAGCCGGCGCTGATGTGGACCAGTACCTTGCTTCGCACGACCATGGAGGATCGGAAGATTGGCTTGAGTGCTGGCGAGTTGTGGTCCAGATACGAATAGAACGTGTCGTAGAGTTGCGTAATCCGCGTAGATCCCGATGAATTCTGGCTGCGCTTGCCACTGTTGGTCGATTTTGAAGACGGCGGGCCGACTTCAAAGAAGGCCTCATTCCAGAAAGCTGCCGCCGTCATCTTGTGGTTTATCGTCGACGTTGTAGTGTACGGGAAGCTTGGCAGGTATTTGTTCACGATCGCAATTTGCGCGCGTGTGAGCTTTCGCGGTCGTCGGTTGTCCGTCGCTCCAGGGGCGACTGAGTTGCAGGAGCAGCTGAGGTAGAGCCCCATGGCCCCACAAGCCTGTGCAACGACGCTCGACTTGTCCGCAGTTACCGGTTCCTCCAGTTCGCAAGCAATCTGCTTTCCCCTCTCAAAGGTGTAGCAGAACAACACGCTGGCGAGCGCAGCAAGCGGTTCTGACGAAGCCCCACCGCTGGCTGGCCCATCAACGTCCTCTACATGTAGTTCGAGCAAGGATAGCACAAATAACCCTTTGGGATAAGAGCGCGAAGGTAGACAACCAATGACTTCTGGACTGAAGAAACGATTGCTCAGCATCCTGACCATCGTTGTCACATTGTCACTGCAGTGCACTTGCTGCGGCGATCAGCGTTCATCTTCAGCGAACACCTTGTCATCTCTTCAATGTAGCCATGTGTCAAACACCGAAATCATTCATTCATGTACCGCACACCAATTACGTACTCGTGTCTCCATCTCCAGTCAAATTCCACTGGAAGCGCCGCCGCCGTGGATTGGCACACAGCAAGACCTTCCTCCCGCACGACGATGACGGACTCGGTGCAGGCTTCTGCGGGCGCGGCCGGCAGCTACTCGACCCGCTCGGGGCTCTCCAAGAGCTGGCGCACCGTCAAGACGCACGCGGGCGTGTACACGGGCGGCAAGGTGGAGCTCTTCCATGGCCGCACCAGCGCCGACTCGGAGCCGCGCGCGCTCATGGCCTGCATGCTGCACAACGACGTGGCCATCATCGACGCCAAGACCGGAGAGCTGCAGCGCACCCTGCAGCAGGACGTGGAGGACGAGGACGCCAAGGAGTCGTTCGTGGTGTTCGCCGTGCGTCCGGGCAAGAAGAACCAGCTCGTGACGGCTGGACGCAACCTGCTGCTGCGCGTGTGGGACCTGGACACGTTCAAATGCGTGCGCATCATCAAGGCGCACGAGACGCCCGTGCTGGCAATGGGATTCGACCCGTCGGGCACGCTGCTGGCCACGGGAGGCAGCGACCGCACGGTCAAGGTCTTTGACGTGGACAAGGGCTTCTGCACGCACAACTTCCGCGGCCACGCGGGCATCGTCACGCTCGTGCAGTTCCACCCGGACGCTGCCAAGCTCTCGCTCGTGTCGGCCAGTGACGACGCCACCGTGCGCGTCTGGGACCTGTACACGCAGAAGCAGGTGGCGTGCATCCAGGACCACATGAGTCTGGTCACCAGCGTCGCGTTCTCGGAAGATGGATACACGATGCTCTCGGCTGGTCGCGACAAGGTCGTCAACTTCTGGGACTTGAGGGACCACAAGCTCAGCAAGACTGTGCTGGTGCACGAAGCCGTGGAGGGTCTTGTGGTGGTGCCGTCGACGTACAAGTGCGTCACCAATGCGTCAGCGGGCAAGACGCAGGATGGCAAGGCGATCCACTTCTTGACTGCTGGGAAGATGGGTGCGCTGCGCCTGTGGCGTAGCAGTGGCAGCGCCTGCGAGACACTGTTCACGCAGAAGTCGGATGCGTCCTCGGCGCTGACGTACACGGATCTGCTGCTGAGCCCTGCGCGCCGCGAGGTTGTGGTCGTGTCGTCGGAGCAGAACTTCTTGGTGTTTGACGAAAAGCTCAGCCGCCGCACGCAGATCATCGGCTACAATGACGATATTCTCAACCTCAAGTACGTCCCGAAGGCTGATGCAAGCGGCGAGCCTTCCGACGTGCTGGCTGTCGCCACGAACAGTGAACAGATCCGTCTCCTGCACCGCAGCACGCTTTCCTGCGATCTTCTGTCGGGTCACACTGATATCGTTATGGCTCTGTCCGTCTCGCCCGATGGCCGATGGCTCGTGAGTGCTTCCAAGGATCGGACAGCTCGGCTCTGGGACTTGCGGCCTAACGGTGGAAAAAAGATGAACAAGACCCTGCCGCGTTGCGTTGCTACCTGTGCCGGACACACTGAAGCCCTTGGCGCGGTTGCTATCTCCCAGCGTGCGTCTAGCTTCGCGACGGGGGCCGCCTTCTTCGTTACTGGTAGTTCGGACAAAACGCTGAAGATGTGGAGTCTCCAGCCGCTTGCTGCTGCTTACGCTGCCACTGCGAAGCCTGCGCCAGCGGAGTTGACGATCTCGACGCTGGGCGCGGTAAAGGCTCACGACAAGGACGTGAATGCACTCGCGGTGTCGCCTAACGATCGCTTCATTGCTAGTGCGTCGCAGGATAAACTTATCAAGGTGTGGCACTCGCAGCAGGGTGGTGCTGGCCGCCTTTTGACGCTGGCTGGTGTTTGCCGCGGACACAAGCGTGGTGTGTGGGCTGTCGAGTTTTCGCCTGTGGATCAGTGTCTGGCGTCGGCTAGTGGTGACAAGACGGTGAAGGTGTGGTCCGCTAAGGACTTTTCGTGCTTGAAGACGTTCGAGGGACACACAGCTTCTGTGCTGAACGTGCAGTTCGCCTGCGCTGGTATGCAGCTTCTATCTGCGGGCGCGGACGGACTGGTTAAGCTCTGGACGATCAAGAGCAACGAATGCGAGGCGACTCTTGATAACCACGAGGACAAGATCTGGGCTCTCGCTGTGTCCAAGGACAGCTCCGAGATGGTCAGCGGTGGTGCCGACTCGACTATCAACCTCTGGCGTGACTTTACCGAGGAGGAGGAGCGCGCGCAGCAGGATGAACGCGATGCCAAGCTGCTGAAGGAGCAGGAACTCTTCAACTGCCTGCGCAGCAACAAGCTGCTGGATGCTGTTCAGCTCGCGTTCGAGCTGAACCACCCGAACCGCATGCTGCAGATTCTGCGCGACCTGCTCGAAGGCCCGCGACACAAGGACCAGCCGACGCTCCCTGGTGGCAAGCCTATCGACCCCGACAACTTCTCGCCTGAGGACATCTACGCGCCGGTGGTTCACAGCTTGAAGGACCAGCAGCTGACGACGCTTATGGACTGGCTCCGTGACTGGAACACAAACGCCCGCAACACGAGCGTCTGCCAAGTGCTGGTGAGCACGATTCTTCGTGAGCTGCCGCCTAGTCGCTTGAAATCGCTGGATGGAGTCTCCAAGACCGTGGAGGCGCTGATCGCATACAGTGAGCGCCACTTCCAGCGAATCGATCGTATGCTACAGAAGTCGTACCTTGTGGACTTCAGTATTGTGACCATGAAGAGCCTGCTGCCGGTTGGCGAAAGTGAGTCGGCCGTCGAGAAGACGGACAGTGATAGCGAAGCAGAAGCAGAGGAAGAGAAGGAGGTGAAGGCCAAGGAGCAGCCACGGAAGCGTGGCAAGGCTGCTGCCACCGGAAAAGCCAAGAAGCAACGCGTGTAAATAGACCCCTCTCTTTCATACAGTCCTCATTGTTCATGGTTAGACTCGCCCACTGCGATTACCTCTCTTCTTGGTTGTGTCGCCCTCTTTCGTTTGTTGCGCGTCCTCAGATCGACCGTAGATTTTCATGGTGGTGAGGAAGAGCTCCTCTAAACCCGCAGCGCGACACGCAGCCGCCAAGTCGGACATGCCATCCTCTGGAAACTCCCTGAAGCCGCGTGGTAGGCGTCTGAGTTCGTCCAGACTACCCGAACTCCCCTCTCCTAACTCCTTTGTCTGCTCCCCACGCACTGTTATCTGCTTCCAACGCAGGTGTTGCAGCCGCCGCACATACTCTTGGACGTAGGCTTCGGCTCCTTCGACGATCACTACTCCAGGCCAGCCAATTTTGCTGAACCCGCTGAGCTGTAGCTCCAGCGCCCACTCCTTGACCACGCGCCGCTTGTTGGATGCGATGATGTGGTGGAAGTAGATGGCGCGGCGGCCGAGCACTGTAGGCAGCAATACAGTCTGCTGAGTGACGGCTTTATCGCCAGGCTGGTCATCGATACTTTCGTCGGCGTGCATTTCTGATAGAAAGTCGTGCATTTGTTGGTACAGCTGCAAGCCCACCACCTCCTGTGTTGCAACCGATGCAGTCGCCAACTTAACTAACTCGGTGTTGAGCTTCTCCATTTGAGGACGTGAGAGCTGAGGACACTGCACTTCGAACTCCATCGACGCAGCGTCGGGATATCCTGGAGGGCAAATGAGCTTCAACGCTGGCACCTCTCGACCAAATGCTAGATCCTTCCGCACAAGAGTAGATGGCACTCCGTTGTTAGCTTGATCCTGACGATAATGAAGCAACAACCGTCACAAGCACCTTGTAGAAGAGTGTGTACTGCATCCGGCATTCAGGTCGCGGACCCCCGCTCTCTTCAGAGACGTAAGCCTTAAGTGCAGCCTTTGCATGCGTGTCGACCTTCAGTTCATCGTCGTCAGGAAACATGCTAAGCATACACTCAAGCTCATCGAGCTGCTGCTGCGCCGCCGACAGTCCGCCATCCTCCACAGCTACCGCCATGGCCCGATCTGCTATCACTGATGTAGCCTATCAGCCAATGGATTTCTTGGATTAGAGAAAACCTAAAACCTTGAAGTGCCAATGGAATTTCAAGTGGAATGCCGTGTGTTATCTTCCATTCTACACTGCATGGTTAGTTAGACTGACATGAGCCACCCTCTCGTTGAAGAGCAAAGCGATCTGCTCGAAAGTGAGCCCCGTGGTTTCAGGCACCTGTAACATCAGCAGCAGAGCAGAAAAGTTTCGATTAGAAACGATACGTCGGTAAGTTCTTGAGTTTGAGCTTCACGTACCTTAAAGAAGACGAATGCAAGTGATCCAGCTGTGAGTGTTGTGTACAAGAGGAAAGCGTTTCCAGTTCCAAATGCGTGGAAGACTGATAGCAGTGTTTGGTTCACGAGCGCACTGCCCAGCCAGAACATACCGAACGTAAGACCCATTCCGATGGAGCGAAATTCGTCCGGGAGAAGCTCTGAGCACACGACCCACATCAACGGCGCCCAGCTAAGGTTCCAAGCGAAGATGAACGCGTACAGATTCCATTCTCCAATGGTTTGGACGAACTCAGAGTGCGTCGCGCTCAAGCTCCAGAAGCAGAGAGCGAACACGAAATGGCAAATCAACATCAAGAAAGTCCCGATGAGAAGCAGCGGGCGGCGACCGACACGATCCACCACGGCGACAGCCGAGCAAACTCCTGCAAGTTTGGCAATACCCACCCAGATCTCTTTGCTGAGGGGAGAGACTGGGTAACTATTGCCCGTTTGCAGTTCGTCCAGGATGTAGCTAGAGTAATAAAGCATCGCGTTCGCTGCCGTCAAAATGTGGCAGAATGCGATAGCTACACTAAACATGACGCGTCTGATAATACAGCAATGTACACAAGATGTTTAGAATGCATGGCCACAGAGCTACACAAGCTACCAAGTGTGGGTATACGCACTTTCGAGTAAGTTCATCCGTCACGAGCTCGCTCATCGCGTGGAAAAAGCTTTCATGGAAAGTCTGTCTCCACCAGGAAAACAGCACAGAGTTAGCTATGAGATGCCTCCACAACAGCAATGCGGGAGTGCGTACTGTACCCCAACATCAAGGTGGGCCTGGATAATCTCTTGTGATGCTTCGTCGCTGTAAAGCAAACTCTTTAGAACAGCGCTTGCCTCCTTGGTACGATATTTCTTCAGCCGGGTTGAATGTTAGGTTCACAAGAAGTTGAGTAAAAAGAGGCACAGTCTTCTTGTGCGTACCGAGATCAACCACCGAGGGGATTCTGGGAGAAACGGCATTCCAAGCTAGAGATGCCACACACACACAATGTCAGTACTTATGCGCCTTGGTTCCGATGCCCACAATTATTAATATCAGACAGACCAATTGTACAAGCGGAGGAAACAGCGTCATGCCAAGCATTTCACGCCAGCCATTCTGGCAACATGCAACCAATACGAGAAGATGCGTCGTTAGTTGTACTCATGAGTAGTGCGTCTCAGCTTGCTACGCGTACCTCGCTTCCTTGTAAAGAAGAGCTCACAACAACGGATACAAGGCAGCCGAAGCAAACCATAACCTGACATCAGGTCGTTGGTTAGTTTAGCGCCAGTGTTCCTCTAAGGTATCGCATCAAACGTCACCGTTACGCACCTCATTGATCGTAACGAGTGCTCCGCGAGTTTTAGGCCGGGCAATTTCAGCTACGTATGTGGATACACACGGTCCACTACTACCGACAGCCAGGCCTGCGATGAACCGGCCGACAAGCATTGTGCGCAATGAACCGGCGAATGTCATGAACAGCGAGCCAAGCAGAAAGAGAGCCGCGGTAATTAAATTTGCAGGCTTGCGACCGATCCTGAATCAACCAATGCATAATGCTTTTGCAGTCAGAATGATTGGCCTAACACTGCAACTAAGCACGCATACTCATACCAGTCGGCAACAACACCGCCCACGAGCGACCCGATCACCGCGCCAAGCATGAGAGTACTGACGATGCTCTCGGCCGCAGTCGTCGATAGTGCAAAATCCTATAGCATTGCAACCTTATCCGTTAGTTTACAACCTCCGTGGAAACTTCAAATAACGCATCTCGTCACCTTTTGAATTAGCGGCAGCGCGACAACCATCACACACAAGTCGTAGCCGAACAGGAAGCCCGAAAGCGCGCTGAGTCCGCATATCCACGCCTGCACGCCGCAAAAAGGACTTGGTCTTGCATTCTCCTGCTGCTTCAGTTGCACGTCACTCCCGCCAACGACCGCGTAGCCCGCGGACTGAGGCGCTGAGACTCGATGCTGCACCATCGTCAATTGCGTGTTCCTCTTTGCAACAACGGTTTCAGTTGGCCGGAAAACTGATATGGCTGCACCAATCAGGTTTGACTCAGAACGCGGTCGTCACTACCCTCCAAAACCAATATATGTAGCCATAACGTCTTTGAAATGAGCTTTTGATTCATTCAAATTCAAAAAGTTGCTTGCCGTATCAAAAATGGACGAGCCCGGCGCTCCGACGCCGCCGTCGTCGCCCCCTCCGCCCTCTGGAAGTTTGCCGGAGCTCACGCGCCGGCTGCAGGACGAGAGGGATGCATTGCGCGTAGAAGTGGAGGAGCTGACGCGGCGGCTGGCGCAGGAACGTGCAGCAAGGGCCACTCTGGAGAACGAGGCGCAGCTGCGCGAGCTGGAGCTGCGTCACGTGCAGCAGCGCAGCGCCCAAGCAGCTCAACAAGCTCGGGACAAGCAGGTAGCGCTGGAGAAGGAGCTGGAGGACGAGGTGGCGATGCACAAGATGGCGGTGCTGGGGAGGAACGCCGCTACGCAGAAGAACACGACGCTGGCGGCGGAGCTCAAGACGATGGAGACCAAGTGGAAGAAGGAGATCGAGAAGAAGGAGATCGCCATTTCAGAAGTCGAAGCAGCCGCGGAAGAAGCTCAGAAGCTCAAGACGGACAGAGACCAGCTCGTGCAACGCACGGAGAGTGACGCCAAACGCGTCCGAGAGTTGTGGCAGCAGATCGCTCGGGAACATGAAGTCAAGGTGGAAGCTCTGAAGCAGGAGCTGCTGAATGCTCAGCAAATGTCGACAGGTGTGGAAAGTAAAGTGGCAGAGTACCAAGTGAAAATTGAGAAGCTTGAAGTGACGCTGCAGACGACGAGGGAGGAGAAGGCTGCTCTGCAGGAACAGCTTGCGGCTGCATCCAGCGAGAGGTCTCGTTCACTGGAGCAGAAGGAGTTGGACCGATTGAAGGAGAAAAGCTGGGGTAACGAGCAGCACCGTATTGCACTGGAATTACAAGAAGCGAAGAGTGACTGCAAGCTGCATGCTCAACGGGAAGAAGCAGCCGTCAAGGAGCGGGACGCGGCGGTGCTGGCAGCGCGCAAGGCAAAAGAGGCTCTGGATGATAGAACGGAAGAGCTGTTGGCGTTGAAAACCGAGTTTTCTGACCTGCTTGATAAGCACGAGACTCTGGTTGTACAGTACAAGCAGTCGGCGCGACAGCGTGAGGCGCAGCTTGTCGTGCGCACCCAAAAACTTCGTGACGGTAAACGCTGCGCCGAGGAGCTGGTTCGACTTCGGCAGGAAGAAATCGCCAAGTACAAGCAGGTTATTTATTCGGTGAACACTCGGCTTACAGAGGTGCAGGAGCTTAGCGAAACCAACCAGAACAACGCGTGGTCACTGCCGCAAGACGGCAGCAACACCAAGACCTCGCTATGTATCTACCGCCACTAAGAATCCTAGACTTTATTGATCTTTTAACGCGGCTCAACTGGTACTGCTAATGGATAAACGTCACTGTTGCTGCTGACTTTGTAGCTAGTCATCTACACGATCCCCTGCTCGAGGAACGGCTCGTTGGCTCGCACGCGGTCGAAGCTGAAGCGCGAGCAGTCGATGGTCTTGAACTCTCCGTCCACAATGAGCTCCGAGATGGCGCGACCAGCGGCAGGCGACTGCTGCAGGCCGTGACCACTGAATCCGTTGACCAGGTACATGTTCGGCACGTCGGGGTGAAGGCCGATGATGGCGTTCTGGTCGAGGGTGTTGTAGTCGTAGTATCCAGCCCAAGCGCTCAGAACCTTGATGGCCTCAAAGTCCTTGACACGGTGTGCGATCGTGGGCCAGATCTGCTCCTCGAAGTGGTCGTGGTCCGGGAAGTCGAGCTCGTCGGTAGACTGTCCGTCGTAGTCGTCCTCAGGCTCTGGTGACCAGCCGCACACAAAGCGACCGCCAGAGCCTTCGCGTCGGAAGTACACTCCGTTCGGGTCCACCACGAGGGGCGTCGCCGCGTCGCCCTTCCAAATATCCTCGGCGGAGCAGTGGAAGGCGAACATCGAGCGCTTGCGAGGCTTCACGGGGTAGTCGAAGCTGCCGCACGCCTCCAACAGTTTGCTGGACCAGCACCCCGCAGCGTTCACCACGACACCCGCACGCACCGAATCAATGCGCATACCGCCGCATTCCAGCGCGTTCTTCGTCTCAATGTGGACCTTCTCAATCTTGTTCTGGCCGCCGAGATCAAAGTTCTTCACCTCGCCCTCCAGCACGTCGACACCTAGAGACACGCTCTTGCGCTTCATAGCATTGAGGAATGCCCAGGGGTCGAACCATCCCTGGTCCTTGATGCCCAAGATGGCTTGCTCGACGCCCTCCGTGTTGATCCAGGGAAAGCGCTTCTTCAGCGCCACCGGGTCCAGCAGCTGAACGTCGGCACCCGCCGCCTTCTGCGTCGCGTAGTTCTGCTGGAGAACATTCACGCCACGCTCGCTGGCCAGGAACATGTAGCCGCCTTCGACGAACTGGACATCGGGCGCATCGTGGCCGTCCACCTTCATGTTGGTGCCGATGTTGCGCAGGAACTCGGTGCCGTAGAGGCTCATCACGATGTTCTCCTTCTCCGAGAACTGGTGGCGGATGCCACCGGCCGACAGAATTGCCGACGCGTACTTGTACTGCACCAGCGGAACGACACAAAAGCCACAAGGTTAGACTTGAACAAGTGTCAGCAAACTGAAGAAGAAGAGGTCGACGTACGCATGGGTCTTTCTCCACCACGGCGATCTTGAGCTTGGGGGCGGCGATGGCCAGGTGGTAGGCGGTCGAGAAGCCCATGACGCCTCCGCCCGCGACGACCACGTCGTAGTACGGCGTCTCGGTGGTCGAAGCGGAGCTCGCGAAGCGCAGGCCGCGGCTCGCGATGGCACGCGTCAGTCCGATCGTCTGCAGTCTGTGGAAAGCACAGCACAGCGGCGTCAGTGGGTGGAGGAGGCAATGGAAGGGCAGAAGAAGGAGGAGACGCACGTCTTGGTTGCCAGCATCGTGGAGAAATGAAAAGTGAGCGCATGAGGGCGGCGCGCGGCGGCTCGAGAGTGCCCTGCAGGGCAACTTGGCCTGCAGTCCGACTGCTCAACAGAGCCGGGGCTAAGTCGCCACTTCAACCGAAAACCGTCTTGGTTTTTGTATGGGCCGTTGGCGTTGCAGCGCGTCATCAGTGAACCCATCTCCCCAAAGTCCAAACTTATGATTGGACTTCGCCTGGAACATCGTCTGGGGGGGGGGGGGGGGGTCTTCATCGAGATTCGGATTCCTACCAGTTGTGTGGGCTAACCTCCATTCCATACGAAATACAACAGAAAGCAGCGAAAGAAAGCCTACTCTAATTTGTAAGGGCAAGCACAAGGGTACGTTCATTTACGGCAAATTGAGGAGTTCTATTAGCCACAGTGCTCCTGCACTGGAAGCAAATGCTGGGGGTGCGGTGCGGCAATAGCATACCCGTGGCGTTCTGAACTCACTCCATAGCAAAACGGTTCACTTGGTCCTGGCGGATGACCTCCTGCAGCGCGTCCACCTTGTCGTACATGCCGAACTGCCCGCCCGTGTGCACGAAGAGGATGTTCTTGCCCACGAATTTCTGCGGGCCCAAGATAAACAATCGTTGTTATGATGTTCGTAGTAAGATTCTCATCAGTAGTACGCAGTCAAGCATCGACATCGCCGTACCTCTGGGGCCTCGTTCAGCTCTCGGATGAGGTGGAAAAGCGCTTTGCCCGAGTACACGGGGTCCATGAGCACACCCGTCGAGCGGCTCACGCTGTAGATGAACTCGAGCTCTTTCTTGGTGCTGCGCGCGTAGCCTGTTCCCTGCGCGTTTGTGATCTGCAAAAACTGCCGCGACGAGATGTCGGACGGCACGCCCATCGCAGGCAGAATCTGGTTGTCGATGTGGCCGTGAAAGTACTCGTCGTTGTCGCAAACGATGTATGCGTGAGCTGAATTGGCGAAACGAAAGCATACCCCCAAAGTGAGCACAAAATCGTACATGCATGTGGTCATTGCAGCATACCCGGGATCTTCGTATCGAAGATAAGAGCTGCGTTCGGGTGAGCCTTGGCATAAAGGTAGGTCCCAAGCCCAATGCCAGCAGCAGTGCCTCCGCTACCACACGCGAACGCGATGTCCGTCACCGGCAAGTCGTACTCCTACCAATAAACAAACACCCAAACATTATAGTAGTAATTCGACTTGGCAACTTCAATGGTGCACTCTCACACACGCACCTTCAATTGGCTGTTGATCTCCTCAATAGCTTCGATGTAGCCCCACGTGCCCAGACCGTTGCTCCCGCCCACTGGGATCGCATACGGACGTCGGCCTTCCTTCTTCAGTCGCTCACAAGTGCGCTAGAAAAAAAATGTAAAAGGATCAGACTTGCAATCTCCAATCGTTCAACAACAGTAGTTGCACTCCTCCACACCTTGATCATAGCTTCACTCCCGTACTTGCCGTACTCTTGCCTCGACATCTGAATCAGGTTGGCATCCAGCATTCTACACCGCAACAGCCAACCGACCCCACCGTTGATGACACAACCATACAAAAATCTACTGTAAGTCTTTGATTGTACCGGTCGAAGAGCACGTTGCCGACGAGCCCCGGGTCCTCGTCCGGTTTGTTGGTGCGGAGCAGCAGGTACGAGTCGAGTCCCAGCATCCTGGCGACCGCAGCCGTCGCTCTGCAGTGGTTGCTCTGGATGCCGCCGCACGTGACGATGCAGTCGGCCTTCTGCTCCAGCGCCTCGGCCAGCAGGAACTCGAGCTTGCGGATCTTGTTGCCGGATGTCTCCATGCCGCTGAAGTCGTCGCGCTTGATGAACAAACGCACGCCCTCGGGCAGGCCGGGCGGCGTGAACGGCAGGATGGGCGTGGGGAAGTGGCCCAGGCGGAGCTTCTGAGCCGGTGGGCGGCGCAGCGCAGAGGCCCACGCGGGCGGGGCGAACGGGACGCACTTGAGCATCATCGGGCGAAGGTGGCGAGTGGAGTTCCAGGCTCTAGATCTGACCAATCACCGTCCAGCGTGACAGCTTCAACGAGTTTGCTAGTCGACGGCTGAGGAGCATTGTCGATGCTGTCCATGCCGATGTCTCTGCATGAATCTTTGGGTGTGAACTGCAGTGTCGGATTTAAGCATTGGAAACCTCTCTGCTTGGTTGATTGGATCTTGCGAGTGTCATAGTGTCGAGTACAAGTAGAGGACAGTGATTACCAGGGGCGGAGACTTAGCACAGCTGCTATCTGTAGACAGCTATGGGTGGAAATCGCCGCGCCACGTACGACCTACTGCGTAACGCGTAGTTAGAGAAGCCGTCAATACATGTTGTCGCCTAGAGCACTGCGGTGGGTGCGGCGATCGATAGAAATGACCATGAAGTCGACCAGCTGAGCGCTTTCACTTCAACGTCGTTCCAGATCCTAAATCTTACTCCATACTTTATTCAAGTCATCTTTCCGTTAATCACTCCGTTCTAAACCTTAAATTTCACTTGATCAAAGTATGCATCCACAAATCGTGCACCTCTACCACGTCGTCGTGGCACGCGTCTGGCAATCTGAGGCACTCTAAAGCTCGCCTGCCGTAGACGACATGGCCGGCCCGTGGCTGCTCTCGCTGGCGGTGGCGCTCTGCTCCCTCTCGTCCGCCACTGCCGCCGCCGTGTACGACCCGTCCGCGCGCTTTGGCGGCTTCTCCAGCGACCGCTACGTCCGCCAGAGCCGCGCCGACCCCGAGCTGGTGGTGCCTCTGGTCATAGGACTGCAGCCCGAGGACTTCAATGTGCTAGAACGCGAGTTCTACAGCGTCTCAGACCCCACGTACGTTTTGCACAAGCTCTAATCGATCTACAGTACGTGTGTTCACTGATAGAAGGCACAAGAGTGAGTGACGGTATGGCTTTTGTGTTGCTGACTCTAGACACACGTCGTACGGCCAGTACCTCGCCCCGGAGCAGGCGGACAAGCTCTCCAAGCCTGCTCATGGTGCGCTCAATGCCGTGCGCAATTGGGTCGGCGATTACGCGCATGACAACAGCGAGGGGACGTTCTCAACGACTTCGAACTTGTACAAGGTGCCTATGAAGGTGAAGCACATCGAGCGACTGCTGAGGACGGAGATCCACCACTACGAGGCGAAGGACGAAGTGATGCCCAAGCGACGGAGGCTGATGCGTGCGGCGGATGCAGTGTCTGTTCCAGAACACCTGCAAGATTTTGTGTCGTTTTTGAGTGTCAACACCCACCCACTCGGTCTGCGAGCGCAAGTTGCTACCTCCTCCGCGACAACTGAGGCGAATGGCATTGTGGCGGATACTTTGGCCTCCATTCGACAGACGTATGGCATCCCGGATGACCTTGTGGCGACCAACCCCACTAATGCGCAGTGTGTACCATCGTTCTACGACGAGGCCTACAATCTGGACGACTTGCAGACATTCTACGAGCAGTACTTGCCTGGTGAAAGCCCACCAAAGATTATCGAGAAAGGAGATCGCGTTAATAGACCCGAACGGGCGAGCGCGGAGGCTTCGTTGGACCTGCAGTACATCACAGGCGTGGGTCGCAATGCCACAACGTACATTTGGACAATGAACGGCAGTAACCCGTACTCATCAGAGGATGAACCGTTCGTCGAGTTCGCCCAAGATGTACTCGAGCTGGAGAATCCCCCGTATGTTGTCTCCATTAGTTATTCAGACGACGAAGAGCACATTTTCGACGTCTCGCCGGGCTACGCACGAACACTCGACACACTTCTTATCAAGATGGGTCTTCGTGGAATTACGGTGCTTATCGCTGGTGGTGATGACGGCGTAACTGGACTGCGCCCCGAGTTTGAGAAGATCCCAGCCGCCGAAATATGCAAACAGAGCGGCCCTCAGTGGCCGACTTCAAGCCCGTACATCACTACTGTTGGCGCCACAATGCTACTGGCAGACGTTCAGCAATCTGCTAAGCCGTTCTTCCGGACGAAGGAGGAAGTCATCTGCAGCGTCGAGAACGGCGGAATTATTACTTCTGGCGGTGGATTCTCCAACATCTACCCGATGCCAGAGTACCAACGCAAGGTCGTTGAGAGGTACTTGACCACAAGGAACATCCCAACAACTCCAGGCTTTTTCAACTCTAGTGGCCGTGCGTACCCCGACGTCGCCGCGCTAGGTGCAGGTTATCTCGTCATCATGAACGGCCGACTCTCGTCTGTATCGGGTACATCAGCATCTACACCGGTATTCGGCGCCATGGTAACACTATGGAACGATGCGCGATTGAATGCTGGCAAGAGCCCGCTGGGTTTCATTAACCCTTTGCTCTACTACCTCGCCGAAAACCATGTCGACGCTTTCCACGATGTTGTCGTTGGTAACAACGGAGCCCCTCGTGGTGGCAATACCCCGTGCCAAGACTCGTTCACTGCTTCCGGCGGATGGGATGCGGTCTCGGGGGTTGGCACGCCCAACTTCCCAGTGCTCGCCGAGTTCATCGCGAACCTGGAGGACCACTTCAACGTCTCTCACCTGGGTGACTCAGGTAATTCCGCGGCGGGCAACGTGAGCGCCAATGTGGTAACCCCGACTGCCGTCGTCAGCGAAATGAGCACGTTCACGATGGTGCTGCTGGTTGCGGCTGTGGTGGCGAATGTCGCCATCGGAATTGTGGTGGTTGTCTCGCTGATTAAGCGGTGGAGGAACCAGTACACCCCTCTTGAAGATGCTGCTGTTACATCCACTACACCTACTGCGCCCGTTTCCACTACGACTTCCACGGCCCGCATCAAGCGATTGAATTCAAATGATGACAACAGTGGAGACGAAGAGGAAGAGGTAGAGCTGAGCGAAATCAACCTGCAAGAGTAGCGATTCGCAGCGAGTCATTTGTAAGTGACCAAGGAAAATAGATTTGGTGTATGTCTTCGTGAGCTGCAAGCCTTACAACCGGAGTTTGAATGAACTAATATCACAGCGACTAGCGTCAGCAGCTAGCAATAACTCGGTACCAGTACTCAGCGGGACAATAACTACAGCAGCGGGCTGGACAAAGCGGGTCTCCACCTCGCCTGTAGCTCCAAAAGCTGAGAGAAATTCGCCATAGTTCGTGAAAATAACCACGCAGCGGTTCGCAACATCGCTCACCAGTATGTATCCGCTGCGCTGTTGCACCGACACTCCAACGGGAGAAAGTGGATGGTCAAATGGCGTGGCTTTCGCATCCAAAACGAGTTGTGCGCCGCCGTTTAGGTCAAGGACTTGTACCCGACAATTACCAGTGTCGGCAACGACGAGTTTGTCGGAACGATGAGGACCAAAATTGCATTTCGGAGTTTCAGGAAGTGCTGAACAGAGTGCAAGGCCCGTAGGAAAGTTGAATTCTCCAGGTGCCGTGCCCAGACGACCGAAAGCTCGCGTGAAACGACGAGTTTGCAAGTCGAATACTTGTACGCGATGATTGCATTGGTCGGATACAAAGAGTAGTCGGTTGTTCCAAACCGCTATGCCTTGAGGCGAGTCGAAGAATCCCTCGACATGACCAAAGCCCTCGCCGATCCGACCGCAGAACGAACCATTTCGGGCATCGAAAAGCGATAGAGAATGGTTTCCACTGTCGCTGATCACTAGCATAGTGCGTGGATGAGAAGAGTTGCTACCTTCAATAATTGCAGATACTTCGTCATCGCCTACGCTGTAGGTTGCGAGGAATGACGGGTGATTCAGCTCTCCGGGCTTAAATCCATTCGAGCAGAGCGGCTGATCGCCGTACGTAGTGGCGCCGATGAAAAACTGCAAATTCAGGTTGCTTGAATCGAGAACAGCCACTCGATGTGCCGTCGGATCACTCACATACAGCCACGTCTTCTTTGGTGTATCCTTTGCCTGCTCTTCAGGATTGCCAATGGTAAAGCTGAGCTGGAGACAGCTGTGCACGCTGCAAACTCCTCGAAGCTGATTTCTTGGGAGCTGGAGCCAAGTGCAGCCGGCAGCGTCGAAGTTGTACGTGTACACACTGGCATTTTCACGGTCGGCCACAACGATCTCTCGCTCAGATGGAGCGTACGCAAGCGCTAATGGGTGGTGGAAATGTGAGCGCTTATCACGCCACTCCATTTGGTACGATGTGAGGCGAGCGTATAGGTTGCACGTCGGATGCAGCTTCGTCGCAAGACTGTAAATGTCGTCCATGCGATTACCAGATAAAACAGGTGAACGCTGGTGCAGCGCTGCGTATTCTCTCTCGATTTCAGCTCGTAGGCTTGCAAACTGATCATGTTGAAATACAACTTGATCCAGACTTCCGAGTAGCGACAATTGCCTTAAAAACTCCCCGCGCTCGTTGAGTATTTGTACTCGATAGTTGCCACAGTCTGCCACGATAGCTTCAAACTGCTCATTCGAGATCCCAGCGTCGGCTTCAGGCTGAATTCCACGAGTAATAGCTCGCTGTGAAAGACACACCAACTAATAAGTAGAGCGACAAGCCAAACCAATCAAACCTAACATACCTTTCGAACGTTAGCCAGCTTGACGTCTCGTAAATCATAGAACTCGCCACCGTGCAGTCCCTTGCGGCCAATTGTCAGCACGAAAGCTCCACGCTTGGCGAATACGGCTAAGCGAGAGTTGCCTGTATCGCACACGACCACGTGATAATGCGAAAGATCCAAGCCTGTCGGTCGCTTCATCACGATTCCCCGAGAACCAGCAATACTTCGCTCGAGCGTGACTCCTTTGGCGATAGAGTTCGTCGGAAGCTTGTACACTCTGATGCAGTTGGTTGCCTCATCGCTAGCGTAAAACTCGCCAGCCGCGTCGTCCACCGCAAGACCTCGAGGCAGAGTGAGCTGCAAGTTCCCGTCAATGAAAGCAGTTCGAGCTGTTGATGCGTCAAAGTTGCAAGTCTGGCCTCCAGTCACCTGGTTGGCGAGAGCGCAGGTCCAGTACAGTTGAAAGAGAACGCGGAGCTCGATCACTGCAACGCGGGCACACCCCTGCTCACACACTAGCCGAATTAGACTCAAATCTAACGAAATACTACAGTATAACAAGCTCGTTTTACTCACCTAGAAGCCTGCCGCACCGAGTCGAAGCCATCGCCAAGGGTGTTCGTAGTGCAAGACTTTCATCCACGTCACTTTCCCAAGAGGAAGTGAACAAAAGTTTCTTCGTCTTCCGGTCAAACCCGTGGATCTTTGCAGTGTTGTCGCCAACGAGGATAACATCCTCGTCCAAGCCTAAGATCGGATTCTCCAGGGCTCGTACAGTTAGCACTGCCACACACATCGGCAGTGCTTCGTCATCTCCACGAGATGGCAGCGTCGACGTCCAAAAGGCCCCAATAAGCTTCAGCTGCTTTTCAATTCCTGCGATCACCAGCCTCTCGTCGTTCTCGAGGTTCGCAATGCGCTCTTCCTCCTCCGCCTTCCTCCGTCGGATCTCCTCACGCTCCTGCAGTCGCCGCTGCTCTTCGGCAATGCGCTCTACAACCAAGCGTGCGTATCAGAGCTAATGTATTGAGGTGCATGAACTGATCTCAGCATTTGCCCACCGTCTTCAAGACGCTTGCGCTCGGCCTCCTGCTGCCTTCTGAGCTCCTCTTGTCGCTGCCGAGCCGCCTCTTCCAGCCGCTGGTTCTCGAGTTTCTACATGGCAACCACGAGATCATCAGCCCACTGCAAGGTGCAGGAAGATTAAAGTGGTTGTATTTCTGAAGCTTACTCGAAGTCGTCGACGCTCGGCCAACGGGTTGGTATTTGCTGTTGCCATGGCTAAAAGATCGATCCTCCCTTTGCGACTCTTCAAGCTCACTTCGATGAGACCGTCATGTTCCTTTGGCTACCCCGCGTAGCTACATGTAACTCGCTTGGCCAAGACTGTTTCAACGCTGAGCAGCGTGGCGGGCGAATGCAACGTTGATGATGAAGATCTGTGTGCATTATTATATCAATAAAAAAACTGCCCGAGTATTCCTTCTACATGGGGCTTCCCTCTTGTCTAAAACCTTTTTCGTCCCTAGTGGACGATCCCTAACATTGGTCGATCCATAGTGTACGAATGGAGGCTGCTTAAATAGGCGACCCGCGCAGCTCGGCCAGCTGCGCCCGCGAGAGCCGCAGGTCCAGGTTGTTATCCCAGCCGCACATTTGCTCAAACGAGTCGTGCGTCAGCTCCACCTGCTGCAGAACCTCCTCGGCGTTTGGGTGCTCCACGAACTTGAGCGTCTTGGCAAAGGTGCGAGACACGTTCTGCACCGCGGCGTAGCACGCGTCCCGCTCCGCCATCGAGTCGCCGATCGAGAGGAAGTTAAAGTACGCGTCCTGCGGGGCCGTGGGGTCCCTAGAGTACGCGCGGGCACCGTTCACAACAGTCTCCTGAGATGCGGCGGCCGCGAAACACTTGCGCGCGATGAGCTGCATGACCTCCTGCTTCCAGGTCGCGGAGTCGCCTCCAAGGCCGTAAGTCTGCTCGTACCAGCTGCGCGCAGACACAATGTGCACGTCCGGGAGCGCCAGGATGCTCTGCACCGCCGGCAAGTAGAGCGCGGCCGACATCTCGACCCAGCCGTACTCGGCAGCGGTGACCACGAAGACGGGGCCGTAGGCCACGGCCTTCTGCAGGAGGCGCGCGACGTGCGCGCCGATGAGGGCCAGCACCTCGCGCTGCGCGGGCGTGACGGAGATCTGGTGGCCGCGGAACTTGGGCAGCAGGTCCTGCGCGTGCAGCCACGAGCTGGGGCACAGCGTGTCGTCCCAGTCGAAGACGACCACCGTGCGGTCCTTGACGGAGCTGGGCGCCGCGCCCGGGCGTCGCTTGGGCTGCGTGGCGCTGGCGGGCGACACGGGCTTCATGGGCCGCAGCGTCTCGACTGCGGAGGAGGCGAACGCCATCGATGCTGAGCTGCGGAGGCGGAGCGGGTGGAGGTGAGTTGGCTCGCGCTCCTGACCTGCGCGCGCCGAGGGGTGTTCGATAATGTGGGGGCCCGAGGCGACGGCCGTTTCCCAGCGGATTCTCCATAGGGCCCAGAGACATTTCACAACCATACGCTTTGTAAGTAATTCGGCGAGCGACAGGCCAGCGCGGCTGGTGTCGGGCGTTGAAGCGGCACCGTGTGCCACGCCTGAACCGATGCAGTGTATCTCTGGACCAAGGGCAACACTCGTGATGGCCGCCGGCCAGCTTGGCGGAGGAAGTGGCTCCAGTTCAATGCAGACCATGGTCTCGCGTCGCCGCCGACGCTGCTCTCGGTCGGCGAGGAGCTCATTGCTGCCCCGGCCGGCCTCGGAGGCACGTGCGCCGCGCTGAGATGGCTGCGTGAGCAATGCCCGGGGCCCAAAGGCTTTGGGCCAAAGCCGGGCGGGTGCAATTGCCGTTTAACCACACCCAGCAGACGACTTTCTTACCCAAACGCGAGCAGCACCATTTGCTCGGCGTCTCGCTGATGGAGGGCTGTTCTTGCCCTACATGCTGGTGCATGCTTGACACTTCTTTTTCGTGTTGCTGCGGGCTGCCGGCTGCTTCGACGGGCTGTCACGATTGAAAGGCGCGGCGCACGGCGGCAATGGCCGAAACTGTGCGCGAGCCGCTGGGCCACGTGCTGGCGCTGCTGGAAAACGACTGCTGCGAGCGACTTGGCTCGCCATTTGGCCGGCGCGGCTGTCTGGTTGCCTGCCGCGCGCACCGAGCTGATGGCGGCTGCACGCACGTGTTTCTTGTCGGCGAGAGCCGCCTCGCAGGCCAGAAACCAGAGCCGCACACTGCGCTCCGCGGCTGCGCTAGAAGTTCGCTCCGGACCCACCTGGACGCGAGGAAGCTTTCGCCTTCATCTCAGCAGCGGCGAGTACGATGTAATGCGCCTCAAGCCTTGAAGGCGTCGGCGCGACGACGACGCCACTCACTGTCAAGTTGACAGTGTCAACGCGGGTCAACGGATGTTGCCTTTTTCGAGCCCCCACAATTTGTGTGGGCCACAAGCGGCAAAGAAGCGGTTTCTGTTCACTGATGGCGGGTTTACAAATGCGACACACGGACTGACGCCAGCGTTCGAAGATCCACTCCTGTCACAACGCATATTGAACCTCTTGTACGGAATGCGGCAACAGATGCCAGAAGTTCGCCATATTCCGACCCCGGCAGTCGAATTCCATTGCCGCAGCAGCAGCAATGGAAGGGCGCAGGATGAAGGCCCCATTGCCACCAGCCGATCAGATCCTCTATCGAGGCGATCCGCTTTCCGCTGTTGTCTCACCCTCGCGGCCGCCGCTGCAGCGAGCGATTTGACCCCGTGTGGCCGGCAAGGGATAATGTTTGCGAGCGCAGACACATCGTCCCAATGCACTGCGCATGGGGCTTCGGAGTCGCAGCTGGATTGCGTGTGTGTAACTTCCCGGTTCAGCCGCCGCTGACAGGTTTCGATCGCGGCTTCAGCGACGGTCGACCCAGGCAAGACGCTCCGACGAGCTCTATCGCTTCTTTCGCGGCGTCCGATAAGGACGTCCTGGTGCGCTACGACGCCGCGGCGGTCGTCCCTGGCGCCATTGCGTAATGGCCTCGGTGGCAAGAGGGAGCGAGGCGGCCGATGCCGCAGCGCCACTCATCGGCCGGCGGTGCTCGCTTCATCGCTCCATCGCGCGGTCGCAGCTCGCTCGTCGATCCGACTTCGGCGTCGAGCGGGCCGATGTGTCCTCACTTTGAAAGTCAATGTGGACCACATCCTACAAACAATGTGTACCACATAATGTATACCTTAGGTGGTCCACGCCATCGTGCTGACGCCGCGCAGTATCTACCAGCAGGTCTGGACCGCGTCGGACGACCCAATCGCTAAAACCCGAGCGTAAACGCGACGTATCTGAAAAGTATCTCCCCCTAGGTCCCTCCTTCAATAATCCATACTTAGCAAAAAATGCATACAGCGGGAGAGCCAGTCGTATGGTAGAGAAGAAGCCCCCCCTCTCTTCTCGTTCAGTCATACCGCAGTTTCGTATCGCCTTCCCGGACCTCTGCGCGCTTTGCCGCTTAGCCGGCATGTCGGGGGCGCTACCGGCCGATGCGGCCAATGCCAACGAGCTGCAGCAAGCTGTGGTGAACGTGATGACGCGACACGCTAGCACAAGACCGCAAAACACGATAAAGCAGTACAAGAACAAGCAGGATGACTTTGCCAGCTGGTGTACGAGTCGAAGCTAGTAGACTATATCGATAATTTTGTGGTACCCCGAGGAAACCTGCGCAAGAAAAACGACGATGGAAGTGCCGTCCGACTCGGATATGAGGCGGTGGACGCGTACGTCAAGGCTATAATCGATTTGTATCAGTTTCAGAAGTCTATTGGTATGAATCAGCACTCCCACCCGCGTGGCAAGGCTTTAAAAGGCTTGATGGACATGCTGAAGCGTGGAGAGAACAAGCGGAAGGTGGATACATACGCTGACCGTGGTTTAGGAACCGTTTTAGACGGCTACAACCTGGAAGATATGCGAGCGCTAAGCCAATTATGGCTCAAGCAGCCTACAGGGGTTGCTTTACGAAGTCAAGTGGACTTTCTAGTTGGACACGCTCTTCTAGCTCGCGGAGAATCGCTAAGATTTATTCAGTTTCCAGATATGCTGTCGCTAGAGCTAACCGACGAAGGCCCCCAAGTATGCAGCCCTCTCGTGGTCATTATGAGAAAAGGCAAATCAAATCAAGTCGGGCGGGTAGAGTATGGAGCTGCGATGCGATGCAAAGATGTTATGTTGTGCCCGTTAAATGCTGTGGCATTGTACCTGTTTTGGCGGTGGCATGTGGATTTGGAGCCCTTTCCTAGCTTTACGGACCGAAAGTTGTGGTACGACATCCGTTTGCTGAAAGGCAAATGTGCAACACGTGATATTGCCTACAACACGCAACTAGAACACGTGAAGAGTGCGTTCACTGCCTGCGGCATTGATTCATCGGTTTGGACACACGCCAACCGCGGTTCAGGCGCTAAGTTGGCTGAGCTACAAGGTGCGGATGAAAACCAGATTAGACGGGCTGGTAGATGGAATGGAGAACGAATGGAGGCATGCTACCTGACTACACTTCCCCGAAAAGCTATGCGCGCTTTGGCTGGTTTCCCTACGAAAGGGGTTGGTTATTGGATTGACCGTGCCACAATCACACCATCACCAGATCTCCAGAAAATGGTTTTCCCTGATTTAGGCTCCGCTGAAGACGATCTTCAGGAAAATGGAAACCGGGAGATAGCGACAGGCGGGTTTCTAGGGTTGCTACACGTATTGAGAGTTGTGTTTCTCCAGGACTCGGTACTACTACGTCGAAAGTTCCCGGAGCACTGCTTGTGGAGAGACCCGCTTTTTAGTACAGAGGCTTACGAGAAGTTTGAAACAGAGGTCACGATATCTTTGCAACCGACTACCCAGCCTCAGGATACACGCATCGAAGCTGCAATTCCGTTAGTTGCATCAACAATGAAAGACGGATTCCATGCACATCACGGGAAAATCGACAGTCTCGTTAGTGAAGTTCGACAGCTGAAAGAACAAGGATTATTTTCTGCGAACAAGAAACTTGTAATCTCATTGGCAGATGACGTTGATGCTCCCCATCGACGTGGTGTTGTCGCTGCTCGTGAGCCATTGGACTCCCAGGCAATCGGTGAGCGCTCAACAAGATCTGAATTGCGTCTAAGTCGCTCGCTGCAGACAGTGAATGAAGTGTGGACTGAATATACTCGTGGAATAGCTGGTCAAATGTTCGTCTGCGAGGCTGAGCAACGATTTGGAAGCAAGTGGCGAAAAGATCCGACAGAGAATCGGTTCTTCTCACGTCGTAAGGTATTCTACGATGCGATCCAGGCATTTGCTGCAAAACATCAGATAACCGAAGGGGCAGCTGCTGGAGAGCTGGAGAAGAAGCGCAAAGAGGCGGGAGAATCTCTCAATCGATTCGGAAAGATCGTACGTAGAGTCGTTCAGAATTCGTAAGGCAAGTAAGAGCTTCTAAGTCACTGTAACACACATACATACAAAATCCATATACATCCTGTATTGCAGTATAACTCGACCTACTTGCAGTATAACTCGACCTACTTGCAGTATAAGTCAACCTACTTGCAGGATAACTCGACCTACTTGCAGTATAAGCCGACCGGCTCGAGGGTTTAGTCATCAATCGTACTTTATAAGTTTCCTGGCTTAAAATTTTGGTCGACAGATTGTAAACAAAGCCACGAAATCTACACCGCTCATTTCGACTCCCCTCATTTGGAAAAATACACGACCTCGCGCTCACTGGAGAAGGAGAGACGGCGCCTTAACCAAGTGCCTATCGCCACGAAGGTCAGCAAGCTCAAGGAGTGGAGAGATAACCCTAAGTGGACTGCGAAGGTGGCTGCAAAGCAGCTTGGTGTAGCGAAGGGGACGTTGATGGGCTGGAAGAAGGCGCTGTGGCATCTGCTGGACGATCCTGCTGCTTTGGAAGCCCTTGGAGATGCATTTCGCAAGAAGGGGGCCGGCAAGAAGAAGCGCCTTAAGACCTACGAGTTACGCGTCCTTAAGTTATATGATTCGTGTCACGAGGATGGCGGCACGTGCACCTTCTCCGAGCTTCTAAGCTACGCGAGAAATAATATCCCTGAGTTCGCAATACTGAAGAAGGGAACGCAAGAGTCGTGGATATCACGTTTTATCAACAATTATAAGAATAAACCCGTCGGCCAGCCAAGCTTAACGGGACAGCAAAGCCAGGTCGGGCAGCCAAGTGGGGGTGTGTCGTCAAGTGAGGACGACGAGCCAAGTGAGGACGACGAGCCAAGTGAGGACGACGAGCCAAGTGAAGACGACAAGGCAAGTGATGACGACGAGGCAAGTGAAAACGACAGGGCAAGTGAAGACGAACAGGCAAGTGAAGACGACGAGGCAAGTGAAGACGAAAATGGCCCCAGTGAAGACTCAAGCAACGATAAATCAGCCAAGCCATCCGCGAACAAACCCGTAAATAAGGGTTCGGGTGCCACAAAAAATTTGCACGGGAATTCCGGAAATAACGACGTTGAAAACGGGTCTGATATCAGCGAGGAGGACGTTGGCGATGCGGCTATCGAAGAGAGCCAAGAACAAGTTAAACCCCAGTCAGGCAATAAGCCGAAAGGCACGGCACGTCCCCAAAGGATCGCTAAAAGAAAAAATCGGGACGAGCCAATTATGACTGTGGTGCACCAGCGTGCAGGAAACAAGCACGGTGAAATTATTCGAATTCCGCTGTACCAAGAAGACTTGGACAGTTTATTGCCCGGGGAATGGCTGACGACTCGCGTGGTAGATTGCCTCATTTACAAGCACATGATTAAGGTGGACGGATTGGCTTTACCGCTTGGGACCTCGTTCTATCTGGAGATCCAAAACGTGTATCGCCGTGAAAGAGATGGTGAAGATGTTCCAGATGAAGTGACCGGTAGCTTTGACTGGGCGGCACACAAGTTTGTGTTACTGCCTATTAGTGGTGCAGATCACTACAGCTTCGTCATCATTGAGAATCCGCTGAAACCTGCTGGAACGATCTGCTACCACATCAACTCGCTACGCGGTTATCACAACTCGGCGTCTGTTTTGGATACGCTGATGTGGTTTTTAGCTCGCGAGGCGAAACGATGTGGCAGAGAAACCAGTGTGGCGCCACAACTGTTAGCGTACAAGACAAGCCCTATTCAATCGAATTCATTGGACTGCGGGGTGTACATGTTACACTACATGCACAAAGTAGCCCGGTTCATCTCTGAAAGAAGACCAGACTCAGTAGCGGAGAAGATGAAATCACTTACAAGCGGCAGCTTCAATGTGACTAAGGCAGGACGCTCGCGCTCGGCACTACTCGAAGCACTACAGAAGGATAAGGTTGCAGTAACTGTGATTGAATAAACTCCGTCAGTTTTGTTCTTTGCCAACCGCGAATCTGCCCTACGTTTGATCCTATGTTCGAGTTAGTCTGCAATAGAGAGGAGGTCGAGTTATTATGCAAGTCAGGGGTCGACTTAATCTGCAATGGAGAGGAGGTCGAGTAATTATGCAAGTTGTGGTCGACTTATCTGCAACGGAGGGAGGTCGAGTTAATATGCAAGCCGTCGTTCCCTCGTATTAGAGAGGTTTCGCAAGTTAAACTTGTGGAAGTTAGAGCCGTTCGAAAGATTTGACAGAGAGCGGCCATAGATTTATCCGGCCAAGTTCTAGAACGAGCTTTCGCAACTTAGACTTGTACGTCTGTAGCATTTTCAAAGATGAACTCTACTTACGTACAAGACCTTCTCGTGCTCGGCATGCTCTCAGAGGAAGAAGCGGTTTGTCTCCTCTCTGCTCGAACGTCGTCCACAAGCAACGCTCCCCGGTCCATTTCCTACGGCGAACGCTTTAACATCAACGCGCTCAACGACTACGAAACACGGTTCTACTTTCGCTTCTGGAAGCGAGACCTATTTCGACTCTTTGAAGCGCTTCGCCCAGACAGTAGTTATAAACTCCCAAATCGAGCTGTCTTCTCCGGTTTCGAGGGCCTCTGAATTCTCTTGCGCCGCATGGCATACCCGGGACGTTATGGAGACTTAAGCCGCTTTTTCGGGCGGTCCGCCCCTATTGTCTGCATGATATTTAACTTCATGCTGGGGTTGGTGTACGACAAGTACAAATGCCTACTCACCATTGAATGTGGGCTACTTACATCGTCGCGATTGGAGGAGTACGCTGCTGCTGTGGCACAACGTGGAGCACCGGAGCCGAGATGCATTGGTTTTATCGATGGCACTGTGCGTGCTATTGCACGCCCAACGCGCAACCAAAAACAAGTTTACAACGGACACAAGAGGAAACACGCGCTAAAATACCAAGGAGTAATGGCGCCGGACGGACTATTCATCGACTTTTACGGTCCTACGGTTGGACGTCGTCACGATTCTTGGCTTTTAAGGCAGAGTGGACTGCTGGAGCGCCTTCCGCGTGTCTTACATCACGACGGGGAACTTCCGTATTGCATCTATGGGGATCCTGCCTACCCACTCAAACCAACGCTGCACGTCGGTTTCAAGGGCTCCAATCTGAGTGATACGCAAAAGGCATTCAATGCGGCTATGAGTAAAGTTCGCGTGGCAGTGGAGTGGGGGTTCAGAGGGATCATTCGCTTATGGCCGTTTCCTGATCTGAGACTGAGTCAAAGACTATATCTATCACCTGTGGGGAAACACTACTTGGTCGGTGTACTCCTGACAAACTTCCGCAACTGTTCCAACCCCAACCAGATCAGCAAATTATTTTCCATTAAGCCGCCAAGCCTCGAGGAGTACCTTACTCTAGCTACTACGAACTATTCTTGCTGACGACAGCCTTTAACATTTCAATAAAACGCAAGTCGCTCGTCTCGCTCAAGTTCCATTCGCAGCTCTTGCAGTTCCAGGCGTCGCTCCTCCAACGCAAGCCGCTTCTCCTCGTTGGCGACCTTCCTCCCTTCCAGTGCTTGAGCGACTTGGTCGCGGCGTTCGAGATAAGCAACCAGTTGCTGCTGCTGCGATCCACCTTTTCCTCCTCCTCGGCTCATCCCTTCTAAGGCTGCGTCGCGCATAGCGCTAGCTTGCTCGTCCTCCTGCTGCTGCTGGTCCTTCGGCTGCTTCTTGTCGTTCTTCAGCAGCGCCTCTATCTCGCGCAGCTCCAGCAGCTCCGCCAGACATTCGTCCTTCGGGGTGTACTCTTCACACGGCCCGCTTCGTTTCTCACTCGCCTTCTGCTTTGCCTCATACGCATCTACGAGCTGGTTGCACAACGGCGACCGTCGACGTCCACTTCCAAAGCTGCAGCTACATCAGCCCAAGCCTGGGTCTTCTTCCCGTAGTCTTCCCCATACGGATTTCTTGCTTGAGCTTTCTGGATCAGTTGGAAGTCAAGCTCATCCGTAAAGCGGGCCATCGTTTTACGACGCTTCGTCGGTGGGGCCTCCTCCACGGGGTTGTTGAGCGTTTGGCTTGGCTTCTCCATAGTAAAGATTGCTGGGAGATTGTAAAATGCTTACCCGTATCTCCTCAAGTACCAACGTGTACAGGGCGTTGTAGACGTTCTAGACGAGTCGAGAACAACTTGTAGACACACGTCTCTATAGAGGGGTAGGGAATGTATTGTCGCTAACTCCCACAAGTTGCTTTGCGAAACCTCTCTATTTCGAATATGTCCCAGGGGTCCGACCTTATACAAAGCCTAGTATAAGACCGGGTCCGGATGAAAAGGCAGATACGGCCACAGTGTCTCACGTGCTGGGTCGCTCGCTCGATTTCCCCCCAGACTGGGAACTTCGCCCTTCAAGCAGCTGTAGCAACTTCACCCTCGGACGGAGACCGAGAGCAGACCATGGGGCGACGCAAGCCCGCCGCTGCGGCCAAGCACGCAAGCGTGTTCGGCGACGAGCGCGTGGTCGTGGGTGTGGACGACCTGGTGCTGCTGCCGTCCGTGAGCGAGACGTCCATCCTGGAGAACCTCAAGATGCGCCACGCCGCCGACGTCATCTACTCGTACATCGGCCACGTGCTCGTGGTCGTGAACCCGTACAAGTGGCTGGACATCTACGGCGAGGACAGCATGCACGCCTACATGCACAAGGCGCGCGTCGACGTGCCGCCGCACGTGTTCGCCACGGCCGAGGAGACGTACCGCACCATGCTCAGCGAGGAGGACAACCAGTGCGTCATCATCAGCGGCGAGAGCGGCGCCGGCAAGACCGAGGCCTCCAAGCAGATCCAGAACTACATCGCGGGCGTCAGCGGCAGCGGCGCGGGCGTCGACAAGGTCAAGCGCACCTTCCTGGAGAGCAACCCGCTGCTCGAGGCCTTTGGCAACGCCAAGACGCTGCGCAACAACAACTCGAGTCGCTTCGGAAAGTACTTCGAGCTGCTCTTCGACTCGGCGGGCCGGCCGCAAGGTGGCAAGGTCACCAACTACTTGCTGGAGAAGTCGCGCGTCGTCAAGCCCGGCAAGGGAGAGAGGAACTTCCACATCTTCTACCAGGTGCTGGCGGGCTTGCCGGCCGCAGCCAAGCAGAAGCTCTACTTGGACCGAGGCGGGCCCGACAGCTTCCACTACTTGAAGGTCAGTGGGTGCTATGACGTCGACGATGTCAACGATGCGCAGGAGTTCGAGGAGACCATGGCGGCCATGCAGCACGTGGGCATCAAACGGAAGCAGATCGAGCTGGTGATCCAGACGCTGGCGGCGGTGCTGCACATTGGCAACGTGCACTTCCAGCCGGAGACTGTGGGGGATGCGGAAGGTTCTTCTGTGCGCGACCGCGAGAGCTTGAAGATCGCGTGTGAACTGTTGGGCCTTGATGCGGCGCGTGTGGAGCACGCTCTGTGCTACAAGTTGCTGCAGACGATGGCGCCTGGTGGGAAGATTGAGTCGTACGAGGTGCCGCAGAACACGAGCCAAGCCACGGCGCAGCGGGACTCGATTGCCAAGGCTGTGTACGACCGGTTGTTCGACTTCCTGGTGGAGCGCGTGAACCACGCGCTGGACATTGAAAAGAAGGCGGAGAAGCATGGCGAGATCCTGGAGATTGAAGACATGACCAAGATCGGTATTCTGGATATCTACGGCTTTGAAATCTTCGACAAGAACGGCTTCGAGCAGTTCTGCATCAACTACGTGAACGAGAAGCTGCAGCAGATTTTCATCGAACTTACGCTCAAGAGCGAGCAGGAGGAGTACGCGCGCGAAGGCATCGCATGGTCACCGATTCCGTTCTTCAACAACAAGGTCGTGTGCGATTTGATCGAAGCGCGTCGCCCTACGCCCGGCATCTTCCTCATTCTTGACGACACAGTCAAAACGATGCACTCCCGACAGGGAGAAAGCGTGGATGCGAATTTCCTGGAGAAGGTCGCAGGGATCCATGGGTCCCATCCGCACTTCTCCAAGCGTGGCAAGACTTTCGAGGTCAAACACTATGCAGGTGACGTGCAGTACAACATTGACGGCTTTGGAGACTCGAACAAGGATTTCTTGAGCAAGGACATCGCGCTCATCATCAGTGAGACGTCCAACAAGCTCATGCGCTACATTTTCCCTGAGGAGATCGACCTGAATGACAAACGGATGGCGAACACGGCCGGATACAAGATCCGTACTCAATGTGAAGCTCTTGTCACTGCGCTGATGGACTGCACACCTCACTACGTGCGCTGCATCAAGTCCAACGACCAGAAACAGCCCAACAAGATGGATGATCGTCGCGTGGTACACCAGATCAAGTATCTTGGTCTTCTTGAGAACGTCAAGGTTCGCCGTGCAGGTTACGCCTACCGTGGAGACTATGGCCGCTTTGTGGATCGTTTCCGACTGCTGAGCAAGGAGACCTACCCAGAGTTCCGTGGATCGGATAAGAAGGGTACCCAAGCAGTTCTGCGCGCTGCTGTAAAATCGCTTCCGCAACTTGAAAAGGAAGTTCAGCTTGGAAAAACAATGGTGTTCATCCAGACACCCGAAACCTTTTTCGAGCTGGAGAAATTGCGAGAGAAAAAGCTTGGTTCGTTCGTGATGCGGATTCAGAAGGCGTGGAAGAAGTACTATGGCCGTCGTCATTTGCTGCAGCTCAGCCACGACATCACCAAGCTGTACGCGTCTAATAACAAGCAACGTCAGCGCGTGAGTATTTACCGCCCTTTCGACGGAGACTATCTGCGAGACAGTACTATTCGCGAAGCGGTCATGGGGATTATCCAGCACTATGGCGACTCCGAGAAGATTGTGTTTATGGATGAGATTCAAAAGGCTTGTCCGATTGCTGGAGTATCTCCCGACGGATCACCAATTGCGCTGGCAGGACGGGTTCTGATTGTCACGGACCAGTATTTGTATCTAATGGAGAAGCGTACGTGGCAGCCTGTGGTGGATCCGAAGAGCACGTTTGTGCCTCCTTTGGTGTACCTTCGTCGTCGTCTACGGTTGACCGCTATTGAAGAAATCACGATGAGTACAATGGCTGATCAGTACTTCGTATTGAAAGTGCGTCAAGAACCGCTCCTTGCTGAACCTAACAAGAGCAACTGGGTGGACAATAAATCTACGATGGTGTGTATGTCTACCGGCAAGAAGTTCGGGCTGTTCAACCGCCGCCACCATTGCCGATACACTGGCAAGATTTACTGCAACGATGTTTGCAAGCAGCTGGAAGTGGTGCCCGATCTTGGATTCTATACGCCGTCCCGCGTGTATGACAAGGTGATTGGACTCATGTCTACGGAAATGCCTGAAGACCAGCTCCTTCTATCGGAGAAGAAAACCGAGATCGCCGTCACGCTTGTGGACGCAATACGCTCCTTGGCGAGTGTAGCAACTCCGATCAGCTTCAGTGACTCTATTCGTCTCCGCCGCGCCGCGAGTGTTGGACTGTCGAAAACACCATCGCAGCAGATTCAGTTTGTTTCGGCTGGACACGACAGAATTACAGGCGACGCGAACAGTGTACAGATTCATGTGACACCAGGAGTGCCTGACGAGTACATTCGCAAGCGCCGCAAACGTGAGAAGGCACGCCGCAAGAAACTGGAACGGCAACGCGAGGAAGAGTTGGCGATGCGGGCGCAGCGCCAAGAGCAGCGCAGCCGAGAGCGTGAAGCGGAGCGTTTGCGCCGCGTCGCTGAAAAGAAAGCCAAGAAGCAGGCTGAGAAGGAAGCTCGGAAGCATGCGCTTACGTACAGGAAGTCTGCAAAGGCGTCCATGGAATCGGTGCGGAAGTTTGGCGAGAGTGTTCAAAGTTCCCCTGCAAACGGAGGCATCGGTGGAGCCAACAGCGAATTAGCTGCCATCCTTGCTCGTCGTCGTGGGGCATAAACGAAGGCACTCTAGCGGCATTACACTGGGAAAGGAATACGACAGGCTCGTAGGAAAGCGTCGGAAGGAGCAAGAACAACGAACAAATGAATTACCGCAATTTTGGCACGCTACTACTGTACTTGTACAACGCAAAAACACTACCACATTTATGTTTCGCACGCTACGAATTTGGACGACAGAGCTAGTAGTCCACAGCTTGCACCGGCAAGTGGTCAATGCCAGTTTTGGTTACCTTTGTGCAGTACCAGAGATTAATGTTCGTGAGATTGACGAGTGCCGCGAGGTGAGCAAGCCCCGCATCCGTGATTTCTCCGCATTCCGACAAATTCAATGAAGTCAGCGACGTCACCTTGCCCAGAGTCGCCATGCCTTCATCCGTGAGGAGGCAGCAGTTCCCAAGATCCAGCGATGTGAGCTTGGGTATTGAGGGGAACGTCGATAGACACGCGTCAGTCAGCTTGGAACAGCTCGCAAGATCGATCGACTGCAGCTTCGTGAGAGACGCTAAGTTCATGACCCCAGTATCTGTGAGCTTGTTGCAGTACCAAAGCACAATCGACTCAAGCTCTGTCATTTGAGCAATCGTCGTGGTCGCTGCATCCGTGAGAAGACGGCAGTTGGACAGGTTGAGCGTCTTCAGTCGCTTGAGTCCTGCAAGGTACGCGATGCCCTCATCATCGATCCGGTTGCAGCGCATGAGATTGAGGTTGGTGAGGTTGTGCAGCTCACCCAGCCCGAGCAGAGCTTTATTGCCAACCTGGCGGCAGTTAGAGAGGTCAAGAATCACCAGCGACTTCAGTTGCGAAAGTGCGGCGATGCCATCATCCCGAATGCCAGAGCAGCCTCCAAGATAGAGGGACTTGAGTCGGTGCAGCCCCACAAGCTCATTGAGACCATCATCCGTCACATTGAAGCAGCTAACCATGTCCAGAGAAGTCAGGTTGCGAAGCTTCGAGATGGAGCGCAGTCCCTTGTCCGTGACTTTGCCGCATTTCATGAAATTCAGGAATCGCATCTTGGTCAGCGACTCCATGTGCTCGAATGTCGTGTCGCCTATCTCAGAACAGTACCAGAGATTGCAACTCGACAGATTGGGGAAGTTGGCCAGCACGCTGGTGCCCGCGTCCGTGATATTATAGCATCCAGCAATGTCAAGCGTGATGAGATCCACCAGCGGAGCTAGCGCCTTGAGACCATTATCCGTCACCTCACCGACGTTGGCAAACTCGAGGTGTCGCAGGTTGACAAGAGCGCCGAGAGAGCTGATCCCCACATCAGTGAGCTGACTGCAGTTCGACAGGTTGAGGCTCGTAAGCGACGTTACCCCTGCGAGCGCGGAGATTCCGTCATCCGTAAGGTTACCTTGGTTAGCGTACCAGAGGTTTAGAGTCGTTAAGTGCTTGAGCCGAGCTAGCTCCCGGATACCAATGTCACCGACCTGGCTGCAGCCACGAAGACTCAGGTAGTTTAGCTTCGGGAGATTAGCAGCGATGGCCGACACAGCTTCATCGCTCACGACCTTGCAGTATCCGAGATTGAGAGACGTGAGTGAGCTCGACAGGGATTCCGTCAACGCGATAATCCCTTTGTCCGTGACCTGGTAGCATCCTTTGAGCGCAATCGATTCCATCCTGGGGATCTGGGCAAGTTGCTCAACGGATTCGTCGGTAAGGTTCGAACAGCCTGTCAAGTTGACTTCCTTCAAATTGGGGAATTGCATCGGGAGGGTGCTGAAGTGCTCGTCCACAATCACCCGACGCGCTCGAATGAACGAAAGCGCATGCGTGGCCCGACCAACTTCATGGCAGATGGACTTGCTCGTGATCATCAGGCGGTAGACGTCGTCGACGTGCAGGTACCGCACGACGAGGTGCAGCGCCGGCGTGATGTCCAGAAGCACGTTCCTGCTGCTGCTCACACCGTCGCCGATCGTCTCCATGAAGCTGCCGCACCTGCTTCTGCTGACTGACGAGGTTCTTGATCTCGTGCGGTCACGTTGTTCAGCATCCGCTGAGTTGGCACCTCTGACAAATTGTCGCCAGTGGTTGAACGTCTTCTTCCTCCACATGTACGTGAGGCGATCGAAGACGCAGGAGCAGCAGTCGTCGAAGTCCTTGCGCAGTTGATCGACTCGCACCACCTTGTCGCCATCGTCTTGCAGCGGCAGGTTGTCGCGGCCGTCGGAATCCGCATCGCACACGCACGACGAACAGATGAAGTCCAGCTCCTCCATTGAGAACGCCGAGAGTGATCGAGGGTTCAACCAGGTCATCCGACGGGCTTCGCCTTGCAGGCCCTTCGACCTGGGAGCGACCGTCGAAGAGTGCCGAGCGCGGAGCAAAGTCGTTTACTCTACAGCATGGCCTCAGAAACTGAAGGACCCACGCCGCTCTCTGCCGACCACACGCGATAAGAGGAGGTGACAGCGGTTGCTTCCGTCCTCAGCAGATTAGGTGAGGGTGAGTCGCATGTTCCTTTTTTTCATGATGGTGCTCCAATTTGTCAAAACATTTTGGGGAAATTGGAATTTGGTACTTGGAATTTGCTAATCAGTTAACTTTCAGATTTGCACGCCAGATCTGGAAGACACTATTAATACAATACTAGAACCAAACGTCGCGTCCTGATTCGTGTTCGGTTAACTTGAGAGGTTGACCTTGCGTTGGGCTAGATGAGAACAAAAGACAGCCAGTTCTTGTGGCCAACGAGACATTATATGCATTGAACTTACAGTTAGCAAGGAACCCACGAGCAAGACCAGATCAATCTATTGCCCGGCCGTGTTGGTGGCTGCTGGGGAATCGAGAGTAAGACTCACAGTTGTGCTTTATGTTGTATTAATAACGTTTTGCTAGCCGAGAGCAGGCTTATACTGGAAACAGACCTACCAGCATGATGCTCACCACCAATCTGGAAGTTCTAATTCTTACATTTAGGACAGTGCAAATTCTAACTTTCAGAAGTCCTGACTTTTGGTCATTAGCAAATTCCCAAATTGCAATTTCCCCTGAAACAAATTGTTGCCGTCCAGGTTTTGAACTTATTTTGTATTGTATGCAATAAATTGAATGTAGATCCCAATTCGGTTCAAGCTTTACTTTTCTAAAGAAACGGTAGAGGGGTCCATAATTCAACTATCGCACCTCCCAGAAAGATGGTATAACATTTTATTACTATATTATTAATACAAGTACTTAGATTACCATTTCCAGCTCTCAGGCAAATCTTTAAGAAACCACAATTTTAGCGAAACAAAACGCATATAACTACATGAAGAAAACCGTTTTGAAGAAAATGAGAGTTTTTTTAGCGGTAAGTTGAGTACGAAACGAGAAAGATCAACGACGTTTTTTTCTGTGGGGTACGGTAGTTCGGTTTGCACCCTTGACGACTTGGTTGCACGGCTGCTTCCTCCACGTGTGGCGTTGAAATTTGAAAGTGAAAATTACTCGAAGAACATGTGAGACGCATACCTAATTTACCTCGAGTTCCCAACATTTATTGGCGTTCAATGCATGTAGTTTTTTATAAGCTTTCAAGCTTTTTTAAAAGCGATGGAAAATCAATCGAGCTATGTCTTGTTTTAAAAACCAATCGAGCTATGTCTTGTTAAAAAAAAGACACAGCTCGATTGATTTTCCATCGTTCAAGTCCTTTGCTTGAGTCGCAGTGCGAACCTCGCACCACTTGTCGCCATCATCTTGGAGCACCAGATCGCTTTACTGTCCTAGCGTCCACATTGCACGCTGCGACCGCTTTCTGCCGACCAAACTTGACAGAGCTCCACGAGAGAGGAGAATTCTCAGAGCTATGCCTGCGTCCTCCTCAGCAGCCCCAGCACATGTTGCCTTTTTCAGAATGATGGTGCTTCAGACGAGTGCTGGTCTTAACTCTGTCCGTTTAAAACCGCCCTTTCACAAATACCAAACAGTTTAAGGAAGACAGTCTCATCAGGACAGTCGTATTCTCGGAACAATCTTTTCGGTCTCCGCTTCTGCTAACTCCGAATCGTATCAAGCGGGGAAGTTGGTGGTCGTTGGTGGCGAGCAGCTCCGACCATTTGTCAATCAGGAGCTCCCGAGTCACCCGCGTCGCGCTCCCTCCCCCCCCCGTAACCCTCAGCACCCAAGACACACACACACACACACACACAACACACACAGCCATGGCTATCCGTTGCCAGTTCGAGAACAGCAACGAGATCGGCGTGTTCTCCAAGCTCACCAACTCGTACTGCCTCGTGTGCGTGGGTGGCTCGGAGAACTTCTACAGCACGTTCGAGTCGGAGCTGGCCGACCACATCCCCGTGGTGCACGCCAGCATCGCCGGCTGCCGCTTCGTGGGCCGCGTGGCCGTGGGCAACAAGCGCGGCCTGCTGCTGCCCAGCACCACCACGGACCAGGAGATGCAGCACATCCGCAACTCGCTGCCCGACTCGGTCGTGGTGCAGCGCGTGGAGGAGCGGCTCTCGGCGCTCGGCAACTGCATCGCCACCAACGACCACGTGGCGCTCGTGCACACGGACCTGGACCGCGAGACGGAGGAGATCGTGGCCGACACGCTCGGCGTCGAGGTCTTCCGCCAGACGGTGGCGGGCAACGCCCTCGTGGGCAGCTACAGCGCGCTGTCCAACCAGGGCTGCCTCGTGCACCCGCGCACGAGCGTCGAGGACCAGGAGGAGCTCAGTTCGCTGCTGCAGGTGCCCGTCGTGGCCGGTACCGTGAACCGCGGTAGCGACGTGATCGGCGCCGGCCTCGTGGTGAACGACTGGACGGCCTTCTGCGGCCTGGACACGACGTCCACCGAGATCTCGGTGATCGAGAGCATCTTCAAGCTCCAGAACGCGCAGCCGGCCTCCATTGCCACGACCATGCGCAGCGCCCTCATCGACTCCATGACCTAAGGCAGCGCACAGTTAAGGTTTGGACGCAGGGAGGACAAGGGAGCCGTCAAGCAGCAGACGCAGGGCCAAGAATACGATACGACGCACCAGGAGCAGCTCCAGAGCTAGGCTACATTACGCGCGGTGCTTCATTCGCTCGCACTTGGTTGTGCTGGAGGTTTCGAGAGCTCCGGTCCCCCGTGCTTTTGCTATTTAACCGCACGCCCCAATAGATGCTTTGCCAACAGGAGAATGCCTCAACATTGTTTTTTTCTTTTCTTCGCTTAGATTACCATGATACATCTTCTTCCCCCTCTTCTTTTTGTTCAGGTTGGTTGGATCTCTTTGCGCGTAACGAGGGCGGCTGCTGCAGTTGTGCGAGTTCGTCGAGGATCTCCTCGAGTTGGCGCTTGAAAGACGCGATCTCGGCGTTCTTGGCGGCCATGGCTGCTCGATGGGCACGTTCGCGACTGAGCTGCTCCAGGTGAGTCGATGTCAGTGCTCGATCGAGCACCACCTTGAGCTCGGCCTCGCGCAGTTTGTGCTTCTGCTCCAGCGTCGCCACCTTGAGCTCAAGAGACCGGTACTGCACCATGGACGGCGTACGGGGAAGCTCCAGCTCGCGACGCAAGGCTAGCACCTCTTCTTCCAGTTCCGGTACACGTCGCTCCTGAGCTTCCAGAGCTCGATTGTGTCGCTCCGCTTCCAGTGCCAGCGTCTGAAGGCTTTCCATCTCACGTTGGTTGCCAGTTAACTGGGCCTCCAGTACTGCGTTCTTCTCGATCTGCTCAGTGATCTGCTTCTCAAGCCTGATGATTCTCTCAGTCGAAGCGGCTCGCTCGGTGCCGAGAGTTTCGCGAGCTACTGCCAGGTCTTGCCTCAATTGTGAAAGTTCAGCTTCAGTGTCCTTGGATATGGTAGGCTTAGTCACTTTGGTAGCCTCTGTCTCGGTCGCGGTTGACGTGGTCTCAGAATTCAGTGCTCGCGCTAAGCCCAGAGTTTGAACCGTAGTCAACGTCTGCGCTAGTCGGGCTCGAGCACTCTCGCTGTCTTCTAACTGGGACTTCAGGTCAGCGATTTGTTTCTCGAGCTCCTTTTGCTGGTCTGGTCGTATGGACTTGGACGGGATATCGTTCGTTGCTGGTGAGTCCTCTGGATGTAGGGTTGGCAATTGACTCTCCGCCTCGAGTTGTTCCACCTTCGCCTTCTCCTGCTTCAGCTCCATTTCTTGCTCTCGAATCTGACGCTGCAAGTTGGCAATCACCAGGGTAGAATCTGCATACGTGAGTCCGTCTTGCACCTGCTGGTTGCTGCTCAGGCCAGAGTATTGTTGCTTCCTTAGTGAGCGATACTTGGCTTCCCACTTGCGCTCCAGCTCCTTGATCTTGTCGGTATAAAACCGCCGTACTTTGACCAGCTCTGCGTCTGAAGTCCCAGTCGAGTCCTTGGACGCAGCTCTGTGCGATAGTGGAGCCTTGCTCAGCTGCTTTAGCTGCTTCTCTTGCTCCTTGATCTTGCGTCGATACTGCAGTAACAACTTCTCCTGCTGCTGACGAAAGCTCGCCAACCTCGTTTCACTGGCTTCGTGGGCTTGCTCCAGCTCGCGTGACAACGCTTCGAGCTTGTCTTCGTAGTCACGCTCTAGGGCGCGCGTCTTGGATTCTTCATCTGCACGACGAGAAGCCAAGATGAGGTTGGCCAAGCTGTCGGGGTGTCGACGACGCATAGCCTCTTCCAGCTCCGCGAGACGACCTTCAAGCTCCTGAATGCGTCGAATATCGTTCGGTGACCGACGATGCGGGCGAGCAGGCGATGCTTTGACATTGGGTCGCTCTTCCTTAGACGGTGTTTCTGCTGGAACTTCGGGGGGTTGAGCTGCGACCTGGCGACGCAGCCTTCGTAGCTCTTCATCTTGATCATCGAGAAGTCTCTGGTTCTCCACGTACCAGTCAAGCTTCTTCTGCAATGCGCTCAGCGCATGCGCGTGCTCTTTCTTGCCCAGATCTAGCTCGGTCTGAAGCTCGCGAGCGTGCTGCGCCTCCTGCGCTACTTGGGTCAGGTCTACACCTTCATAGCGACACTCCAGCTCGACCTTGGCTTTCTTCACTCGATCCAACTCCAGCGTAATCTCGTTCAGCTTCTGCTGGTACGATAACCGAACTCCAGCAAGCTCCTCTTGCAGGGCTATAGCGTGAGCTTCAGCTTCTAACCGAGCCTCTACCGCAACTCGGTATTGAGCTTTACTTGTGAGATCACCTCCGACACCGATGGTAGCAGCCTCGCCCGCTTGGTCCTGAAGCTTCTTGATTTGCCGACGTAGCTCTTCGTTTGCTTCATGCACGTCATACTGGACATCCTGGCGAACTTGCTTCAGCTGCTGCATCAAACGCTCGTTCTCCTTCTGGAAAGCCGCGATCAAAGTGTCCTGAGTCTTGATCTCTTTCTGAAGCTTGCTATAGGCAACTTGAGAAACACCCGACGTTGCCTTCGCCGCGGCCAACTCCTTGGAGGCTTGATCACCGTTATCTTTGTCCACATCAATGTGTCCGGACGTTGCATGGTTACCACGCTCCAGCGCTGGTGGCTCATTCCTTGCCGTTGTTTGGATATGCTCCTTCAATTGAAGTATCTGACGCTGAGCCTGCTGAAGACGCAGCACTAGCCCGTTCTCTCTTGCTATGCTGGCTCGTTGCACTGCAGCCCGGGTTTCCTGCCGCATTATCTGGGAGCTACGCACAAACTCGTCGATCTCACGCTGGATATCCTCGTCCTCAGCTAGGAGGCCAGCATCAAATGAGATGGACATCGGTTCGATGTATGGAGGGGGAGTACGAGATACCGCATCTTGATGAGTAGCTAGAACCCTAGCGGAGACTGGGTGTACTGCGTCGGTTGCTGGGGAATTTGCCGCAGCGATGGTTGGTGTCCCAGCAGGTTGGACGAAACGAAGCGAAGCAACGTGGTTCTCAATCTCTCTGAATCGGTCGGCTGGTGTTGACGGTATTGGACGATTTTCTCGCACATGCGCTGTCGGGGTTGCTTGCTGCACCGCCGTAACACCCGCTTTGGCCCGGATATCACCAGTGGGGGCATATAAGGTAAAGTGATTTAGCTCTGGATCATCGTCTTCATCCTCATCTGGAGGGGGAGGTGGTGGTGGACTCTGCGGGAGGAAGTTGACAGTATATCAGCAGTGATAGAAGAAACTAATAATGACTAAGTTACGTACCGATGGTGATTCGACTAGTGGTGTAGGTGCTGCAGGTACCGGAGAGGGTGTAGTTATAGCTGTAGATATATCCGGTTCAGTTGAAATTGGCGCTTGGGCCTCCATCGGTTGATGATCGTCATTCTTGTCCAGTTTCTCGTCATCCTCATCGTCCAGTGTGTAAAAGTCGCCATATTTCGCAAGCAACGAATTCAGCTTCGAGGCTTTGCCCACAACGGAATCGCCAACAGCTTGGGCGGCAGGTTCTGGAGTTTCTGTGATCGCTTGTAAAGGCTCCGAAGGTGCAGTATCTGTAACTTCGTGTGTAGCCCCAGTATCAGCTTCAAACGCATCGGCCTCATAATCAGCGCTGTATTCAACGCCTGTGGCGTTCTGAGCGACTTCAGGAATCTGTGCATCGAAGCAATTCAGTTAACCACACCACGAATATTCACGTTATGAAAATGACAAGAATGCGTACTGCCACTTTTGAGGAAATTTGCTCGTCCTGCCTGGATTCTAGTGTTTCCTAGAGCACAAAAAAAAATGGGAAAAGTGAGCGTTCAGAAACCAAATGAGACTGTAAGTAAGTAAGCTCAGAAATACCTCGAACTCTTCATCACCGTAGCCGAATGTATCGCTAGCTTCCAGTGGCTGCGGTACGCCAGCATCATTCGAACTTCTGGACGAGTACAATTCTCCCGCTTGCTCAGTGGGATGGACTTCATCTCGACTCTCAACTGGTTTAAGTGCAGGAGCCGATACAGGTTCAGCCAGTAGTAGTTCCTATACAAAATGGTTAGTCAGCATGAGCTGGTTCGATACGCCCTCAGTGTCAAAGTTGCTGTCAGCTACTCACTTTCATCTTGTCAAACTGACTCACGAATGATTCTTCGGATTTGTCACCAATACTCGCGTTCACAGTGTCTTGAACTGCCGAATATGGTGGAGGTTCCGCATCGTTGACTGCCGAGTGATCGAGCTCGAAATCGTCATCCCCATACTCATCTTTTTCTGTCGTACTATCCTCGTCTTGCTCGGACTTTGAGAACGTCATCTGTTGCTGCTCGTACCGAGACGGCGTGGCTACAAGAGGACAAAACACATCGATTAGATTCATTCAAGTACTCCGCTCAAGTCGAGCTGAGGAGGTCTTACCGAGTTCGTTATCAAGTGCTTCCCTATTGACTGCGAAAGTTTCGCTATCCAGACTGGACTACTCGCAAAGAATACATCGTTCCGTTAGCGTGTCAAGTGGTATTACATGGGATCTGCAACTTGTACCTTGACTTACCAGAGACAGTCTTTTTCGATCGATGCTGTGCCTTGGTGGAAGCCGGACCTGGATCAATGACAGAGCAGTGCCCTGGTGAGTAACTTGGAGGGGTAAACAAATATTATCACAAGGGGAACGGCGGTCATACCTCGAAATCAGCTGATCCTACCCCCAGTGAATCGGACAAACTTGAGCGCTCCGACTCACGGTCAGATTCACCGCCGCCAGCGCGGTCTTGGTCGTCGTTTGCCATCTCGTTCCTTTCTAGGGGTTCTGGAGTCTCCTTAGCATCGCTAGCCGGAGTTTCCTGTTCATTACCATGCAAAAACCGTTCAAGATTTAGCGGCATTTTCTTCAAGTTAATATCTTCCACAGCGTTGCGCGTACCTTTTCGCTCATATCTTCCTCGTCACTATTCTCCTCTGCTTGGAACTGCGTGCTGCCTGTCCGCTTCAAGATTTCCGCGATGCGATCTTCCATCGAGATCGCTGTGGTCTTCGCAAGCGCCTTCTTCGCTAGAGTCTTAAACTCCTCCTTCTTGTTCTTCTTCTTCTCAACATACTCTCCCTCGCTTTCGCTTTCACCATAGTCATCCTTCTTAGCAGGAGTCGTAAATGCTGGCGAACTCATGTCAAAAGCATACGGGTCGGCGCTAACCCCACCTCCAGTCAGTCCTCAACATGCTACAACTTCAACATCTCGCTGTCAGACAGCCACATACTCTGAGTCCTCCAGTCCACCACTTCGTCCAGTCGAGTAGTCATCGTAGTAACTAGGCGGCGCGTCTTCCGAGTCCGATAGCTGGGTCCTCGAAGATTTCTTGGTGCTTTTCTTCTTATCGGAGGTTTTGCTTTTACTTTTGCTCTTGCTCTTGTGATTTTTCGCCAGCTTCGACGACGCCAGCAACGCCGCAGCAGCCGCCGTCACTGCAGACGCCGATGAAGACGAATACGCCCCACCAGGCTTCGGTCTGCGCCGCGCCGGCTCGGGAGACAGCGAGTCTTCGTCTTCCTGCAGAAACCTGGCCGAATTCAGCCAAACACGAATAAATCATTCCACACTGCACGTTAGAGCGCGGTTCAAGCGTGACCATAACGCCATTGAACAGGCGGACATGGTGGTGCCACCCAACCCATCCACCGACACCAGGAAGGCTTCATATACGCACCGTTCGAACTCGCCGTCCGAGTCGGAATCCGCCATGATCGTCCTCTTCACATTTGAATCGGGGGAAGAAAGTACCGTAGCTTCTCCGCACTAAGTACGACTCAGTGAGCCGGTGAAGTCCGGCACCACAATATCATAGGAAGGAGAAGCTCGCCGCCGCAAGTGGAGCGAGGCGTTGAAAGAGACACGCAGGAGGCACCATGGGAGAGGACAAGCACAGCGGTAAGTAGATCACTGTGTAGAGCGTTGCCTTAGCTGTCGAGTGAGCCGCTGGGCGCTTTCTGGGACTGCCCCTGAGCTTGGGAATGACGGGAGATATGACACGTGTGCTGGTGTTGCATTTGTCTAATGGGATAATTGCTGTTGTGGTATTGCAATTATTGTTGTGAGGTAGGTGAAGACAAGGGCTCCGCGGAGACGCCCATCCAGAACATGTACAGCTTCTGGTACATCAAGCGCAGCACCGGCAACAAGGCTGTGAGCGTACGTCTGTCCACGCTGTTGTCATTATTGATACGGGCGTGGTGTCTAGACTGAAGTGGCATGTCTTATTGACATTATTGCCGTGTTGTTGGTTGTTGCAGGAGAGCTATGAGAAGAGCATCAAGGGGCTCGGCGACTTCAAGACGGTGAGGCTTGGAAAAAAAATAGCAGTAGAACGTGTGGGCTGATTGTTGTTTTGCATTGCGAATGTTAGGTGCAGGACTTTTGGAAGATCTACAACCACTTGGTGCGGCCGAACGACCTGCCCAACACCATGGACTACCACCTCTTCAAGACGGGCATCAAGCCGATGTGGGAGGACCCGGCCAACCGACGAGGCGGCAAGTGGATGGTGCGCCTACGCAAGGGCATCGCCTCGCGCTACTGGGAAGATCTGGTACGGAGGCAAGAGATCTGGACAGAGCTTGCTGCTGTGAAGGATTTCCTGACAGGAAGTGTTGTGCTGGATTAGGTGCTGGCTATCATTGGCGAGCAATTCGATGTGGGCAACGAGATCTGTGGCGCCGTCATTTCGATCCGGTACAACGAAGATATCATTTCGCTCTGGAACCGCAACGCGGACAACAACGAAGCGTGCTACCGCATTCGGTAAGCAACCAGTTGCATGGAGGGCTTTGGTGTAGTTTGGGGTTTGGCTGACGCGGTCTGGGTGTGCTTGCCTTGAAGTGACACTATGCGGAAAGTACTCAACCTGCCGCAGTTTGTGGCGCTGGAGTACAAGCGCCACGACACGTCGCTGAACGACAACTCCAGCTTCCGCAACACGACGCTCTGGCGCTCGGAGAAGAACGAAGGCAACAACAGCAACCGTGACAACTCGTCGGGCGGTGAACGCTCGTCCACGGGCTCTCGCTTCTCCCGCGAAAAGTCTTCTGGCCACCAGCGACAGGCGTGGGGCCGTGACAACAAGCGTTCGTTCTACAAGTCCGAGGGCAACGAGGGTGGCCACCACCGCAACAGCAGGTCTAATGACGACAAGGGCGAGGGAGAGCACTAGGACGATTGCTGGCGGCCAGAAGGCACCTCAGTGCTAGCGGTAGTAGCAGTGCTGAGAGCCGTTGAGCAGGTAGGTACTCTCTCGAGTATAGTCGGCCATAGCGGCTCTAGGAGCAGCATCATGCCAGGAGCAGACAAAGAGCTGCTAAAGGAAACGATAAGTCGACTTCAAACCAGTCAAATGTGACTCGAACACGACTCGAAGATGAAGAAGACTTGCCGCGGCCCGCCTAAAAATACGAGCCCTCACGAAACCAGCCTTGCCGCCGGATCACTCTTGTCGCGCTTTGCCCATTTTGCAGATCTCGCGCTTTCGTTTAGTGTAGACTCTCCGTCGGAGAGTCTCCGACACCCCGGGCATGGAGCAACCGTCGCAGAAGATCCGCAACAAGGGCGTCGCAGTCTCGGCTCTAATTCGCGATGGTAAGCGCTTTGTTTGTCGATGTGTGTGCGCGTGCTTATTTTGTTGACCATGCTGGTGTTAACGTCGGGTGCCTTAGAGCAGGAGCGCTATTGGATGCACGACCCCTATCTCAAGGCTGCTCTGGATGATACGTACCAGTACATCACGACGAAGGTCGACCCCGTCTTGACGAAGGTGCTCGAAGAGGTGCTGCTCTACCAGCCCGACCAGACAGCCGACTTTCTCGCGAATGCAGTGCGCGGCACTCTCAACCTCAAGAAGTACAACTACGTGGTACGCAAAGCTTTGAGCTACAGCAGCCAAGATTCCAGTTTGTACTAACTGTCATCTTTCACGCAGGAGTTGAAGCGTCAGACCTACTTCGACCGCAAGGTCCGTCACCTCATGGTGCTGGCAACCAACACAGCCATCCGCGAGCGCCCTGCTGATGTGCAAGAGTTTCTAGCGGAGCTCTTTGAAGCTCGATCTAAGTTTTATTGAGCGGAGTGGCGAAGCATTATGAATCCAAGCCCCACATTTGGCGCTGCTTTGATGCTTGATGAACCATTGTGTCGAGTCTTTTACAGCTCGTCCCAGCTCAATCAAGCGCTGCCGTTAGGTTGGACAGCTCGTCCCACATGTACGCTCCTGAATGAGGAGGGTTCATTTCCAATTTTGCACTCGAGGATGTCCAAGACTCAGCAGCGCATGCTCCGCTTCCCCTGGCAATCCGAGATCAACGGCAAAACGCCCCGAGTTATGCTGGTCAAGTGGCTGGCCTCCAACCACGACGCTTACTTCCGCGCAAACAACCTTGCCGAAGTTGTGGAGAGATTCCGCCTGCGGTTGGTGGCGGCTGGCTTTCGGGGGTGTACCATCGATGAGATTCAGACGGAGATCACCGGCTTAGTTAGGTACGTGTATTCGTGCTGCTCTGCCTAGTTGTGCGTGAATACTGACGTTTTTCTCTGTTGTTGGGATCGAAGCAATGACCCAATACTACAATGGCTGCAGCCTGGGCACACCGGTCAAAGCCGGATGGACATCCTCGTGGCCTGGCTGGGAGAGAACCAAGCTGCCTACGCTCGGGCTAAACTGGCCAAGTCGAAAGAGCGACTGCTAGCCCCACTTGTCGCCCAAATCGTGGGCATTGGGTTTTCGAATTGCAAGGCGCGTGACCAGCGGATCCACATCAAACACCTAAAAGAGCATGTACACTCACCCTATCTGCGCAAGTTTTCTTCAGTGCTTCCGACGATCTTCCCGTCTGAGCGACGCGGAAAGCCTGCACCCAAGGTCGGTCGCAAGAAGCTTTCAGCGACCAGCAATCCGCGCCGCGCAAACCACCTACGCCGTGCAAGCTGCCCCCGACTTTGATCACGAAAGCGCTTCCTCTACCGAACCTCCGATCAAGGCCGAGCTTGGATTTCCGGATGGCTCGGTGCACGCCCCATTCCTCATGTACGGTGATGACGACGACGATCGCCCGAAGAGGGACGCGGTCCCAGCTAATACGCTAACACTCGACGAGATTCATCGGCTCGAAGCACTCATTGATGCCAGACTCAAGTTCGGCGGGAAGAAGACGCTCTCGCAAGAGGAGATCGACCTCTACTTCCCAAAGCCCAGGAAGTGAATTGCGTGGCGATGGGCGTCACGGCCCTAGTTGTTTTTCTTTTGCATTGCTAGCATCTCGTTGATTTATGTTGTCAAGTAACACATTCACATCTTGTGTCTCACTCGATAACTGTAAGTTCATGATCATCTATCCCGATACGGGCCGGAGTGAGTTGGCAGCTATTGCACAGGCGTCCGTCCGACGTACGGAGCTTCCTTTGCAAGAAACGCATGGCCAGACTGCGTGCCTTGCTAGCGTTGCGAATCCCTTGACAGCTACAGTACTTTGCAAAGCAAAATGAAAGAGGGACAGAGAGGCATTCTGGATACGTACGTACTATTGGATCTCTGGTGACATTTATGCAGCCACCTTACGCTTCTTGCGAGCGGCACGCAGGTTGGCTTCGGCCTCCTTCTGAGCCTCGTCCTCCTTGTTGTCATCTTCGTCGTCGTCTTCGTCCAGCAAGTCCATCTTGAGCTCTTGGCGGTTGCCGAACGTCAGCGCCACGTAGACCTTGACACGCACACGGTCAAACACCTGCAGCTTCCGGTTGTTCTTCTGTACCAGGGTGAGTGAGTGGCGGGTAGCGTCGTACTTCACGACATCCTCGTCCTCCTGCTCGTCCTTCTCGCACAGGAAGATCATGCCTTCAATACCGAAGCGCGGCAACAGCACGGCCACACCATTGTTCTTGACCTTCGTGATGACGGCGTCCGTACGGGTAGGGTACTGCTGGAAGTAGAGCACCGTGTGCAGTGTCACCGAAGCTCGGCCAGCTAGCTGAGCTGCGTGGTGACGCCGATTGAGCTGCTCACTGATCTCGTGCAGGTGCGACTTGTTCTCGAGGTAGCTCGGGAGTGGGGCCACGCCAATGGCAGCAGCCAGCAGGCGGTGCACCACCACGTCAGCGTAGCGACGGATAGGCGACGTAAAGTGCGTGTAGATCGGGGCTGCCAGACCGTAGTGATGGAACTCAGGCGGAGCAACTTCGCCCGAGCTGAAGTAGCTGGCCGGCATCATACAGCGAGTAGTCATGATGCGCAGCAGCTTGTTAAAGTACGGGTTCGACTTGCCTCCGTGTTTCCGCTTGCCCTTGTTCTTGCCATCAGCTTCCTCCTGCGCCAGGATGTCGGCGGCGTCCAGTGAGTCTTGCAGCTGCTTCGATGTGTCCACGTGCAGCTCGACTCCAACCGCCTTCGCCTGACTGCAAAGCAGGTCGAACTGACGCTTCGAAGGCGCCGGGTGCCGACGGAGCATGGAGAAGGTCGGGAAATGACGCACGATCTTCTTGGCAACGGTGATGTTGGCGAGCAGCATGAACTCTTCGACAAGTGCGTTAGTATCGCGCAGAGTGTACATCTGGACATCCAACGGGTTCTGGGTCTCAGTGTCAAGCACGAAGCGAACTTCAGGCGAGGCCAGCGTCAAGGCGCCTGCCTCAATACGCTTGGCACGAAGCCGTCTCGCAATCACATTAAGCGTTTTGATGCCACTTCCCAGCAACTGCTTGCGCTCAAACTCCTTCTCGGTCTCACCCTTTTTCTTCTTCTTTGGATTGGTGTCTTGGCCGTACACTCCACCAGCGTTGGGGTCATCCAAGAACTCCTGAGCCTGCTGATAAGACAGCGATGCCACGGAGCGGATGAGACTCTTGCAGAAAGACACGTCAATGACCTGCACGTCGTTATCGCCAACAAGCTTCAGCTCCCACAGCACACTGAAAGCAAAGTGGTCTTCCACATCCGTAAGCGAGCAAAGCTTGGTAGTCAGCAGGCCAGGCAGCATATCAAGACGGCGGTCCACAAGGTACGTCGACGTGCCACGATCAGCAGCCTCCTCGTCAAGAGGACTACCAGGAGCAACAAAGTGCGTCACATCGGCAATGTGCACCCCGACCTGCAGGTTTCCGTTCGGAAGCAGTCTAGCGTGCAACGCATCATCGATATCCTTACAGTTCGGCGGGTCGATACTCATGACAGGCAAGTGACGCAGATCGCGACGCCCAGTCGAGTTTTCGGGGGTGATCTTCCAGTCTTCCGGCGGCAGACAACGCATCACTTCGTCACTGAATTGGTCACACGGGATGTCGTGCTCGATAAGCAGCACATTGGTCTCCGTCTCCTTGTCACCGATGACACCGAGCGTGCGCACGTAGTGACCCAGAGGGAACTTGCTGTCCGCAGGCCACGAGTCAATCGCCACCAGCACTCGCTTGTCCATAAGCGTCTCCTGCTGACGCGTCTGGATCTTAATCTTCGGCACCTTGCGGTCCACGGGAACCACCAGGCAGCTACCAGACGCGTTGAGCGTCGCGCCATCGCGAGGGGGCTCCAGCGATCCGCAAAACTTGCGCCAGTTGCGCTGAATGATGCCAACAACACGGCCAGCGGGCTTGGCGTTCTGCGATGCATCGCTCTGCACAAGCGCCACCTGCTCCAGCGACACCGTAGGCTCCGCAACGCCCACCGGCTCCGGCTGCACCTCCTTATCGTCGTCAGCCTCCTCCGCTGCTTCCGCAGCAGCCGTACCATTGGCAGCGAACGAGTCCGACGGCTTCTTCCACTGGCTCTTCGGCAGCAGTTGAATCGCGACCAGATCGCCGTCAATAGCGCGGTTGATGTGCTCACGACCTTGAAGCAGCACGGGGATCTTGACGCCGTTCGCGCCGTGGATGAGCACGTGGCACTCCAGCCAATGGTCCCGGTTGCATCGGATCGTTCCCTTGAAGAACCTCTTGTTCTTAATGCCCGCCAGCAACTCGGCGGCGGGGAGGTGCTCCGGGTACAGCTTCTTCTTGCCTCCACGTCCGGCAGTGCTGCTCACACCTTCCGCCGCGAGCTCCTTCTCCTCCGCAGCCGAGGCCGACAGCAGATCCAGCAGCTCCGAGTACTGCGCGGCCACGGGCTTCAAGAAGTCCGCGATGGTCACGCCTCCAGTGACTCCGTACTGCTCGGCGTGCTTGAGGTCCTCGGCGTCGTTGGCCACGAACAAAACCTTGACGTCGCTGCGCTCGAGCTCCTTGAGGTGGTCAGCGTACCACTTCCAGGCCGTGGCCACGGCGCGCTCGTTGCGGTCGGTCTCGGTTTCCCTGGTGTCCTCCGCAGTGTCCTCCGAAGCGTCCTCCTCCTGGTATCCTCTGGGCAGCATCTGTTTCTTCTGGACGAAGGTGGACCTGTGGTGTTCGTTGGCGAACACGACGAAGCGGCGGTCGGCGTTCATGAGTAAAGCTCGGAGACGGTTGTAGACGCCCAGGTCTTGACGCTTGACATACTCCCAGACCGTCTCGAGCACGAGGACGTCCGCGAAGACCTCGGCAGAGTCCACCTGCGTCTTCTTGCTCTTCTTCTTGGTGGAGAACTCGAGAGCGTCCATCTGCAGCAGAACCGTCTTCATGGACGGCAGCAGGTACACGCCGTCGCGCGGCGTCTCGCCCAGCAGCGTCTTGGTCGTGCCCAGCACGTGCGTGGCCGCCGATGCGTCGTCGTCGGCGCTGCACAGCGCGCACGCCGGCAGCGAGCAGCTCAGGTCGTCGCGCAGATAGCGCTCCTTCACCTTACGCACCACGCGGCCGCGGCGCGTGGCCACGTTGAGCTCATCCACGCACCACAGCAGCGGCGTCTCCGTCTCGGTAGCCATCGGCACTTATTGCGCTTATGACGGTTGGTGGGCGGGCAACTCCGTTTTGCGGCTAATTCAATTTGGTGTATTACTTCATTTGGTGTATTACTTCATGTAATTTTGATACTATCAGTAGTACATTCATGTACTACTGATGAATATGTGATAGTACTACTGAGATCGCGAGCGATATTAGTAATCGCGTTACTATCGCGATTACTACTGTTGGCAGAAATGTTTTCTCGGCTCAGAAAAAGTTTCTCGCGCCCGATATGTCCCAAGCCAAGCATGCTCTCGTTGTGGGCGCATCGTCCGGTATCGGGCGTGCTGTAGCGAGTTGACACTGGCATCGCGCTCGTGCCCACCCGACCTGATCTCTTCCATGAAGGAGCGAAACCCGAACGCCGAAGTGACTCACGTGAAGCTTGACGTGTCGAGTCTTCACGACGTTCGAAAGTTTACAGACGCGCACAAGGAGGCAGCGTTCGACTGGATCATCATGTCCCCAGGTATTCTGTCGCTGAAAGGACGAACGGGAACACCCGAGGGGCTCGACGTCAAGATGGCCACGCATTATTACGGGCGGTGAGCGGAGCGGACGGCACTTGTCATTCTGAGTAGATTCCCATTGATCACTTTGTCACGATCTTATCAAAACGTGTAGGTTCATGATCATCTACGACTTGCTGTCGACGCTCGATCGTCCAGGCGTGCGTGTGCTCAATATCTTGGCACCAACGACCGGCGGGCAGCCCGATGTGAGCGACTTGGATCTCAAGAAGACGTTCTCAATTAAGCGCTGCGCTGATTTCACGACTACGTATTCGTACGTGATGACAAGTTGTCGGTCGTATTGGTATTCTGCTGACCTCGTGGGTTGTCTGGCTTAGGGATCTCATGGCCCAAGCCTTCTCAGAGAAGGCACCACAAGCCAGCTTCATGCACGCGTCTCCCGGTGCCGTCGCAACTTCAATTGCCGACAACTTGCCCTGGTACGCACGCCTTCCAGCAAAGGCTCTGGGGGAAGTGATCGCTCGATCGCCGGAGGAGTGCGCGAAGTTCATGGTGATGGCGCTAACCAAAGATGAGTTCAGCTCGGGCTGGCACCTGGTCAACAGGAACGCGGGGCCTCTCGAGCCGACCAAGTTCCAGACGGAGGAGATGAAGGAGATCGTGTGGAAACACTCAGTCGATACCATCAAGACAGTGCTGGAGCAAGAAGCTTAGGTAGACTAAAGGACGATGCAATGCAGCAAGCGCGTCTACCTGTGCGACTTTAACAAAGCGGGACAACTTTAACCCTTCTAGTCCATGTAAAGCTCCAATCAATGCATCGAAAGAGCTCGTAAGCTTCTTCTACCGGCTATTTTGCTCGCTCTACATGTACTGTAGCCGGACTTCATCGTTACGCTTGAATGTCGAAGCCGTTTGCTGTTCGTAAAGCGCATGTACCCTGTAGATACACTGTAGGTTCACGATTGTTGATGGGGGCCGTTGGAAGAACCTGCGCGACGCGGCGTTAGCAATGCCTCGCGGCACCACAGCTGGGAGCTCTGTGCACTTTTCTCCCCTTCCCGACTCGTGGCGTTAAGCGCTTCACTTCGGCTTCTTCCTTCACCCGCCCAGTCCTCAAGCCATGAAGTCTGCTTCGTTCTCGCTAGTGCTGGCACTTGCGTCTGCGAGCCACCACACCATCACGGCTTCGCCGAGCTTCAGCGGGTCTTATAATCCAGTGCACGGGATCAACATCGCGACCGTTTCCTCCGCCTCCGATGGCGAAGGCCAGCACAACTCGAGCATGTCCGCGGAGTATGAGAACCCTATCGACTTGGTGTTGGTGGCTAACACGTCCGTCTCAAGCACCTGGGCCGATAGCGTCGTTGGCTATACCTCCGCCGCAGAGAGCCGAGTCCTGTACCAGGCAGCGAGCTGGGCCCTGCTCGACGAAGGAACGCAGAGCGGCAAGTATTCATCGTACTGGGCGAGACTCCAGGCAGTGAACCCCACTGTCAAGACGTCTGCGTATTTATCGGTGTGCGCGATGGTGGCCGAGTGGAATCCGTCGTGGTCGGACACGAAATCTGCGCTGTTTGCGGTCGATTTGGAGGAGCGATTGGCGGACAGGTGTGGGGAGAATGATACGATTGCTCTTGCGTTCACATCGGCGGTGTCGGAGACTGCTGCTCGTTATCTGGAGGGGGAAGTGGCGGTGAATGACGTCGTGGCTGCGCTGAAGATGCACGATGTCGACAGCTCGCTGACCCTCGAAGACTCGGACCGCATGTTCGTTCGTCTGGCTAACGGTCTTTGCCCTCGAGATGAGTCTGCCAACGAGCTAAACTCTCTGGCTGAAGCTGGAATACCGGTGATAAACCTGTTCAGGGGGCTGGTATGCAAGGCTAGCAGTGGATTCGGGCCGTCCCAGAACCCGAGTGAGGGCAATGGTAGCGACAACGACTCGGGCTGGAAAGATGATCTCAGGTTCATTATTCCAATTGGAGTTTTTCTCTTCTTGCTGGGGTGCGCCGGATTGATCTTCCTCTACCGACGGCAGAAGAAGGACTCCGAAGAGGAAGCCCCCAAGGAGGTGGAGAAGGATGAGCCATCCAGCCTTCCATACGTGTTGACAATGCACTCAGTAGCATGAGGAGCAATGCTTGTAGCAATGATATGAATGAGCAGTAAAATAATGGTATCAGTTTGTAGGGTCGGCGCTGGTGTTTGGGTTACAGTATGATCCTGCCTTATCGTATGAGTCGGTGAAAGGAATATCCACTGGACGCCTACCAAAAACGAACAAATCACCCAACATATTTAAATTTAAGAAAACTTATATTTACTCAGACGATTTTTACGTCTGAGTAAACGAAGGGTCGCTGCATAGCAGCGTATTAGATTTGACTTGCTTTCAGTATTGACGTCCTTTTTCTAGCAACTAACGCATATATCAGGCGACCTCTCACATATTTCAACCTCTGCACATTTGATGCATTCTATGTCGAGTTATATCCGTTTTTGGTAGGCACCCACTGCCGCACTTGTCGACAATCAGCGGCTGCACCTGAGCCGGAGCTCCTCAAGACTATCCCAGAGCCCTCCTTGCGTGAAGATCTGTTCATTTCGCTTTTACTTCGCTTCTAGCAACGAGAGTTTAAGATTAGTTCGTGGCAGGGTTACCGAATATTGCATTGTTATCTATTGCAAGCAAATAGAGAGAGTAGATAATTGAACATCAAACTAAACAAACCCGCAATAGAATATTGACATACTTCACACAGCAAAATAGATTATTGGTGCAAGGTCAGTGTATTGATGGGTTACATACCTATCATTTACTCCGCGCTCTCAACAGTGCGCGCATCCCAATAATCGGCATTCTGCCGCAGGAACAGCAGCATCTCCAGCGTGTACGGCTGCATTGCGTGGCGCTGCAGCCCAAACGTGGCCCGAGCGATGCTAAAAAATCGCTCGACATCGTTGGACGTGGGCGGAATGGATGCCAGCAGTTCGTAGCATGGTTGATGCTCTTCCAGGCGCCGACGCTTTTGCAGCCGCTCCACGAAGGAGATGCTGGCCTCCTCAACCTTCTCTTCTTGCTCGCCCTCGCCTGCTGGTGGAGCCGCCAAGAAGCGCTCCAGCGCCGCCTTCTCCACCCGGGTCAGCCGCTTGGCTTGCCCCTTGAGCACCTTGACGCAGCCCGCCTCGAAGTCGGGGCTGTGGACGATGTCAGCCCGCGGTACTACAATACAATACAAACAAATTCATATTAGTAAATGTACCAATAACGCATAATAGACAAAAAGCGTACCGAGATAACGGGCGTACGAGGGCTTCGCGGCAATGAGCCCGTCGAACCAGGCGCAAACGTCGAGGAGGTTTGCGTCAGCGCCTTGGAGAGCCTTCGACGAGGACTCCACGTCCTTCAGCTCGCCGAGCAGGTCCCGAAGCCGCCGCTTGGACGCCGCCGGGGGAAGGAGCTCGGCCAACTCGTCGTCCTCCGCGTCGATGAATGGTAGAAGCTCGAAGTAGCGGTTAATCATCGCAAAGGTCGAACCCCAACGGGTTTGCTGGCGGATGATTGGTCGAAGGTCGGTCTTGAACCTGCAAGCACCAAAGTGTCAATTTCAGTTAAATCACACTAAATAACAAAAATAACAGGAAATATACAAATACTAACCGGAGTTTTGCAGAATGGTGGAGGGTCCGCAGCTTTACCATCAGCGCCTGTACCATGTCGACATCTTCAGCGCATTCGCTCAGCCGGGCGGCGACGGCTCGGTTGAGTCAGTGGCTTGCACACCCGATTAGCGGGACACCCATCAGCGTAGCGAGGCGGCGGTTGACGCCGCAATTATCTCCCACCAGGAAGAGAACCTGGTCCAGGCGCTTCTGATAGTCGCGCGCTAGCATCGTAGCCAAGAAGGCTTGATGACTAGCCGCGGAGAAGTCGTCGGTCTCATCGTTGACGAGTGGTGCCATGCAGAGCAAGGGGCACCTCAGAACCCCATCAACCTCGTAGCACGCGAAGACCGCGATGTAGTGCTCCGAGTCGTGGCTCCACCCGTCAAAGATGAGACCAAACTCCTCCGGCATCTCAGCCGCGATCGCGTGCTCGACGCAGCGCGTCACGGCGTCCATGACGCGCCGAAGCGTTTCGACAGAGACAGGCTGGAGGCGCGTGTAACTAGATGCAAAGTGTAAACACAGTATTAGTTAATTGTCAAACAGTACATATTCAGTAGAGAGCTGGGTCGTACCGTCTGGCGAGCTTGCTCTCGCAAAATGATAGCGGTAGGTTGCACTTCACCAGCCACTCCAGCCAACCGAACAAGTTCTGGGCAGAGTGGCGGACGTAGTGAGCAAGAGAGCCCGTCTGACCGGGTGTTGCGGCCAGCATCTCCTCCGAGTACGAGGGGTGCTCGCGCCTTTTATGCTGCATCAGGTTCGAGTACCCCGTCCCGGTGACTCGCTTCCGGGTCGCGCCGCACCGGCAACGTAAGTACTCGAGAATGACCTCGTCGTACTGGTCGCGGCACGGCCGGAAGTAGAAGTTGGCGACCTGCCTGTGAGTGAAGGCGGCCGTGCGAGGCGGAAGGGGGTCTGCGAGCATTGTGGCGGCTCGTGGTGGGCTTGGTGGCGGGTTGTCGGCTTCCGGTGGAATGAAAAGTGGGGAGAGTTGGTATGGTCGAGCTCAAGCCATGGGTTTGGAGGATGGTTGGCTGCAGTAGCCCACAATACATAATCGAAGATGTTATGCTCAACTCAAAAGATAACTGGTAGGTAGCGGTTAAGAACATGTCAATAAATTATTGATTCAAATCTATTGCAATAATTTCAGCACCAATTTATTTTTCGGCATCCCGGAAACACTACTAAGTAACCTTACCTGGGTTTTGCTGTTACTGACTCTTCCAGGCAGGAGCCACTATGCGCTCGCAGATGCAAGCTTCCACGAGTCCGACAATGCAGTAGACACTATCAACATTGCAACTGTCATCTCTGCTCAAGAGCAAGCACATGCCTCCTCGTTGCCGGACCAAGATGGAGATTCCTACGATTTGATGGAGATTCCTACGATTTTTGTACTGGTGGGCAACGCGTCGACAGCGGAAAAGTGGTTTGGTGCTACCGATGGCTATGCCGCCACCGCTAACCGCACAGTCCTTTACGAGACAGCAAGTTGGGCCCTACTAGAAGACGGAGCCCAGCACAAGAAGTTTTCGACTTTCTGGGCAAGATTCCATGGCGTGAAGTCTACACTATCGTCGTCTGAGTCGATGTGTACTATGGTGGTGGAATGGGAAGTCAGCTCCTGGGCCGATAACGAAGCTGTGCTAGCTGCCGTTGAGATTGAAACCCGTTTGAAAGCCTCCTGCGATGAGAACGATACTGTCGCTCTGGCGTTCACATCAGCAGCTATCTCGGATACTATCGATGCCTATCTGGAGGGGGAAGTAAAGGCCAACGATGCCGTGGCGACTGCGAGACGTGGACAACACGGATGTGACTGAAGCCTCGTCGAGAAATGACCGCATTTTCATACGACTTGCAGGTGGTATCTGCTTGAGAAATGCATCCACTGCAACTACACCACACTCTTCGTTTGGCGATATGGAAGTCTTGGTGGTAAGTCTTCTCACTGGAAACGCATGCACCGACTTCCCAGGCTCGGCGCCCATACCGCCTCATGTTGTATCCGAAACTGCAGCCAAGAGCGACTGGAAGCATGACCTTAGCTTTGCTATCCCAGTCATCTTCTTGGCAGGGTGTTCTGCTAACGCCACGCATATCTGATCGGAAGGGTGCTGCTCACAGTTTGCTGTTCGAAAGTCGCAGCTTCACGGGCGGACCGTAAGCAACAACCAGCTGGCTCTTGGCGAAGAGGCACTTCCTCCGCAACGCGGACGCGACCTCGGCTCATTTCTGCCCGGTCGCGTTGAGGTAGGCAGGGTATCCCTCCCTCCCTCCCTCCGCCCAGGTCCCTGCAGCCCTCACTTCGCAAACGTCGGGCAGAAAATGGTGAAAACTACCTCAGGGTTGCTGCTGCTCGCGCTCTCAGCTACGAGTTGCTATGCATACGCAGACTCGTCAAGCTGCAGCGGTTCCGGTCATGGCCCGCCCGCCATCAGCATTGGCACCGTCGTCTCCGTTTCCAGTGGCCAAGACCAAGACAACGCGACTTCTTCTTCTTCGTTCGAGTATGCAGACGACCCTCGGATCACGAGGAGCCCATTGATGTGATGCTGGTGGCGAACTCCTCCGTCTCCAGTTCGTGGCTCGATAGTGTTGTTAGCTATACCGCCGCTGCAGAGAGCAGAGTTCTGTACCAGGCAGCGAGCTGGACCCTGCTCGACGAAGGAACGCAGAGCGGCAAGTTTGCGTCGTACTGGGCGAGGTTCCAGGCTGTTAATCGCACTAAGAAGCCGTCCGGACAATTCTCGGTGTGTGCTATGGTGGCAGAGTGGAATTCGTCGTGGCCGGACACGAAGTCTGCGTTGTCTGCGGTTGATCTGGAAGATCGACTGGCAGCCAAGTGCGGGGGAAATGATACTATCGCTGTCGCGTTTACGTCGGCTGTGTCGAAGACTGCTGCCAGTTAGTTATCTGAAGGGCGATGTGGCAGTGAATGGAGTCGTGGCCGCGCTGAAGTTGCACATTAAAACCAGTTCGATGGCGCCTGAAGCTTCGAACCGCATGTTTGTTCGTCTGGTTAATGGCATTTGCCCTCGCGATGAATCTGCAACGGCATTCTCGGGTCTGAACTCCACGAGTGCTCCTGTGATCAGTCTCGTGAGAGGAGTTGCATGTTCACCAGGTCCGGATTCGCACCTTGGACCTCCTCCGCAACCCTCGAGCCAAGGCAACAGCTACGAGGCCGACTGGAAGCACAACCTCCGCGTTATTATCCCTGTTGTGATCATCATCCTCGTTTTTGGGTGTGCTGGATTTGTCTACGTTCGCCGGCAGAAGAACGGTAAAGCTTCTTCAGCTAACGAAGCGCCTGAAGAGGAAAACCCTGAGGAAGATAAGGGGGAGAAGGAGGATGCAAGTAGCCAACCATATGTGCTCGCCACGCAGCCAATAGTTTAAAGTGGATATCTGTAAAAACAAAAGTAGCTCTATGACACCATTCACAGTGGCCTGAGCTTTTTGAAGCCCAAAACTTGCACCTGTGTTGTTTACTCTCTCTTGATGCACAGGCATCAACAATATTCAAGAGGCCACAGCAGCAATTCAGTGCTTGTTCTCCAGAAGGTAGAGCAGGAAGGACGCGCTCGAGAGTCGCACGGCGCAGTTGACGCGGTCGAGATCGTGACCGCCCTCCACAAGCCCCCAGTTGTTGATCTGGAACTCCTCCTCCAAGCGGCAGATGTCCATCGCCTCCTTCGCTGTGACGTGGCGCTTAAAGATCGCCAGCGCAGTGATCAAAGACTACAGTGACAGAAAATAATAGCGTAAGCTACAGCCCTCACTACCATATCAACCTACAGTTCATCAAGCACCAAGCCTACCTTGCACTCCTTCGTCAGCGCACGCATAGCCGTCAGCTCGAAGTCGTTTAACTAAAATAACATCAACATCCAAACCATCAGCCACTTCCAGCTAACAACCATAATAACCTCATACAAGTTACGCACCTTCTCCAGGTACGCGCGGACATTGTCGATGAGCTGCTGGTCGTGCGTAAGGCTGTTGATGCTGCCGTGGCTCACGTCCACCTCGCCCTCGAACGTGTCGCTGAACCACTTGCGCAGCGGCTTCCACTTCTTCTGCTGCTGCGCCACGAGCTTCTCCTGCTGGTCGGCCGTCACCTGGTAGCACACCGTGTCCGTGTGCAGGTAGTGCATCATCTCGTCGATGGTCTCCTTGCTGCTGGACGTGAACACGAGGTCCAGCGCCGTGGACGCTAGCGACATGACGGGCATAGTGGCCGGGCGGATGTCGTGGCTCTGCGCGTCCCACTCGTGGGCCACCGCGTACGCCATGGCGCGCGTGGGCAGCCGCACGGGCTGCTGCCTCGGCGTCTTGACCGTCTTGCCGTCCAGCGTCACGGCGAAGAGCATGCGCGGCTCGGCGCCGTCCTCCGCCGCCGGCTCCTCCACGTCCTTGACGCCCACGTCCTTGTAGAAGCGCAGCACGCCCGTGATCTTGGGGCCGGCGATGCCGCCCGCGCCCACTTTGGCCGAGTACGCGCGCTGCGACGCGGCCACGAGCGTCCGGAGCTGCGCCTTGGAGCTGCTCAACATGGTGGAGATCGGAAAAGTGTGGATGGAAGTTCACGACCTGATGAACGGAATGGTATGACGAGAAGGGGGTTGGTGTAAATGTGGTGTGCGGTTGATACGAACACTTTTGTTTTTATTTTATTAAATACTTCGGGTAGATAGATAGAGATGTCGGCCAACCCGCAGCACGTGGTGGACACCGAGGACGCGGCGGAGCTCAACCTGGGCGACGACTTCCGCAACGAGACGTGTCTGTCCAACGCCGAGGTGGCCGTCATCCTGGAGAAGCAGAAGTCCGACTACGAGACGCAGGAGAAGCAGCTCACCAAGTGCGTCCCCCGTTCCATCCACTGTGTCATTGTCCTGCGCTTCCTCGTCGGTGCATTGCTATGTCTAAGCTAACCACTCTGTAATCTGCTGCATTTCGTTATATGTGATATTGCAGTGTGTTCCAGAAGACGTACTCGTACGTGCAGCGCTTCAGCGGCACCAAGGACCCCGTGGCCAACCAAGCTTCGGTGACGGAGCTCCGCGAGTACGTGGCTTTATGTCTAGGTGGCTGCTGTATAGTGTCTAACAATACCCGTGTTTGTCGTGTGATACAGGGCGCTGATGTCGCTGGCGTTCCAGCGTGAGGAGGACGGAGAGACGGTCGAGTACCGTCTGGAGGAGTTCGAGATCGCGTGTTTGTCCAACCTGAACCCGGAGGAGGTGGAGGAAGCCGTGGCACTGATCCCCAGTCTGCACAAGCGCTTCGCTGAGGATGAGATCGAGGAGATTCTGGGCATTGTGTCGCGTACGGCGGCGCGCATGTTCGGCTAAGGCTGCTCAGGTCGTCGTGGCGTCATTTTAACGCTATGCAACCTGATAACGTTAATCGACATGATTTCGAACATAACTGATGTCTCACACGTCGCAGATACTGTAACTTTGCATCGAACCATTGCTGGCCATGGCGGATCGAGCGTATGTGCCGCGGCGTAAGCGTCGGCGTGCAGAGCCCACTGCATCTTCGACAGACGTCCAAACCGATGCACCTATTGCCTCTTTAACGTTTGAAGACTCAGCGAGGCAAGAAGCGTCCTGGGCGCGTCAAGAGCGAGGAATCGCAGTCGAAGGAGAAGACCCAATTCCGCCTCCAATCCACAGTTTTTCGGAGATCTCGCTGTCGTTGGACGCCATTCAGGTGCTGCAGTCCCGCGGAGTGACAACACCTTCCGCTGTCCAGGCTCAGGCACTCCCGTGTATCCTGCAGGGTCGTGATGTGATCGCTCTGGCGCCTACAGGCAGCGGGAAGACCTTTTGCTACATCCTCCCGGTGCTTGGGCTGCTGCAACGGCAGAATGAAGTTGCACAGTACCCGCTGGTGCCAATGATGCCGGTCTCACTGTGTGCGTTGGTTGTCGTACCGACGCGAGAGCTCGTGGATCAGGTGGTCCAAGATCTATCTGCATTCTTCCCAAGTTCATCCAGCCCACCTGTCGTTGGAATCTGTGGCGGCGTGGCGGTAGATGAGCAACTCGTACAACTACAGCAACACAGCAACATGGCCTTGACAGTCGTGGCGACACCGGGACGACTACTGCATTTAATGCAGCGACATCAAGAATCGCTGTATCTCGGCCAGATTTCACTCCTCGTAGTTGATGAGGTGGACCGCGTACTGGAAGCCCCCGAGATGGAAGCCCAGTTACGCGAGATTCTGCAACTTGCGAATACGGCTGGCCGGCAAACATTACTGCTCTCTGCTACACTACCTGCCTTCTTGCCACGGCTGGCGAGGTCGGCTGTGCTTCGGCCTGTGACAATTAGAGTGGATGAAGCGAACATGCCGAGCCGAGCTCCGTCCGCATGGATGTCGTCTTCCGCCCAAGCTGCCGATAGTACTCGAGCGGCTATATTGGCACTTTCAAGAACGTCCAACGTGTCTCATGATGTGCAGTTCATGCGTCCCGCGGAGAAACCATCTCGCCTGCTTCGGGTTCTGCGAGCCACTAAGCAGCCGCCAGTACTTGTGTTTTGCAACTCTCGTTCTAGTGTCGAGCGTGTGGCTCGCCTTCTTCGGAGTGAGCAATTTCACGTGGCACCGCTGCATGGTGGTCAATCACAAGGCTACCGCACACAGGCGTTGCGCGCCTTCCGAGCTGGTTACGTTGACGTTTTGGTCGCTACAGACTTGGCGTCGAGAGGACTCGATCTACCTGATATCGAGCACGTCGTGCTGTTCGACATGCCCCGCACTATTGAAGATTATGTGCACCGTTGTGGTCGCACAGGACGACATCCTGGAGGAGATACTGGCGGCGCTGATGTTTCAGGGAAAGCTACCTCGTTCCTGACGCGCGAGTGTGCAATCGCTATGGAGTTGAAGCAAGTGCTAGTTGCAGCCAAGCAACCTATTCCACGTGAACTGGAAGTACCGAGAAATTTTCAGCAGCTACAGCACAATAGCCGTCAACTATCGGAACAGTAGGCGGATTGCCCCGTTGAATTGAAGTCATGACTGGCTTGGGACGGTGCCAACGAACTGGCGAGTGTCAACCAAACCGACAGTTAGGAAGGAGGTGAACACGAAAGCAAGGCGCCAAATCGACAGGATGGCGTTCACTTCTCGGCCATTAATAGAGACAAAAGACGCAGCAGAGCTGAACCTGGGTGAAGACTTCGAAGATAATGTTTGTCTATCCAACGCCGAGGTGGCTATCATTCTGGAGAAGCAAAAGGTCAACTACTTGGAGCAGAAGAAAACGTTCACCAGGTTTGACCACCTTAGTCTCATAGTGTGAAAACTCCTGCAAGACTGAACTGTTCTCATTCCGGATAATCGACTGCATCGCAGTGCGTTCAAGAAGACAGAGTCGTACGTGCAGCGATTCACCGGAACAAGGGACCCTGTGGCCAACCAAGCCTCTGTCATCGAGCTCCGCGAGTGCGTTATGTTGCATCGATATCCTGCTATTTGGTTCCGTGGCTTATCGATATGCTGGGTGGTGTATTCAACTGTAGAGCTCTGCAGACAATCTCATTTGAGCACGGCGAGGAAGTTCACAGGCTCGAGGAGTTTGAGATCGCGTGCCTCTCGAATCTGAATCCGGAGGGAGCGGAAGAGGCCGTTGCGCTGATTCCAAGCCTCCCGAAGCACTTCACCGACACTGAGATCGAGGATATCCTGGGGTTGATATCTCGTATGACGGCCAAAATGTTCAGCTAAGTACATGCTGCTAAGCTGAGCAATACCACAGGCGTATCGTAACATGAGTTCAACAACCATTTTGTTTACTTACTCTCATAGCCGCGCTTCTTGCACATTCGCAGTCTACACTTCATACTCACGGAAGCTCTTCACGAGCGTCATGACCTGGTCACCAGCAAACCGACCAAGGGCGCCACGCGCCACTGCTATCTCAGAGAAGCGGGTGACCTCGTCCGTCAGTGGGCCAGGTGACGAAGTGTTGACATCGGCTCGGTTGGCAGCGTTCTTGATGTGCTGCAACCTCTTGTACGCGGTTCCGGCACGCGCAATCGCAAACGGCACCGGCTCAAATGTATGGTCGCCATACTTGACAGGCGTGGTGTGGTCACCCGTGACAACGATCGTCACCTCATTGGCTTCGTCACCGCACTCAGCGTGGATTCCCTCCAGTAGAACAGAGATCATCTCGTCCGCGCGTTCCGTAAAGTGCACCTTCTTGGCGACATCACGGTCGTGGCCAGCGTCGTCTACCGCCTTGACGTGAACAAATCCAAAGTCGAAATCGCCGCCATGAAGCAGCTTGAGCGCAGTCTCGGCCTTCGAGCGCAAGTTGGTGTGGTAGTCCCCAGTTGCTCCAGGGGCCGTAGCGATCTCGAAACCCAGAGACATTCCGAGACCAGCGATAATGCACGTCGGGGCGATCATGAACGGTGTGAGCCCATGCATTTCCGTGAACGTTGGTACGTCAATTCGTTCACCAGGACCGCGCAGCAGTACCACATTCGCCGGAGGTTTGTTCTCTGCTTCACGCGCCTTGTTGATCGGGTGATCCGACAGGCGCTCGTGGATCGCATTAGAGACCGCATTCAACACCTTGCTCGAGTACGCAGCTTCAGGCGTGTCATTCAGTGGCTCCGACGTCACCAGCGGCAAACTGCATGTCGATACAACCGCACAAAACGTTAGAACCCGACCGCAAAATATTGTCTGAGCAGGGCGTGTACGTACTGGTCTTTCAGCGGATCCGTGCCCGTCATTTTATCGCACAGTCCTGGTCCCTTGAAGACAATGCCGCAGCGGTGTTCCGTTGCGTACTTCGTCACCACCACCAGACCCGGAAACTCCGGAAGCGTGAGACCGTCCAAGAAGCTGCAGAGTTCGATGCCCCACGCAGGGAAATTGCGGTCGACGCGACGCCTCTCCACGATCAGCTGGCCGTCTTCATTCTTCTGCACCGTTGCGAAGTTGCACTTGAACGCGACGTCGCCCTTGCTCATAGGCAGCCCAGCGCCCATAGCTTCGAAAGAGCCACGACCGCGGTAGTGTCTGCAATTGGGAACACGAAAGGTTGGCGTGAGTTTCACATCCCAGTGCAGCTTGCTCTGCAGGCCCCCCCCACGTACACGAAGGGGTTGTAGCCCAGAATCGACATGTGAGCGGTGTCGCTACCGCACGCGTAGCCAGGCTCCACGGGGTCCATGAGGCCCGTCAGGCCGCCGTCTAATTGGCAATGGACACACACAGCGAGAGAGTGTTAAATGATGAATGAAACAAGGGGCCGGAAGGGATCAAAGACCGACAATCGTACGGGCGATGGCGTCCATGGTAGGCGTGTGCGCCGCCTCCAGCGGTGTCTGCTTGTCCAGCTCTTGCAGGGACACGTCTGCCAGCCCGTCGATGAGCACGAACACCACGGATCTCTTCTTCATGAGCTGCTGACGTACGCTTCCCCTCGGTAATTGTGAGCGGAGCTTGGGCGATGGTGAAACACGTATCCAAAATCGGATTTAGGACGTATAGATCTGATTTAGTATTGCCCAGATTGGAGCTTACAAATTACAAATTAGAATTTGTAATGTTCCAGATTTCATGGTGGTCACGTCCTCCTGCGTCCACCGCCAGCTTATCAATCACTCAACAGTGACTGATGCACGGAAGACGAACGACCGGTAGACGGACACTCCGTGCTTACCTTACAGGGTGCCTCATCGCTTGATCAGGGCCACAACACTGGAACAGGACACGCACGGCTCAACAGTAGACGGACCACCTTTGACACCCGGCCGACGCTACGAGGCTCATCTGGCTGGGGTCGCAGCTTGCTTTACACTCTTCCTCTTCTTTCCTTCCTCTTGGACAAGTAGTTGTAGTACCCAGTCTTCTTTGTTTTTATTTGCGTTTTGTATCTTTGCTTGAGTCTTCCCCATCTTCAGACTTCTTCTGCTCTGAGCGCCTGTATACCATTCGGGTAGACGGACACGCACCAGCAAACAATCGCACGCGAGTGGGAAGCAGACAGGATGGATGAGATCAACGCGAGATGTCGTGCAGTTTTCCACGTAGTTGGCCATGTCGCTCGCTTGGTCCGTCGGCGATACTTGATTTGAGACAGGGGTTTGAGCGCAGCTAGCTATCCGCCGACACCAATCCATTATGCGACCGCATCAGCCTAATCCCGACGCGGGGAACCGGAAGGCGAGCGGCGGCCTTCATCTCGTCGAGGCGACGGCGAGTACGAGCGGTCCTTCGTGCGGCGCGGCGAAGGCGACCGAGCAGCGGGCGATGCCGATCGGCGAGGAGACGCAGGGCGACGAGGAGACGCCGCAGCGCGGGGGGATGCCGACCTGCGAGGCGACGGCGAACGCGAGCGCGGTGCCGGGGAGCCCGACCGACGCGGAGGCGAACGGCCGCGCGAGCCCGAGCGCGAACGAGAGCGGGATCGGCCCTTCACAGGAGAGCGCGAGCGCGACGAGCGACGAGCCGGGGCCCGACGGTCACGAGAGCGAGAACGAGATCGGCCACGCGGCGCACGGCGGCGAGGCGATCTCGAGCGTGAGCGACGGCCTCCTCCACGTCTCTCCGTCCTATAATTTAGCATCCGACCAATACATACATCAACCAATTGAGCCTCATAACCTCGTGGCAGAACTCATTGCAAGAATTAGGCGCGTACCTTTCGCGCTCGCGCATTTGGTCCGTCGATTTGCGACGCTCCTGGGCGAACACCACGCGGATGTCGCGGCCATCAATGCGCACTCCGTCCAAGTTGCGGCGGGCGTCGTCGGCTTCCCGCTCGCTGCGGAACTCGACGAACGCAAAGCCCTTGGGCTCCCTGTCAACAATAGAAACGCGTCTCGCTGTCAGCCCCAACATCCCAAGCTTCTCTCCCTGCAATGCTCAATTCTGCCAACGTACTTGGTGTAGTAGTCCTTGGGGATGTACACGTCGCGCACCTCGCCGTAGCGCTCGAACTCCTTGCGGATGTCCTCGGGTCTGCAGACCCGACACAAAGTGGTTAGTCAATTGTCCACATCATTGCGCATGGGGCCCATTCAAGCGGGCGCAGAGCCTCCATGCCATGGACTGAGTAGTGGGCGTGCGCACGCACCTCAGGCGGCGGCTGATGTTGCGCACCAGCAGCGAGATTCCTCCGCGGTCGCCCATGCTCATAGTGGTTGCTCTGCCTCTTGGCTCGGTCGTTTTCAGTATGAAGCCCCAAGGACGCCAACCATTTTAGCAGGCAAATCGCGGATGCTGTTATGACCAATGGGCGATGGGTATCGAGAGGTGGCTGGTGCTGATTGGTAGATATCAATTTAGTGCAAAATGTGACGTGTGCAACACTTGTACTGCACTGCAAGTTGCAGCGTTGCATGAAGACGTCACTAGAAACTTCGTGCTGTGCATTACACTTAGAGTGGCTGCTATAACGATTATAACATTAGATTTTGGACAGCACGACCCACCAGAGCGTGAAGCAGATGCAGCCGGCGATCACCAGCGCGAGAATGGTGTTGTTGCGCATCTTCTTGCGGCGGATCTGCTCCACGAGCGTGTTGATGCCGGCGAACGAGCTGCCCAGCGTCGCCACCTTGCCGTGAGAGGACGTGAACTGCCGGCGCTGGTTCTCCAGCGCGTTCTTGGTCGCCATCGCTTGCTCGATAATGCTGCCCGTCATGGAGCGAGACGAGTCGACGGCGCGGCGCTCGTTCAGCAACGAATCCATCTCAGCGTCGTCCGAGTGGCCGTTGTGTCCTCTATTCAATCAATTGAAGGCGCGTCATAATAACACACGAAACGGTTAGAACGCTGGTGTGGAGCCGTATAATGAACACAACGGAGCACTGCATGTCAAGATACGCAAGCGAACCTGTTGCCAAACAGCTTCTGCGCGTCACGCTTCTCCTGCAATGCGCTCTATTCAGCACAACACAAGCGTTCACATAAATTCCGACCGACATCAATAAAAGCTTCGGAAAACCTATGCCATCAACAGAAACACAGTTTGCAATAGCAGTCCTACCATTGAGCGACGGAACTCTGTGTTGAAGTCGAAATACAGCTCACGGTAGCGCTGCAGCATAGCATCCTGCGTCTTCACCGACGTCTTGTTCACCACCACATTCATCTCATCAATAGTGTCCGACAGCTAATCGCACAGAACACATTTGAGTCAACACGTCAACGATCCTGTCTTCCTCCGTCCTCCACAAGCAGCTTCATTGCACCCACCGACGCCAGCACATTCTCAATATCCACTGCGAGCTCCCTCTCGTCCACAGTCTCCTCGGGCGGGTTCTCTACAGCGTCAAAGGACAAGTCAGCAACAGTGCGCGTCTTCAAGTCCTCTCCTCTTCCTTCTCCTCGCACCTTCGTCGTACGCCGCCGCGGAGCTGCGCACCTGCGCTCTGCTGATGGCCGTGTACGCCGCGATCTTGTCCTCGAGCGTGCGCTCCGCGGCGCGCGCGCTGCTGCGCAGGTCCTCCCACGACCGCGTCGTCGTCTGCATCATCTTGGTCTTCTTGGCGGAATACCTTGACTTTTGTATACCCCTCCCACCCCTCGCCCGAATTATACCCCCGGGGACGCTATTCCCCCACACGCGTCAGATACTGAAACCCCAGTAGGCGACGCAGCTGAGATGAAGGGCGCGGCGCGGCGGCTGGCGGCCGCGGTGGAGGCCCTGCGCAACGGCGGAGGCTCCGCCGCGGAGCAGCAGAAGCAGCATCAGGAGCTGGTGCAGGCGCTGATCGCGCTGCAGCGGCTGTGGAAGCCCGAGCTGCTGGCGACGCCCAGTCCGACCAAGAAGCGCGGCGCCAAGACCAACGCGGCGCTGTTCCAGCTGCTGCTGGCCACGCTCATCGTGTACAGCGGCGGCCACACGGGCAACTCGAGCGCGGGCGCGGCGGGCAGCGGCGCGGGCGCCATGGGCGTGTCGCTGTCCACGCCCAGCGTCACCACGTCCGAGTGCGTGCACCGCCTGGTGTGCGACCTGCTGGTGCGCTCCTTCGACTTCTCGGTCGTGCCCAGCATCAACGAGACGCTGGCGGCCAAGAACATGTCGCTCTACGTCAAGGTGTCGCTGGTCATGGTGGTGTGTCGCCTGCCGCAGCAGGAGGCGTTGCAGTTCCTGCCCGACGCCGTGGCGCTGGCCAACAAGAACCTCCGCGCGGCGGACTACTATATGAAGCAGTGCCTTATTGAGAGCGTGGCCCACGCGCTGGAGGGGGACTCGAGGAGACTCGTGCCGTTCCACGCGGAGGCGCTCAAGATCGTCAACAAGAGCTTCCAGGACAAGGCGCCCGAGGTGCGCATCGCTGCGGCGAGGCTGCTGCAGGTGGTGACAGAGCGGACTTTGGCGTCGACGGCGGCGTCAGCAGGTTCGGGGGCTGGATCGGGAGGAAGTCAAGGAGGCGGGAGTGGCAATGGCAGTGGAAGTGGAGGAGCTGGTGCCAGTGGCAGTGGGTCAGCTGCTGGAGCGGGCGCTGGAGGCAGCCACGCGAGCGCGCAGGGTGTTTCTCTGGATGCCATTCTGCAGATTACAGCCAAGGGAATGGACGACGTCGCTCCCGAAGCCAGGAGGGCGTACTCGGTGGTGGTTGGTACGGTGCTCGCGAAATACGCCACGTCGTCGTCGGGGGAGAGCGAGATGCAGCAGGGTGAGAGCAATGGGGCGGGTGCAGCATCTTCTAGAAATGAGGAGGATGCCGGTGGACGATCTTCAAGTGAACACGACACGCCTCCATCCAGTGGTAGCGGGAAGTCCAAGACGGGATTCAAACTGCACGTTCCTGGAATGACGGGGCTAAACCTACCGGCGCTTTCTCGTCGAAAAGCGGCCACAGTGAATTTCTCGACCATCGCAAATGTGGTTCTCTACTTCAAGGACATGGTGACCAGCAAGTATCTGTCCAGCAACCCGAATCAGATCCATGGAGGCATTCTTGCTTCGTTCTCCATCGCGCTGTGCAGCATGTTCGAGCGTCTGCCGCCCGACTCGATCGCTGAGTCGCAACTTCGTGAAGTCCTGGATGCGATACTTGCTATCTTGGACCACCCTTTCGCTCTTGGAGATCTGACTCGAGCGCGCAACGCTGTGGGCTTTGTGCTGCGCTATGGATTGAACGGATGCCTCACAGAGCGTCAACAGGAGGTTCTGCTGGGCGCCTACTTGCAGAAACTAAAAGATGAGGCGCAGGCAGCGGATCCGAACCACCACAAGATTTTGACAGCATTGGTGGAACTGAGTCACCTCTTCCACTCCATGGGGGAAGCCTCTGTGAGTCATGCGCGCGGTGCCAGCGACATATTCCAAGAGCTGGTTTGTCACGAGAAGCAGAGTGTTCGATTCCAGGCTGCTGTTGCTCTGGCTTCGCTTGTCACTGCAATTCCATACCGACTCAAGAGCGTGCTGACCAGCTGCCTTCAGGGCCTACGGGATACCGCCGAGTATCTGATGCGCGGAGGCTCTGATGTCGAAGAAGCGAGAAATCCAGAACCTACTGAGAAGACTGACGATGGCCAAGATGACGGCAATGATATGCAAAGCAAGACCCATTTGTACGCGATTCAGGGCAGATCCGCTGCTATTGCCCATATTCTCCGAGCCATAAAGCTTGACGACAAGGGAGGTTTGTCCCAAGCGATCATGGACGACATCTATTCCATTTCCGAGGAGCTCGTTGAAAGTCAGTTCCTCAGTGAGTGTGCGGACAGCATTTGGCTCACCTGCACACGCGCTGGTTGGACGCTGGTGGGAAGTCTCGTGGCTATGAACGACGAACTGTGGATAAAGGCCAACTTGGAGAAGCTCCTGAACCTGTGGCTCAAATCCAGTGTGCTTCACAGTCGCGAATCATCTCTCGAGCTCCTGCGCATCGAAGCTGCCGTGATTGCGCTTAGCAGCTTCCTGGCCTATTGCCAGGGTGTCGCCGTTGATCCTGATAACGATGTCAACCTTCTCGCAAGCCACATATTGCACGTGTACTTGACGGCAACACAAGACACTCTGAGTAATCCTCTCAAGCGGCGTGGCCAAATTGCGCGGTATCGCCTAATGGGGTGGATCATCAACTGTTTCTCGATGCTCCCGCCAATTTACAGCGACTCGTACATCGTGCTATTGGATTTAATCGCAGAGTTTACCACTGCACAGGCGCTGACGAACCTCCGGCATTCCTCATTAGTGCCGGCTAAGTCCACGTACCTGCAAAGTGTGCTTTCATCAGAGGACGACACGCTTGACATTGTGACCCTTTCGCGCTTGGAGCCAGGGGACCGCCCTTCTCCACTCTATTCCAGGGAGCTAAATCACGTGCTGGGATTGCAGCAACGGGAAAATGCTTTGACGGATACTGAAATCGAGGTGCAGTACCTCGATACGTTTTGGAGATCGATCACTGAGAAGGAAGTTGTGGATGGTGGGGCGAAACGTGCAAGCTGCAGCCCATTCACTTACGTTCGCCTTGTGGATACGAGCGTTCTTTTGTTTGGTCGGCTGTTCCATAACATCCCAGAAGACCTACAGCTTCGGTGTCTGCAACATTACGCAGGCGTGCTAACTGACGTGCGCGCGGACTGCGAAGTCAATGTGTGTTCCCTGTTGTTTGCTGTGATCGCAGAGGCCAGGCGTCTCGACAAATCTGGTGCCGCGCTAACTTCAACGGCATCGCTCTCTGCTACGTCGTGGCCTCTTCAAATGCAGACTATGCTTTGTGAAATGATTTCAAGTGAAAACGCGGAGGTCCGTCGCGGTGCCGGTGAAGCGCTCGGAACGCTGGCATTGCTGCTTGGCGAAGATCATTGCAAGGGGTTGATTATCGAGTTGGAAAAGCGCTTGGTAGTGGATAAGCTTCCACAGGGGGCTTCAAACGCTACCTACGGCTCCAACGCTGACCTGGACGTATCGACATTGTCAGCCGGCGCAGCTTTTGCATTGACCTGCATGAAGCGCGTGTGCGGGTCTCGCATCTCTATCGACACAGGACTTATCTTTCGGTTTGCTGGGGAGTGCTCGCAACCGTTGCGCACGTGGATTTTGCATTCGTGGAGCATTATTTTGGAGTCTGTCAATTCCACTGGAGGCGATTACGAACACTTTGTGAACTCGACCCTTTCTCTCATGGAAGCCCATGTATTGGCTGGGTTTGTTTATTCTAAAGCCAACAAGCGAGGTCTGCGCTGGCAAATCAGCACAAAGGTTGCGCTTGGACGAATTATTAACGATGTGGTGGCCACGCTCGGCCCTGAGCTGGGTGGCCCGAGTGATCGTTTGAACGAATTTTACTCGTACTGGATGCTTCTTCGCCAGGATGGTGATGCACGCGTCGAGTTGGAGTTTTTGAGATTCCTGGAGCAAGTGGTCGTGTTTGCGCCCTTCCGGTTCCAGTCTGCTGATTTGAGGTATATTCTGCGCATCATTTCTGACACTGCCTTATTAAACTCGGCAGTGTCGTTGTCCTTGGCATCGCCACAGAGCTCTGGGACGGCAGTTTTGTCGCCCCCATCAAGTTCCGGTCCTTCGATGGGGACTTTGGGGGCCTACGGAGAGCCATTCGAGCAAATCGGTCTCGTTAACGTGGGCGTCTTCACGAATGGGTGGAGTCGCAGCATCTTGCAAAATGTCGGACTGTCTTGCATCCGTACGCTGGTGGAAAGGGACCCGACATTGATTCGCCGTCAGAACCTGTTTTGTCTTCTCTTTTCGGCACTCCACGTCGAATACAATGAGTTGATGTGGAGTTATTTGCCCGGATTGCATGGAATGTGGGACGTGCTATCCTTCACTGTTGCCGACTCTGCTATCATGCAACGGAATGGTATTAGCGCTCTCCAAATCACAGCACTGGCGCTTCTTGAGGTAGAAGGCAGGGATCACGAAGGTGCTGAGCCGTGTCTGTGGGCTCTATTGTGTCGCAGTATTGCCATTGGTGAGTCTGCAAGCACCTTTGCGGGAGCTAATGCAGAGCAGCTGATGATGAGTCCGAAGGGCATGAATCCTGGTATTCAGGCAACCGGAAACGACGAGGCTTCAGGAGATGATGATACATCGTCATGGTCACCAAACCCAACTCTGGATTTACCCAAGGCAGACGCCAACTCGCTTGCGTCTGCTGCTGTTGCTGCTCAAGTGGATACGTGGCGAGCAACGAAGGCAAGTGTTGGTGAACTCATTGCGTTGATGCCTCCGCTTTCGAGGCAAGTACGCCACTTCGCTGTGGAATGTGTGCTGCGAGTATTCGAGCTCATGGCGGTAGTGCAGCCTATGACCACCGGCGTACCCCAAACAAAGCAGTTCCATTTTGATCTTGTCGCGGCACGTCGCTACTTCTTCGAGATGCTTTCTGCTGGAGCAGCCTCGCCAATCTCCACCGAGTCCAACATAGGAAACTTCCTGTGTATGTATCTGGACGAGTTCGTCACTCTCGCATGCCACGTCACCACAACATCGGCCGAAGGCGATGAGCTTCTTATGTTCCAGTGCGTGGGGCTTCGACTGCTCAACGTGCTAGTGAAGAACTTTGCGTCCGCTCGCGACCCAGAAGTCGCTACGGGCGATGCGTACTTGTTGGACCCGTACCGTGCCCAGCTTTCGTCTGCCATTCGCCATGCGTTAAAGCAAGTTCAAGTTGAGTCTTCACTGCTGGCCCAGACTACAGAAAGTGACAAGGGCGAAGAAACCTATTTCTACGCTCCACTTCTTCTCGAAGCGCATGGCATTGCTGGCGCTTGCGTCTCAGCTCACCTTATTCAAGACAAGGTGGGGCTGGGGCGTATTCTGAGAGCGGTGGTGACACCTGACTACGGCCACGCGCATTTCATTGGAGATGAACTCACCCGTACGTCACTATCGCTCGCTAACCTGGCATCTGTGGCGGAGCTTTTGACTTCAAGTGTGACGGAAGCAATTGCTCAAAAGGATGCGCGAGATGATGAACGCAGAGCTGTAGCGGTATCCCCGCTCGTGAAAGCGATGACCAACGGGTTGTCGGGCACCACTGAGTACTTGTTCAAGTGCTGGATAGATACAACGTTTGCGTACGGCGTTGTGATGCAAGGCTCTGCTCAGTGGGCCCAACTGAACTCCCCTTCAACTGCAGCATTGCTGACTGGCGAGCCCATGGTCATGCCCGCCTTACAACTACCCCTTCCACCAGTCGGACCTGCAGCCACTGCTTCGCCAGCTGCTCTGTCAGCCTCAAAAGCTCTGCGTGCGCTGCACAAACGATACTGGCCGAAGATTGTCAATGCGATGGCGACGCTGGAAGTCTACTTCCCGAAATCAGTCTCATTGTTCAACACATCAGAGGGCAGTATCCCTAAGTGGTCGTCGGTGCTGCTGTCAAGCGCGATATTCCATGTAAACATGAACGCTCGCGACCGAATGGAGGACGACACAGAGTTACCGGCGGTTCTTCGTAGTATTCCGTTGATACTGAAGGCCTTGGTGGAGAACCCGTTCAAGCAAGATGGAGCCTCGTCCAGTAATTTCCCCGTGCTCCTTACAACTGCACTGAATGCGCTGATGCTGGCGAGTAAGCGATGCACAGGCCCATCACAAGTGGAAGCTCTGAAGTCAATCTTCTTGTGTCTATCGCGTGAGAACCTGGCATTTGCCCGGGAGATCTGCCGCTCCGCGGAGAATGGGGACCAGCGCTGTGCTGCGTTATTTGATGTCGTCGCACAGGCGGGGTTGTGCCCAACTGAGGTGGTGTGTAGTCTGTGTGACGCGAGCGAACAGACTCGACACGCGAGAGCAGTAAGTATCGGAAGCAGAGCGACAGGATCCCGCCGCAGCTCCATCGCGACAGAAGAGGATTCAAAGCACATGACTGAGGTGGCCAAGTTCGCGACAACAGGCATTGTACTTCTACACACTACCGAAGAAGCTCGAAGCGGGGTGGTGCGCTCAGTCGCTCTGGTACAACAGGCCATCTGCTCTGTAGCTAGCAGCTACCATTCCTCGTCCGTGAAGGAGGCCGTTGTGACGCTCAGTCGAGCTTCAACCGAGTCGGTGTTTGCGCTGGCACGCACACTTGAAACCAACAGCGGCTCGGGTGACGGCGTGTTAACCCGGATCAAGTCAAGCGTGCGCGGTTCCTTGGAATTCCTATCCGAGTGGCTCAAGGTGGACATTCACAGTGCGCCAGGTTTTGCGATGCAGATCGCCGCGAATTTCGCTGCGAGTTTCCCCGCTTGCCTCCAAGACGACACAGAACGCTTCCATGCTGATGTAGCAGAAACAACCTCGGCGGTGCTGGGAACTACGCATGGAGCTGAAGTTGATGAAGCTAAGAAGCAACAGCTAGCAACTGCCATGACGGAACTTTTGCGGGGTTTACATGCAGTTGTGAAGAAGCTCGTGGACATGCACCAAACCTCCATTGCGAACCGATACCTGGTAGCGCTTGGCCCCTCTCTCGTCGAGACCGTTGCTGAAGCAAATGGCTACCCAGAGACCGCTGCGGAGCTCGCTGAGCTGGATGAAGCGGAAGGACTCCTTCGTCTACTGACGATGCAGCTGAACGACCAGCATGGCGCTGCGTTCGTGCACATGCTACTGCCAAGACTCGCAGTAGTGCTGAGTAATCCGCCGCCATCAGCTGCCGACAACGTGATCCCAGCACAAGTCCCAGGCATTGTAGCGCGACTGCTCTTATGTTTCGCGCAGACTCATGCTGCAGCGTTTAAGGAGGCTGTGGCGGCCATGGCACCCACGTTGCGGGGTGTGCTGGAGACTGCGCTTCGTCTTGCTCTCACTGGCTCAGCGCCTGCGGCTGGAGCTCGTGCTCCGTCATCGTTTTCGCAGGGCGGTGGCCCCGCAGCTACCAAGCTTGACTTGAGTCGATACGCGTAAGCCAAGACAAGACAGCCTCGTGTCGCTAGAGTGTTTCAATGTTGAATGGATTGCAAAACAGTATAGTCACTATGTGCACTAAGGAGCGCCTCTTATGGGCAGCTCGGTTGAGAATCTCGATGCTTGATCGGTGGGTGTCTGTCATATTTACTCACAAAGTTGTCTCTGGCCGCGAAGTCGTGGCCACATCCTGTACAGCAAGCAGCTCCAGCAGACTAAACAGCACGGTGTGGACGAGGTCCATGCTGTAGAACTAAAGAACGCAACACCATAACGTCGAGTTAGCTGACCATCGACAACTTGACAATTTACCCATGGCATAACCTACCTCCACGCCTCCGTCCAGGTCAACAGCCACGTCCTGCATCTCAACTCGCTCGATCTCGTACGTCGACAAGTCGAATGGCAGTGCGTCCGTGTACAAGTGTTCCGTCAACTCAATGAGCTCTGAAATTTAGTCAAATACCATACACATACGTTAGTTAGTGCACTTCACCATGTCATTATCCAAGCGCACAGTGTACCTGGTACGTAGGTGGAGGGCCGATTGCCTCCAGGCCCGTCCTTCGTCTGCTGGAACAGTCTGCGAAGCGTGGCCCAGGGCACCGTAAGCGTGTAAGTGCGCACCACAGCCTCCTCCTTCGTGGCTCGATATTTGAGCAGTAGCGGCGGTCGTGGCGGCTCTTGAGCAGCCATGGAGCTTCCGCGCGGATAACCCGCTTCATCACCATCCTGGTTCGTCACTTCACGCTGAATCGTCGACGGTCTCGCGTCAGACAGCAAACTCGCCACCACCCAGTTACGCGCCAAGCGCTGGAGGTTGAGCTGCTGGATGTGCACGACGTGGGTGCTCACGACGCACTGGAAGCGGCGCTGCAGCCACGAGCAGACCCAGCGCAGCAGCTCCTCGTTGCCCCTCAGCAGCAGCACCTGCTGTCTCTCGCGCCCTTTACGCGGCGCGCGCTGCTCGTCCTCCGTCGGGAAGTAGAGCACGAAGCCTCCCGTGCGTTCGGGCGCTTCTCTCTGGTCCCCGGCCGCTCGTGCGCGCCTCCGGTCGCGCTCCTCTCGGATCTGGAAGGCCACGAACGTGTCTGTATTGCGGATGCTCACGCTGTAGCCGAGCTGCTGGCCGCACGCCCGCAGCGCCGCGGCGCGCAGCGTCTTGACCAGGTCGTGCGCGTACTCGCTGAGCTGGTCGCGGTGGAAGTGGAAGAGCGGCGACGCGCAGTGGAAGACCCAGCGGCGGTCCAGCAGCACCTGCTCCATGCTCACGCGCTCGCGCTCCCTGCGCGCGGCGGCCTCGCGCGGCGTTTCACTGTCTGCAGCTACTGCAGCAGCAGCGGCGGCTCGCTCGCTGTCCAGGGCTCCGTCCTCAGGCCCGCGCGCGTACTGCGAGGGCCGCATGGGCGAGCTGTAGGCCTCGCGCATCTTCTGCTGCTGCTCGGGGGTTATGCGCGGCGGACGTGAGTTCTGCATGGGCGGCGCGCTGGACGCCGGACTCGCCACGTCTTCCGCTTGACTGCAGTCGCAGCACAATGCGACTGCCATGGACGTTACACTTGTGATAGAGCGAACAAGAGGCCGGACGGACGCTCGAGGCGGAACAAAAAATGATGAAATTTTAACTAAAGAGCACGAGGCTGACGTCAGAGGCCAGAGGGCAATGGACCTCGTGGGCGCCGGCGTCTGCGCTAATAGAACCCTCCCGGAGTGGATGACTGGACTAACAGTACACACACACGCTGCTCGCTTGTCTTGTTATAATAGCTCGCTGCTTATCCGCCCGCCAGGAGGAGGAAGATGAGGATCAGCAGGAGCACCAGGATGATGATGTACAGCTTCGTGTTGTTGCTTTGCTTGGCCACCTGGCAATAGTGACACGAACCAAGATTTTTGTCAGCTCGAGCATCCAGCACGTCATGGCGAGCCGAGAACAAAAAAAGCAGGCGCTTCCAAGCAGAGCGAGAGAGCAGTTAACATGGCGTGCGTACCCGGGCTGCGCGCGCGCCCTCGGACTCGAGCCCGTCGGTGACCCGGGACACGTCGTCGTCGATCTCGTTCAGCAGCCGCACGTGCAGCTCGGTCTCGTCCTTGACGGTCAGGCTGTAGTTGCGCAGGTTGGACACGCCCTGGCCGATCAAGTCCAGCTGCTGGTCCTGGTCCTTCATAATCTGGTTCTGCATGCTCAGCAGCCTCACCGGCGCGTCCGCAGCCCCAGGACTGCAGCCAAATGGCGGCAACAACAATGACAAACGCGTTAGGCTTCAAGTCCCCGATGGCTCGACAGCTCGACAGCTCGACAGCTCGACAGCTCCACGGCTCCCTGGACGCACCTCACTGCAGCCCGAGAAGTCTTCCGGCTGTTATACATATCCAAGTCCTCTTGCTGCACGCCGAATAACACCAACCCCGTCAGTAAAAGTGCTCTACAGTACCAAGAGCCGACGTAGAATGCTGTACCTGGTCTCGTGCCAATTGGTTCAGCAGCCGCTCGCGCCGCTCGATCTCCTGCTTCGTCCTGCACAGCATCAATAGACGCACCCCTATGCATGTGAGCCTCCCCAACGAGGAACTGCATGCCCCCTGCAGCGCCAAACGGCGTACGTACACTGCGGTGCTGGAGGAGCGCTTGAGCTGGTCGAAGTCGCGCTTCAGCCGCGAGACGCTCTGCTGCAGCGCGAAGACGCTGGTGCCGATGGCGCCCGAGTTCCCCGTGCGGATCTTGCTGGACAGCACCTGCTCCTGGCCGCGCGCGCTCTCCAGCCGGTCCAGCCACGACGCCCACGCCGTCGCGCTCATGGTCGCCTAAAGATTTTGGGTGCGAAAAAAGAAAAAAGAAGATTAAACCGGTACTACCGAAAATGTACCGGTAAAGGACGGTAGTGCCAGAAAAGCGATACCGAAACAACCGGGTTTAGATACCTCATTAGAGGGTACCGGTTAAGAAACCGGTGCTCATGATGGGTGGGCCGCAAAACCCGAGAGCACCTAACGCACAAGGCAGCACACGAGCGACAGCAACCATGAGCCAGCGGGAGTTCGAGCGCAAGATGGAGGAGCACATCGAGGAGATGCGCGTGACGCAGACCATCGCGTACTTCAGCCGCACGGTGGAGCTGTGCTTCTCGGACTGCGTGCACGCCTTCCGCAGCAAGAAGCTGGACGACAAGGAGACGTCGTGCGTCAACAACTGCGCCGAGAAGTTCCTGCGCCACACCATGCGCTCGTCCGTGCGTCTGCAGGAGAGCTACGCCGAGATCATGCAGCAGCAGCAGGAGCAGCAGAAATAGAGCGGCTCCTTACTGGAGTGACAGGCAGGGGGAACGAGTGGCCACGAGGGGCAGACGTTGATGCAGTAAATGAACACTAAACAAGATGCTCGCAGCGGCGCTTCAAGGCTGGCTTTTTGCATGCACTGTAGTTAGTTGGTCGGGACGTAGAAGTAGATTGGTGAGGGAGTACTAAGTGATAGCTCGCAAGACTTGAGGTAAGAGGGTTATGATTTCTTCGATCTACCGTGTCGGTATGGTGCGGTCAGCGTTGCTGAGGCAGGCTTCATGTGAGCTTGGTCCGGCGGGTAGCATCTTCAAGGACGCATCGATATCATCCCTGAATAATCAGCACAGGACACCAACAGGTCCCTATGATACCGCTTTCGTTGAAAAGCAATTTTGCAATCATTTTACGTTTGCTGAGATTGGTGCGGGTCGTTGGGATTGGGTGCAGCTTTGCCGAGCTTGAAATTCTCCGTAGCTGGTTCTACATTAGTGATGCCCTGCAGCCGATTGAAGTCGTCTTCAAAGCTTCGCTCTTCCATTCGAAGATTGAAGCCGCCTTGAAACTTTTAAGGCGGAGTTGGTACATGGTTATTAGGATTTTTTCAAGTGCACAACTTGTTGCCAACGGTGGCAGAATTTATAAGGATGCAGCACAGGTCACCAAGTAACTGGAGGGTCATAGATTGCAGTTGAGCTTGACCCGGTGGATCAACGCGTTGCCGGTTGCCGGCAGCAACGTTGCCTCTAAGAAAATGCGACCATCGGGACCTCCAGTGCTAACGTTTTAGAGAGGGTTTAGAGCTCTTCCGGACCCATTCATTCGAAAACTCCCCCTATTTTCCCATAAAATGGCGCCCTCGTCTCCATCTGCGCCTGCGCGCCCGGGATCGTCCGAGGACGGCGACGCTGGCCTGGCGCGCGGCTACAGCAAGCGCGGCGATGGCTTCTCGGTGCAGGAGACGGAGGGTCTGCTGCAGCAGGTGCGCGAGCGCTGGCAGGAGGGCTGGGACGTGATCGCCGAGCTGCACAACGCGCAGTTCCCGGGCCACAAGCGCACCGCCAGCTCGCTCAAGCGCAAGTTCGCCAAGCTCTACCGCACCAAGATCGACGCCAACACCAAGGAGAAGCACGCGCGCGCCGCTGCGTTGGCCAAGAAGGTGCGCGAGGAGATGCGCGGCCAGCGGCGCGCCGGGCTCGTGAGCGCGCGCGCCCTCAGCGAGGACCTCGTAGCGGAGACCGACGTGCAGGAGGTGCACGAGGACCTGACCGAGGTCGAGATGATCACGTCCCAGCCGGGCGCTCAGAGCCACGCGCTGCCCGAGCCGGCGGTGACAGCCAGTGAGCACGAGCTGCGGCAGACGCTGACGCAGAGCGTCGCCATGGCGCAGGAGACGCCTATGAGGGAGGATGCGTGGCAGTCGGCGATCAACCGCCTGCCCGTTTCCGGCGACCGGCTGCGCACGTTGCGCGCGCAGATCGAGAACGGCGAGACGACGGCCAGTCAGGACATGATGCAGACGGTCTTGCTGGTACTGCTGGAGTCCCAGCACCAGCACAACCTGGAGAGGGAGCAGGAGCGCGAGGAGCGGCGACAGGAGAAGCTCCGCTGCCAGGAAGAGATGCGCGAGCAGCGCCGCCGGTGTGAACAAGATCGCGCTGAGGACCGACGCAGGAACGAGCAGTTCATGCAGGTGATGACCACGCTCGTGGCGCAGATCGCTGCGGGACAACAGCACCGGACCGGGTTGAACTGAGCGTGGCGTCGGGTGGGAGCACTTGCTGCAGCTGCATCGGCCATCACACAGTGGTGTGGAGTGCATGATTCAAACCAAACGAAGTTGGTTGCAGTGCAGTACATTGGAAGTGCCACCGCCTGCGTTAGTGTTGCATAACTTCGATAATAATTGTGGATGAACATTAGTCAGTCATGTCTTGTATGCCCATGCACCGTTAAGTATAAACTTCGTGGCTTTACAAAGCCCTGTTTGTGCGGAAGGCAGCAGTGTGTAGTGTTCAGGGCTCGCAAACGGTGCTGATCGCCTGTGTAGCCGTCCAAGCCGAAGTCGGGTACCCGTACCCGCCCGCCCACAAGCCACGGGTGTACCAGGGCTCAAGGTTTTGTACGGACGGACCAACTACACATGAGAGAAATATACGCAAATCGCCCAGCGTTCGCTTAACACTCCGTGTCACGCTGCTCATTGGCGGCACCGTTCTTTCCGACAAGCATCATCATCATCTGCATGAACTGCTCGTGGCGGCGGCGGTTCTCGGCGCGCTCCTCAACGCGTTCTTCACCGCGGCGACGTCGCTCTTCGCGCTCCTCGTCGCGTCGGCGCTCCTCCTCCTGTCTCCGCTGCTCAGCTTCTTCTCTACGCCGTTGCCGCTCTTCATCGCGGCGCACGCGCTCCTCCTCTCTGTCCAGGTCCCTCTGATACTGCGAGCGCAGAATCACTTTCAGCACTGAAGTGAGCAGGTCGTCCGTCGGCAGCGGTGTGGCCTCCGGCGGGAAAGAAGCCGCCGCGCTCTGCCACTCGACACTCTGAGGGCGGGGCGCGCGCACGCGCGGACGCGGCACAGCCGCCGCAACAGCAGCAGCGAGTGCAGCAGACGACGCAGTCACCACGGGAGTTGCAGGGCCTGGTGACGACGCGGTGATGGCGGCGGCGGTAGGAACCTCCGAAGCCGTGTCCACCCAACTGTGCTCCGACTCGGTGGCGCCGTCCTGAGCGCGCTCGTCGGGTTGCGGCGGCTGGAACGCGACGTCACCGGCCTCGACCGCCTCGCCCTCGACGCTGGGGACCGTCATACCGGGTGCAGGCGGAACGCCCTCGATCATCTCCTTGTGCACGACGTGGGCGAAGCTGATGGCCTGGTGGTTCTTGGCGCCGCGCGGCGGGACCGTGGAGCGATACAGGCGCGAGAACTTCTTCTTGAGCGAGTCGGCCGAGCGGTTGTGCTTGGCGAACTGCTGGTTGTGGAGCTGCGCGATCATGTCCCACCCCTCGCGCCAGTGGCTGCGCACGAGCTGCAGCAGCCCCATGGACTCGGCCTCCGTGAAGCCGTCACCGCGCCGCTGCACGTGCGGCCCGAGCCGCCGCTTGGCCTCGAGCTCCATAATGTCTGCTGTCTTGTTTTGCTCCCCCTCAAAACGAGATGTGAAGGAGAATTGGTGGACACAAAATTTGACGTGGCCAATGGCCGTGCGCGATCATTCGGACTTAAGCGAAATAGACCGACAAGTGGCGCGAAAAGTCCCGCCCAGATTTTTGAATTTCGCGATTGAATTTCGCGACAGCTTCAAGTTGATGGCTCAAGCCAAAAAACTGATGAAACGCAACTTCAAGTTGCACTTTTAAAAGCGCAAATGACTTTCACTCCGTCGATCTGTGTTAATCGAAATAACCCGAAGTAAATGGCGCCAGTTTGAAAGTACAACTTAAAGTTGCACCACAGAGTCTCGACTTGCTTGGTCATATTTTTATTAGCACCAGCGCTCCAGGTTGCAGTTCGCTTAAAGCGAAAGAGGAATTGAAGGGTTTGATATCAAACCCGCCAAGCACTGATGGTTCTCTCTTCGCAATTTGCAAGATGCCGGACTGGTGCAAGAAGCCCCTGTTGGCTCGATAGCCGCCGACTCTACTCTCGTGTACTCATATCAAGGCGTCAAGAAGAAGCTCAATCAGCTTTGTGAGATCATTTCCCAGCTCGATGAGCTCCGCACGAGGCGACTGAGCTGTGACGAAGCCCCCTTGCTTTTTGAAAGCTCAAGTTGCTAGACCGCTCGACCTTGGCCTTCGCTCGGCCTTTGCACCACGTGGCTCAGCGCCACTTAGCGCCGCAAGAGTTCCGCTCAGCTCCTTCCACTGAGCGAACACTTCCACTCCACTTCGCTAGGCTTAGCCGCTTGGACGCTTGGCTCAGCGCCGACTCGGGTCGGGCGAGGCGTGTGTTCCTCACTCTGCGATCCCCTTGGCGGTTCTTTCGATCACGGCTACGCTGTGGGCCCAGACTTGCGTCGGCCACACCAGCTGCTGTCGATGTTGAAGTCTCCGGAGGTGTTCCCAGACGAAAATTGCTCCCCGCTTGGCAAGTCCCAGTCCGCACGTGTCCACAGCCCGAAATACCGCGGGTTTTCCTTAATGAACACGACATCACACACAACACAACCTCCACTTCCTCTCTTTGGTTGCGGATCAGAACCACAACACCTCTTCTTTCCCGGTCGGCCTGTATCTGAGCCGAGTTCGCCTTTATTTCTCTGAGCCTGGGCGAGGCTCGTTCCAGCTTCTCCTTTCTTCTCTTTGAGTCAAGCAACGACCCGGCTGGAGTTAGTGACTCGGTTTGAGCCTAGTCCAAATCCAAGGCACTAACACACACCCTGGGACTACCCGCGCACCAGGTCCACAATGAACTGATACTGATAACCCCACAATGCACCGGGGCACGCCAATGTCCCCAAGCACATAATACAATTACCCTGCCTAAACCTCAGAATGGATCACCTTCCACCCGAAAATATGAAGTACACCCGAAGATGTAACAGTAATATAAAATAACCGTACTCCTGTCGCACCGAAGCACTCTGACAACGTTGATATGTTCGCTTGATTTTGTGTGGATGATCGCCAGGACACCTTCTGGTCAAAGACCTCCACCACTTGCGTCCTTCGAGGCAAAACGAACTCTGTTTAAGTGTTTACACATGCACAAACTAGGACTCAGTGGGGGCGAAATATCCCTCTGGGTACACACCGACTGGCTGCGCGAAGAGCGTCGGATGTATGCTTACCAAAGCGCGCTTGGGATCCGCTTGAAGTCCGCTTATATCTCTACCTTGACCAATGCCGAGGCTCCACGTTGGCACGCGGAGCATTGGTGACGTTGAAGCTGCTGGAAGTGTCCGCGATCTTGAGCAGTCGCACCCAAAGTTAGACAGGCTCCTGGCTGATACACCGTATGAGTGTACGCCGCCGGTACCACCAATTTCGCCACTGGTACCACTGTCTGGACTTAAGTTCAGCGACACTTCACCCGACAGTCCCACTGGGCTCCGGCAACTCTGCTCAGGCTCATGCCGCTCCGCTCAGGTCCACGACGCTCCGCTCAGCTTCTCAACTTGAGCGGGGACTCCGGCCAGCACACTTGAGGCTTGGCTCAGACTCCACGTAGCTTCGCTCAGCTTCCAGAATCAGCTCAGACTTGGGATGCTTAATGCCAGACATCTCAGACCTTGGGCACACATCGACCGAGCCCAGGGTCTGAGCGAAGACCGCTCAGGCTTCGGGCGCAGACAGCTCGCCACACGGCTCGTGTCCACCCGTTAGAGGTCCAGATCCATCTGTATGCTGCAGTTGCAGCTTGATTGATGCGCGTCAGCAGCCTAGAATGATATGGGTCAGCTGGCCGATGGGTTCGGTGGATAAATCCACTGGAGCCTTATCACAGAGCTCAAGCTGGTTGATAAAACATTACTGTCTTGCGATGTTACAAGAGGGCGCTGCCGAGGCTTCCCTCAACTCCCATTTCTCTACCGGTGCTGGCTTGTTTCACTGGCTGAGACGGAGAAGAAGATGAGGATATCCCATTTAGTATTCAGACTTCCACCCAACCTTTGTGGGATACTAGGGGGGGGGGGGCAAACCGGTTCCAGAGTACTTTGAGGCAAGGCCGGTGAACGCCTTTTCCGCCCAGGTGCATAGCGTGCAATATCCGGGAGAACGAAGTCTCTCAGAACTTCCCAGGCGGATACACCAGAAGATGTCCGCCGAGATGGCGTGTGTTCTTTGTGACAATCCCTCTCGGGTCGTTTGTCTTCGAACCAAGGAGCTCGGCCGAGTTGGTGAGTTGTTGTACACTGTTGGGTTTCCGAGCGGGGTGTAATACGTACTTTCAAACGTAGCCCCTACGACTCTGGACGATAACTGTAATGGGCCTACTTTGGCTCACTACTTTAGCTTACACGTGTCCGCACGTGTGTGAGGAAGCGTAGCTTAGTTTAAACTAGAGTTAATTATACTCGGACCTCTGAGTATAGATTAATCTAAATAAACGATTCAAATAATGTTTTTGGGTTAAAATGAGAACTGCTATTTTTGTTTTATGATTTCTGACTTCCTCTAAATGTAATATTCTAAATTAGGAATCTGCCAACGGCTGGTTGGCAGAATTCCAATGCTATGCATGTCGCTCATTGGCTAAAAGATGCTGCTTTTAGCTAATAGGAATCCTAAGTCTCTATGGACCACCCGTCGTGGTGATCGTAAATGTATGTAGCCTTTGGTGTGTCTATACCAAGGTCGCGAAAGTCTTTCGAACCTCTAACAGACGTCGTGTCTGTTAGAGTTACAAGTGACTATAGCCACTTGTGCGTGTAACCCTGTTACACCATCCCCCTTCAAGGTTAGACGCGCCGAGTCACGACACGTTAATCGGGAAATTGACCATTCGTCAATTCTTCACGTTGGGAGAAAGAAAACTCGAGCTCATTCCGCAATGAGCTCGCCTCAGAAGAAGACCGACGCTGCAGCAGAGGGGAAGTCCTCCGCCGGGATAGATACTCTCTCTATCCCCGAGTACCGCGAGCGTCACAAAGCAAAGCGTGACGCTCTTGCTGCCAAGACTGCGGCGGGGACAACTCAACCGGAGATTGTCCTCGAAGGTTCCTCTGTAGTCAACGACGCCGTTGACTACGGGGACGGCGACGTGGAAATGGAATAGGGCGAGGCCTCTTCAAGCATGCGCAAGGAGTCTATCGACAGCGATAGTCTCGACCCGCATGCCGGGTCGAGACGCCCTCGTGAAAGAGACGAATCGGACGCTTCGAGTTCGAAGCGTTCGCGCGGCGAGAGCGACACTCCGCTCTCTGCTGCTAGGGCTTTAAGCTCCCCGCGCGCTGCCTGAGCATCGTGCGATCCGTGAATGCCGTCTGCGTCAGAGATCGCAGACCGTGTGGGCAACACCGTGCCTCCAAATGAAATCCCGCTGTACGTATGCAGCGGCATCCACGACAATGCTGTGGCGGAGGAGCAGCACTTTGATCCGCTAACGAATCCAAGGCGCGATTATTACATCGAGCTCTTCCACGAACTCCGGTACTTCTCCAGCAAGAAGACCTCTTCTCGCAGCAAAGTGCCTGCCACTCAGGCACTTTGTCAAAGTTGGAATGCTTTTGTTGAGAACTTCAACAAGAAACCGGCTGCTTACCGCGAGCGGGTTAAGCATGCCCGTGAACGCTTCGAGACATTCTCGACGCGTGGGCGGCTGGAGCAGCTCCACAGATCCTCTGTGGACGCTGGTATTCCATGCGCTGTGCCCGAAGGCCAACAGTGCACGTTGTGTCTTCCGGGTGCGGCGCGCTTGAGCGACCGCGACCTAAACGGGTACACGCCGATTCGTGTACCTGCGAGTCTCAAAGATCTCCGTGCCAAGTTCCTGGCACGTGAGGAACGCGACGATCGTGGGACTTCGGGCGCTGCAGGTGACTACAGCGCTCGCTCTACCTTCGCACTGGCAGAACGTGGTGAGCTTCGTACGCCCTCACCATTTCCGGAACGTCCTGCAGCAGGACGTCCCGGGGCTCCCATGTATCTTGGTGGGGCGGTAACCCTCTCCAACGAATTCGATAACGAGCCGGTTGCCGGTTCGTTTTTGGGATACTATGACTCACATTACGCTCAACAATCCAACGTGTTGAGCAGCGGGCGTCGCGGATCGGAGGCGGCGGTGGTGGGAACACGCCCCGGCTATGGTCAACCTGGGGTTGACCTTGGCCCGACGCTCGAGGAGCGGGTTGCTGCTGTGGAGCAGCATCAGAGCCGGGAGTTCGCCGCTCTGAAGCAGGGGGTGGCGATCCTGAGGGATCAAGTCGCTCAGGGCTCGCAGACCGCGTCAGACATCTCTGTCGACGTGGGAGGCCGCGTCGTGCGCTTGGCCCAGCGCGTTCACGCGCTGGAGCAGAGGTTCGCTCCCGCTGGGGCTTCCGCTTCGGGCCAGCCGAGCTAGGTGGTTCGTGCTGCCGGTATGGCTTCAGCCGCCCGACGTAAAAGGTCGGATGGAGGCGCATGCTAGATGGAATATCTAGCGTGTAGGCGTTGCCATGCCGTGCCAACACCGTGAACGGCCCGATGAAGCGCGGAGCGAGCTTGCTCGCCCCGAAGTCGGAAACTGCATGTTTAGGCAGGTTTTGAGTAGCTAACAAAACCAATGAACCCTTCTTGAATTCATTTGTGTTGCCCCTGCCAACGTTGTCTGCGTTCAGCTTCTGTCGATCAACAGAAGCTGCAATAGCGTCTTGGACAAACCGAATGACGGCTTGTCTGCGCTGCACGAAGTTGATTGCGGCCGAGCTGAACTCGTTCAGCTCGTTTCCAGCAGTAGGCCCGGTCTCTGCGTTCGTCTTCGCGGTGTCTGTGCCCTGCACAGACGCGTGCTTCTTCTTCTTCTTCTTGCGCGTTGTCGCGGCTGACACTGTGCAAGTGTCAGCGGCATTCTGCGGCTGCTGCGTTGCAGTCGTAGATCCTCCCCCACTTAAGGAAGGAGCCACCATCCCGAGTAGACTCGGGAGGCGTGGGTGCCTGATGGCATTCACGTAGAACGGTGTATGCCCGGTCGAGGCATGCACCGAGTTGTTGATGGCGGACTCCGCCATCGGTAGGCACTCGCTCCAGTGTTGAAACGAGTGAGCGAAGCTCTTAAGCACGTCTACGAGCACGCGGTTCACGCGCTCGGTCTGCCCGCCCGTCTGCGGATGGTCCGCAGTCGACATCGAAAGTTGACTCCCAAGAAGTGTAAACACTTCTTGCCAAAGGTGTGCAGTGAAGCGCGGGTCTCGATCCGACACAATGTCGATCGGCATGCCATGGTGTTTGAACACCATGTCAACGAACAGACGCGCCGTCTGTTTCGCAGTCACTTCAGCGGGTACCGCAGCAAGATGTACCATCTTGCTGAAGCGGTCAACAAAGACCACAACGCCCGTGTTCCCCTGGCTGTCCGGGGGAAGACCGAACACGAAGTCCAAAGACATGAACTGCCAACACTCCGACGGAGTCGGCAGTGACTGCAAGGGAGCCTGCGCGAAAGGCGCAGGCTTCACACGTTGACAAACCTCGCAAGCACGGACGTACTTGCGCGCCCATTTGTACTGGTGGGCCCAGTAGAAGTCTCGCGTGAGATGAAGGTATGTCTTCTCACGACCCGGATGCCCCGCAGTCGGTGCATCGTGATATTCATACATGATCCTGAGTCGTAGGTCATGGTCATTGGGCACGACAACGCGGTCCGCGTTGTCGTCGACTACACTGTAGAGTAATAACCCGTCGTGCACCCGATAACGGTGTGCACGAGCACGAAGATGCTTCGGCAGCTTCTGACGAGCTTTGTCAGAAGGCGCTGAGCCATAGACCAGCAAGAGCTTCGCGTCCGCGTCGTGCGCGTACGCGACCTTCACGTCGTCCAACAGTGACGACGTTGGGGTGCTCGATCACATGGCGTCAATGGCATTGACGTCGGCATCAGTCGTGGCGTAGTCAGGTCGACGCCTGAGCGCGTCGGCCACCACATGGAGTCTTCTGGGTTTGTACTCAACCCGGAAGTTATACTCTGCGAAGAATGAGAGCCATCTCGCCATCAGTTGCGAGATGTGCGGCGACTTCACAGCCGTCCGCAGCGACGCGTGGTCCGTATAGACCACGAACGGTTTGCTTCCGAGTAGATACACTCGGAACTTCGCGAGTGCGTACTTCATGGCAAGGAGTTCCTTGTCATGCACCGGGTAGTTGCGCTCAACTGGCTTCAGCTGACGCGATTGGTAGTAGACCACACGATCACGACCCTCGTGATCGTTCTGCATCAATGCACATCCGATTGCGAAGTCGGATGCGTCGCACTCAACGTGGAACGGGCGATCCTGGTCGGCCACCGCCAAGATCGGCGCCTCAGTCAAGCCCTGCTTGACTGCATCGAAGGCCTGCTGACACTCAGCAGTCCAAATCCACTCGGCGTCCTTCTTCAGGAGCTGTGACAGCGGGCGTATCATGCCCGCGTAGTCCTTCACGTACTTGCACAAGTACGTGGCCAAGCCAAGGAACTGCCGCAGTTCCTTGACGTTCGACGGCGTCGGCCACTCATTGATCACTCTGACCTTCTCAGGGTCATGGCGGACACCGTTCTTCCCAACGAGACACCCGAGCACGGGTATCTCGCTCGCCCCGAAGATACACTTCTTCAGATTCGCATAGAGCTTGTGCTTGCGCATGAGCGCAAGCAGCTTCTGGAGATGCACCTTGTGTATCTCAACATCGCTCATCCCGTCAGCAGCCCGGCTGTGGACGAACACATCGTCGAAGTAGCTCGGTGCGAAGTCGCGCACCGAGCGCAACAAGTGCGTCACGCACCTGTTGAAGGTCGCAGGGGCGTTCTTCGGACCCTGTGGCATCACTAGCCACTCCCAGAGCATGCCGCTCGGCGTGCTCACGGCCGTGAGAGGGATATCGCTCTCACGCATGAGGATCTGATATAACCTATCGCGCAGATCAAGAGCACTGTAGATAGTGCTCCTGGCCATCGAATCAATGATGACATCTTTTTGCGGTATCGGTTTCTGCACCGGTATCGTCGCATCGTTCAACTTGTTGTACGCATGAACGATGCGCCAACCGCCCTGTGGCTTCTTGAAACAGAACGTCGGAGCACTGTGCGGGGATTTCGATTCCCGCACTTGTCCAGCTTTGCGACGACTTTCGAAGAAGTCGTCGATCGCTTTGACCTGCTCTCGCGGCAGTGGCCACTGCCGCGTGACACAGTACTTCGTGCCCGGCACGAGATCACTCTCGTACTGGATGCCCTTGTCCTGCGGAAACTCCGCAGGGATCTCTTCCGGAAGCACGTCCGCGTACTTCCGTAAGATCTCGTAGTAGGGATTCGTCTTCAACGAGTCCCAGCTCTGCTCTTCAAAACGCTCCTTCTTCGTCTTCGCAGTGAGAGTGTCCTCACTCTCAGTGGTGCTCTCCATGAAGAACTGTCTCAGTTCTTCATTCTCGCTCTTCGTTCTCTCGGCGTCCGAGAGAATGCATATTTGCTCGATGCGTCCATCGTGCAAGTCACGCGCGAAGCGCTTCCAGCTCATGACTGGAAGCGAAGTCAACTCCGACGCTTGTGTCGGAGGGTTAGCGAGAGTCATCTCCCTGTACCGGAACCAGTGCCGGAGGTTTGTTGTGTAAAGCGCTGATAGGGCACAGGTACGCGTCAAGACGTTCAGCGTCTCGACGTCCGGCTTCTCAGCCTCCGTCTGCCCGGCAGACATTTCTTGTAGCGTCTCGGCCCCAGTCCGAGACTTGGGCAGCGACCTTCGCATGCGCCGTCTTCTTGTTTTGCGGAGCTCGGCTCCGCTTGGTTCTTGACCTCGTCCAGGCCCAGCCGTGGACGGGTGTTCTTCTTTTATACCGCCGGCGGGTACATCCGGCGGGCGAGCGACTTCAAGCCCGGCTTGGTCGCACGGCGCTTCGTCGTGCAGCCCGAGCATGCAAGTTTTTCCGGTGCGGAACGTTTGCAACCGTCCGAACCGCCTGCAGCGTCGGCTCCCGGAGCCGACACGCCATCTTCACCTCGACGCCTGTTATTGGCGGAGCCCTTCGTTACAAAGGGTGCGTCGACTCCCGGAGTCGACGCGAAATTCTTTTTCGCAGCGCCGGATCCCGGAACCGTCGCGACTTTAATACCTCGACGACAACCATTGGCGGAGACCCCCATTACAGAGGGTGCGTCGGCTCCCTGAGCCGACGAATCAAATTCACCCAAGCCATCGGCTCCCGGAGTCGACGGCGTTACGTCACCTTGGCTCTTATTATTGGCCAGACCTGATCCAATCAGATTCGCGTCAGCCTCCACGGCTGAGGCGTGTGACTCGCCTGCGTCATCCGTACCCCTTGAGACCGGAGACTCTCCCTGATTCGCTGAAAAGCGGGTGTCGACCTCCGAGGACGACACATTTCCTTCATTAGCTGTCGGCGGCAACGTCGACGCTAGCTGCTCTTGCGCGCGTGCTCGCGCGCGCCCAGGGCGCTCCGGGACAGCGGCATTAGGCGCTGTCTCGAGTGGGGAGTCGCGCGCATCTGTCGGTGCGTGCGTAGCGGCAACAAGGCCATCGCTCACTGTACCGCTGTCGCGACCGAAGCGCACGAGTGTGCGCTTCTCCCAATCGATGACCGGATCATGCCGTGCAAGCCACGCCATGCCCAATACAATGTCAAACTTATCACCCAGATCCAGGACGATAAAGGTCTCGACAAACACTTGATCTTCATACGTGAAGCGCACGCGCACCATGCGCTTCCCAGTCTTCACGACGGCACCCGTTGCCACCAGTCGTACCTCCAACATACTTCGAGGTATTTTTAAATCCTCGAAGTCAAGCCTTGATAGACTTCGCAGTCGAACAAAGTTCTTCGACGCGCCAGAATCTACCAAAGCACGGAGAGAGCCGCTTGCTCTCATCGAGTTCACGTTCAGGATGTCAAGGTCAGGCTTGTCATCTTGGTTCTTGCAGTGAGAATGAATCTCACTAGGGGCTGCAGTCCTCAGTGTCGCGTGTCCAAGGTCGACACGCGGAACTGCATTACCAGTAGGGCGCCCCGTGCCTACTGGCGTCCAGCGTTTTTGTTTGGTTGCGACGGTGCCCGGCACCGCCGCGATAGCCACCCTGCTGGTGCACGGGGGCCGTGCACTCCCGAGCAAAGTGACCGACTCTACCGCAACGGTGGCATCGCACATTGTTTCCCTGCGACTGCTGGGACCAGCAGTTGCAGCACTCGAGAGGTCCATGGGTTCTGGGCCTCCCGTCCTCACTACCGGGCGTGGCTGTGGCCTCGGCACATGTGCAAACAGCTTAGCCTGCCGCAGGCTAAACTCCTCCTGCATTGCAAGAGTAATTGCAGCTTCGAGAGTACTCGGGTACTCACGGAAGAGATAGGCCTTCACAGGCTCATCTCTCAGTCCCTTCATGA